CTCTAGTATCTAAAGTATCTTATTTAATAAAGTACCTTTAAGTAAAGCTATCTTAGCTATAATTAAGTTAATTATTATTACTTAGTAGTATCTATTACTTACTGCTTATATAAACCTATATATCTCTAGTTCTATAAAGTAGTCTTACCTCTTAGGATTAAGAATTATTATATAATATCTCTTAGTTAATAATCTCTCTATTATACTAGACTAGTTTCTCTTCTACTATATATAATTTATAGAGGTCTTTCTTATAAGCCTATAATATATTAAGTTTATTTACTATCTATAGTAATATAAAGTTTTTCTAAGCTTTATTATTAATTAGTATAGTAGTCTTATATCCTTTAAGTTATATTTTTATTATAAATAGTAATAGGTTAAAGGTTACTCTTAGGTTCTTTATCTTTTTACTATTTATTTAGCTTCTTAATAATAGTACTTATTATTTTTTAGTATAGACTGATTAGTAGCTTCTTTATAGGGTTGCTCTATATACTCTATATATACTAGTTATCTTATTTTTATTTATTCCTCTAGGGTGAATACCTTACTCTAAGTGAGTATTAGGATGTTAGAGGTACTTTCTCTTGCCCTCTATATCTACTGCTATATCTAACTATATTAGAGGTACACTTACTCTTTTCTGACTTCTTCTTATAATTCCTACTACTGATATTATAACTCTAGTTTTCTAAGTCAGTAGATTTTATATATTACTATAGTATAATTAATTATTACTCTCTATTTAAATATATAGTTAACTAGATAATTAAGTCTTATTTATAGGATAGTATATCTCTCTACTATATCTTAATAGGAAATCTTCTAATATTCTAAGTCTTCTTTTAAATATATATATAGTAGGAATTCTTTTTATTATCTAGGTATAAATTAATACTTTAGTTTCTTTATTAGATATCTTAAGTATTTATTAAATATATATATAGATTATAAAATCTAGTTATATTATTTATCCTTATAATATAGTTATAGATTCTTCTAATCTTATATAATCTCTCTTCTTCCTCTTATTACTACTTAATAAGAAGTTATTCTTAGAAATATAATAACTATCTATTCTCTACTTAAGGCTAGTTATTATTAAGTGGCTATTATTTATCTATATTTCTTATTATTACTTTCTAGTAGAGGAGTAAATAGGTTTTTCTTCTAGTCTTCTTTTTCTTTAAGCTATACCTATATCTACTTATTATTATCTTCTATAGTTACTAAGTATATATCTTTATTCTATATAAATTTAGATTCTTTATCTAAGTTATCTCTAGACTTAATTCTATTTATTTCTAATAGAATATTATTTTATTCTCTTAGCCTAAGTAATTTCTTTCTAGATAATCCTCTTTTTTCTATAGTAATAACTCTTAGTTATTCTATAGCTTTTAGAAATTATCTTAAGGCCTTCTTACCTTAGATATATACTAGATAAGTATTATTATAGTATATTATCTAGTGCTTATTATTATAATTAGCCTTCTAGGTTATATTTACTTATTATATAAGCTTAGATACTTTCTCTTACTTTTTCTATTAGTAGTTATAAATAAAGTGTCTCTTCTTACTATAGTTATAGTAGGTCTTATTATTATTCTATTTTATAGTATTAAGTTCTATAGGTCCTATATACTATATAGATCTCTAGACTATAGTATCTTTTACTTATACTATTTTTCTTTCTTAGTTAGAGATTCTTAGATGATATACCTATTATTACTATCCTTTATATTCTATCTATTACTTATAAAGATAGTTATTAATTTAGACTATAATTATAATATATTATATAAACTTCTTAGATTAGTCTATTTTAATAAGTTTGTTCTTAACTTCTACCTTTAGTCTAATATAAAATATAATTATTAGAGGTTTATCTTTCTATTTAAAAGAACTTAAAATCTATTTAAATCTAATAGTATAACTAAATATAGATTCTATTTATTAAAGTACTATTAGCTATTATTCTATTATTTATTTCTTATCTAGATCTCTAAAAGCTATCTTAATAGCTTTTTTAAATATAGTAAAGCCTTCTATAAAGATAGCTTAAGCCTTAAGATCTCTATTATTCTTTAAATATTTTAAGTAGTTCTTCTATATAGGTTTAAACTAGATAAGAGCTTCTTCTTTAAGTTAAGTTATTATAAAGAGTATCTAATTATCTAGATATAGAAAGTTAGATTTATACTTTATAAGATATCCTCTATACTAAGTAAGAAATCCTTAAAGACCTTTCTTACTTCCTCTATATATTAATAGAACTTTATACTTTATACTTTAGGTATCTCCTATCTATAAGACCTATATTAGAGTAGAGAGTTATTAGATTTTAATACTAGCTTATTCTATTATAAATAAGGATATATTATTAGTAGATTAAGATTCTAATATAATTTCTATAAGTATTATTTAGGGTATAGTCTACTGATTAAATAAGAGTATTTAATATATAATAATTCTTAATTCTAAGAGGTATAACTACTTTATAAGACTAGATATATATAGATTTATATAAGTAGTAAGTAATAGATATTACTAAGTACTAATAATTAATTATAGCTAAGATAGCTTTACTTAAAAATACTTTATTAAATAAGATACTTTAAATACTAGAAAGCTATCTAGAGTAGGTATCTAAGAATAGATATATATCTATATATATATAGACCTCACCTTATTAGTAATAGTTAGTGATAACTAAGCACCAGTTAGCAGATAACCACTGCTAACTGAGCACTGGTTAGCATGCCGTTCCAGGCAGGCGGTGTGTGGTTTTCTGCTGGCCAGTCCTGCAGTCCGTCTAGGGCGGTGCCCCGCGGTAACTGCAGCTAGTTTCGTGACATAGGGCTAGACAGTCGTCTCTCTAGTTCTAGGGCCTCTAGGACAGTCATCCTTATAGCTCTAGGGCCTTTACAGCCTCTAGAGTGATAGCTAGTTAAACTAATTAAGTCAGTTAAGCCAGTCAAGCCCTTATTATAATTTAGACTGACTGCTCTCTTTTTTTGACCTGATGTGATGCCTTCTCTACTTGTACATCAAAAATTGGCTGTACGTTAATAGTGGGGCATTTTTGATGGTCTTTCCCCGACTAGGACGACTAGCAGGGGGGGGCCAAGGACCCACTGAGAGAGGTGCGGCCGAATAGCCTGGCCGGTGCTTTCATCCCAAAAGAGATAGAGCCCTGTAAGGCCTACTAGTGGCCAGCCGCCAGACTTGGTCGTCGCTGGAGGCGACGGCGTCGTATGCGCCAACCTGCAGAACAAGATCTTTCAACGTGACAGCCGTCCGTGGCGTGGATGCGACGAGGTACGACCGCGACACCTGCGCGCAACTCGCAAGCCCTGGAAACTCGACCCCGACATCGAACCCGTGCGGTGCCAGGGTTGGCTCCGCTGTGGCTTCCAGTATCTCCGCGGCGATTGCATCCGACATTTGCAGCCAAAGGATGGATCAGCCAGGTTGTTCAACGCAGAGGAACGGGGCCGCGGGCAGGGGGGGTGGGTGGCGATCTCTGGTCGCGGCACAGGGCGCTGGCTGGATGCTGCCTCTGGGTTTCCTGTCATGGAATTAGGTGCTACTGTCGTGTCTCCATTGCTAGCTGTTCCACTTCTGTTCGTGCCTTTCGTTTGAAATTACCTGCTACCTTGCGCAAGACTGCATCGAGTCGGGAGACCGTGCTGCACAGGCACCATCCCGCGGATCGAAGCAAGTCAGGCACAAGTCGGTGGGATGTTGGTCGTCGGCAAGGGCCTTTCATTGGAGAACCTCTGGAGTGCAGAGGTACAGAGGCGGGGAGCAATTGCGCCACATCTGCTTCATGCAGTTGGATCAAGCTTTCATGAGCGCTAACCCCACGATCATTTCCTTTGGCAGCACTGAGGTGGGTTTGGTGGGTCGTGAAAAGGCCTAGCTAACCCCTCCCCGGCGAGACCCCTGCCGATGTGTCATGCCGTCTGTATTGGCGATGTCGTTGGCGTTGGTGATATAAGCTGTGTGCATGGACATGTTGATGTTGGTCCACGACTAGTCACATCGTTTGTCGATGGCAACCGCCTTGCTCACCAAGAATGCAATATGAACGGTGCTATCCGAAACTTGCGAATGGACATCGCCACCGCCCTTTCCCTGAGACATTGTTATGGGAATATTGTTCTCTTGACCGGGCATACAGTGAATTGGCCGAGGATCAAGCGTGGCCCCGGCAACAAAAGGACCCAACGTTGGTTGATTATTTTGGTACCCCTCGGACCAGCCTCTTGTGCAGACGTTCCTTGTCCATGGTCATTCGGCGTAGTGATCATTATTTACAGGCCTGAGAGATGCCTAAAAGCAATGGGAGTGACTTACAAACCTATTCGCCGCTTCCTCTAACTCTGCCATATGTGCGGTAATACGGCACTGGGCCGAGTTTTGCACGAATACAAGTACTAGCGTGCCGGGCACGGCAAAACAGGGCACGAACGATTGCATATCCAACTACGGCACCAATATTATCCGGAGCTCGGCACCGCCTGTTTTGCGTAGCAGAGGCTACTTTGAAGGTTACGGCTTGGGCCGCCTTTGCCTCTATCAGGACGCCAGACAGATCGATGCTTCAAAATACACACACCTGCGTTTCGTCTTTGGCACTTTTACACCCGATGACCAAGTACAGATTGGAGATCAACTCTCCGCATACGAGTTTGAGAATTTCAAGATCGTAAAAGGTTCGGCGAGGATTCTTTCGTTTGGTGGTTGGGACTTCTCAACAAACCCCAGCACGTACATGATCTTCCGCCAGGGAGTGACGCCAGCCAACCGGCTCACCATGGCTGCCAATATTGCCAATATTGTCAAGGCCCGTGGCCTCGATGGTGTTGACATCGACTGGGAATATTCGGTAGTGGGTGAGAGAAATCGATGCTGTTTTCGAAAGAAAGAGATGTTGGTAGTAATCACCATAGATCATTGGCACGTCCCCGACCACACATGCATCTATCGCACTAATCGAGATTGATGGGATGCGCTTCCAGGTATTCCTCCAAAGTAGAGGGTCTCCCTCGAGCATTCTCCGCAGCCCAAGCCACCAGCTCTTTCGTATCCGGTCCCCAGTAGTCAAACTCCTCCCCGTAGCTGAGCGCCTCTATCACCTTCACATGGTCATCTGTCGCATGCGGCAGAGCTTTCCTGAACTCGTCGCTGGTGATCTGCTTGCAGACGATCGTCTTGCCTGTGGCTTTGGACATGATGGCAGCCATCTCGTCGCCGGTGTAAATCCCACCGGCGGCGCAGAAGGTCTTGCCGTGGTACTTGTCCGGCTGTGCTAGAATAGCGCCGATGAACTTGCCAGTGTCCCCGACCGCATCAATCAGCGGCATCCGGCTCCTGGAGGAGTTCAGGCGCTGCAAAGCCCAGGTGCCGTCCGGGAGGCGCTGCGGTCCATAGTAGCTCGGAGGCTGAAAGTTCTCCATGAAGAAGGCCGGCGCGAAGAACGCGCTCTTGACTGGCAAGCTCCGTATGTACTTCTCCGCCTTCATCTTGGCGTCAAAGGAGACGACCTCCTCGGGGAAGCGGCCGCGCGCCCTCTCCGGGACCGGCGGCATGGTGCTGAAGATGATGTACTCGGCGCCCATCTCGACGGCGACGTCGGCGACGGCCTTGGCGCTGCTGAACTCGACCTCTACCCCGCCGGGCGTGAAGGACGGGTTGGTCATGACGAAGACGACGTGCACGCCGGCCAGGGCCGCCTCGAGGGAGGCCCGGTCGAGCACGTCGCCCTGGACGACACGGACCTTCTGCTGGAGTGCCAGCGCCTTCTCCGAGTCTAGCCTGCGGGTGATGGCGCGGATCTCGTATTGCTTGGACAGTTCCGGGTCGTTGAGCACAAAGTCGACGACGGAACTGCCTTGCTGGCCGGTCGCGCCGAAGACGGCTAGGATCTTGGTCATGGCTGGTGGCAAAGAGGAAATGTAATTGATAAAATCAGTGAGACCGACATCGTTTATTTGCCATGCGTTTGACGAATTTGAGATCGCTTTTATACTTCTCTGTAATTTGGCTACACTTGTATGGTTTGACGGCCGAGCTTATTAATCGTTGGCCAGCTCCGGACGAAACGGTGATATGACACCGAACTCCGCCGAGAGCGTCACACGTCAGCCTGTGTGGCATGGCCGGGGCAAAGATGATCCTTAGTACAAGCTCAAACATCGAGTTCTACATTAATTTCAGTGTGCTATTCGATCCAAACTCTGATAAATGATCGAAGCCCACCCCTATATCCGGGTTTCAAGTACTGTTGCTCCTTGTGTATCCCTTCAACTATAGCAAAGACAAAACCACCCTAGCTGTGAAACCGTCGATTAATCAAGATCAAGAGACGAATCTCTCTTCCCTCCAAAGCCCGGAGCGATAGGCACGACGATGAGATCGCCCGTGCCGCGGGCGCGAAGTCTGCGGCTTCCGAGCCGGGCCGGAGGCTCGGTCTGGGACACAATGACCCGCCTGTCGGGCGTGATGCTGAAGTAGAACCTGTAGCCGCCAAAGAAGCCCGTCTGCATCTGGCCGCTGCAGGTGAAGGCGAAGATGGTCGTGACGTACTCGTCGTCGCCGTCGCTGACCCATTTCTGGCCATTGGAGCTGCAGAAAGAAAGCTCATGGTCAGCAAAGTTTGTTCGGTTCACTACTAGAGTGTGGGATATTTATTACCTTTCTAGACCAAAGCCAACCCTTCCAGATCTGTACAGAGTGAGATAGTAGACCTTGCCGCCGTCGCCGACAGTAAGATCAAAGGCGCTGTTGTACCTCGTCAGTGTCGTTTCCCGTATGCATCGGAATGGCCAGTGGTCGAACTTACCCATAAGGAGCCGAGTCGGGATGTACAGGTGTAAACATTGTAGGGACGTAGTCGGGCGTGATCTGCTGTATGACCATGGCGGTAGTATCATTCTTGATAATGGGCAGACGGGTATCAGGGTCGACAAGTTGCTGCCAGGTAGTATCAGTAGAGAGGCCTTAGTGGAGCACGGACAGCTCGAGGATACTTACAAACAATGCTCCGCGGTAAGGATTGAACGCGCATCCATTGTACGAGTCTGGGATGTCCGGAGTAAAAGTGGGACCCGTAGGTTCCGGGAACCGTGTCAAGGAGGTCTTCGAGGTTGTCGTTTTAGACGCTCCTGTCGATGGCAGGTAGATGGTGGACTCCACTACAGTCCCAGTGGGAAAGTCTGGTAGCCTGGAGAACGAGGCTGTTGAAGTGGCTGTTTGATTTGCAGTGTCTGTGGGCCGGTCGAAGGAGATGTTGGCCAGCGATGGGATGCTCGAGATCGTGATGGGGATGAGGCTGCCGGAAGAGTTGGTGACAATGACTGGGAGGACAGACGTTTCTCCACTGGTTATTGGCGCCGAGGTGGTTTCGACCGGCTCGGTCGAGACCGGGCCATTGAGGTCTCCGGTTGATGATGCCACCGTTGGACTCTCGGTTTCAATCGTAGTTGTCGGGACTGGAGTCTCAGTAGTTGACTCTTCCGTAGTGGAGGAAGAAGTCTCGACGGTTGACGATTCGATGGATGAAGAGTTAGGCTCGCTAGTCGTTGATTCCGTCGTTGAGGTTGTCGTGTCTGTGATGACAGGGCCCTGTGTTCTGGATGTTGGAGTAACTGGCAGGGTGACTGTCCGTGTAGACTCTGTAGATGTAGAGGATTGCGTAGAGGACTCTGTGGTCGATTCTTCGGTCGTTGGTTCCTCCGAGCTCGAAGATGGGATATCGATTGACGTGATAAGACTGGTTGGTGAGGTTGTCACGGGCAAGGGGGACGAAGTGGGAATAGAGGTACTCGAGGACGTGGATGATCGCGTCGATGACGTCCGTGAGCTTGGAGACCTGGTCGGCGATGCAGTTCCTTCCACCACATACTCTGTCTATATTACTGTGAGCAAATAAACAGCTCCATAATGACCTTGGGAGGGAGCTCACAGGGGTAACAGTGACAGCCCCGCCACCAGTGACGCCGCCGCATGAGCATGCCCGCTGGTACTCGGCGAAATTACGGCAGTTCAGGGCATACGTTGGAAGGACCGGAACCACGCTTGTTGTCGCGATAGCTGAAGCATTCGACACGGTCACAGTGCTGATTGTGAGAAGGCGAATTAGCATGGACTAGATAGAACAAGCTTCGATAAGCCACTTACACGGCAGATACATAGACCTTCCCCGCCAGGAGACTTGAACAGTCTGCCCTGGCAGTGGTAATGTGCCAGTCTCCGAGTCTATTTCCCAGGACCGCGCGGATGCAGTTATTTGGAGAGCATCCAGGCGGTGCAGCAACAGCCGGTGAGATGAGAACTCCGGCGAGGTAGAGCCCGGCCAGCGCCGATGATAGAGCGGTCATGGTCTTTGACAGAAAAGGATGTCAGGATTATACTGAATTGAATGGTTGTTGAAGCTGATGGGATCTACAGAAGAGAGAAAGCAGAAGCCAGCAGCGCAGACGAGGAACTGGAGAGGTCTTTATACACGATTGAGCACGAAAGATATCTCTCAAATCATCAGCTCGTATCACGATAGCTCGCGGCTGGTCGACGTTGCATTCAACCCCTTGTTGGCACTTCGAAACACTTTGTCGAGGTAGGTTCAGCCACGGGCCACGATCTATGCCGGAGCACATTCTCCAGTGATTGTTCCAGATCTATGGGTTCCAGAACGCCATCCTCTGCCCCGTGAGGTTGGTTCCACACCCAGAATCGCCAGAGAACGTTCAGCTCAGGGCGCCAGCATATCTCAGTGAGGAGACATGTCTCGGAGTATAACCAATCGAAGATGGCGCCGTTGGGCATCCCTCCCTGTAGGGCGTCTGTACCTGCATTGACGATCGGAGGGGGAATGTGGCACTTTGCTCTGGTGCCGCGTGCTCTCGGCTTGGGTTGCATCTATTGGGACTGCCGTCCCTCTCAGTTGGAGCCGTGCCGTGCCGTGTCTCCAGGGAGTTCGATGTGGCGTCTGCATTCCAAACCCCGACCGCCTGCCGGGTTGACCGATGCAATTGTTATCGGCCGGCTTCAAGAGGAGAGCTGAGAACGGACGGTCTTCCGACAACCCATAATGGCCCAGGCCTGGTTCAGAGACATCAGATATGGCGCCACGATGAGGTCAATCGAGGTTTGCAGATGTTGAGTGTTTGATCGACCAAGTTGAATTAAGGGGCAATGCCGGCGGCCTTTTAGCTTGGTGGCCAAAGAAGCAATTCCATATCTCAGGCAAGCTAGAAGCGCCACTTGAAGGAATGGTAATACCATCTTCCAACGGCCAGGAGAGACAGTACATCGATTGTCACTCTCCGTAATCTACTCAATCACCTTTCATCAAAATCAATACTCAAAGCCTCTTTGTCTTGTGCTCCTCTGGCTTAGTGGGATGGATGCTCATGCCTTGTGTCTTTGCGACAGTCATTTGCCTTTGGGCTGGTTAAGGCAATTTATTGGAGCTGAATTTCCCACAAAGTCGACGTCAGATACGAACCCTACTAAAATCCCTTTCGGTCTTCAGACCTGAGTAACTTCCTGTCCTGCCTAAGCCGCACCTGGGCCTCACCTGGGCCTCACCTGGGCCTCACCTGGGCCTCACCTAAGCCCACCTCGTGTTGGGCCGCAAATCGTTAGCCAAACGACCCAAAGGCGGCGAGGAGCGGCAGAAGATGGGCTCCTTTTTTCGGGGCGGGAGATGATGACCTTTTCGTTCCGAAAGGCATTTAGGCACCGATCTGCTCATGGATTTCATCGGATTTGGTCGAGGGGCTTCCACATCTCGACATCTCATTCAGCCAGTATACTATACGGCCTATCTATAGCCTCCGAATTCCCGCGCAACTACTTGTTGGCAGTACCTTCTCGTTTCTCACCATGGATGACAGTGCAGATGTCGGCTACTTTGTCGACTCAGAGGATGAGGGGGAGCTGGAAGACGAGTGTGAACCTCTTAGTCGGTACCGCGAGGGACTCTACTATCCTGTGTGCATCGGCGAGGTCTTGAATGGCAGATATCGGGTCTTGCACAAGCTCGGATGGGGTGGGTTTTCCACGGTATGGCTCGCTCGCGACCTCGATCAGAGGACTGTGGCACTCAAGATCATGGTTGCCGATGAACGTGGCGATACGGAGCTGCCAATACAAGCCAAATTGATCCAGAAATTAGACGACACATCTAGTCTCACCCTCTATACTGCGGCTTTCCAGCTTCGTGGTGCCGACGATCACCATCACCTATGCCTGGTGCTTCCATTACGCGGTACCTCTTTAAGTGACTACCGTACAAGAGTACAGAAGCCAATTACAGAACGCATGTCTGTAGCGAGAACGGCTCTACATGCCCTTGCTTCTGTGCATAGTGTAGGGATTATACATCGAGGTATATGTAAAGTCGCCTATTATCACATCTTAGTTACTAATTATCAATAGACCTCAATCTTGGAGCTATACTTTGGGAGCTACAGTCAATTGATCACTTAACGAATGAAGACATATACCGTCTATTCTGTAGGCCTCGCAAAATGAAAATAGGCGACCTAGGTTGGAAATCGGGTGAGATTGTACAAGGGATGAAAGGCCTGTACCATCTACTCGGCTCTTCAGCCTACCTCGGCGATTTTGGCATGTCAATCCATGCAGGCACCACGGTAGAATATACCGTCCAGGCTCCAATGTCGTTTTGTGCCCCTGAGCGATACCACGGCGCACAGCCAAGCTATGCGAGCGATTTATGGAGCTATATATGCATCTTTGCTACTCTATATCTCAGTGTCGAGGTGGTCTGGGGTCATGGTACCCTCTCTGTGGCCCGTATGGTCGACGCCTTAGGCCCACTGCCTAAAGAGTGGAAGGGATCCTATTGCGGTCCCGGAGAGGCTGAGGATTGGTGGTACGATTGTACTGGTCTGTTACCACGCCCCAAATACACTCACGAGACTCTTGAGCACAAGGTAGATAGACTACGACCAGACATTGGCCGGGAAGAAAGGAAGCTCGTATTATCGATCCTGCATCAAGGCTTTTCCTACCACCCAGAGCAGCGCCTTACTGCTACCAACTTGCTGGCCAGTCCAGAATTCGTGGCGCTCATGGGCAAGTATGGCCTCTGAGCCTCCTAGACTTAGAGGCGGTAATCATTTCAAACATGTCAAGGCAAAGTCATGCATGTATCTAGACAATGGAATATGGAGAACGGGTGAGCCTTCGCGATTCATCTGGTACGTGCACACTGCTTTTCTGGCGCCCAGGAGTTGTATATGTCGGGTCACGTGGCCAGTCAGTCCCATTTGAATGTCTTCAGGCTCCTCTCTCTCGCTTTAAGATTGAGCTTGGGTTTTCCCCATCTCACCAAATTCTCCCGAGGAGTCAATGTAGACCCCACCTCCGGCCGAGCCCGGTCCAGTGTCGTTATCTAGCAAGACACGAATCCCTTCGCCGGTCAAGATGAACATGGCCGCCGGCTCGGCCGGCCCAGTTGGGAGGAGCGATGACGGAATACCATGGCCGTACCCACCAGATCTACAGCCGAGGCTGGTAAGGCAATTTAGTTGTTCTCTTACATCCGGACAAACATTGCCTCGGGTTCAACGGAACTGACCTGCTAGGATCTATGCATTTCTTTTGGCAGCACCGGTATAATCGAACGGTTACCCTGCGGAGACAAGATCAAAAAGTCACCTCACCCCATGGCATGCTCCTGGGACAAGATCCTTATGCGCAAGCAACTCCAGCGTGAATTCGAGGTGTACCAGCGACTACCTAGCCATCCGCGCCTTATCCGTATGTTTGGCTTTTCCGAACCCGATGACGACGGCGAACGAGGACTTATACTCGAATATATGCCCAATGGCAGTCTTAAGGCTGCCCTCGAATCCGATACCGATATCCCTGTGGAACGTCGCGTACAATGGTGCGTAGAGGCGGCAGAAGCGGTTGTCCACCTCCACTCTTACGGCATCATCCACGCCGACATCAGGCCCGAGAATATGGTTCTAGATGCAAGACTTGGTGTTCGGATCATCGACTTTTCCGGCGCCTCGATTGATGGGAAGGAGGCCCTCTCGCTCGAGAGCACCAGGTTCTTCCTGATACGAAACGTAAGGGACAAGGCGAATGCAATGTCACAACAGATCTCTTCGCTCTAGCCTCGAGCATCTATCAGATTGTCGTGAGGAATCAGCCGTATGAGGAGGTGGAGTCCCAGGAGGTGGAGGCTCGATATGCGAGGAAGGAGTTTCCATCTGTGGCTGGCGTCGTGTTCGGTGATATTATACGGCGGTGTTGGATGTGCGAGTTTAACTCAGCTGCTGAAGTTCTTCATAACCTCACGGAAGTGATAGGAAGCAAGGCAAATGGGGTGCAAGTGAGGACGTTTTTGCAACATAACAAAGCCACATTTGAGGACCGCATTTCGTCCTCGCTTCTTTGACTATATTGGTATATACCACTTGAAAATGATGCCTGGACATTTAATTTCCAGAGTCAGCTTGGTTGTCAGGACGTCGCCTCTCAGAATATCCCTCATCCCGGCACGTAGGGCATTTGCCGGGCTTCTTGCTTGAGCCCATAGGACTGTCCTTCAACTTGTCGCCCGTGCATTGCACTCCGGTCTGCGTCGCATTGGCGCACCTTATGACGCTAAATTCGTCTGTAACCCGATGGACTTCGGAAATTGCGCCTCTCTAGCCTTCGATTCGTTGGGTTGGGTGGCTTGACCTTGGGACGTGCATTCTAAGCTTGGTGGGTGTTTTTGGAAAACTTACAGCTGATGATAGCCAAGGATCCAAACCGAAGCAAAACTGGGCAGGTAAAAAGCCTGGAAGCCCGTGAATGCCATGGGAAGCGTCCAAGGTCATCGGCCATAGGAGGGAAAGCAATCATCTGATGGTTACTCAAACACTATTGCAAAGATACAGAGTGAAGGAGTGCTAGATTTCAAAGCACATATCCATACGAGTTTAATGTCTCTCAACGGACGGCAAGGGAGGATATTGAGTGAAAATAGGCCCCCCATTTGAAAGGCAACGCACACAATGGTCTCGAGTGTCCCCGAGCATTGTCACATCAAGACATCTACCCTGAAAGATGATGACTGAGGAATCCCTGCTCATGCTTAGGTTCTTTTTTTAAGGCACTGCGTGTGCCATTCCACTGCGAGAACCAACTATTTGCTCAGCATATATCCCAGGCAATTTGTGGAATGGCCTCGACATTCGTCAAATACACCATTGGCTGGCCGGGTTTCCGTGGGGGGTGACTATGCGCAGGTCGATCAAGTCATTTTCATGGACCCCAACAACGATGACAGGTGGTATTCTGTAGTACGATGGGTGATATGCAAGGCATGGAAGTCCACCAAATCCGACTAGCAACACGTTTAGTTAATTGTTCTGACCGGCAATCAAAGCGACCGAGGTCTCTCTCTGCTTCAATCTTGGACTAAGCTATTCGGAAAATGTTCTGCCAAGACCCAAGAAAGTGTGGTAAGAGTCCGAGAGCTGAAACTGGAAAGCTGGGGTTGACATTCGCTCCGCGAACTAGTACGGAGAAGCACATCCGGACGCGTGAGACAGCCCCTCCGCCATATTTATCAGATTTAGCTTCACTGCCGCCACGAAGGCACGTCACTCCATGGCGTCCAATACGGATATAGTCCCATGCGGGGTCATGGTAGTGCTCTGATGGATGTGTCAGTTCGCAAAACATGATCCTCACGACAGCCACGGCGGGACAGCCCGTCCGGCCATCAGAGTCGCTCTGATAAAATAGCTGGGAAAACAGCTCTAGCTTGAACAATGTCGACCAAAAAAGACCTCTGATACGACACCAATCATAAGATCATGGCAAAGTCAGCGATAATCACAGGTGGCGCGAGCGGCATGGGGCTTGCCGTCGCCCAGGCGCTCGCTGCCCGCGGCGGCTGGGACTTGCACCTCGTCGACCTGAACGCCGAGGCGGGCAAGGCCGCAGCGTCTTCGCTACCAGGCGCGACGTTCCACCAGGCCGACGCCACAAAGTACGCCTCCCTAGCCGCCGCCTTCGAGGCCGCCTTCAAGTCGTCAGGCCGGGTCGACTTTGTCTTTGCCAACGCCGGCATCGCCGAGCGGGACAACTTTTACATGAGGCACGACACGGGCAGCGGGCCGCCGCCGGAGCCGGACATGCTCGTCATCAAGATCTGCCTGGACGCCGTGGTGACGACGACGTACCTCGCGCAGCACTACTTCCGCCAGTCGCCGCAGGACAACCAGAGCCTCGTCATGACCGCCAGCTGCGGCGGCATCTACCCGTCCGCCTACTCGCCCATGTACTCGGCCGCCAAGCACGGCGTCGTCGGCTTCATGCGCTGCGTCGCCACGCACTTTTGGCACAAGGACCGCATCCGCGTGAACGCCATCTGCCCCGGCACCGTCAGGACGAACCTCTTGTCGCAGAAGGAGTGGCAGAACTTCCCGGCCGAGTACTTCACGCCGGTGGAGAAGATCGTCGAGGCCGTCCTCATACTGGTGGATGGCAAGGACGACACACCTGCCGAGAAGACGAGGATCGACGGCGTCGAGGCGGACAAGAAGGGAGTCCTCTGGGGCGAAGCCGTCGAGCTTTCTGGCGCCAACCACTATTACAGAACGAAGCCCAAGTTCTCCGATTCGGGGATGCAGGCTGTCATGGCTGCGACTGAGATGGAGGAAATGCAACGCTAGATAGTAACCCAAGAGACTCATATAGTCTACCTAAAATCCCGATCCTATGTTATGGAGAGCTCGATACATCTGGGCTAGGCCGTGCCTTCGACATGTTCAAGAGCGGCTTTCTCCTTGCGCATCTTCATGTCTATCTCCTGCCGTTCGGCCTCGGTCGCGTCGGTAAGATGCACGATAACCTCATCGCCAAAGATCTCGGCCAGTTCCTCCAGCGACTTGCCCTTGGTCTCCGGGAAGAAGAAGTAGATGACTATGATGGTCACCGTAGTCAGGCAAGCAAAAACCAAGAAGTACCTCCAGCTAATGTTGGCGATGGCCGTCGCCCCTGGAGTCACAAAGGTGATGCAGGCGGTAAAGTACGTGGCGGTGCTGAGAGCGACGCCGCGCGAGCGGATATTCGTCGGGTAAATCTCGCTGCTGTACACGAAGGAGGCGGCGTCGATGAAGAACCCGTACGCGAACACGAAGAGGAAGATGGCAAAGATGGCTGCTTTCTGCCCGGCCACCGATGCGGCACTGTCCTTGACGACGAACTCGGCAATCATGGCCGTCTCGATGATCAGCGCGACCAGACATCCAATGAAGCCTGTCAGAAGCGCCTGGTTTAACAGCGTGAGTAACACATCTACAAAGCAGGAACCGATTGCAAGGGGATATCTCACAAATCGACGCCCAGTCCAATCGAGCGTAAGCAGAGACCCCAAGTTGCCAATGGCACCAACCAAGGTGTAAAACGCGTAGAGTAGTAGCGGCATATGGCCAGTCATCCCCAGATTCCCGTAGATGATGACACTGTAGTAGTTGATCACCAGGCCACCACTAGCGTTGGCAGCATACTGCACAAAGCACGAGAGAAACGCGCGTTTAGCGTACGAGGGAGTGGTCAGGATGGTCCAATAGCCGCCAGGGTTGGTCCTCTCCAGCTCGATCTGCTTGCGCATTTGGTAAAACTCCTCGTTTGTCGCCAACTGATCGGGGTCACTCGCGTCACTGTGCAAGCGGCTGAGCACCGTCCAAGCTTGATCGTTGCGGCCTTTCATGAGCAGCCAACGAGGCGACTCGGGTACCCAAATGCAGCCGATCAGGAGCACCAACGCAGGAACACAGGTAAAAGCCAAAGGCCCGCGCCATCCAAAGGTTAGGTTGGTCGAATACGACGCGCCGTAGCCCACCCAAGCAGAGATATTGTACCCGCTCACCATGAAGAAGCCGTGCAGGCCTGTGAGCATGCCGCGCTTCGATGGCGTCGAGGCCTCGGCGAGGTAAATGGGAGTGAGTGTTGCCAAGGCACCGAGCCCGGCACCCTGCAACACGCGGACAATGATGAGCATGGCAACGTGCACACTACCGGCCGTCAGAGCTCCTCCGATGACAGAGAGCAAGGCGGCCGAGATGAGGGCAATACGCCGGCCCCAGTGATCAGCAACGGGCCCGGCCGTCAGGCCGCCGACCACGGCCCCAAAGAAGAATAGGGCATTGACCGCGCCGATGATGTGATTTGCATATGCTCCGTTGGGCTCGAGGTTGAAGTATCGGAAGAAGCCCGGCTGGCCGATACTAGTGGCGAATGAGGCAAAACCTATGGTATGTGAGTTCTGACCTAAATGAGAAGTATTTCATAGTTGATCATTACCGAATCCATACGTGAAGCTTCCAACAGCCACCGTCATGCCGACGAGCACGTTATACAGCGTAGTTTTTGTCATAGTGTTGAACAAAGAGTAAATTGTGAGGGCTTGGCAAGGTTGTCTGCCATGCTCACTAGGCGACTGGCTGGCTGGGGGTCAGCTAAAATATCAGAAACAGACCGGCACTTCTAATTTACCCCAGATTCCCCATGCTTGCTAAACTAGATGAGTAATGGTGGTGAAGAGGGAAGTGGACAGGGATCGGCGAGGGGTCCGGGAAAGCTTCTCCTGAGGCTATGTATCAAAATCACTAATTTTGCTTTATCGAACACCAAGTAAGCTCACATCCTAAATGCCGCCGGAAGTTCATTTCGCATCGCTCCTCCTCGTATTTCCGAGGCCTTTCATCTCATGTTCACCTGGGCTTCGGTGGAGGCGGGTTTGGAATACCTGTCGTATCATAGCTACCTATGCGCCACGGCCGAAATTGAAATGGAACATTGGGTATGCAACATGTTACCGATAACACTCGAACAGAGCATAGGGATAGCTGACTTTTATTGAACCTGCATTGATCAAGAGTGTGCTTGAACTTGGTGATGTTGTGTTGTAAAGTACGATGGATGGATCCAGGCCATGCGCAAGCAGAGTATGAAGAGGTGCATGGATATCTACAACATTATACCCTGTGCTGATGACAATAACTCGCTGAGGATTTTCTTGATCAATTGTTCATCTAATGGACAGCACGTCTTAAAACCTCGAAGGAAAGCAACACGGGAAAGCTTGTCGACAAAGGTCTGTCTCTCCCGCCTCTCGGGAACGAAAATTCCCGCCTATCGGTCGCTGCTTCTCTGTAAGGACTGGAAAGGATTTAGACGTTCTGTGGTCTCGAAGGAGTAAAATTCTGGGGGTTACTTATGGGGTGAGCCTGCTCTTACAATATAAATGTAGATTCCCCTTCCAGCTCGTCGCACTAGAGTCATGGTTGAACAAGTTGAATGTGAACTTGGTGAGCAATCGGAAGAACTTGATTCTTGCCATTATTTGAGAGAGGTATCTATCTTTCTCGAGAAGTACAAGACCTCCTTGCATCCAGTCACCCACCAGCGTGCCATAGACAAACCCTTGGCAGCAGAGGACGTGCAGGTGAGCGCAGGGAAGGCGAAGGCTCAAGATGTAGAGCGCTCACTGGGAAGGCCTGGACACTTGTCCATATGTTGAAAAGGAGGATATTCATCAGGCCTCCCACAAAAAATATCGAAAGAGGGTTTGCAAATCCCAGCCAGAACCGTGCGTGAAAGACCCACTTTGATATTGATCGATGTCGCCCTTGCTGTCGCTGTGCTGTGTTAAGGTGCGCCGTCCTGGGTTTTCATATTCGGCAACGGACCCATGTTGGTACCAGCAAGCATACAAGAACATATATCAGCGATGTCTTCCAATATTCTCCAGATGGTGTCTTGCGTGAATATTCTGACTGGAGCAAAGGCTGCTCGAGCTTCATTGTGCACAGTGACGACGCTAATGCCCAGCATTCGAGGCCAAAAGAACCTGACTACGACGATGCGGATACCACACAAAGTCATTGTCACTGTTGGCGGCTGGAAGGAGCATATCCCGTGGCTTGCTTGCCTGTGGGGGCCAATCAAACATTGATTGTCTGTCCACATGCAGAAAGCCGATGATCGTCAAATGAGCCATCACCTAGCCAAAGTGCCCAATGATGTCTTGTGGACATCAATGAGTGCAACGGTAGAAACAAAATCGAAGGTAAATGCCCGTACCATCCAGCCTAGCTCAGTCGAGAGGTCCATGAATGGCATGCTGCTCTGCTGGCATCGCTAGCTTAAGGCCAGGATGATGGTCCTGATGCTGCAAATCCTGTCACGCCAGACCCCCAGCTTGCTGAGAAAGATACCGATCTGAAACCATTCGACTACGCTCAAGGTGCGGTTCAGTGCATGGCTCAGGGGTGGCCAGCTTTTGGACGGTCGGCACTCTGTTCAGGCGATGTGCATTGCTGCGGATCCCTCCTCTCCATGGCATCCATGGCCTCAAGTTGCCGGAAGAGCTCCGTATGGACCTGAGGGAGAAGCATGTTGCACCGATGACAGCCATCCCGTATTTGCCACAGAAACGAGCGAGCGGGCCGAGCAGCAGAAAGGTTGCGAACTGGGTCGCGAACCACATTTTGTCGCGAGCAGCAAAACTCGGGCCGTGTCAAGATGTGGCCATCCGAACACGCAACAGCTCAGGCTTAATCAGCTGCGACTCGGGACGCTACTTTCGGGCTAATGCAAGGTGAGAGCAGCAGAGTGGGAATAGCTGAACATAGCGAGCATGCGGAATGATTTCAATGGACAGGGCTTATTTTGTCCGCACTTGATTGGGTGCCCTAGCCTACATCTGCAAGTGGCCATCCGCGTGATATCCCTGCACAATTTCTGGTCTCGATGGTTTGTGTTGCCCAACCCTGCAGCAGCACAAACAATGTAGTCCCGAGTCAAGTCCAGGCCATGGTTCCTGATGGTCCATAAATCAACTGGTGATCCCGACTTGTGTTGAAGATGCGAGAAGCAGAAAAGGCATTGGTGCGCTCGACAACCTCCTCGCATAACCTGCTCGCACAACCTGCTCGCACAACCTGCTCGCACTACCTGCTCGCACAACCTGCTCGCCCTACCTTCTTGCACTACCTTCTTGCATTGCCTTCTTGCACAACCTTCTCGCACCATGTGTTTGAGTGTCCTGGTAAGGATCATTCCAGTCCTGGCAAAGGAAGACGCCTTGCTGACCGAGCAGATTGTGTGGAATTGCGACCACCAGGGCTCTGAGCGAGTGCGCTGCGACGACTATCCCAACTGTGTGGTTGAGCACGATGATTACAATCCGGAATTTTCCAAGGAGTTCTGCCGTAAGTGCCTTTATCCTTTCGATTGGATTGGTCTAGACGCTTGCTAATGTAGTTTAGGATCATGCAAAGAAGTCACATGGGTCGACAAGGCCATCGCCATGACCGAGACACGATTGGGTATACCGAATGATCCAGTGTTTTGGAAGAGACGCACCACCCTCGCCCGGCTTGAGTTTCTGAAGGAGTTTCCCATTGCCAAAGGCAACGGTCGCAAGCCGAACCCGGTCGAGCCAAGTCTTGAGTTGTTCAAGTCGACTGGCATGTTCAGGCCTGGAACCCCAATGCCAGAGCAGAAGAAGAACTAGGTACCTCAGTACCGGTAGAGGGGGCTGGGAAGGGGTGGTGGAACCGGCACGGCCCGGCTTTGAGGTTGGATTCCAACATAGTTGATGAAAAGATTGGCTCTATGTATTCTTCATATTAGATTGACTACCATTCCGCCGCGAGATCACTTTCGGTCAAGGCTACCTCTCCTTTTGTCGGGCCATGTAATGTCCCGTCTCTCATCAATCGGCAAAGTCTAACACTGGGGCTTGTGACCCAGTCTCTAGGCAGGAAGTAGTGCTTAGTGATGTCACCTGTGTTTGTCCGTAGGGACGCAGTGCGAACGTCCAGGTCTTTAAAGACAAGAAGCTTATTGGGCAGAATCCCGATGACATGCCCTACCAGCGCTTCAAACCCTTCCGGGAAATTGATCGGCACAAGAACCCCAGTCCCGGGAGGACTCGATTCGCTCGAAAAGGCCATCTACTGCTTTCGGCGATAGTAAATGAAATTTGTACTTGGGGCTGTTGAGATGCAAGTACGTTGTCCGCAATAGAAGATAGCGGGAGTAATAATTGACAGCCGCGAGACCTGCAGACAGTGAGGTGGTAGTCTGATCTCCATTTGTCGCCTGGAGGCTGAAGACGCGCCGACGATCTGTAGTCGCGATCAAACAGCCATCTTCACGAAACTTGAGCTCGAGTGCTCACTCTTCGGACGGGTTAGGGATAGTCAACTGTAGCAGCCCATCTTTAATCCTCCAGATGTACGTGTTTTTCATGCAGTAGCGCGCAAGCCGCGTACCAATCTGATCAAATGCCGCAGTCGAAGGGTATTCGCCCGTGCTAAAGGTCTAGTGTCTGCGAAACAGGTTGGTGTTCCAAAGCGTAATGATGCGATCCGGAAGGTCACAGCACACAGAGAAGTAACGCGGCGGTGTAGCGGCAAGGATTGCTTGCCACGTGCCCGCTGACACTCGAGCCAAACAGTCATCCCAATCCACGTTGTGTATCCCACTCACTAATAGGGTTATGGATGGAATCCTGCTGAACTTCTGATGTATGAAAGAGGCCGATGGGCTGAGTGGCGGGATGGTTTTGTATATAGAAGCCGGGTCCTGAGATAGCTGGCTGCCGAACCTTGCGTTATTCATATCGACTGCCCATATGTAGCATAGGCGGCCGCTCAACCTCGATTTTCTTTCTCTGTCGGGCATCCTCCGCAAGCCTGCGGAAACACCTGAGAAGATCTGCAAGATGTCCGCTCATGGCCATGCATTGCAGCCAGACCAGAAAATTTGGCCGGTGCAAGAATAGCAGAAGAGCATCAAGCATCCTATCCGATGTAGCCGAGCTCTGTTCAAGATGAAGTGTCCAAGATGTAGCGACGTAAGGGAGAAAGACCAGTAGCTTCGGCGAGTGAACTTTACCGCGGACATAATAGAACCAGTCGGCCCATTTAGAACAGCTCTTCAAGACAACATCGTCTGATCAAAAACAGTGTTGTATAGATCTAGGCGTTTTCTAGCGGCGGAGGCAGGAGACAACCATGTGCAAGAGTAATCTGTGACAGCATTTGTTTAGAAACTGCTTCAAGGTTGAACAACGAGAACAGCAATGTGACTAGATACATTAAGCGCCGATTATTGCCGCAGAATGGCAGAGCCAAGACACATCAACCCAAACCCACATGTTGATGACCATTTCTCTGTGTCGCTCTAAACGGAATCGGAAGGTTTCCTACCCCAGACGATTCGCTGTAGGAAGTAGGGTTTGTTTTCCGGACATTGAAGCTCATTGCGAACTTGTGATGACAGGACTAATGTCTCCTCCCAGCTCCAACCTACAGAATGAGCAACATAATTAATAGTTCCTTGAAGGTCTTCTTCCATGGCAAGCTTTGAGTACTGTCCAATCAGCCTCTTCTCGGATTCTTGTGGCCAAGTACCGATCGGATTCTACTGTTTCCATCAGTCACATCCAATAACCTTGAGTCGCCGGGCTCTGGGCTCACCTCCAGAGTTTCGTCTTGAATGTCAACAAATCCGGCCTCCTTCATAGCTTTGGCTTGCAAACCATCTTCCACTACCGTGAAAGATCGCTGGCTTCTCCTTCCTGCCTCCACGAACAGGTTTCCCCATTGGTGAATGGCTGAAGCCGATGACACCTCCGAATCACAGCCCTTTAGCCGGATAAGAGGCGAAGCCTCGTGGCTTTCGAGGTAGCCGCCCGGTTTGAGGCATGCGAATGCCTGCTTGTAAAGCGCGCACCAGTCATCTATGCTTCCGAATAACCAACTCATGTGTATGTACTCCACGGAGACCGGCGAAAATGACCAGAACTCTAGGCAGTCTTCAAAAAGGCTAGAAGGCCAAGGAGAGGTCAGTGGATTTCTAGTACAAGCCACAAATACACTCACAATTCGGTGTTTGCCACCATCAATTCGGTTTGAATGGGGGAGACGTCAGTCCCAATGACTTTCGCTTCGGGATGCTGTTCGGCAAAATCACTACTGCGAAGTAAGCGGCTGTTGATCTTCGGCGGAGAGCAACTATTGCAACCTAGCCCAATCACCTGGGATGAAACGATTAGTCCCTATTAAATTGATTTATCTTCCAAGACCCATACCTGTTCCTGTGCCGATATCTAACACCGTCTGGATCGCATTCATACAAGATGAGTGTCAATTCACGGCTGAGAATGAGATTACACACATGAAGATCTTGCTGTAGGGGCGCAAGGTTGAGCCTCTCCCCAAGTAGCAGGAATTTAACATGATGCCTAGGAAGGAAGTAAGCTCGTTTCTACTAGGTTGAAGAGCTTACTATAGCTTACCATAGATGTAGAGCTTCACTTTGCTTTTCATCATTCGGGGCCCTATGACTTCAGTTAGATATACAGGGTGGGAAAGATTGAGGCTTCTTCACTGACCAGTATTGGGCATTGTTGTTCTCATTGCTATGATACCGTCGTCCTCGAATAACTCTATATCTCCGAACAGATGAAGTTAGTGATGCCATTGATGATCTATCGTCGCCGAGAGCGGAGTCGCCTCCGTCAGAGGAAGCGGTGTGCACCTAGATATGCGTCAGTTCAAGAGCTGCACAGGGATGATGAAAGTTTCATGAGTGAATAAAAACATAGCAGTGCTACCTCCATCTCGTATTACGTGTCGGGCCAGACAACTCAGCCGTTGTAAACACGGCGTGATATCTGTTGCTTGAAGAGTGAGATGGTTGTTTGCTCCGTCAAGGTTCGCAGGTCAATTTAACGATATAAACAAGACCACTATTTGCTAGGGACAGGAACTAGTCAGCCCGAGAGTATCTTGGTTACGGGCATCATCCGTCAGGTAAGACAAAATAGTGGGCATCATTCCCAGCCCAAGCAGCATTGCTGTATCTGCAGCCGTTTCACGAGCTTATCGGATGCGACGATCCATTGGCCCTGGCTACGCCACCATGCAAACAGCACAGTGTTGTGTTTGATTCAAACAGCACAGTGTTGTGTTTGATCCATACCGTAGAGTGTACTAATGAGTGAAATTGCTTTTGTTCAGCCCAGGAGGGGGCGCAGCGCTCAGTCACCAACTGTTGTAAGATCCTTGGCAAGATCTATCGCAGAAGTGCAGCTCCATGCTGTCCGGTCTACGGTGATACCGTTCAGAGATGGTGAAAGACAGAGTACATTGGGTCGAACGTGAACAGGGTTTGAGATCCGTCGGTTCTGGTCTGTCGCTTGATCCCACAAGCTCTTCCGCTCAGCTCTTTGTCGGCAGCTCAGCGAGGCGCTAATAGGCACAGACCACCCCCATCAATATCAACCCACGCACCACCAACAAAGGAAGAAACCCTTCTCTGTCACAGCTGCGACCAGGTAGGGAGGGACATTAGCTAGGGACAAGCCTTGCGACATACGAGGTCAGCTGGCTGTCTTCGGTCTTTCGGTCTTCGCGCATCAGAGCCCGACGAAATCAGGCATAGCATCATGACGACCTTACCCCCGGCGTTGAATAAGACAGAATTGTTTAGCACGGGAAATTGGCCGGCATAGGGAGCCACCGAATTGCGATAATTCACACACTGAGGTCTAAAAGTCACATCGTAGACCTCGCCCGAGACACGTTCCTGGGCTTCCCTCTGTAATACAAGATCATTGACTCTCTCCCGGTCTTAGGTTCCTCGCCTTTTCTGGCAGCATCTCGGTACAGCCAGAACTCTCTTTCCTATGAACTCCTTCGGATCCACTACAAAGGGTCGCCACTCGCTTGCATACACTCCCTCTGGATTCGTTTCCTCACTGGGAATACAGTGATCGAATGTTACACCGTAGTAATCGATGCAACTAAATCCCAGTCAGTATGGTTTAAGAAGCGGCGGTGGTCATTCCGTACCGTAGCGGCCTTTCCTGGACCCATCCCAGATACTCATCTCGTATAACCAAGTCTTCAGCCTCTGGCTGATTCCCATAGATAACCTGAAAAGCTAATTTGGCAAGTTTCGGGCCTGCTAGCTGAGGGAATACCAAGTTCTGAGGGTCGGTCGGCCATGATACCAACGGGAACAATCTCTCAATTGACAGTGTCGGGCCCTCAATATGAATTTTTAGTGCCTTCTTAAAAGGAGGAGGGTGCAAAGGGTGAGTCGGCTTCACTATGCATTCTGGGATATAGAGATCCAGCGCCATAATAGCCTAGCGATGAGGAGAAAGATCCCTCCAACTTCTAAGCTCCAGAATACTCATATGAAAAGACCTCAGGACGAAGAGCGGGTTAAAAAGCGGTGTACTTGATCAACTCTCAAGTGCGACATGTGACTATCTGACTAATTTCCGACACATGCTTCTCTGGCATTCAACTTTGCGATGGTCCCTAATGTACTTGTATTTACTCCGCTGGAGCCGGAGGATCCGATGAAGGCAGGGTATTGCAAGCTTCCACAACTGTAAAAGAGCGTTGGACAATCAAGATAAGTTGGGAGACGTTTTCCCGGGTTCAGACAGTCCGTTTTATCAGTGCTTGTCCCTTGAGTGTGCCCACAACTGAAGTGAGTGGTGGTAATTGTGCACATCTAGATTATGTCAGCGTGAGCATGGGTGCAGAACGTTGAATCAACCATAGAATGGGGGTCAGGATGTCCTCTTTGCTCTGATGGTGTGTAGTCTTGCATCTTGACTGGCCAGGCCTGCCTTGTTCTTTGCACGAGTACATGCTTCTGCTCGGGTCTTACCGCACGCACTGTGCAGTCAATACTTCGTATGGCCCACCAGGGCATCAAAAGTGGGCGCTTGGATGGACCAGGTTTCGCCACGTCGATGTCAACTTGCTAATGGGCCATTTTATGTGTGGTGTGTTGTGCACAAAGACGATTACACGATCGCCAATCACCGTTTGGCTTCTTGCACTGTCCATACAAGCTGCAGCCCCCCCTCAAAAATTCAAGACGTCGCATTTCAATTGGAGAAAGTCCTGGGGGATGGGGGCTGCAGTGATGGTAGTTACGTACCTCGGAATGGCTTGCCTGAGTCTAAAGAGTACGGCCGACTAGCTGCCGTTTCTAGATACTGGCGGGCGAGCAGAGCGATGAACCAGAACCACTCTGTTTTGTGAGTTGGTTTTCACAAACTGACCACAGAGAAGGTCTATAGTGTGTTTGAAGTCCATGATTGACTGCATTTCCCTCGTGTATGCATGGGTCAACTCTTCAACTGAGATTGGTGACCTCGCGTGTATTGCCCAGGATAGGAAAATCTTGGAGAGGTCCGTGTCCTCTGGCGAATCTATAGCAACGATGGCATCTAGCATGCGATCATAGAGCTCTTCCATTCCGTCGGTATCAATGAGAGCACTTGGGCGACTTGTTCTTGGCGTTGGCAGACAACTAAGCGTCTCAGTACTAGAGATGCCCACAGAAAGCTACCATTGGAACGAGCCACGACCTCCTTGGTAACTTCTATCTTGAAGTTTTCAGCCCACGAGAGGTGCTGGAGATCTTCTGCTACCACCAGACAAATGTCCTCTGTAGTGTTTGGTAAAGGCATGTCGATTAAAAAGATTGACCTTTTCGCTAGTTGGAAAGATTGACTGATTGCGCTGAGGGGACGACTGAATGCGAGAACTCGAATCGGCATCTCAAATTTGTCGATTGCCCTGATCAGTTCAATCACGGCCTTGCTTAGGTTGCCTTCGTCGAGCCCGTCATATAATCCAAAAGACCGGTTCTTTCGACTAGATGGTAGCTAATATAATTAGAAAGATGATTCTCCATACTGTAATACCATCGTCTTCTTGAATAGCCATGCCGGATCGCACAAGAGCCGCCACCTGCTGCCGGAAGCCTGGTATACACATGGCCATCTGCAAGGGTATGGATCGAAGCATGCTCGCTGAAGACCTTCCTTGCATGTTTCCGTGCTTGAAAAAGTAAAACGCACACACGCTGCTGGCGAGAAGGTGATCGACGACATAGGCCGCCACTGTGGATTTGCCACTTCCCGGAGGAGCATGAGCCCAAAGAGGATGGTCTCCAGAAGTCGTCCAGCTCTTCAAGTTCAAGTGATCGGTTGCAAGTATGCTCTCACAGGTTCCATCTTTCCGTAGAGCCCGACTGGCTATAAGATCATCTCGCGGAGGCCCTGCTATGCCCAACAGTTCTTTGACTAGTCGTAGTTCATCTTCAGCAACTTTGTCTTGTGCTTCTGGAGAGGTTATTGAAGCCATGGCACTTCGAAGAGCAACTGATGCGCAGTTTGGATCTTCTGCACCGGTAAATTTGGAGACGGTATGATGGCTGGCGTTGGGAGGTTGGCGAGTCTCGTTGGAATAGCCCATGACCGACGAACTCTTTTCAATGATCATGAACTGCACTGGTCCAACAGAAGTGGCTATAGTCTCACAAAACGAGAGAATCTGCAGCCTGGACGCGTGGTGGCGAAAAGACTCATTCAACTCGTCGATGGTAGGACTTCCACGAGTAAGTTCTGTGACAAAGCCTTTCGGAGAATAACCAAACACCGAGCCGATGAGGATTCTGTTGAGTGTCTTTGCCAGGTGTGTTCCTCTGTGTGATGTGGCGAGAAAGAGCGAAGCCTTGACGTGGGATGTGATGTCATGAAACTCGTCGTTCAAGAGACCCTGGACGAATGCCGTTTTGAATACTAGACCTCCCATAGAGTCTGCTACTACAATTATCGGCACCTGACCGAAACTTTCGGGGCCATTATCCTCGTACTCCATCCGAAACAAGAGATCAGTTATGAAATCGCCGATAGAAAAGGAAGCCTGTTGTAACCAAAGTTGACTGTACGAGCGCTGGGAAGCTCGGCCGCGAGCCATAATTGTGGCCAGAGGTTATCAAGGTCCCGGTCACAACACCAAGTCGTTAAGCTCATTCCACCGAGGCCATGGATAGAGAGTATGTCAACCGATCGATTTTCTGGTCTATGCAAGACCCAATGGCCAAGGGGGCCTTTTCTTCTGTCCTGTGATCTCTTCCTCTGCTGACTGCCTGACGGTTGCGACGAGAGTAGTTGGCGGTCGAGGCGCGACGCGTCCGATGGCCTCGATTGTATATGCAGCCTTAGTTCGGGTAGAAAACCAAGTTTGGGATCGTTCGGAGATCCGTCGGGGAGGCTTTGGGCTCGCGCATGCTGCTCTTCCGCATCCTCGCGGGTCGAGCCGCTCCTGGATTTGAGATGCTTCCACTGTAATCACGAGTCAGCTGACCTCATTACAATGACGACTTCCCCATTATCATCAGAAGTCTTCGAGAGATGTTCGGATTACCATTACGCCGCTACGATTCGCATCGTTTGCTGTGATAGATAGGAGGTCGAATATCAATCACCTTTGTTTATCATACCACGAATCCTTGAACCGAGTCGCTGAGAGAGCCAGCAGACGGCGTGATATTTATCATTAGATTATCCTGTAAACTCGGAGTGACTGACCATGCGCGCGCTTCGCAAAACATGCAGGGATCTAAGCGCCGCACTCTGTACCCTACACAATGGCAGAAAACCCCGCACCAACAAGCAGGATAATTCAACAACCTCTGATCATGACGTTGATTTGTCTTCTCTTGTTCGAGTGTCTCCTACCGTACTGCCCGGTTTGCAAGAATAATTAGATCTTAACCTATGGCTGCCGAAACTCAGACTGCTGATCATGATTTGGTAGATGGCGCTATTTTAGGAGGTAAGGACAGCAATGACTGCCCATATTGGTGAAAGAGACAAAGTTGACTCTAACGTCCTCTTCTTTGAACAGTCCTCCCAGAAGGAGAGAAGGTGCTTAGTGTGGAGCGTTGTGGGACTTCAACCTGGGCTCTGACGGCTCGCATGATAGTTCGGTCTCCTGATGGCTCGGAGAGAAGCTACTTCTTAAAGGTAAGAATTTCACTACGGTATCAATTGGGTTATCATTTGGAACTTTCTTCTCACGCACCAGATCTTATCTTCTTCCGATGCTCCTCTTCGAGTTCGCGGTGAATATCTGGCCATGAGGGAGATCTATCAGACACTTCCGACCTTCGCACCCAGACCAGTAGGATATGGCCTCTGTAGTGACGAGGAAGCGTCCTTCTTCATCTGCGACTATGTGCCTCTCGAAAACAAACTCCCTGACCCAGTTCGACTAGGCCAGCAGCTGGCCGAGTTACACAAGAAAAGCCAGTCACCGACCGGCATGTTCGGTTTCTACTGCACAACGTTTGACGGAAGGCTCCCGCTCAACACGACTTGGGAAAGCAGCTGGACAGTATTCTTTCAGAAATTGATGCTCGGCGTATATCAGCTTGATGTCGAGACGAACGGTCATTGGAAGGAGCTAGATGAGGCAATGCAAGTTACCATCGACGAACTCATCCCTCGTCTCCTTGACGTATTGACGTCAGAGGACCGGTCGATAAAGCCTTGTTTGATCCATGGTGACTTATGGGAAGGGAACATCGGCACGAATGCCAATACAGGCGAGATTTCGATCTTCGACGCTTGCTCTTATTATGCTCATCATGAGAAGGAAGTGGGGATCTGGAGGTGTGAGCATCATGAGATGACCAACCCAGAGTATCGGAAGGAGTACTTCAAAAACATGAGGCGCAGTGAGCCAGTCGAGGAGTATGAGGATCGCAACCGACTGTATGCTGTAGAGACGCGGCTCATCAACAGCGCCCATTTCCCGGGCGAACCAACAAGGCAGCTTGCGCTGAATGATCTGCGTTTTCTGATCAGCATGTATCTGCCAGAGAGTCTTCCTGTGGATTGAAATGCGATGTATAATCCTTTTATCATAGCTTATCATATTGAGGGGTGTATTGGATATTTTCTCTCTTCGTTCCTCTTTTCTTGAAATATACTAGCGCTATATATGTGAACTGACCGAGAATATAACTGCTGGTCAACACATTTGACTTGTGCTAGCTGAAGTGTTCAAAGAAGACGAAATGACTGACAAGTCCACGTAGGCATTGGGACATGGTGACTTTGGTTACCGCCAAGCCAAGCCATGCTTTTGCAGCAGCATTAGTAACGGCACCATCGAGCCTAGAACGAGTCCCAGAAGCAGAAAACATCAGCCAACCCCGAGGGCTCTCAGCAACAAATGCAATATATGCGTCCAAGTAATGCACTTGCCCAGCCTGCTGACTCTACTTGGCTACCTAGATGAACCATCATAGGCTGTATCGGCAATCAATCATAGCAATGGAGCACTTCTCGTGTATCTAAACAGCGACCAAAGTATCTTTATTTGCTCAAGGACCAGGACCTCCATCAATTCCTGCCCTCGTATCGTCCTGTCCGCTTCACAGTATTGCCTCAAGGTACTGACGTCTCTTCTCAACGCTCATGTTTCCAAGCCCTACAACTCCCTTCTGTGTACTGCTGTAGTAAGTTCCGTACCGGAGCAAGTATCCTGCCTTTCTTCCAATGTCAATGCTCTTTATCTGCATTTGAGATAACGGTCCAGCGTGTTGGACGAACACCTTCCAGAACTCATCCCTCAGTACGTTCGCATTGTCGAGGTAGACCCATCCATTGGGACCCATGCTCCCAATGACCTTGTCCCGGGCGTACAGGGTAAGACCAAAGGGCTGGATGCCTGCATCAGTCCAGTCGATCACCCCTGTGATAGTACCGCTGGCGCCATCAACAAGAATATTTAACTCATTGAGGTCGCTATGAGTGAGGACTAATGGTAAATCTCCAGAAATGAGCATCGGCAAGTGCTCTTTCACTTCATCGAAGGCTAGATGGAGGCGAGCGGTGAGAATACCGGAGGAAGAGACGTTGGCGAGCCTACTAGAAAACTCTGTAGCTATGGCCGAGCGAGCATACTGGTCAGGAGTAATTGAGTTACGCCACGCCTGTGCAAAGAAACTTATTGCATAAAGTTAGCTGATCTGAAGTGAAGTTAATAGAGTCTAAGCTTACCTTGCTAGGCTATATATGACGGTCAACTGGGTTTGCAGTCCCTCCGCGAGAGAGGTGCGCACCATGGCGTAATTGTCCCCTGGGAGTCTGTTCATCTCGTAGATTGCGAGCTGTCGTTGCGGGCCATCGCCAATTCGACCCAGGGCAGTACTAACGGGCACAATGTCTCCATGAACCTGCTTTGCAAGCTCTAGCATTCTCGCGTCTAGCAGGGCATCTGTACTTCGAAACTGAACGATCTTATCGTGGTTGCGTCCCGCCACCACGGTGTAGCTAGTTGCACCTTGCACTGAAACAGGTTTGACCTGCCCTCCCAACATCGTGCGGGCCAGATCGTCACATTCAGCTCTGGTAGCGGATGTCTGCGAAAAGAAAAAGCTGATCTCGTCGTCAAGGTCGCCGCAGAGTTGAGCCATACCGTACAAATTGGGATGGGTTACGGACCTCTATTCTGATTCCGTCTGATGCCGAATGGAAAAGTTAAATGAATCTTGAATTTCCTCATAACTTTTAGTGCATTCAGAGAGGAATCCGACATTAGATGTTGCGTGTGTGTAGATCTGGCTTAAGTGTGGGGAGCTTAGCTAATCTACCGGTTGTCTCTTGTCTTCTCCCTCTAGAAAATCTCTACCGGAGACTTCTTTAAGTCGATCTTTAGTGTGCTAATCTAGATTAAGTTTAATTCTATTCTAAACCTTAGATCTCTTAAATAAGTCTTTCCTGCTTCTGTTGCGACATGAGGCGTCTTTCGGAATGAGGGCGTCGAGCACTTGAATGGAGGTATTCTTGGCACCCCCGACCCCTACTGCTCCTTTGAGTCCACGCGCCTCTGGCGATTCTTTGCATTCCTGGCGTGAGACGTAAGTATTGCTTAGATTACTATTGGGAATAGATAACCAAACATGCCTCTCCATATTACTGTACAGTACTGTACGGTGGAGTCTAGGTTCAGCGTCTGCTTTTTGGTGTGAACGCTTTTCTAGAACAAGTCACGACAGACAGTACGGAGCCATTTAATCACCAGCCCTTATGTTACTACATGCTTGCATAACAGCAGGTGAGCGTGACCTCTAAGATAGCATGTATTAGAGAAAAGATGCTAAAGCTGTCACAGTTTCTCGATAGTTTCCTATCCCGACATGTCTTCTTTCAAAGAACATGAACCGCCCTTTCTAACATAGAGATATAAGCGGTTCAAGTTGCCCAACAGGTCGCCATCTTCCGTTGAGACCGGGAAGCTAAGCTTGTCATATTCCTCCCACATCACATTCGTCCGAGGAGATTCGGCATCTGCCCACGGTTTTCTATATCCAAAGTAGGTTAGAGAGACGACGAAGAGCGAGTAGATAGAATCAGATTCTTACGCGGAGTCATTGAACACCTCAAAACCGTCAGTTATAATCAAGATGGGTCGTGCAATATCGGCGATAATCTGTTTGAGAGGCGCTTTAACGAAGACTGAAAACACCACAGAATTATCATCAACTTCGGCAAACCCTCCAGCCCCATGCTGCCCCACAACCGAAAAGCCGTTTATCTCCAGGATCGTCTTTGCTTGTTCTGTATAGTCGGGATCTTGAGCCAGTAGATCGACAGCATTTCCAGTTTTATCGTGGCAGATTTTCATCATTGTCAAGGCGATTGCGTGCTGAAGCATGCTGGGCTGAACAAAGCTCGCTTCGACATCATGCCCATGCAAACTTTCGCTTCTCATCACCCACTCTGGAGGCTTGCGACACATATCTCCAAGTCCAAAACAGACGATCTTGGTCACCTTGTCCATATCGAGCCGTTTGTTGAGTTCCAAGCTCAGCAAGTGGCAGGTCGTACTCAGATTCCAAGCAGACTGACTTTTTTCAAAGGCCAGGCTTGCGTCGGCCAGAACGCCCCGAAAATTTCGAGCCGATGTATTGATCCAGTCTATGAGATAAGCGCAGTGATAGGTCTCTTTGGGCCGATCCGGCTGTGTTTTGACAAGGCGCCAATAGTCCTGGTATACTACGCGTGGCTCCCTGGTAGAAAACACATCAGTGAGGCCCATGTTTGCTAGGTAGCTTCTTACCATATTGGTGCCTGTTCACCAAACATGGGATTTTTAATCAATATCGTGTCTCCATCAATGGACCGAACTTTGAAGTGCTGGTGCGTTGCAGAATGCTCCAACTGCTGCTCAATGTCTCGGAGGTCTTCCTTCGTCCAGAGCTTGACCCCATGATTGTAAAGATTTGATGCAGCCTGGCTACTTATTCTCCAAGGCGAGAAACCATAGTCCAAAGAATGCTGCTCTTGATTTGACAGTGATACCATGTTGCGATGAACTGTTTGACAGGTAGGGTTGAAGTTTTGTTGTGGGAAGAACGACTCATTCATTTATTTGGAGGAGGTGGAGATGGTCAAGTTATGTTGCTCACCGCTGGAAAAGCTTAGCTCCATCTCCGAGCACCAAGGCGACACACAACCGAATGCTGGCTGTATGACGACGTTTACATAGCAGACCAGTAACTATTTCGCATCTATTGTTCCCTCAACCAGACAACAAGGGAACATTTATCTATCTATATATTTCGATGGTATGTAACAAAATGTGTGGTTATTCTGACACCTTATGGGTATATAGCTACCCAGCAGTAACGTAGCTTTCCTGTCAGCAGCAAAAGAGGAATTCCCTGGTGCCATAGTACCAGGTAGCGTGTATGCCTTACGCCCGTCTAGCAATGCCGCCTCCTCTGGCAGGTTACACTCCCTGGAGAAGAACAGGCTTAACCGGCCCTCCAAAAGGTTTTGATGGCAAATGCGTCGCATTGGCTCCTCGTCGTGCATGCTTCTGCCTTCGAGAAGAAATCGGAGATAGACTCCTCACGTTTATTGTCGACAGAGGACATGATGGGAGAGTGGGAGAACGGTGAAACAGAAATCCTCATCGGAGAGTCGCTCCCTAGGGTGATCGGAGGAGGGTTGAAATGAGCAGCAGACCGCCGATACGGTTTTGCTAGGAACGGGAAGGCACGTGCGCTTGGCTGCGGCACTACTAATGTGCTGTAGGGATCAAATCTGGGCAACTGTACCTACTCTATATTCCATCCTGCAATAGACAGTCCTAGAGATGGCAACCATGGACGATAAGAGAGAGCCCAGCTGCCCAAGATACGAACTCGAATCATACGTGACCAGCATTCACGATGACAACGCCAAGTTCACGGTTCGCAGAAACGGCAAAGTATTTCACATTCGCGTGTTGCCGTCGCAGTTTGTCAACTCGCCCGCCACGATGGGCAAGTACTTATCGTAGCTAGAGGTTCTTCGGTCGGGCGAGGAGGTAATTGGCGACATCTACGACACCGACGTCTTTGAGTGGGTTCTCCAGCCATTTGAACGGCTGTTCGCCGAACTCGCGCCAAGCCCTGCGCTGCCAGATAACCATGCAGGCATCAAAGTCACTCTGCAAGAGTATCTCTTCCCCAAGTTCTTCATCTTCGTACTGGACGTTGTGAAAGAAAAGTTGCAACCACGCCAGATCGAAATGGAGAAATCGCCCTACTCTCCGTCCAATGTCTGGCTTGATGATGAGTTCCTTGACGACCTGAAGAAGTGGACAAGCCTATACAACCCGGCTGGGATTGTGTTAAGCTTTGAGAACCCCGAAGACGCCCTCTACAAGCCTCCGCGAAAGGTGCTCATTGATGGTGGGCAGACGGCATGTTTCTTCAAGCAATGTTACTCCACCGTTCAGACCACAAACGAGCTCCAGGCGTATAAGAAAATTGCCGCAGCCAACATAGACCCGCAGTTTCACATATGCCGCCTCTTTGGTGCCGTGATGGACGACGACGGTTTCATCGTGGGCCTGTTACTCACTTATATCGACCATGGCGGCCGTACTCTGTCTACAAATGTCGATCCCGACTACCCCCCAGCTTCTACGAGAAACCGATGGATAGGCCAGCTCGATGCCGCACTCGCAGAGCTACACAAGGCCGGAATCGTCTGGGGAGACGTCAAGGCGGAGAATGTGCTGGTTGACCGAGAGGACAACGTGTGGATTATTGATTTCGGAGGTGGCTACACCCAGGGCTGGGTCGACAAACAACTGGCGGGGACTGTGGACGGGGATCTGGCAGGCATGGCCAAGCTTAGAGAGTTTATCTTCCAAGATGGAGCGCAAGACCGCTGGTGGGCGCGTTAGAAACGACGGGCAGCAGGGTGTTTAGTGGTGACAGCCGGGGACACAAACTTTTAAGAAGTGATTTCTTTGGAAGATTAGAAGCGAAAACATGGCTTATAGTCCACCTCTCCATCTAGCAATGGCCCGAAAAATGTGCATGCGGTTGGCCCGATTCACATTTACCGACCAAGCTGTCGGTGTGGTGGACATACTGCCCACTTGAGGCGATCTATACATTCTATCTGACCTGTGGGACTGAGATATTCGTTCCCACGTTTCCCTGACCTGCCTTGGGGACAAGGAGCGCGCCGGCTTAGCCTCCTCCCTGCCGCCGACGCGCCGCGAGATCTACCCGGCGCCGCCCAGCCGCCACCACCGCCGTGGCGCGCCGGTCCTGTCCCCGTGGCGCGCCGACAGCTAGCGTGAGTGGTTGGTGGCGACGCGGCCGGAGTCGGCACGCCGCAGATCTCCCCGAACCGGCAACGTGGCGGTGCGCGCTGGTGACGGCCGCCGAGGACAGGTACAGCAGCCTCCTCGTTCACAACAGCTACCTGGCGGGGCCCGCGCCGCCGACGTCCGGGCCTTCGACGTCGGCTCGCACGTCTGGCCCCGGCAGAGCTTGGCGAGGCGCACTCCCTCCCCCCTCATAGCCTTCTGGCCCGGTCAGATCGAGTTCGCCAGGACAATGGCGGACGGCTGCGGCCTACCATCAGAATGACGGTGGGACAGAAAACCGCTTGTAGTGTCCCGCTGCCAATAGCTGTTTTTCCTGCTCTTTCGTCTAGAGGATCCGTGAGAGGATGCTGACGGCGATGAGACATTTCCTCTCTGACGACCACCGCTGCCGGAAACGTAGTCGCTCGCAGGCGAGAGCGACTTCGACGAGACAGAGCGAGCTCAACGTCCATCACGGAGGTGTCTGCGCGCGGGACGGCCTTGCCGGGCCATGGCTCTCGTGGCGATGGGAGCTCGACCGGTGACCGTGCTCGCCAGCGTCTTGGGATGTGTAATAGTCGCCAGCTTCGACGAAGCTCTGTTGACGGGAGGGTTGGGCGTCACGGACGTCCGCCGAAGTCGTATCATCCAACATCCGGTAAGGCCCTGTCTGCTGCCCGTGTTCAGGCCTGTGAATTGCCGGATCTGCTGCTCCTTCTGCGCGATGAGCATTTCTGCTGATTGCCGCTGACTACGGAACCATCAGACGGTGGTGGGCGAGACTTTGCCGCCTCGGAAGCGCTCTTCCTGTTTTCCTCTCAAGAATGATATCCAAGGCGTCCCCAATCTGCGTCAGGCGCGCGTCCTTCCCCCAATCAAGAATGTTTCGCACCTGTTTGCGAAAGTTCTTGAATTCTTCGGGGCGTGAGAGCACAAAGGTGTCAATCTGTTGGAGGTAATAGCTCAGATTGTCTTCTCTCCATGAGATGTACACTTTGGCAAGATTGTTGTCTACAGCTAAACAGTAGGACAGGTTGTCGACACGTTCCGTGCTCTGGTACTCTTGTCAATACAACTACAGACGGCATGTACAGAGGTTGAGCTCACTTCACACTCTTGAAGCGCCCAGTTGAGTTGACTGACAGCGTTGAGGCAGGCTGCTGAAGCGCCCGCACACTGGTTTGTGGCAACCCAGAGGTCACCTCGCGTACCTCCAGCGGCTTTGAATTCGATGGCGAAGAAGGGAAACCGGAGGCCCTGGGACGTAGCAGTCGGGTAATCCGGGTTCCTTGGATGGAGCATGGTTTGGGCTAGGAGTTGCGGTTCGGTAAAGGCCTCCATCGTCCTCTCTGAGTATCCATATAGCTTGTCTGGTTTGGGTTGCGTAACTCGGTATGGACTTGCGGGAGCAATAGGATTGAGATGCTGGGCCATGTGCGTGTTGGAGTTGCTCGTCAAGCCCGTGCCAGGCCCATATGTTGTGTCTGCTTCGGGGTTGGGAATTATCGTGCCATGAAGCAAGTCAGCTACCTGGTCTTCGGTACACCCTTCTGCAAGGGCATCCACTCGGTATATTGCCTGGTTCAGTTCATCGGACGAGAGCCCAGGGGAGTCCCGCTGAGCGCAAATTGGATCGATGTGACCGGCAGCGAGGTCCTGCAGCGGTGAAGCCGGGTGTCGGACATGAATGTGATTAAATCGTAGGTTGGTCTGACGGTATCGTGCATTGCGAGCGTTGGCTGTGCTGGAAGCCGACGATCGGTTGGAGTCGTCCCCTGAATCTGCTCGGGATGTACGCGATCTGGTGGAAGCCGGCGTCGGCAGCACTGGAAAGCCATCGGCATCCCGTGTGGAACCTATCTCCGGCGCCGATCTCGTGAGCTGCCTCGAGACGGGGTCGTGGTCTGAATGGCGAAGATGGCCATCCGACCGGCAGTGTTTCTCGCAGTCTGATCCAACAGACTCGAGCCACTCGGACACAAAGGTGTGGATAGACCCGGGATGCGGGTGGACTGGGTCGACGAAGTCCTTAAGGAACGAGGCGTATGACCGCTTGAGAGGCCGAGGCCTTGGCAGTTGTAGAGTCATCTGTATGACCTCCTCTGTTAATGGTTGGCTTGCGTCAGGGAATGCCTGCATACCTTGTCTGTCTGTTCTGCTTTCTAGGCTCCAGGCTGTTGTGCGTCCGTTCGTGTCAATCGGGCGCTCTTCACTGGCGAACAGATCACTCTCGGGTGTCACGTCAGGTTGCGGTGCGAAGAGGAACCTGAATTGTTGGTAGATCGAAGGGGCTGATTGCAATCTCACGGTGGCAATCCTTAGATACCTAGGTAAGGTACCTTAGGTATGTTGCCAGGGTCAGGTCGCAGAAATCGCCTGCAGATCGCGCAGAGTTGCCCACAGGTGCCAAACACAGCACCACAGCAAGCTCCGGCAGTGAGGGGCCCGGCGGCTCGAGCTCTTTGGCGCGCGCAGAGAACAGCGGGTGGAGACGCTATGACGCCCCGTTCATCGGCGCGCCGTCGTCCTGCTGATTTTAGTACAGTGGTCCGTTGGTGCTTAGCGTACCCGCAACGGCCCACTGCATTCAACGGTTACAGCTGGACGGGCAGCTTCTCAGCTTCATTCCATCTTGCAAAAATCTGTCTCGGTGAAGCTTCGACTTCGCTTATCGGATTCCGTTTAAACCCTCGAGTGGGTGCATCTACAGCACAACTGCACATTAAACAGTGGACTAGTTCTTTACCTCGTCGAATTGCCATCTATTTTCCGCTGGAAGCAGCCATCAGAACCCTATAAGGCATCGCGTTTTCATCACGCGTCCCTTAGGTTGCATTTCGGGCTGTGGGGCGGTGTCACTATAAACCATATTGTGGCGGGGACTTCGCCGTGAGTGGCGCCTGTGGCCCGGAGCCGCGATCTCGGTGGCCTGGTGGGTCCCGGGGATATCAAAGTTGGTGGATTTTCTAGCCTCAAGCCTAATTTCACCTCAAGACCCGCCCAGCCTGCCTCGGGGGGCTAGGCAGTCTTGAAAATATAAGGGCAAAATTGGTGGTTGTATTGATGATGCTTGTGTTGCTGCATGGGTCTAGCCCGAAAATTAGGTGAGAAGCGTGCCCATAAAAGCCGTCTGTCGGCTCAGGAGGGTTTGCTTTTGGTCCCCTTACAAGACACAAGGGTGATCCATATGAGAAGACAAAAATTGGGCGTTCCAACAAAAGACTGAACGTGTTACACTTGTCTGACAAATCAAGCCACCCAAAGTGGATGGTCTTCTGGCAGTAGGTTGGAGTTACATCAACTAGAAGATGTCGTTAATACGACCTAGTGAACGAGTTGTTCTCTCATCCCATCGTAGCCACAAAGTCCTAACAGGTCCGTCCTCCTCTCATTCCCCTACCCAACAAGCAGGACAACCAGCAGAGTATAGGGCAAACTCAGACACTCCCACAATCGAGGCTGTAGTCTAATTATTTTCTCCCATCATGGCCCCGCAGCCTCCTTGCCGAGGGGAACACCGTGCCGTGCCCCATGCTCGCGCTCAGATCCGGCATCGTCCGGTTCTCGCTGTCCGCCAGCGCCACGCTGTTGGTCGCCATGGTGCTCCGCGGCCCGCGCTTCTTAAGGGGAACCTTGCTTGCCGCCGAAGCGCTGACGTCGCTAAGCCGCTTGAGCGAGAGGGAGGGCGCAAGCATGCTGCTGCAAGCGCCGCCTTCCTCCGGGGACACGATGTTTTTCGTGCTAGCGGTATTGCTCTCTGTCGTGTCAGTGCGTATGGTGTTGATATCCAGCTGGCGGAGGGCTGTGGCACTACCAGCCGTGCCTGGCATGACACTACTGCTCTCCGTCTGCTGCCTCGAGGCACCGCACCTATCCACGAACAAAAGCGTCTTGCTAGGACTTCTAGGCCTCGCATGGAATGAAGGCTCATCTTTCGCGTGCTGTGAGCGCATGCGATCCACGAATAAAGTGCTGTTGCTCGTTTTTGGCACCACGGTGGGATAGCTGTATTCTCGGCGCCTTGGCGTCTGTCCTGTGGGAACATACTCTCCCAGCTGACCGTGCTCGACGCGCTGTCTCAGCCCTGCCAGCTGTCCGCAAATATGCACCTCCTTGTCAAGCTGCGGCAAGTTCTCGCGCAACGTATCCGTCTGTTCCGCAACATCGTTACCAATGACTTTGACGCGGTCAACTGATGCGCTAAAGGCACTGCCAACATTGGCAAACGATTCTTGAGCGTTCGAGGCGAGCGCAGAAAAGGTCCGCTCCCGGGTATCATGTGCGGTGTTGTTCTGCTCCTGGATGCTGTCGATAATGGTGTCAAGGGCGCCCATCTCCGTGTGCAGGTGCTGGACCTGCTCGTTCACTATTCGAGTAGTCTCGTCGTGGACGGAAGTAGTCACGGCTTTGAGGTTTTCCGTGTGCTTGCTTGCGGTCTAGTTTGCGTTAGTCGAGTTCGCACTCTCTTTTCATGAGCCATGGACTACTTACCACACAATCGCTCTGTATCCGTGTCTTCATCATGTCGCGGGATTCGATCAATCTGTCGCTGAAGCTGATTGATCGTCCCGCAAGCTGCTCGCTACCATCTGCAAACGAGTCTCCAGCAGCAAAGTGGCTTTGTCCTGCAGATCTGAGCTGTGCAGAGATGTCAGCGATCGCTCCAATGCGCAGCGCTTGCTGCTGCATGTTAGCCTCGATGAGGCTCTGGATGCGGAGCATCAAATCCTTATTCTCCTCCTCTCTAACAGACTTCTCTTTGTCCACGAGATCCGATAGCGTGTCAACTGATTGCGTTTGACTCCGTTGCAGCTGTTGGTTCGCCTCAGCCATCTCATCCTGCAGCCGCTGCATCTCTTCGCGCAGCTCCCTGACCTCCTTCGATATGTCTTCAAAGGCCGCCGTGAGGTCCATGCCAAGGAGGGAGTAAGATGAGTTCAGCTGCGAGTGGAAGGTCTCGACTTCAGCCATGATACCCTCTGATATACGTGTCGCAGCTCCACCCAGGTCGTTGAGTCCTGCCCCGATCTTCTCCTTGAGCTCTTCCCTAAGCGTCTTGACCTCGTCCAGCACCTCACTCAGCTCGTTCTTGCTCTGCGTCGTCTGTGCCGCAACTTCTCTGTGCAATCGTTCGAAGGCAGTACCATTCTTCTCGAGGTCTGTTCTCGCCATATCGAGACCGTCTAGCTCGTCCTTGACAAATATATCCATGCGCGTTGAAAGCGCGTTCACAAGCCCTTGGTGCTCCGTTTGGAACCTGGCGAGCCGACCCTCGACAAGCGTTGTCGTGTCCACTACATCTAGCTGCAATCCGTGATACTGCTCCCGGTTCTGGGCTTGCAGCTCCGATTGTCGTCGCAATTTCAGGTGCAGGGCTGTGTTGTCCATGGTACACTGGCCAAGTGTTGTTGTCAGCTCATGGTTGAGGCTCGTGAGCTGCTGCTCAGTGCGCTCGTGCTGTTGGCGGATGGAAGTTTCGTCCTCGAGCATGCGCCTTGTGCGTGCTAGTGCCGCACTCGTCTCTTCCAGCAAGAACTTTGTACTATCAAGAGCTCCCTTGGTGGTTTCGCTGTCCTTTTTCAACATGTCGAAATTACTTGCGAGTTCAAGTAGGTCCTGTCCTTTTCGGGCGAGCTTGGACTCGAGTGTTTGGATCTTCTCGCACTGCTCCTTGACTAGAATCCTATCCGACTCGGATTCATTCATAAGCTTCTCATATGCTTCATGTGTAAGATACACGCCATTGCGCTGTCGCGTAGCGGTGAGCTCTGACTTGAGTCGCTCAATTTCGACGGTGAATTCTTTGAGCAGCATCTTCTTCGGAATCAATCTGATCTGCGGCTTGTTTTTTATGTTCTTCGCGCGAAAAGCATAATCTAGAGACGAAATGGTTTCGTCGAGATTCGATGTCGCAGCAGACACTGTCGTGATGATGCATGTCTTCGTCCGACCACCCAAAGAATCTTGCAAAAGCCGGGTGAGTTTCGACTCGCGATACGGGATGTGTTCTGATCGATCGACAAGCGCATTGATGACGCGACCCAATGTGAGGAGACTCCTATTGATAAGCCCAGCTTCTGCCGCTCGCTTTCTCTCCGCGCCAGATCGTCTAATATTCTCCGATCCAGCGAGATCAACGAGGTTCAACTTTCCAGAGGTTACAACCTCTTCGCCGGAGGCTGACAGCCGTTTAGCGTATGCCGTGATGGTGAAGATTGTATGACTGCGAGAGCTGAGATCGTTGCACTTCGTAGCCGCGACCTGTCGCTTGAGGTTGCCATCTCTTAGTAGCTCAATACCCCTTTTCGCGCTGGTGATGTGCCGTTCCTCCATGCCCTGAACAACAGTCGCCACGCCTCGCTTGCTATCTCCATCGAAAATTTTCAAGTTGACTTTATCATCGACGGAAAGCAGATCCCGAAGTTCTTCGTTGTATAGCTCGATGAATGATATTTTCACAGAGTTTTCAGGGGCAGCATCGCTTGTTGGTGAACTTGGTACAGAGTCAAGCTCGCGAAAGAGGGAGTCCAGCACGCGAGGAATGATACCAGCGTCGTCGGGTAGTAGAGTGTGATCTGAAATGTTTCCGTACATGGTGTAGGTCTTCCCAGTACCAGTCTGTCCGTATGCAAAAACTGTGCAGTTGAAGCCTTTGAGCACCTGTACTGACGTCAGCCTCTCAGCCTCTTTTCAAACGTTTCCCACTCCAAACTCCAACACGATCATATCCTTGCATTCTTACCTCGGCTAACACAGGAGTCACAACTTCATCAAAGACCATCTGCTGATCTGCCATCGGTGAAAAGACCCCATCAAATGAATACGCCTTTTTGCTGAGGGCATTCGGCCCCATCGACAGCTCCACCGTCTTTCCATGCACCCCATCCGTGTTCACCACCACGCCGCTATTCTCTCGCACCTCTCGCTCATTCCTGCCGCGACACCGCACAAATACGTCTATCTTCGTTTCGTCGATCGAGTCACGATGCGTCGTCGACGCCGGGTCGTCAAAATCCCGCTCCTTGCGTTTCGTGCCAGCCTCGGAGGCAATCGGGAGGAAGGAATCGGCGGGAGGTGCGCGTCCGTTGTTCTCAAAAGTAGGTGTCGCCGTGGTGGCGCGACGCGAACCGGCGGCAGCTGCTCGACGAGTTGTTGGCGGGGGCATCGCGTTGCGGGGCCGCGAGCTCGCGGCAGAGGAGTCTTTCATCCAAGGCGAGCACTGAAAGCGTAGAGTCACGGCTTGCTGGGTGACAAAGAAAGATGCGTTGCGAGAAGGTAAGAGTACGGAGAGGCAGGCAAAGTCGCACAGTGTAGTAGTACCTAGGTAGTACCTATGTACCTAGTGTGGGGTGATAAACAAACCGTGGATCCTGCCCCATTTACAGTCTCCACAATTAGTCGCCGATGCATTTCACCGCAGCATGCGGCGTACAATACTTGTACAATACAAGTAGAGCCAAATCATCCACCTTCGACCCACCAACCACCCACATCTTTGCAACATCATCTTGCGACGGCGCTACTCCTGGCAGCCCTTTTTTTCGGCCATCCTCGAGCGCAGGCTCATTTCTCCCTCCTTCATATATCACCATCCTCCTCACCATGACCGACGGCGTCTCCAAGTCGCAGGCACGTTTGCCTTCTTTGAAATCGTCCGATTCCCCGGAAGGAGAGCGGGAGGACGTCGCCACAGAACAACCATCAGGGTCGGGCGAGCTTGGCTCCGAACACTCACGGAGCTCCACGGAGCAGCCCTCTGCGAAGAAAGATCCCACCCCAGACACGCACACGAAGAGGCGGTACGACGCGTCTTGTGACGTTGGCCGCTCGCCGACGAAGAGAGTCCGACTGGTACGGACAAAGCCGCATAGGCCTGAATCCCGGGAGGAGGAAATAAGACAGGTAGACGAGGTAAGACCATAAGCTCACACACAGAACGCCGACTAATGGAACGTCTCACGCAGTCGACCCAACAGCGGCAGCCAGCACCTCCCCAGCTCTCACACGTCTCGTCTCTCGAGCGCCGAGCGGACGGACAAGGCCAAGGATCACCGACTACTGGCCTGCGGAAACGACAGATTGGCAGTGACAGTGACGACGGCGAACATCGATCAAAGCAAAGCCGTCTGACGCGAAAGAACTTGGCTCTTTTCAACAAGATGGCGAAGAGAAAGGAGGAAAAAGCATCGGCATCCGCACCCGCCGATACCACTGTCGGCTCGTCAACAACAAAGACCACCTCGACGACGACGTCTGGCTTTGCTATTCAGGCCAACAACAATGGCATCCTCAACCCCCGCACCTCTAAGCCTCCCGCGAATTACAAGGAAATCCGTGAGCGATGTGCTAGATCTCGCAGAAGTGCTTCACCCACCGAGTCGGTATATGAGGGCTATGTGAAGACAGTTAGAAAGGCCGTTAACGAAGCAACCATGGTCGTTGAAGTCAGTGCGCTGCTGAAGAAAAACGACGACGAGGGTTACACAAGAGCCTTCAATCAGGCATTCACAGGCTTCCCTAAAGACGCTGGTTTCAATAATCGCCTACCTGCTCCTCAGCCTGACTTTATCGAGGGTCTGACGAGGGAAGACTACAAACCGTTCCCAGTTGATGAGCATATCGATGGGGCCGTTCTTTATAAGGACAACACCGACTCTATAACACTGCCACATTTGGCCGGAGAGTGGAAAGGCCCCGGCGGGAATATGAATGAAGCCATGCTGCAAAGCGCCTATGACGGGGCTGCTCTCGTCTACGCCAGGAACCAGGCCCTTGCCTATCTCGGGAAATCCGACCCCCCAGGCCATGCCGAGATTATGACTTTCACTACAGACGGTACCAACCTCAACCTTTTTGCACACTACGCTACTACACTGGAGGACGGCAGCCATGAATATCACCAGTATCCTATGACGTCGACAAACCTCCTAGTCTCTCACCAGGGGCATAACGACGGCCGAAGAGAGCTCAGAAATGAACAGGACCATGCATGGGAACAGTCGCGCGCCCTGAGGGACCAGTTAAAGGAGCACTGGAAGAAGCGTGGCCGCGGTCTTCAGTCCATCGCCGAGGCATATCCTCCGCCCGGGCCGGGCTTCAAGGTGCCCAGCAGCACGAACGTTTACGACGACCCGAACAACAACGAAGGCGGTCTTGATCAGGTCGAGCAGCCACGCAAACTCACTCCCCCAACTTCGTCCAACCTGGAACGCCCATCCACCCACGACAAGAAGACAAGCCCCCGATCATCGTCTTCGAAGTCACCGCCACCGGCAAGGGACCACCACCATGACGGCGGCAGTGCCCAGAAACGCAAAGCCTCGTCGCAGGAATCCTCTCGCAGATCAGACAGACAAAAGAGCAGAGGGAAAAGCTACTGGAAGCAGGATCCTGACAGCGGGCGTCTCTTTCATGAACGTTCCGATGGTAGGATCACTTGGCGAGATGATTACGACGATGGATATTGAACAAGTATCTTCAAGAGCGGCTTGATCTATCACAAGTAAGCATTCGTGTCGCGTGGCTGAGACTGGACACGTCTGGACGGCTACCACCACGACGACCAGGCAGAGTATCGCTCCACTGCCAAATATTACGATGACGAACTGTTCGTGGCTTAGTCGAATGCTTCGAGCTGGCGCTCTCGCGTGCAGTTCCTCCCATTCGATTGGCTCGGCCATCCATACCTTGCAGTGACCCGCAGCGCGAGGAGACAGCAAGCCACCCAGGTCTCGGTCCTCACCGCAAGAGCCAGCCCCCTTCTTAGGGATAGTTTTTGATTTTGTTGAGCTATGTATGTGTCTAACGCGCTGCGCTACGGTAACATGATCAAATACAGCCCTGCGTGGGCGCAACTGTGTTTTTTTTTTTTTGGAAAATTTGTTCCCCAGCAGATGCTGGGTCCGGTTTGCAAAAGCAGACTTCTCGCCAACATCCATGACCAACCAACTTGGGTCAAAGGTTGCACAAGGAGCAAATCACCGTCCCACATTCCCGTACAGTCACTCGTTTTCCCTTTCGACTGAGGAGAGGGGTTCCAGCTGCTGGAGCATGCCATGAGGTTTGCCTCCTGTGGCTTGGCACTTCGCGCCACCAGGAGCTGGTCCGCGACATCGGTCAGGCATGCTCGAGCAGTCATATCGAGAATGCTCCAGTCCTGAGGATATCTAACCAAGTCTCATGTCGCCCGGATGTGAAGTGCTGTGCATCGCGGGCCGACCCGACCCTGAACAGACAATCGAAGGAACACTGCAGCGAATCTTCACCCTGGGCTTGCAATCTCTCCAATCCGAAGGACTGACAACTAGTTCTGATAGTTGGAGGCTTGGTTGACTGTTGCTATAGTTACTTGTGATCTTGGTTTATGATAAACAGGATACTTTCCACAAGCATGATCGACCTTGTATGGTAGTTTCGAATTCCAACCCTGCTTGTCATGAAGATCCCGGAGCGAATTGTCGAGCTGGCTGATATGTCTTGGGTTCCTTCGAGCCTTGATTGCAATACGTTCGCCATCTCCGCCGAGATTGACCATCCTGACAGGCAATTCATTCATGCCATCTTTATGTGCATTCTCCCAATCATAATCATGATGATACAGGTCGCAGACGATGAGTATCGCAGCATCCCAGCGCTCTACTGCCACAAGACGACAGTCACGGCTGCTGTAGTCGTTGGTCGGCGAGACCAGGCCCTCATACCCGAGGTGTATCAATACCCGAGTGATGATTGTTTGCGGGGTGTCCCACGCCTCCTGCCGGATTGAAAGGCCTCCGTCCACGATGACGAGCACGCGAGTCGGGTCCATCAGCCGAGGCTAGAGATCGGAAGCACGTCGCAGTAGCCCAGTGTATGTTGCTGTGCTGTTCGCAGTTGAAAGAAATCGCGGCGTCTATTGGCAGGAAAATCAACATGGCTGTAGGGAATGCAATCAAGACACATCTGGCACCTACCGAGGCGCGTCTCTGTCAGTGATGCTTGCAGCTTGAAGCTTGTGTTGCTTGATGAACGAACGCGTCGGGGAAGAGAAAAGATGGATCGGATGGCAGATGAAAGCTGGAGGCAACGGAGGGACCGGAGTGCGCTCTGTGTACTGCGTCCAGCAATTGTTCCCAGTAGAGAGTGGAAGTCTTCCGATCTGCTAATCGGGGAGGTGCTGCTCCGGCCCCTCGAGGTTTAGCTACCTAGACCCACAATGATGTTCACTGTAAGCCACACGATGTTCGATGGAGGCAGACGACGTTTTGAAAAGCCGTTTGGATGATATTCGACTAGCATGTCTTCCTAGCTGTTCAATATTGGTTGGACGACAACACAATGTGAGAAGCTGTACGTTGGGCTTTGTGACTGGCACTGGCTTCAAATGCCTGGTCGACCCGGGCGCGGGCTAGGGTGCTCCACCACATTTCCAGTTCATGCTAACGACAAGATCAAGAGGTCTAGGACATTACCATTGTCTAGGGTTTCATAAATCAAATCTGGTAGCATTTCCTCGGATACGATTTGAAAAATCTACTCGTCGAATTGAAATGCCTTTGAATCGTCACCCAACCATATGCGAATCTCTTCTAACGCATCGAGGTCATTCTGAGGAAGAGAAACCCGAACCTTTTCATCATACCACTCATATGTGCGGCCAACGTTCTCCAAGCTCTCTCCTTGCCGTCGACATGAGTCGAAATCAATAATGATTGGTTCCTCACCATCCAGCATGATATTGCTGGGATTGATGTCGTTATGGACCAATCCTAACAAATGGAGATGTTTGATACCACTTTCAATGCCTCCCAGGATACGACTGTAATCCTCCTTTTTGTGATGGACGGATCTTAATTTCCTCTTCATTAACTTCGACGGATTGACCCTTTGCATCAGTGTACATTGGTATTTGGTGAAGCAAACGCCGGTTATCCTATTATCGGACACTTGGCAACCAAAGTAGGGGGCAATATTCGGGTGTGGGTGTCGCTTCAGAAGTTCGCAGGTTTCCACTTCTCTGAGGACAGAGTCTGCGATGGAAGTCGGCTGTGATCCTTGACAAATGCGATCGTAAGAGATCAGCCGAGGCCGTTTAACGAAATAGTCGTGGAGTGAGGGGTTCGGTACGCGCGCGAATTCCGAAGAGAATGGGGGATTGTAAGCGGGAAAAGGTATCAAGATGTCGTTGATGAAGTGTTCTGCTCTGATCTCTGAGGGAGATGAGTAACGAGCTTTTGAAACTGCATGGTGAAGATCTCGGCCATTTTGATACACAATGAGGGTATGGGTAAACTTGAAACATGCCTCGACCTCTTCAAATGCCTCGTTCACTTCGCGCACGTCGACATGCTGATTTGGTAGTGCAGTGGTCGACAGCATTTCAACCCTGGAAGCAGGAAAGCGGTACAGAAGCGTGGCGCGAAATTGGAAGTTCTTTTGGAATAGCTCCTCGAGTGCTTCCAAGAGGGGAAGCAATTGGCACGGACCAAGTTACAGCGCATAACTGGAACCCGGATGCTCCTAGGTAATCTGGTAATTAACGCTTAGCTTGCAAAGCCGGCAGGGTCGACTACAGGCCTCAAACCCCTACTGCGATGGGTCTTAGCTGTGATTGAGTTATCCGTTGGCGCGCTAGTCTGCGGCTGATAGCTTGTAGTCTAAGATCACGGCTGTCGTGTGGCACCGGGTTTCATATTGTACTTTCCCTCTATCGTTGCCAATTCAATTCAATTTTACAGAATGAGCCTATGCCCGTGTGATGTTGATTGAGTGTCAGAAATGTGCCAGCACGCAGACAAGGTTCAATCGACAAGGTGGCAGAGTGTCCATTCAATCCACGTCTTCACCGTAGGGCAAGTCGCCTAGCAGATGTTCTTCCAGCCCCTCCAAGACACGTCTAGCGTGGACCCTTGCGGGCTACCCATTGCGGGGATCCCGTAGTTCCCATAGCGGGGTTTATTTTAAGCCTCTCCATCGTGAGCTCGGTGTCTAAGTACATCTAGATCCACGGAGACTACACGACTTAACAGCAAGATTCATTGACCAGAAAGAGGATGGTGTTTATGTCTGCAACACTCAAGCTGCAAAGAACCACGTACACCGCACCACCTTTTGTCTTTGATGCGATACATCAATATCAGAGACTAGCCAAGATATCTCGGCCAACATGCCTCTCGTACCGCCTAGTACCAGATAGACGTCCCTCGATGACTGGGATTATGATGGCTTGAAGGAACGCCTGCAGTCTGCGCTTGCAAGCATCAGCAAAGATGCCCTCCTGAAGCATGCTCGGGAGGTGATGGGGCAAGAAATGACCATGAGCGAACCTTTCTCAGTTGGTCAGCATTGGGTTTGTTTCGAGATGATTGGGAAAAGAGACGGGAAATTGGTCATTGCCAGAGTTCGCTTGCCGCACAAGTCGAGCGATCTATCCGAAGCATATGCTATAGAGTGCGAGATCGCAACAATGAGCTTTGTGAGAGCGAGATTACCCAAAGTTCGTCTTCCAGCCGTCTACGCCTACGAGACTCCAGGCTCAGAGCGGACTTCAACGACCGGTGCACCATACATGCTTCTGGAGGGCTTCTATGGCAATACTTTGCAGGACGGAGCGGCCGATTTCTTCAGCTTACCAGTACGATGCACTCTTACGATGATCGGAGAACCGCGCTGACCATGTCTAGGACGCTATCCAACACCACATCATCACACAATGGACGAGAGTTCAAGCAGAGCTTGCAACTTTCGCGTGGCCCAGGATCGGCTCGATCTCTCAACTTGACAACGGGGAGCCTGTTATCGGCCCACTAGCATCTGCTAGCATCGATCAACTTCAGAATGCCGGACCTTTTCCAACCGCACTCGACTACTTCACTGACCTTTCAGAAGCCTTACGCAAGACGCTCGCCACTCAATCTAGCGCCGGGTCAAGTTGCGGATACTGCCGGCTTGGTACTCTTGTATTCGACCGGATTTTGAGCCATACAAAGCTCTTCAACGAGGACAAGCCAGAGACATTATTCCAACTGAGTCATATGGATCTCGGTTTTCAGAACATGCTTATCGATGATGACTTTAACATCGTTGCCGTGATCGACTGGGAATATGCGCAATCTGCACCCTGGCAAACTTATCACTATCCCATGCCATTCCCACTGAGAGAGCCAGATCAGGAAATCCAGGACATACTCAAGGATCCGAATCATTTGGCACATAGAAACGTGGAGAGACAAAACAAGGCTCGTATGATGTACAAGGACGGATTCCAAGTAGCAGAAGACGAGTTGGAAAAACAGGGAAAGGTCTTTCAGAGAAGAATATCAGACGTCCTGGATAGCCCGGCATCAAGAGTATTTGCCTGTTTCTCTACTCTCGGCGACTTACACGGAGAGGGGGACAAGGCGTTGGTGCATGCAATGCTACAGCTGGCTTTTGGAATGGACTCAGAGAGGGCGGAGGAGTATTTGGAATCGCTGTAGATAAATTTTCTTCTATCAAGACTGCCTCTAATACTGTAGTCAGATGACGCAGTCGTCAATTAGCAAGTCCTCCGGGCTTAGTGATCGCCGAATTGTCGGGAATGCAACTGATATGCACGGCGGACGCTTAGGGATGATTACTTGTCGAAAGACAAGGCCTTTATGCCTCTCCTACCGAAGAGGATGGAGCGGACCTTGTCCATCCTGCTGCCCAGGGCGCGCCATTGATTTCGGGCGACGCGGATCTCTGTGGGATCGTCCACGGCTGTCGTGATAGCGCCCGGGCGTCTGGGTGAGGGTCTCTATGCGGTATCCAAGCGGCGGCAGTAGCATGTGATCGACTCCCTCTTGTGCTGTGTTTGGGCGACGGAGATGCGATGCGCTTTGCTGGAAGAGGCGTCAAGCACGTCTGTTGCAAGGCGACGCCGTCATCAGGCAGCCGACATGGCAGGCAAGGCTCCTTCTTGCGTATTCGGCAGGATCGACAGAGCGATATACAAAATGACTTGATTGCGGTGGTGATCATCACGTACCGAGACACAAAATCTTGAACAGGGCCAGACGACGTCAACTTTACCGGGCCGGGTCAACCTCTCTGTGGCGACGAGCCATGGGCCATAAAGCCTCGAGTAAATCGACTCGTCTCCGACGATGTGATCCAGGTCTTCATTTCTAAGGCTGACCTGGACTGTAGCACCGAGTCTTGGGATATGATCTCGGTGAAGCACAGCTTCAAGTTAAGGGGAGACACCGATATCTGCATCTGAACCGTCGCCCGAGCCACCCCTGATCCCCTAGCAGCGCCGCAATCGAAATCGTGAAAGTCGACGAGGTGGATAGGCCGCTCAATAGGGCTGTGTGCATAATAGTGACCGCGGTGATAACGTATGATGTTCTGCAGAGTAGACCCTGCGGTCGGTTGATGGTAGTCGTTGATTCAGACGAAAATGGGTACTGAAGCCGGATGATGGCGGTACCCCTCGCGCCCGTCCTAATCGCGTTCCCTGTACCTAGGTAGTGTAGCGGAGTTTAATAGTAGGTCTGATCGCCTCTTACAGGCCGTACAATGCTCCCCACAGGAGCAGTCAATGTCAATACATTAAATTCATCATACCATCTGAGTGACGGCTGCTTGCTTGGCCGAGCGACCATGTCTTGCCTAACCTCTAGAAAGGATATCGACTCCCTCCTTTTTGCCTATTGCGCATTGTCTTATAAGTAGTTCACCTCTTTGTATCTCTTTCTTTATGTGGCCAGACTAGTCAGCTTTCTTGTGTCACCTTCAGGGCTTTTCCCCCTTGCCGCCTTGTTTGTTTGTTTGTTTTGTCCACTTTACACTGCACTGCCTCTTCTTCCTTTTTGCCTTGTTATCACCGACATCTTGAACGTTTACACTCTCTAACGCCTAATCCGACCCATCACCATGGCCCAAGCGACGAGCAGCGTGTTTGCCGACATCGACGGCCACATTCACGGCAGCGTCCATGGTTTCTTTGAGAAGTTCTTTGACAGGCCGAGTTGGTCTTCCCGCGCTCAGGCCATGGCTGCCACACTGCCGGACCCACCCCCCAGCCTAATGGGCGTGGACGGCGGCGAGACTGGGGAATTCCTCGCCTGGCTCCAACTACACCACGGCGGCGCTGCTGCTGCTGCTGCTGCCGGCGCGGCGGTGCTAGATGCTGATGTGGATTCTGATGCACCGACGGTTCCATCCGTCTGGTACGCCCCGCCCTCTCCCAAGTCCGAGTCCACGGCGCCCACTCCACCTTTGCCGCCACTTTTCTACCTACAGCCAGCCCAGGCCGGCAACGATTTTTCTTGGTCAAGCGTCCAGGCTGTTGGCCACCTAGAGCCCGGCCGTGGACAGTCCTCCTACTGGCCAGGCCTTCTCCGCCTTTCCAGCCATGCAGCACGCGTGTTTGAGGCCCAGCCGGCACGTCTTTTCTTGCATGGGCTGTACGTGTGGGGACGCTGGGCCGAGCCGTGGGTGTTTGATCGCGCTGGTATCTATGCCGGAACCCCCATCGCAGTGGACAAGTCGCCGAGCCGTTTCAAAGCCGTGCTGGTCGGCTACACGCTGATGAATCGGGAGGAGCTCGGCCTCAATCCCTGGCTCGTGCCCCAGTGGATCGGCGCCACGTCCTGGGCAACGTTCCTAGCCATGGAAACAGTTGATGATCGGGGTGAGGCGCGGAATTTGCGCCTCCAGCTGCAGGATGCGCCTATGTCGTCGCGCAACAATATTGTGGGCGGCGGCACCGCCGCCTTCCGGGCCAAGACGGCCGGCGACACGGCATGCAACGACGACTGCTGGGATGTTGCTGTCAAGTTCAAGTGGCAGCCCTCTTCTTCCAGCGAGACTCATGGCGGCGGGCCGGTCTGGCAACCAGAAGAAGTCATGCTCCAGCGGGTACGGGAGAAAAACGTGTGGGGCGTCGTGCGTCTGATCAGCCACAAGACATTGGTAAATGTCAAGGATCTGCGTCGTGACCTCCACTTCGACACTCCGCGGAAGTTTGCCCCCTACGCTGGCGTCCATGACGGCTCTGACGGCGATGATCCCCTGGCGAGAGGCGTCGTCGATTTCACGAAGCCCGTCCGCCGAGACGACGAGGCCCAGCCGTACTCCGATATGGTGCTCTCTGTCGTGGCTGTGGCTCCACTCGGACGTCCCTTGCAGTCGTTTGCCTCTGCGCTCGAGCTGTTGGAGGCGCTGCGCGACGCCATCCAAGGCCACCATAATTTCCTGCGCCATGGCATCCTACACCAGGACATCTCCATCTGGAATGTGATGATCGCAGAGCGCCGTGGCCCGCTCGAACCCCGGGGCATGCTCATCGACCTCGACCTGGCCTCCCCACTCGAGGACATTCTGCCGGACGGCCGGACCTGTGTCGGCGTACCCTTGTTCATGGCCATTGGCGTCCTTATCCGAAAGCGCCACACCTACCGCCACGACCTCGAGTCCTTCCTCTACGTGGTCCTCTGGATGGCCACAACCGGCCGCAGTGACGGGCTGCCGGACGCCTGCCGCATGAAGCGGTGGACAGGAGACTGGGATTACGACCAGCTCGCTGCGCGCAAGAAGCGCGATATGGAGCCTGGTCCGTTTGAGGCGTTCCTTGCCGACTTCGACACCGAGTTCCGCGGCGACGACTTCCAGGACCTCGCCCGTGCGCTGCGAGCCATACTCTTCCCCACGCTCGCTGATGGCTCCGTGGACGTCGACACGCCGGGTGAGACGCCCGCAGACGCGGATGCCGTGTATCGCCGGGTACTCGGCGCATTTGACGAGGCGATCAGCCGTGCGAGTGCAAAAATATAGACTGGGGGAAAGTAAGCTATATTCTCCACCATCAAAGAGTTCACTATCCTACACGGCTATGTAAGAGATACGTTCATTAACTTCAAACAGACAAAAAGATGTCCTCCGGGAGTACGCTGCATATTGGTGAGCAGCCCCTCGGACTCTGTACAAGCTTGATCATACCGAAAGAGGGCAATCTTCAAGGAGTCCAAGGGCCGAACTCGACACACCTGTCGATGGAGAAACCGGGATGAGAGGGTAGAAGGATAGAAGAAATGGATGAATCGAAATGTAACGCAACGTCTTGATAATCAGGTGAGGGGGTTTTGGCGCCTACTCTAGTATAACCGCCGGCCCAGAGACCTGGTCCGGCTCGGCTGTCTTTCAAAGGCCGAGCCTGCGATTGTCTTCAGTAAGAAAGCGTCGAATTTAGTAGCCCGTCCTTCCTTTCCAAGACCGGAAGAGTTTTGACTTGACGTGTCGCCCCGGAGAAGCCAGGTCGCCAGACTCGGTGCGGTAGGACGCGGGCAGGAGCTTGGGTCGTATTCTTAGGTAGCTGGCATGGCCTATCATTCAACATCTTCAGAACCAACAGCATATTTATATGTGCCTGTCGTTTCACTAAATCGACGCTGGGCAAATGAATCCCAGATCAAGTCTACCAATTGTCACGTTATGCGCTTCCAGGCAGTGGGGCGGCGCATCCGCCGACTCAAGGCACTGGTCGCAAAGACCAACAACAACAACACTTGGTTTGTCGAACGGCGAGCTGATCCCTAACGGCGAGTCGGACCAACAGGCGGCGAGCAGATTTTCCCCTTCTCAGTGCAGACAGATCCTGTACACCATACCTGACGAACCCACCGATGCGTCAAGTCCCGACGGCTGGCTACACCGGCCCGAAGTCCCCGGTCCCTTGGCCCCCCCGGCCACCGACCACCCGCTTTCGACCCTGAGCTTCACTCCTTGGTCTCCGCCGACGCCACAACCTCGACGCTGCCCTGCAAGCCATGCAGTACGTGCTCCAGATATCCACCATTCATCGGAAGTTGTTGTCAAACCGCTTGAAGGTATAACCAATGAAAGGCAAACTCATCTGAAGCGTCTCGTCTGGCGGGGCCTGTGAGACGTCAGCCACGAGATGAACATTCTCGGTCTGGTCGATCTCGTCGGTAGGAAAGTACGCGGTATCGATGTTCGAAGTCAGGCGTGGCTCGAATGGTGCCTTGATTCGGCGTAGCTGATCAAAGTGGACTCCGTGAAAAAAAGGGTGTGCCTTGATCTCGTGCGATCCGCCACGGCCAAGCCGATTCTCGGGGTTGCACACCAAGCTGAGCCATTAGTACTGAAGCTGAGAGAATACAGAACTGAGGCTTACCTTCGTATTAGATTCTCGGCTTGCGGACTCAACTGGACATCTTCAGGAAAGTACAACGCCTGGCTCCAGTTGACAATCTTGCGATACGTATCATGACGATCTTCGGCGCAGAATGGAGGCCAACCGACCAGGCACTCAAACATGATGGTTCCGAGAGACCACCAATCACAGCTGAACGAGTATCCTTGGCCGGTGAAAATCTCAGGAGCGATGTAGTCAGGGGTTCCGACAGCCGAGTATGCAATCAGTCTTCTTGACCGACGCCATTCATTGATCTGCGATCGATTGCTAACCGTGAGGTTGATCTGGTCGAGTGCGATTGAATTTCGGTCCCGTGGCTTGTTGGCCTTTCCGTGGAGCAGCTGTTGGTAGTAGCTATTGTCATGAAGGCGATGAAAACCAGTTGAGAGACCAAAGTCGGTCAGTTTGATATGGCCACCACGGTCTAGGAGAATGTTGTCTGGCTTGATATCCCTAAGAGCAGTGTTAGCAACGGTCGGTATCCTTCATGTATCACCCTACCGGTGAATGAAGCCCAACGAATGCACCGTCTCGATTGCCAGAATGCATTCCGCCATGTAGAATCGAGTGATATCTTCCGAGAAGATTTCATATTTAATGAGCATAGTCATTAAATCACCACCCGGCAGGAACTCCATCAGCATGTAAAGGAAACGTGCATCTTGGAAGGTCGTGTACAGCTTGACAATCCAGGGGCTCTCGGCTTCGGCCAGGACGTCGCGCTCGGCCCGAACGTGGGCAAGTTGGTCTTTCTCGAGCATCTCTGTCTTCACAAGCGACTTCAATGCGTAGACCTGGCCGTCGGTCTTCTTCTGCACCAGTTTGACTTCCCCAAAAGCACCCTTGCCAATCACCTTGATGGTTTGGTAGTTCTCCGGTCTATCTCTGGTCCGCAAAAACCGAAGATACTGGCCCTCTTTACGCCCCACTGAGGACCAAGTATGCTGTCGCCGTGAGGTTGATTCGTTTGGGTCGTTGAGTTTCCTTTCCATGTCGCTTTGCCTGTACAAGCCGGTTAGCATTGCTGCGATATAGGTGATCAAGGTTGTGTTCCGTGTACCTCTGAATCCTCTCTCGAGCCTGCTTTACGCTGTCCTTGAAGAAGTTGGTAGCTAACTGTGTACACTTTTTCTGGTTGTGGCTGGCGATGGGTCCGTACGCGTCTGGGTTTCGCTCTGGGGCTTGCGCGAATCCAGCCGGCGGTATTGAAGTCGCCATACGGATATTCAGCCTCAACACGTCCGGCGCGGGGGAATGCCCCGTCCCAGGACGCTCCGTCGGCACATGTCGTCGAAAGCCGTGTGGAAAGGACCCTGCATCCGCCCCAAGATTCTGATGGGAGAACTGGTGAAGTAGAGTGGGATCCAGATTGGGCGAGGTCTGGGCAGACAATTGTGTTGGTGCAAAAGCACTCGAGCAAGGCGGCTGGAGGGTTCGATTTCGGGATTGTTCACCATCGTCTCGTTCTCGTGGGCTTGAAAGAGCCGGTAGGACCGGTTGGGGGAAGGTCGAGGGAGTCGTGGGGTACTGGTCGTGACTCCATGCAAGAGCATCGTGTTGGAGGCGCGGGGAAGGCCGATTGCGGTTATCCATTGAAAGATCGTGCCTGCAAGACAGGTTTGTTCTGTGTAGAATACGACGGAGTGCAACAGCTGGACAATCGGAATAAACCTGAGATGAGGTGGAAAGGAGACGGGATTCAGAGTGGTTGCTGTTCAATAGCGGAAGGGAGGTGGGAGCGCTCTGACCACCCCGCCGGTCCCAGACTCCCAGGTAATCACACAGCATTTAAGGCAGCACTTTCAGGCCCTTCCGCTAGCTCGTAGGCATTCTCCTCCGTTCGTAGCCACGAAGACAACCGGTACGGTGCCCCGTTTCAAGCATGTTAAAGCAGTGCAGCAACCCAATTTGGCCTATGTAGGCATTGATGCTAACTTCTTCTTTAAACAGGCTGGCTCATTTCGTTACACCTTTACGTAGCGTCGCTCGGCTTCGCCAATCCTCCCAGCAACAAAATTTAAGCTTCCTACGAGACCAAATATCAGCTTCCACACGTGGATCCTCGCCGCACTATCCGCCACCAGCCCTACTATGTGGTGGTCGATCGTCGGGTTAGGCGGTAGTTGTTTTGTGTCTTCTACTGACAAGAGGACGGCTCTTAAAGGGTATCAGGTGTGGGAAGAGGGTGAGTGCCGAGCCTGGTGCCAACACAACAGCGAGAAAGAACTCGCTCGAGAGGCCCTTATATACAAGCACCTGGGCGAACATCCTCATATCCTGCATTGCTATGGCCTAGAGGAAGTACATCCAGGCATCAATTCTCTTCGTCTTGAGTATGCACCATTTGGCGACGTGCGTAAATTCATCCGAGAACACAAAGCGGCGCCACTTACGAAGGGCGTCCGACTGCGAATGGCCCTCGATACCGCCCTAGGCCTGAGCCATATCCACGCAAGGAGAGTGCAGCACTGCGACATGAGTTGCCGCAACCTCTTTCTCTTTGATAACTACCGTGTGAAGATTGGCGACTTTGGCGGCTCCTTGATCGAAGGGCAGGACGAGCTACGGGGGGGTGTTTGCGAGGAGGCCGCCTATGAGCTGCCGCTTCGAGGGAGAGAGTTTTGGAGTCGCCCTGCTCGAAAGAGAGAACTCTTCGCCCTTGGATCTGCTATCTACGAGATAATGGCCTGGGCATCGCCATATGAAGGACAGGAGGATGGTGAAATCGAGAAAAAGTATGCGAAGGGGGAGTTTCCTACCTTAGAAGGGATCACAGCCAGCAATATCATCCAGATGTGTTGGGACGAGAAATATGGAAGTGCAGATGAGGTGGCGGAAGCATTGCGGGCACTGATTGCGTCACAAAGATGAATTGGGTTTTTGGCGAAGTAGGAATAGATGGCCATAGCCGACAGTTTTGATTTGCCTACATAACCACGAAATCCTGGAGGAGCAGACAGTAACATGTTGCCTATGCATATACGTAGGCAGTCAAGCTGGAGAAGGACGGTCAAATGGAACCGATCAGGCTAGTAGCAACGGCCCGACCCAGTCTCTCTCCCGCTCCGCTGGCGCGGGATATTAGTCGGCGGATAAGCCCCACACATCCTCCGGCTTTTGCGGGGTAGGATCAGGACCCATTCCTAACAAGACGTAGAACCAGCATTTGCCCCGCTCCTGATCCCGCTGACCGCCCTTCCTTCCTGCATCCTTCTTCCATCCTCTTCTCATCCCTGCCAGAGCAGCGCTTTCGTGCCAGCGCTGATTGCGGCACGCAGCTTACAGCTGGCCATCGCATTCTATCGGCAAATCGTCGGCTCGGCCCACCGAAACACCGCTATTGGCACTTTTGCTCCGAAACTCAACACCATTCAGGCGAAGATATGGAGACGAAATCCTCTGCAAAGAGGGTCTTGATCTCCGTTGGGAGTAGGAGCTCCCATCTGTCACGTGCGTACGATCAACCTATCGAGATGATTACTATATCGCTCGAACTCTTAAAGGAGAGGATGGGGCTTTTGGCCGACTATGACCGAGACGTTCTCTACGTCGCAAGAGAGCGATCGGGAATACGAACTCACATCGTCTTCGACATCTTTAATGTGGGATACGAGCCGAGTACGGCACACATAAAAGGAAAAAATGACCTTCCAGTCATCTCCATCTTCTGCACTAGAGGCGAAGAAGTAACAGTTGGCGAGGCAGCGGTGCCGGTGGCAAACTCGGTCAACAAGCAGATTCGGGACATCCACGATCTGGAGGGGATAGGAAGCAAGCCCCCTTTCAGTATTGATCGTGCAGACGGCAAGATACCGACTTATTCACGCCCGCGAGTCACTGGTAGATGAGAACATTGGGTTATAGATCGTACTAGCTTCGATACACAGTCTCACAATCTCCTTCGTAGAGGGCTAGAAAAGTAGTACATGTTTTTTAGTCTAGCGGCCCAACAGGTAACGCCCACCTGATGCCCAACGACAAGCCTAGCATCGTCCCCAGCAGACACCCCGTGCCCTGCCGTTACCACAAAGCGACGAGTCCCAACGCTTGGCGAAGCCTTTCACAAAGTAACATTGATCAGATATCATCTGCGTCAGCTCAGACGCAGCCTTCTCTTTGTTCCTCACACATGTGTACCCTTTTTCAACCCAGCTGTGTCCCTTCCGCAGCCGGGAGCTTGCCGCCACGCTCAAAGAAATCTCTTCATCCTTTCATCTTCTCACATAAGGTGCCTAGATGTGCGGTCCAGGCGTTGGCCGTGTGTCTTATGACGACCCCCGGACCTGGGAAACCAATGGTGTTAGCTACGAAGTCGGTGCAACAACTTTCACCAAAACCTCACGACTTCCCTTCCTCTGGACTCGGCCTGATGGCTCAACCATGACCTGGTTTAGGTCTTGGTAAGGAATATAGAGCACCATTTTATTTTTTAAAAAGAATAACCCATCGAAAGGGAAAGAATAACTAATGAAAGTCGAGTGCTTAATAGGAACCATGAGCGTATTACCAATGAAGCGAGAGCGTTGATGCTCATCGCTACCAAGACGACAATTCCAGTGCCTAAACTCCTCGAGCACGGGGTTCATCCAGACGGCCGGCAATACCTAGTCACCGAATTCATCGAAGGCATTACCTTAAACCAACTTTCGAAGCAAGCATGCTCATTTTCAGGAGAACATCACTGCGCCAGCCCACCATGCAAAACCTGCCTTGAAAAGGTTTCTTCCAATGCACTTAGGTTCATTGAAGAAAGTGTTTTGCCCCAGCTCGCTCAACTGAAATCTCACCAGCGCGGTCTCGAGGGGTTTGTCATGCCTCCTCAGTGGCTAGCTGCTGACATTCGGCCTGGATGGAAAGGCCACCGTTGGCAAACTCTTCCTCTCCACGAGGCCGAGTATGTTTTCCAACACGGTGACCTTGCATCTCACAACATCATGATCGACCCGCAAACCCTCAAGGTCAAAACCCTGATCGATTGGGAATATGCTGGCTACTTCTTGCCTGGAACGGAGAGATGGTCTGGAACGCTGGCCGAAGATGCCTATGCTCAGCGCTCCTCTCAACTTTCCAGTGCCATAGCCGAGTTCATTCCCCTAGACTATCTTGAATGTTATGCTGGATTGGACGATCAAGACAGAGCGGCCTGGGATGAGCAGATTGCTGATGGACAACTTCCTGATCCATCATCGATTGAGGCTGATCGATCGAGGAAGATAGGACCATAGATCACATGCAAAACAGATGCTATCGAGGAGAATAATGTAGCTAGATGAAAAGAATACGGGCGTTAGAAACACTATAGCTGGTTCATGATGCTATGAATGAAAAAAGCTACTGTGTGCTCTCCTATTTTGTTTGGTAGCCTCCTACTTCAGTGAGACATAACTAAGACACTATCCTATCTCCCATTCATGACATCCCTCTTATAAAAGCTCAAAAGCGAATCGTTTTCTTACCAATCACGACATAATAATCTTGCCCGTCACTTGTCACATCGCGCTCTTTCTGTTTGTCCATATCCCAGATTTTCCAGGTCTGCACGTTGACTTGATCCCTCGACGGCTGCCACTTGTGCGACGAGCTACCGGATTTTCCAGAGCCGCTCGACTTGTCAGAGCTTTTCTTGTCTCTCATCTTCGCTGGGGCGCTGAGGTCGATCTCGCCGTTCAGATGAATATGACCCGAGATGACTCTCTGTTTTTTAAGCGAAAATTTTGCGCTGATCACTACTGAATGGGTCGCGACCTCATGCGATTGGTGAGCTTTACTACCACTAACCATAAAAATTCATTAGCGACAACTTAGGACTAAACAGAAAGAGGTAATGTTACGAACGAAAATGAAATGGCATCAACGGCATACTAAGTCCTTGTCAGTCTCTCCTGTTAACAGATCAGTGTGTAACTTACATATTCCTGGACCGTCTGGGATGCCGTGTCAATGGCACGCAGCCATTGTTCACCTTCCGAATTCTTCTTCATGATTTCCTCCTTTGAGACCTTGCCGATAACAGTGAGTGCTCTGACCAAAGCCCTTGAAGAAGAGGAAGCCATTTTCGAGAGAAACCAAGAGAAATAGATACGAAAGGTAGTAGTAATGAAAGTGATAGCAAAGTTGTAAATGCCGTCGAATGTAATGTTTAGTAGTATCTGCTTAGTCTTTCTTTCAAATACGAGGAGAGATCATGCGTTAAGTATACTTTTCAGGGCGCTTAAATTGAATCAACAACTTACTGGACAAGCTTCTCTGTTCTTAGTAAACCATTATTTCGAGAAGAACGCCTCTAGTTGGCTGTCTATGTTCGTTATCTGGAAATAGCCGATGTTGTTGGCCGTGTGAGAAGGGCAAGCGTTGTATCGGTTGCCGCCGGAGGGGGTCCGCCGTGCAGAACCGTCCGCTCCACAATACCATCTGCTTTGAACATATGAGGTTCTAATGTGACCTTGTGTGTAGAGAAAATGAAACGACATTGATCGCTCGAATGAAATGCGAGGAACAGCGATGACGACAACAAATTACTCTGGCGCAATGGGCTTTGTAAATAGAATAGCCGTTATTTAAGGTAGAAAATGAGAGACTCTGCAGCTCCAGCCTCGAATAAATAGCCTTGTATCCTTTGATTTCAAGGTGCAGTTACATTATTCCCAATGTCGCGCGTTGCATGCCATGCTGGGAATTAATGTGTACCTAGGCGCCAATTTTCAATCGCGCCTGCATGTTTTGGGCCGCTTTCATGGTCGAAGCTCGCGCTGGATGGAGATACCCAATCATAATTTGTGGGCGGCAATGGTATTGACCCGCTTGGGAGACTCCACCCGTCGGCCCCAATGCTAACAATCCACGCTTAGCGCGCGCGCTGAGGGTTGATGTGGCAAGATCAACCCACCGTCGTCGATTATCGACTCGCGCAGCCACGCCGCTGCAGTGTTTCAACGCCGGCATCTTGTTCATACCCTGCTCCTTTGTGGCACGAAACAAGGCCATGATGGTCGCAACGCGAACTTACGGTTTTTTTCGGCCCTCAATACGCTCGTTCTTATCAGGCAGTCGCTCACTTCCCCTGATTATGGCACGCCAAGGTTCTTCCAGCGCTCCGTCACTCCTCCCACCACGGGTCTTTCCGTCGACTGGGTTCGACTTGATCGACCGGTCTGAGAAGATCGAGGAGGAGAGATTGCCATTCTACAATCGTGACGACTATTACCCCATGAGGATTGGTGAGGTCGTCAACAAACATTACCAGGTGGTTGCGAAGCTTGGCTATGGCACGAGCTCGACGGTCTGGCTTTGCCGCGATCTGAGGTATGCTTTCCCTCATGCTTTGAGAACGCAGTCTGTATGTCATTTTATGTTGACGGTGGTGTAACTTTGACCTGTAAGAGGAGGGAAATACTGGGTGCTTAAAGTCCACGTCAACACCCTGGAACATATCCAGGAGCTCGAGATCTATAAGCATCTATCCACAGTCCCCGAAGAACATATTGGTCGCGGCTACATCCGGGATTTGAAAGATTCATTCGACATCTCGGGTCATCATGGTAAAACACACAAAGTTTTTATCATGACCCCTCTCGGGATGAGCTTGAGGTCGTTCCAGGAAATGCAAAAGGATCACGTCTTTGTGCCGGACCTTGTCAAAAGTGCGCTTCGCCAAGTTCTAATGGGTCTTAACTATCTCCATGCGTCACAGGTGATACACACGGGTAAGCATCATCTTAGTAGATTCATACTGTTCGAATCTCTGCGAGCTAATTACGAGACCGCTTTGAAAAAGATCTTCACTCGGACAATTTGCTCATCGCCATCACCGACGAATCTATTTTCTCACGGGTGGAAGAGGACGAGGCGCAGGCTCCATCAGCAAGAAAGCAAGCAGACAACGGCGCCTATATCTATGTCTCCCGCTATATGATGGGGGGTGCTGGGGCCCTGACCATAGGTGACCTTGGTCAAGCCCGCCTTGGTGTCAGCGGACTCAAGGGCCCTGCTATGCCCACCCCTTATCGCGCCCCCGAGGTTATTCTTAATATGGAATGGGGTGCCGCGGTGGATATGTGGAGTGTGGCTCTCGTGGTAAAGCTACTCTGCTTCCAGCCCTGTCATGTTCCTTGCTGACCCTCCCTGTTGCTAGGCCTGGGATCTTCTTGAGACGGAGGGGCCTTTTCGGATCTACTCCCATGACAACCAGGAGCAGAACGACGCACAGCATCTTGCAGCCATGACCGCTCTTCTTGGGCCGCCGCCGCGGGAGTTTCTCCTCAGATCCAAAGACACAGCCAAGTACTGGGACGAGAATGGCAGGTTCCCTAGCTCATGCTTGACACGTCTAGTCCTACTGCTAACATAGTGCACTAGGCAAGTGGGTAGGTCCATCACCCTTGCCGGGCGACATGAAACTGGAGACCTTGGCCAAGAATATACAAGGACCGGAAAAAGACGAGTTTCTCAACTTTATCAGGTCGTTGTTGTGCTGGCTTCCAGAAGAAAGGCTTGATTCTGGCAGCGCCTATTTCCATTCATGGTTGAAGGCACCTCAGGATCCTGAATCCTGAGAAAGCGAACAATGCCGTACACTGAGCCTTTCGTTGACATTGCCCGCTGGCCGTTGCAGAGGGAACCATATCTAGCCTAAAGCACGTTTCTGCCAGCCCGGTGTCACCCATTTCGTCCATGAAGCTGGTGGGTGCCCAACACTGTGTCATCCCGAACGACATGCAAAAGAATGTACGATAAGCACAAAAGTGCTCTCTTGAATTCTGAACTGAACTAGCCTTATTGTCGCCAATATCAGAGCATAGACCAAGCCTCAGGATGATGGTGGTGTATTGCACTTTGCATCTCCACAGTTCCCCGAAACAGTTACTTCAACATAGTTCTTAACACAGGTCCCAGAGGTTGGACAAGGAGCAGTTGTAGGGCGGCCCTTGACGTGACCGCAGTCCCAAATTGTGGTCGTTATAGTACACATCCTCCTAAATCGGTGTTAGCTATAAATTATACTTGGCGTTTATCTAGACATACTGTGTAGTATTTCAAAAGTTGTTGTAATCGATGGGATATTGAATGCGTTTCTGATGGAGATGGAGAGATATGGGTAATATCTTTCAGCGGCGTGGGGCCTCCTTTTGTACCCCGCTTTTACGACCTGACGGCCTCAGGTTCTTTGGTTCTCAACCTCCTCTTCATGCAAACTGCACATATTTCGTCATCTTTACACAATCAAGTCAGCCTAACAACCATTCAACCACAGAAGAGTACGCCTTACCTGAAATGTCTCAATCCCCGGATGAACAGGCTGCAGGGCACCGCAGTCTTGACCTTTACATTCCGCCATGTATACATTCTCCGCCACACCGTTTCCATCCTCCTCCTGTCGACCAGCCTCTCAGAATTCGCATTCAAGGGCCGCTAGAGACCATACGCAAGGCTTTGCCCGATGAAGTTTGGCATCCGCCCAAGCCTTTCCCACAGCCAGGAGGCCTTCAACTTGCAAGATTGACATACCAGTGCCTGTATGGAAGTGTAGGAAACATCACAGCTCTGGAAATACGGGATGAATACTTGGCCTGGGTGATTGAGGCCGGTATCCCTCAAAAGTTGGTCTCTATTCCTAGATATGATTACCTTATGATCGTAAGGACTAACTGCGATTACCTTAGTCATTTTGACTACTACGGGGTCACCTTTGACCATCTTATACAGAAAGATGACACAGACCCGGAAGTACTCGTCATCAATATCATTGAGGTGGATGATGGTGGTGGAGCCTACGAGGATGGTGGTATTTACGCCCAAGAAGTGCTCAGCTTTCCAGTCGATCCAAGAGAATACACGGGGAGGAAAGTTCTTGCTGTGCCGAGGTGTTGCCAGAGAAAGAAAGGCACACAGGATCGCAAATTGATAAACCAGCAAGTGGCTGAGAGAGAGAGTCCAGTTCCCAGAACCCTTTCTTGATACAGGTCGGTCAAGGGCCTTGTGAGCCCTGCTACCCTCAATCGATACTGTACGGTATGATCCGGGCAAGCGAAGAAGCTAGGCATAGTTCTCATTTCAGACACTACAGACACCACAGAAGCAAATACAATGAAGATGACTGACTGGATTGAGAAGAATACGGCCCATTTTGACATGTCCAATCCCGTGTCCGGCGTTTTGGCGGTCTAAAATACGAGACTCGGCCTTCGGACAGATCGCGTCCCTTCAAGGCAGCTTGAAAGGTGACGGATATGGGTCGTCGTGTTGGGGATTTGGGAAGAAGGGGTTTTTGATTGCTCCACCAGCAGAACTACTGTTCGCCTATGGATATGACAATTTGAGTTGCCTGGTCGAAAGTGTCAATGAGGGCTGGCATATTCCAATGCCTTTGGCTGGGCCTCGTCCGGAGCCGGACTACTCAGTCGGGTTTCGGCGAGAGAGGCATTCTGTGACGAACAGCTCGAGAAGCTGTCACCGCGCATCGGTGACGGTCTTCCCGCTGGCGATCAGTCGGTCTTCATGGCGACGTGCTATCTATATCTCCCGTTCTTTGCCTGCGAAGTGAAATGCGGAGCTGGAGCCCCGGAAGTTGCCGACCATCAGAACGCTCACAGTATGACAATTGCGGCACGTCGGGTTGCACTGCTCTTCCGATATGTCAAACGCGAACATGAGGTCCACCGGCAGATAACTCGCCTTCTTGATTTCACACGATCACTGTTCTGTACAAATGTTATATGGCTATTGTCCAGTAATGGAGTGAAGCAACATCAAATACCACCGGGATCACATTCACACATTTGACTCACGGCACTCGATGGCGAGCAGAGATGGACTGCCTATCGGTTTGCGAGAGATGCTAGATCACAGCAAACGGATCCGCTGTGCCATCGATCAATTACCAGCGGAGATAGACCTTGACTCTGCCTGCTCTAGCTCAACAGGTCTGTCACATGCCTCTGGGATATCTTTCGGCGTCAGAGGCGGACTCGGTGCCGGTGCTGGCCGAAGGAGCTGTTGTAGGGTTGCCCATGGTGTGACTGCAGTCGCAAAGTGTGGCGGTTGTAGTACATATCCTACCGTAACACTCTAGTACGAAGCATTGCTGGCATAGCAGATAGGCGACGCAGTACTGGATCGAGGAGCATGTCACAGACCCAGGCCAGGAATGTCGTTTAGCAAAGCCTGAAACTGCTTGTCACGCAACAAGTTGACCTGGGCAACGGCTCGTAGATCCACGACCAGATCCATGTGATGGGAATAAGGAATGTCGGAGGGCCTCAGCGTGGAGAGGCTCTTGCGGCTGGAGCAAAGAACAGGGTAGAGAGAGAGAGAGAGAGAGAGTCGAGCCGGGCCAAAATCTCACCGAGAACGCCTTCCCACATTCAAATGTGCAATTCAGTGTTCCCACTTGAGGCACGAGGTACATCGCCCAACACTATTTGAGCACACCAATTAGAGTTTTGCGACTGAATCGGGGCTCTCCGGTTGACGCACGCCGCCAACCATACGGATAGCCCCCCGCAGAGCAGAGCAGGCTAGGCAGCCGCACCTAGGGCTGTGCAACCACCACCCTCATGCATATGGACGGGTAGCTACACCGCTGCTTTCCAGCCTGTCGGGCACCACCAGCCTGTGGTCCTCGATTGTATAAATGCAGGTGTAGTGAGCGAACCCCCCCTCTACCGACAACATGGCTCTAGCCTTTCCCCCCCTCCCCGACAACAAGGAACCATGTCAGCCCACGGAGACTCAGCTGGCGAGAGCGCACGCCCTTGCAGGCGCCGCAACTCTCTCCCGACTGCCTTCACGCAAGAAGAGGAAGATTTCCCGCCCGAGATCGAGCCTTACCTGGAACGCATCGTCGCTCTGCAAGGAGAGAGCGAAGGCTACAAAGACAGGCTGGATGACCAGTCCTCGACTCTCGACGAGTACGCAAAGCGGCATCAGCGTCTCACTTCCGAGCTGGAAAGCCTCAACAAGACCGTGTCTTCCCTGAACAAGCTGCGGGAGATCCACGAGATCAAGGAAGCCGAGCGAGCCGAGCAGGAGGCTGCCTTTCGGGAAGCTCGGAAGGCGAGGGCCAAGGATCGAGAGGCATACATTATCTTCCTCGAGAATAAATGCCACCAAGAGACCCTAGCGAAGGAGAACCTGCTCCGGATCGCGACCAAAGAGGGAGAGGCGATGCAACGCGAAGTGGAACAGCTCAGTCACCACGTCCTCGCTCTCAGGGGTCTGTACGACCAGGCTTGCAACGAGAAGCACCGACTCGCCAAAGCGCTTCATGACCAGGTCGCCAACAACAAAAAGCAGGCTCTAGAACACCGAGAGCAAGAGCAGGCCCTGAGGGATGCGATTGAACTTTCCCGGCAGCGAATGGACAGGCTGGTGGAGGCGATGGGTTTGCAGTCTCTTGCTGAAGAAGTTCGCCCATTGGGGTCTGCCTCGCGACAATACGAGCCACTCAGAGGAAAGGAGCTCAGACTGTACGAGAAAAAGTTGTTCGGGCTGCCGAATAACTGGCGAGACTTGTGCAGTCCTGAAATCACGACATATCTAAGCGAGGTGAAGAATGGAAACAACCAGCATCCAGTGCCGAACACAAGTAAGGCAGCAGCAGACCCTGAGCATCACACAGAGGGTGCCAAGGATACCAAGGATACCAAGGACACCAAGGACACCAAGGACACCAAGGATACCAAGGATGCTGGGGTATTGCAAGAGAAGCAACATGGCCTTTCGCCGAATCTCAAGGTGGACAGCCCTGGACAGGAGAAAAGCACTGAATCTGCGCCAGCCGCCGCAGAGACGAAGCCCCGAGGAAGAAGGCAATCTGGCAAGGCTTGGGCAAGAGCTCAACGGCTCCGAAAAGGTTAGGGGGGTTTCACTCATGATTCATTCAGGTAGCTCATTTTGGTAGCCAATTGATTTATGTTTCTTCTTTGGACTGTTGAACCATTTTCAAAGACACTCAGACGTGCCCAGCCATGCCCACCCGCTCAACAATCTGAGCCATCGCTGGTGAAAGAATGTCCCTTGTTCCCCGATCTAATGTGATCCCAGGTTCCAACAGAACTTTGAAGATGTTCAAGTAACTGCGCCCTGCCGCAAGATACAGTGCCGGCCTGGAGATCCCATCGACTTCCTCACCGCACTCGTTCGGATTCGTTCCATGCCGAAGCTATAGACGGACGCACGCGATATTATTATAGAGTTGCAACAATGAGCGATGTTGTATTGAATGGGTCGCGGTTCTTCTTGTTGGTCACCTCTGCCAGATCGGGTATAATCGGTGAACCCTTTCATGTTGTTCCCCAGCAGGACCTGCATCACCAAAGAACCTGCTTGCACCGCTTCCTCGCCCTCAGCAATGAAAGGTGCGCCATGGTGCATGCAGCACAGTACCGTCTTCCTCCACAGACAGTGATGGCACTGAGGTACGACAAAGGAATGCTCCTATCTCATGCCCTGGCGGTCTGAGATATGCTGCATACTGTTTGAGCTCAAGAGTCTGTTGGGCCTGTTTGCTATACCGCGCACATATCGGGGAAATGCATTGCTTTGACGGTTTGGATAGGGAGTCGAATCTGGATCGACTGTGCGCTGTAGCTCAGTGGGACACAGGCGGCGGCCTTGCGGATCATGTTTCCACCGCACAAGCTGTCGGTCAGGAGCAAGGCGCACGGGCCGCAACCCTCACCAGGCCGGTTGCGGCCCGTGCACTCACAACCAGTCCTCCGTCAGCACGCACCACAGACACACCTGGCTGGAATCCTCTCCCTCGGGTACGACACGGTGATTTCTGCACCGTCAGGGATATCTCCCAGGGCCACGACCGACGTCCTGTACCTCCCGCTCACTCTCTTCTGTGTCAAGACCGCGTTGGGCTGGCAAGAATGGTTGAGGAGCCGGAAGCTGTTGCCTCGCCTGCCGCAGTGGATCTTGCAAACAAAAGGCTCGCCTTGGATGTCGGGTCTCGCAAAATCCAGCGTCCACACATCGGCGCGAGTCCCGACGGGGAGGATCTCGCCATTGAGGTATCCGATGATGTCGTCTTTGCGGTAGGCTGTCTCGCCTTCGGTGCTGGCCACCGCCTGGAGTCCTCGACCTTTCGCACCGTAGTACTTGATACGAGGCCGTGGCTGGGAGACGCTGTCCACGCACCGGCACTCGTCCTGGTCACAGAGGTCACAGTGCCTCCCTGAGTATAAGTGTGTGGGATCGACGGGCCACGACCACTCTTCAGGCCATCCGTCGGGAGGAGATGTGCCTTTAAAGTTTTCTGCGTCATACATATTCTCGTTCAATGTAGGAAACGGCTGCAGCTCAAGAAGCGCTGCTGCCGCCGTCTTGGCTCGCCTTCGCCTCTTGCTGCTTTCCCACATGAATTCCACATCGTCAGACTCGTAGAGCATCGCTTTCTGGAATGACGCGGCGGCCGAACAAAGATTGATGAAGAATTCGTTGTCCAAGAGGGCATGGAAGGCCTGGATCTCTTCTTCGCTGTTTTCTGTGCCGACCAGATTCATGTAATCTGTTTGTGATACGCCGAAGGGGTGGCCCTTGCTGCTGAATGGAACAAGGCATTGGAGGCCCTGGTATGGGCGGCAGATCGTCTTCCACCTGTTTCCATTGCGTCTCAACCTTTCATAGATGCTCTGGCTGCACTGAAGTTCGTTAATGAGAGCAGTCGTCACCCCGGGCGCGGCACGCAGGCCTCCCTTGGCTAGGTCTTCCAAGGTCTGCGCCAGCCGGGTTTCAAGCAGCCGGACGCGCAGCTTGTCCAGGTCGGAGCGCCCATGAGCTCCGACCAGATCCTTGACCGTATCTCGAATCGTAACGGGCGGCCTTCGTGCTCCTAGCTGTCTTGATGCCTGAATAAGCTGGCGAAATTGCTCTGTCGCTGCCTCACTCATGATGGCCGCCGCAAGCTTCAACAGGTGCGGTGTGAGTGATGAGTTATTCTCTATCGATGGGGCTTGCCATATATGACTCAGCTTCTGCAGATCGCGGAGTGTCGTTTCCAGTGCCTGTGTGGTGGGCTCGCAGCCTCCCCGAAAGCGACCCTGGCGCTTCTTCTTGAGGCTGGGCCCAACATTTGTTTCTCCGGACCTCTGTGACCGCTTCCTGGTGTTCGCTTCGAGACCGACACGGCACGCTTGTACTTGGCGCAGGTTTGGATGCTCCAGCGGGAAAAAACCACACTCCGGGCACACAGGAGTGTTTTCTGGTATGATTGGCTCTCCAGGGAGGGTGAAGTTGATGGCGATAGCAAGGCATGTAGAGAAATTGACAACCTGATGATAGCAACGAGGGCGAGTAACAATCATCTCGCCAGGGCCGCAGACTTCGATGTCAAACTTGATCCCTTCTGCCTCCAGCCTTGCAGGGCTCACCATAAGAGATGCATGACGGACAAACTGGTCGCAGTCGGCCGACGGGCACATGCTCTTGACGAAACGCTCGAACTTGACAGTCTCCTCTTCAGGGAGGATGAGCCATATCTTGAGTCCGTAGCACACATAATTGCAGGAATAGAGCTGCGTGTCCTCGCAATGGGCCGCAGTACCTGAGTTCTTTGGCCCAATATGTTCCCAAACAGTGTTGACCCCTGAAATTTCGCCAAGTCCTAAGAGATCCTGTCCTGGATGCAGCAGTCCGTCGAACCCGTCGGTCAGGGAGGGGCCAACATAATAAGCAATGTCGCCTCGAGGCGGGTTCTCAACCAGCTCATCCAGGTACTCCCGGGCCTCTTCTACTGTAGGCCTCTCGGCTGGTGCAGGCTCTGTTGGGAATAAGAATTCGCGACCTCGAGCCGCCAGTTTGAGGTGACTCAGCCCTGAGCCAAGCTTGCTCGAGGACCACTTGACGGCGACCTGGTAGGTGTCGTCCTCTGGACGCTTGCGCTTTGCTACTGTGTCCGCCCAGTCACACGCCTTGAAGTCTGAGACTTTGATCTTGTTGACGGAAGACCCATGGTGGACGAGAGGGCGGAGACTGGTAACCATGGCCTCGCCAAGCTGGGCCATTTGCAGTGTCGGAGTTGGGCGAATGATGGCGGACGCGCCAGCCGCCCGGTTGCTTGGTGGAGAAGGAGAGTCGCCCGACGTTGCGGTGCTCTCACCAGCAGGACGATGGTAGGTCAGCGGTATCGTCATTCGTTCCGCATCAGGGTCAGTCTCGCATGGTGACGTCGGCGCGGTTGTGACGTCGGAGGAACGCCTTGATTCGGTCTCAGAGGTGGCTCGATTCCTAGAGATGGACCGGACCTGCTCAGTGATAGATGCCAGAGCTACTTTCATCCGACAGATCATTTCGATGAGACCGTCTATCCAGTCAGGCAACTCGGTTGCCTGGCTGTCTCGTTGTTCGAACTCTGGCGCCGGGTTTCGGGAGAGGCGAGCTCCGTCCTGGCGCTCGGACAAGCGTCGAGAACAGAGTTTCTCCTGCAGTCGATCGCACTCCGCCCTCTCGTCTGAGCTGAGAGGAATTGACGGCGGTCGGCATTTGAGGAGAAGGAACGAGTGCACTTCCTCTAAATCCTCCGCAATCGCTCTGACCTGAGCTAGTGCCATTGTCGCGAACTTGACTAGGTCGATGGCATGGTGCGGGGAGATTGAGAGACAGCAGGAAATTGTTGCATGATGCGCGTTTGGGAGAACGGGGCCTGCCTGGCTGATTAGATAGCTTGGCCAGTGAGAGATTAGCGCTAGTACCTTACGGTTAGGGAACTTCACTAGCGCTGGAGAACCTCCATAGGTGCATAGGTGGGGGGCGCGGGGCACGGATGCCCTAGGGCTGCGAACGGGATGGATCATTCCTTCCCTAACCCATGACTAGGTACTGCACATTCAAAGTGGATCAGCTCGCCTTAGCAAAGAACAGGTAAGCTTCTTCCAAAACATTATTTTGACTGCACATCGTAGGCTCATCCATATCCTTGACACCTAATTACCTAGTTCTCGCTGTAGTCATGGCGTTGCCTATTGGTTTCAGGGGTGCTACGTCTACATTCTACCGACTCGAGCCGGGCGTGGTGCTAAAAAGTCCTCGGGAAAGCAAGGTTTTCGGCGCCGCTGAAATCGAGCAGAGTTTCTCGGTCGAGCGGCAAATCCTTGAAATCTTGGGCAGCCACTGCCGAATTGTCGGGTATGTTCATGGCCTAATCATTGACTTGGCTTCACTGACTTTCAATAAAGGTACCTGGGTTGGAAGGAAGATGCCCCGAGGGGTTTAAAGCTGGCTGAAGCTAGCCATGGAAGCCTTCAGCAGTATCTTTATGACAACCCTGTGATCCCATCGTCACTCAGGGAAAAGTGGTGCCGACAAGCTATCAGCGCAGTCGCATTCGTCCACAGCAAAGGGGTCATTCACTCTGATCTACGTCCTGATAACTTCCTTGTCCACGCCACCACCGCAACGTCTCTTGACCTGTGGCTTTGTGACTTTGGCACGTCAGAATGCAAGCAATACGGTTTAAATGAGGGTCGCTTGCCTTATTCAGGCTTCTATGATCCCAACCTCGCGCCTCAACCAGGACAAGCTATGGACATCTTCAGTCTTGCGTCTGTTCTCTACACAATCCTGACCGGACACTGGCCTCATCGCGATCCGGGGCGGTTTCAGACGATAGAGCAAGTCGATGATTACCATGAAAAGGTCGATCGGCTCTTTGGCCTAGGGGAATTTCCGGACGTGGATGGACTCTTCATGGGCGAAGTGATCATGAATTGCTGGGAACACAAGTACTGGGACGTAAAAGACATCGAGCGGGATTTGAGCTAGCAGCTATAGAAAACGCATGTCACACCTATTCAATCTGCACCGTTCCCCTGACAAGCCCTTCTCTATTGATTTGACCATATCACGGCTTCTCACAACCAGGCGTGCCGCACTTCTGTGCAACCTTGGTAGAGCCGAAAGAAGTCCCGACGACACGATGTCTCCTTTGCCTCTTGTCATCGAAAACATTCATCTCCTTCAGACGCAATCGCCCACGCCATCTACCAAACTCAGCAGACGCGAGCCTGTACTACCCGCGGTACGACTGAAACGGGCCCAGGGTGTGGTCTACGCAACCCTAAAGGCACTACGCAGCCTCGGTAAGGCTAGGGGGTGAAGCTCTCCGAGGCCAAGAAATCTTGATGCAAGGATCTAGAATATGCTGTCGCAAGGCCACGAATCCCAAGCCCGAATCTGAAAGGACCCCAAGTACTGGGAGCAGAAGCGCCAGGAACTCGACAAGATCTATTTGGCCCCTGGTCGAAGCGAGGAGAGCACAGCACCCGAACCAGACGCGGGCCCTCAGGTCGAAGAGAACCGCAACGCCGAGTGTCTCTCGGATGAAAACATGCGAAAAGAAGCGGTGTTAGCTTGGGTTCGGGCGAGCGGTCGAGCGGCTCTCGCCGAGCGGCCGGTGTCCCCGTGCACTGACCCTGACACTCCCGCGCTGTCCCGGCCGAAGAGAAAGAGAGCACATGACGAGGGAGGAATCGTCAGAAGATGGGTATCTTCCCCCGAAGCGCTTGAGGGATCACAGAACGGATTGCTCTGGCGCAGATCACGAACCAGATGTCTCCAGCGAAGGGGCCACACGGACAGCCCGGCACTGCACGATACTGTCTGGGAAACAGCGCACGAATGTCAGGAAACAGATGATCCAATGCTCCACCCAGAGACAGCTGGTACGGAGGAGCAAGCCACTGGAGGCTATGGCAATCAAGAAGAATGGCACATAAGATCCAATGGTATTGATGAAGCTGGACTCTCCAAACAACAACCCCCTGGCCTCCTCCGCCTCTTCTACATGCTCTTCTATATCTGTTCTCGTTGCGTCTGTTCCTAGCTGCCAGTCAGATGGTGTAATTTTCGAGCCAGTGCAGTCATTCACACACCTCTGCTGAACATCGGTCTTCATTCCTTCCGCTCGGGTTCATTCCCAAGTTGCGGAGAATCCCCCGCGCGAAGAGCCCGGAGGCGGCTTTCTTCGTGGACAGTCCTTTCCTGTAGTCTCGAAGCAGTCTTTCGCACCTCTTCCTGGAGTCCGCTTTCGTCGTCCCGTCATTCCTTGTGGGCTCGATTGTCTTTTGGGGCAGGTATGTGGGAAGGAAGATAAAGCTTGAGGCCTTATGCTGTACCTTTGGTAGAGACCTAACTGTCGCTATCCCGTATCAATAATACTTGCTCGGACCGTTCCCATTTGGGGGCTGGCATCCATCTCATTGCATGGCGAAGCCTCGTATCCCGTTGTGCCAGGGGCAGCGAGCTCACACGCACACGTCGGAAGTACAACACCAAAACCCGCAGCTACCGCCATCCAAACTAGCAGCCACCCCATTCGGCCATAACCAACGCTGCAGGGGGTTCGGGCATGTCATAACTTTACTGGTGTGTCTTCGTATGATTCGTGTGTTCGGTCATCTACATGCAGTTTGGTGATCGGGCAATGGTAGAGCATCGACCAGACCTCACTCCCGTGAGAAAGCAGAGGAGTCGGTAATGCGGCCAACACGGCCAAGCGTCATGATAGTGTTCGAAAAACGTCGGCACATTGGGGGGACAAACACGTCGTGTGCCTGCAGTCTTTCGAGTCACTGATCGACCAATCGTGGCAACGGGACTTTGGCACGATCCATCAGATCCGCAGAAGGATACGACTGCAGGAATGCATCACGCGACACCGTAAAGAGATAGTAGTAAGTGTCATCCATCAGGTTGTATTCAATCTTCCCAGGCCGACATCTTGGCCACAAAATAACTAGATAAGGAAGAAAACATAGATTTGAAACGCCGAACCCTGATCCAGAATAGAAGTGATCAAAATCAAAACCGCCAATCACTCGCCAGAGGAACTGGCCGGAGGGGAAATGCCCACGACGACATCTCCCACCGCCGCACCCTCCCTGCCCGAGAATCGAGACTTGTCTAGTCTCGAGCGTCTGGCTTTCTTGCGGCGCCGTGGCCCTCCCTCATAATTGCCAGGCAAGGATTCCCTGAAGAGTTCGCCCAGAGTCTGTACTGTATGCGAGACAGTACCAATTTGCTGCTCTAGGTCGTGCAGCTGAGGGTGGGTGGTCGATGGCCGAGTGCCGCCTGTGCCCTCGAAGGAGGGGTTCGGCTCTTGGTCGCGAAGCAGAACGGTGACCATGTCATGGAGGACGCCGACATCCGGGAGAATGAGGAAGTCGAGAGTCTCGGGTGGAGGAGCCAGGTGTCTGACAGCGAAGCACACCATGATCTTGGTGACAAGCATCACATGCTCAAGACTGTCCCGGGGTGGGACATACTCGTCGCTCAGGCGTCGAAGCGCCTCCCCGAAGTCAAGCGAGTTGACATCGTCTTGGATCGGGTAAGTCCACGGAGTCCAGTCCGCGGAGAGCCGGCCTTGGACTATGAGCAGACGGTCTCTGAGGGAGAGCCCCGGGGTGATGGCCAAGTCCAGCTTCTGCTCGATTCGGCCAAGCACGTGGTCATAGTGCTGAACGTTTCTGCAGTGAGTCGCTTCGGGAGACAGGTTCAGGAAAGTCTCGACATAGACGAGCGGGTGGATGTAAGTCTCAGCCATTGTGAGAACTAGGGTAGGGTGGGCTGTGAATGATCTCAGGGAGCAGGCAGATGAGGTAAATCGGTGTTGGCTAGGCTGGAGCGAGGTTGCAGAGATTCATTTGCCAGCAACAGGGCCTTGAAAGGAGCCAGGCTGAGACTTTATAGACGGCTGTTCATGACCAAGGGCGGGAATTGTGTACTCATTGATCCGAAAATGCAAGTCAGAACTGCAAACATGAGAAGGCGGCCAAGAAGAAGAATTGCACATGCGGAGGCTTGGTGACGTCGAACTGTGACTTGAACCTATGAAGGAACACCGGCCAGCGACGCGACCTACACCGTCTGCCCGGTCACGTATTGCTTGCATGGATCGTTGATCTCAATGAAGGATGTGCACTTTGTGCTTCCGGGGTTTCTCGAGCGTTGGAGCTAGACATGCAGCGACCCCTGGAAGGTCTCATTCAATCTGACCTACCTCCCAGGATGGCAGCAGCTTATTCTCGCGCGGAAGATTACAAGGGCATGACGTCTAGGTCGCAAAAGTACTAGCCCACGGGCCTAGCACCCGCAAGCTGAAAGGGTGTACATTTCGGCTGCAGTTTTCGAGCCAGGCTCATCAGCTAATGCATCAAGCCGAGTATGCGCTGTACTGTTGTTCAGCTTGGTCTTGGTCTTCTGCAGGCTCGGGTTAGTTCCGGGTGGAAAGCCACTGTTACCCGACGCATGGATTCTGTTCCACCAAACAGAGCTTAAGCAGCGTTCAATCTCCTCAGCCATTCATAACGCCACCTCACACCTCCAAGAAGGAATAGCATTCAATGGGTGTAAAGTAAAGTACCTGAGAGTTTATCTTGCACACTAGCAAGCTGCAGAACAAGATTACTTCCTCTCGGATTGAGCTTTGGTGGTGGGGGAAGCTAGAATCGGGCGCTAGTCGCCGCTGGCAGGAAAATATAAAAACCCTTCATTAAGTGTCCTTGCCGGGACCCCAATGGTCATTATTAGGGTCACGTAAATATTCTATATGACTATCCTGCTGTGTAAGTTCATTCTCATTCGCAAAAATCACCCGAACATCCTAGTGCTAACACTGCCATTCCAGCTCCGAGCAACCTCCCACCACACAATCATCAAGGACCATGGTCAGAAGAGTGGAGGGGCGAGGGGAAGATTGGGGCCGGGGCGCGTACGACACAACTGGGGTTCCTAAGCCAACACCACCGAAGCCTATGGATTGCTTGGTCAGGATGCCTCACTGTGGTAGGCGGACTAGACCTACCATGAGGGTGGCCACCAGTAACATGTTATAAAATCGCTGCTTTACATGTATAAACGGATGGAGTCGCGGGTCTTTTACACCAAAGGCTGTCGGTCAAAAGTGGTACATCTCTTTGAATTCTGCTAAGAGATCGGTGTACATATTCTCTCTTAGCTATGGGGGAAAAAACAAGCTCGGTGGAAGTGTCAAGTTCACCAGCGTGGTAGAATGGGCCGAAAGGAGCATCAGAGGATAGCTACGAAATAGGTCCGAGAATCGAAGACCACCCGGGGAAGCAGATTTGTCTCCGAGTGTTGCCGTCAAAAGCATTGTTGCGAGAGTGAACGAGCCTCCGTCGGGGTACGGTCGGAAGTGGAAATGAGGAAGCGAAGACGACGGTAAGGCGTGCGGACTCTCCGCGCTCCCGGACTGAGGTCCCAAGAGCGGGTCGGTCGGGAGTGGGGCCGTGGCACGGCCTGCTCGCCCGGCGGCAGATACTTCCAAAAATTAGTAAAGCAATCCTGATACGGTTCTTAAATGGGTACAAGTACATACTAAAGATCCAACCCAAACATGAGTGGAGAGGAGTGCCAGCAGCAGCTACTACCGACTGGTATTTGGAGGGCTTGCACTCCTCCGATCGACTGTGAGCGCACAGGCCATCACCGCCTGCCAAGCGGCTGTAGCCCGTGAAGTTCAGGTGGGGGGCACTAAGAAAAGGCTTACCCAAGCATATCTGCAACCACAACTCACAACATCTGCAGGCCCGGTTGGCAAAAAGAACAAAGAGAATCATACAACACCCTAAAAAACAATACCGTATCGCAAAAATATGAATCTCTGGTCACGGTGAGGATTGAACTCACAACCTTCAGATTATTAGACTGACGCGCTAACCAATTGCGCCACGCGACCTTTGTTGATGACGGCCGAGCTCCCCCACAGTTCAAGAAGCTGGTTAGGACCGGGCGGGGAGATATCGTGCGCTCCGTCCGTCTCCCGTCTGGGGTAAGGTGGGTGCAAGCTAAAAACGGTCCCGATGTCAACGCCCTCGAGACGCGATAGCTTAAAAGGAGCTTCGCGTGGGCCATAGCCATGTGGGAGTGGGCACCTGTCCCCACTACCCACAGTTGACGACATGGCTTGGGCTTGGGCTCGTTGCTTGACGACTTCATGTCATCAAGGTTCGATCTGGATCAAGTAGGGGGGTGCATGCGGCTCTGCTCATGATAAGCAACCAAAGCTCTGGTTCTCGGCCAACATGTCCTTCAGCAAATGCTTTCTACGCGTGGACTTTGGCGTGATTATTTCACAATGCGTTGTGCGTGGTCTGCGATCTCTACCCAAGCGGTCCATGGAGTTGAGGATGTCATCTACTTCTCTGGGTCGAAGAATTCGCAGCGAATCGGAAGGTTGAGGGTGCTTCGACGGAAAACAAATGCCAGAACACGAGAGGATGCTTTTCGGATGGGAGTCGGTCTGCACATTGGCAGTACACGTCACATACCCACCCTGCCCTGAACATCAAGTGAAGAAATTCAAGTTGCAGCAGCTTGTGTACTTTCCTTTCTGCATCTGGAGAAGGCTAGCTGCTGCCAGGAGACAAGAGAGCTGGCCATTAATAGGACTTAGGAGACCACAAGATAGAAACCGCTCCTGGCGCTTGACGCTTCCCTGGAACATCGTCCTAGTCTTTCGTGAAACGGCTTTCTGGCTTTGGACGAGCCCTACAGCAGACTCCAAAACACCCAGCCCAGCACTAGCACGCTCACATTTCGGCGATGGAGCTCCGGGTACGCTCCTGATACCTTCAGCAGTAGGCAAAGGTCTCAGTCGCCCCTGAGCTGACCTCCACCACCCGTTCCTGAGGGCCGACGGGGTTGGAGACTTTGACGGTCGACCGCTTGCCCTTATGGCTGGTATGCATCAGGCCACGGTATGGGTCGACCAAGATCGGCTAATGGGGACTAAAGCGTCCTCGACTTGAAGGGTGGAAGCCAAGATATTTGGCGCCAAGCCAAGAGCAGCGACATAGCTCCGTCGTGTTGACATGAGGGAAAATGCCATGGGATCTAACATGTTTAGGTTGCATGAAGTGACTAGTGGACCACCATCCACACCATACGTCCTGTTCATAGCAAGACACTGCATGTGCATGATATGGATAGTTTGAGTAGTTGTAGGTGGTGTAAGTGGTGGTATGGGTGGTACGAGTGGTGTGGGTGGTGTGAGTAGTTGGCGTGGTGTGGCTACCAGCGATTGGCTCTTTGCATCCCATCCTTCGTGTGTCAGTGACAATCCAGGCCTAGCTTCGGGTGAGATATGCTTTACGAGGTTCTCTGGCTCGAGCAACCACCAGGCGGGTAGACCATGGGGAAGGGCGCATGGGTGCGAGCGTCACGAATGCACAGTATCCATGGATGTTGTTCCTGTGTACTTCAGGCGGCCCTGATTCCTGGGGACCGGGACCGCAGAGCTTGTCGTCAAGCCCACAGGGTTGTCATCCGTGGAAGGTGCGGACACCAGGAGTAGCCCAGTCTGGACCGCAAGTGCACTCCACTTGGCAAGGTTCTTCTGTTTGCTTTACGCCACACCATCTTCGATGTGACAGGCTTGTTTCGCTAGGTGAAAGCCTGTTAAGGATGCTCTCGCTTAGCACTGATTAACCCAGGTGTGCTAACAGCGACTGGCCACATCGTTGTCGGCGTACAACCTGGTACGCTGAGAAGCACCGCACCTGAGGGCCACCAGCCCTAGGGCTCGACCCTGGAACCGAGAGGTCAGGTCCTACCACAAAAGCCGGCACCGACCACAGAATGAGCTAACAAATTGGTGTGGTGCTGAGCTACCAAGAGCGGCCTTCAGAGAGGTTTCAATGGGTGGCTAGAGCTGGGAGAGGCATGCTACGTCACATCTCAGGTCCGAACAAAACTTTGGTAACGCGACAGGCAGAAGCGAGGGCGTTTAGTAGTATGATAGTTCTGAGGCTACCTGGATAAAATCAAGACGGCCTCCACCACGCCTGCGCCTCCACTTGAGCGGTCAGCTCCTCGACGGGTACCAAAACATACTCAGGAGAAGGAACACCAGCAGAAGAAGTGTCATAATTGAAAGATGCACGCCAATTTCCCGCTTGGACCACAGACGGCCAAGACTCCTCCTGTGACTCGGTCGTGGTCAGCGTCCCTGCCTGCCCTAGCGATGAGTCTGATCCAGGCGCTTCCACAGCACCGGTTTCCTGGCTGGGCACGACGTATGTCGGCAAATTGCCGGTGGTCTGCGTAGTTGGGCGCAAGCCAGCAAAATGGTGCCAGCCGTCTACTAGATCAGATCGATCCGAGGAGGGTGTCGAGGTCACTGTCGACACAGTTGCCCCCTTCCTCTGGTACTTAGAAATACCCCATTCCTGAAGACGTTTCCGATAGGCTCTTGTCCTAGGGTAAGACATGTTAGTGCTTTGTTCGTTTGGCCACTTCTTCAAGGATGGAACTTACGATGCTCTGAATTGGTATTGCGCATCCATTATGCGGATAACCTCATGTAGCGGTTTATTCTCTGTCTTGTACAGGTGAATAATCGTCCACCGAAGTATTTTCCATCGCTTGCTCATGGCGCGGGAGATCATGAAGGATCCTGAAGGGAGACCTCTGGCAATGAGAGGACTCTGACGGTAAGAGAGCTCTGACAAGGAGGGAAAAGCTCAGGCAGGATATATACACATGCCAGTCCAGTGAATCAGGCGAGAGCTTGGGCAATGACTGGGCGTAGTTGGGCGAAGTTGGGCAACGGTTGTCGGTCACACTGATGAGGTGATGGAGTGAGCTGCCGCTGCACGTCTGAACATGGAGGGAGGAAGGCTTCGAGACTGACCTGAGCCTCACTGTGTTATCCAAGGGTCAAATCCGACTGGGCTTCCATTCCTCGGCCAAAACTCCCTGCGTAATAGAAGACGAGAGAATCCTGTGGCAGTCTGAACAAGAATCACAAACTCAACCACCAGGCGGGACGTTGGAAAAACACAAGCTCCTGGGGCCGTTATCTCAGTGCTTATCAGCGGCGTTGACCGTGCGACGCTGGGCCGTGTGAGGGGGGGGGGAAGCTGCATTGGTCTGTCTCATGGCGTTCGTCGCGTACCCGAAGCTGAAGGGGAAGATAGATGTTTACTTTTTTACTTGGACCGGAGTGCTTGTACGGAGTGCTTGTACCTGTACTTCCCGATCCACGGCACCGAGCTAGGCCGATCGCCCCACAAAATTAGGCGTCCGGGACCCGTCCCGTCCAGTGAGGCTGGCCCGCGTGCCACTGTCCAAGTCCCGTCCCGTTAGTTAGCGCAAAGATGGTGCATGAGCGACCTAGGTAGGTGTCTCGGTAGGTATTTAAGAAGTACAGGGGTGAGCATATCCATCTGCATGTCTCTCCGGTCAACCCCTCTCATTACCAACACCTCGCCTACTTCACCGAACCAGGGTTCCTTGGACCGGAGATGCTCACTGCCAATCCGCAGCCAATCATGCATATCCTGCTCCTCCTGCGACCAACGTGCCTCCTGCGACCAACTTCCCTCCAGCGACCGCCTTGCCTCCAGCGACCGCCTTGCCCCCAACGACCGCCTTGCCCCCAACGACCGCCTTGCCCCCAACGACCGCCTTCCCTCCTACGCCCATCTACTTCCCTGCCGCCGCCCATCGTCACTCCTTCGTCCAGCCTCGCTCCTGCGCCCGTCTTCTTTGTTGTGCCCATCTCCCTCTTGCGCCCGTCTTCTCTCCCACGCCCATCTTCTCTCTTGCGCCCATATTCCCTCCCAAGATCGTCCAGATGCCTAGGTTAGGTTCGAAGAAGACAACAAGCCCTGTCGGTGGCCGCAGCGGTGGCCGCAGCGGGCGGTTCCAGACACTCCTGCCATACTTGCTAGAACGCCACTACAGCACGACGGCAAACGAGTTCCAGGCAATCCCTATCGCAGCGATCATTGCTTTCGTTGCCTGCGAAAAACACACCATCACATACATCCGCAATATCTCGAAAGTGCCGTCGTCTCTGAAAGCGGTCCTCGAGCCGTACAAAGCAGTCGGGCTCCAGCACGACTGCCATAACTTCACGTCGAAAGTGAGGACCTTTTGCCCAACCTTTGAGCATTTGGTTGTCTTGGGTATGAGCTGTCTGGACAAGTCTGCATTCTAGCAATTAGGCTGAACAGTTTACAGAGTTGGCTTGCACCGTGTATCTGAATAAAAAGGATGGGGCCCAGGACGAAATCGAAGACACGGCTGTTCTCCCGATTGACGACCTTTTACGGGACCTCAAGGGCTTTGAGAAGCAGGGTCACTTCACTCTACCCAGAGCCCATACCTCAGAGATATCGGGCAGCTTTTCTTCCGCAACAGAGGCAGTTCCACATTCAGGGGGCAAACATGGACACGAGGGTGACATGCCCCATCCGAAACGCCGCGCCCTAGCCAGGCCAGAACGGACGAATGAGCCAGGCGGCAGACACCCAAGACGACGCTCTTCCGCTGTGTCTGATCGTTCGACAGCCTCCAGGATTGCTTTGCCTACACCTCCGTCGCACCATGAAGAAGGATCGTGTGACTATCCAGTCATTGACATGGGCCCGGTCCCCGCTCCAGGGTTGGATCCAGCCCACCAGCACGGTGGCAGTTTGTCTATTAGCGATAGCATCGGTCCCATCATGGATCCGATCACTCAGGACACTCCGGGGTATAACACTTGTCCCGGTCCACCACACCATGAAGGGTCATGGATGGAGCAATTCCCTGCTCCAGGCTTGGATTCGGCGCACCAGCATGATATCAGTGCCGCCTCAGATCCGATCGCTCAGACCCAGGTGTTGAGCCTCTCAAAAGAAAGCGTAGAGCACCTCCTGCGTTTACCAGAGATGGCAGAGGGGACATTTCACTTCGGCAAGCCGGATGGCCTACCGCCATATGCCTCACTACGGGTGCCTCATGTGCTGTACGACAAGATTGTTGGCTATCCAGTCCTCATGCCCGAATCTGATCCGAGCCTGGAGCCTCCGCATGCAGAGATATACATGCTCAAGAATTCAGATTTTCGCAAGTTTGCTGCGCAGGATGGATACGGAGATATTTTCTTCCATTGTGGCTACATCTTTATGACGGTGTTTGACGACGCCTTGCAGCAGACACTTATTGAAGAAGGTGTGAAGACGAAGGAGAGATTAGGCCTGCAGACTCGCGTCATCCTCAACTAAGATACCTTCCTTCCTCAAGGTCTCCACAAGCCCTAGGCAATCTTTGATTATGACCTTTCGATGGCCAATTGGAGGTGCATATATCACACACTGTGTCGTGCCGGCCTGCTTCACGACGTTGTTGTCGACGGTGATGCCCCATCCAGTGACTTGAAACATGTTTTGTCCGGCCATCCATTCTGCCGCCTCCCGCTTCAGCTCCTCCTTCCGAACCAGGATGCTGCCTTCAGTGAAAGAAAACTCGACCATCCTCGCGGCTTGAGCTTGTAAAAGCTCGATTCCTAATACTTTCTCCAGCCCCCTCCCTGTAAGACAGTCAATAAAATCCACAATGAAATCATGACTGAGCTCGTCGAAATTGACTGGTGGTCCTTCTCTAAACTCAGAAGGCAACATGAGTGCGCATCTCTCGCTTCCCACTTTGTAGTCTGCAGTGTTTACTGAGAAGATATGACCACGGATATTCTCCACGTCGGCGTCAACGAGGTTCGTGAGCTCAGTACACCAACCTAGTGGTTTGGTGATGCTCCGGCCGAGGAGAAACTGTCCTTTGGGGATGTCCAGATGGCGATGAAGGAGTCGCAGCTGGATATAGTTCTCGAGTCTATGTTTTGCAATGATGGTACAGAGTTCTTGGAATCCAGCTGACAGCACATCAACGTGTGGAAGGGGTGCGTCTGTGGGGTATTCGTTATGACTGCAGACGATCAGTTGAGATTCTGCACGGCACGGATCAGAGTTGACAGAGGAGCTGACAGTGTGGCTGAGGCGATCAGCATCTCCTTCGTGACCGCGGTGTTCAATCCTGGAATGCTCGCCATCTTGGGCCGACCGTTTGTGTTTCGTGATTCAAGCAAGGAATCCCAGAACGGTTTGCGGCAATTACACCTCGATCTTCTAGTTCTGATGTCAGAGCCCAAAGCATGTGAGAGCGACTCTATCCGACACTGGCCGACAGAACCCCGCACCGCCAGAACAGCCTATTACATCCATTTTGCCGTGCCTACATATGTCTACGGCGTGGGAAAAACATAGATCCAGGCATCCTCTCATGATTCGATCTGAAGTGTGCTGAACAGCGTGGAGTGTAACCAAGATTGAGTCCAGCGAAATGTGTTCTGTGCAGGGCAGATTGATAATCTCCAAGATCTGGCGATACGGGACAGTGCATACAGGGTCCGCCATTGCCACGTGCAATGTAGGTCGGATATCTGAATGAGGCTGTGTCCACGGCCGTGCTCATTATGACGTGCATTGCTCTCGAGTCACAGACCGGGGAGCCGCATGGGACTGTGGCCCAAATGAAAATGGAGAGTTCGTCTGACAGGCTTCAGAAAGACCGGTTCATCGCTCGGGCTCGAATGGAGTTCTGTTTGGCCCAACTCATCTTTGCCAGATACATCGGAAATGCTTTGGTTCAATGCAGGCTTGTGAGTTGCCACCCTCTATCGTTACTCGGTCGCTCCTCTCGGCTCAGCGCGGACGTCTGCATTGGGATGCTGTCATCAAAACTCTCACACTCAGGATCAGTAAGCAACTAATGCTCCCTTCATATCTAACGATGGCCACCGAGAGCCCGATAGGCTCTCTAAGGTTCTAGTTCTGCTTCACTCAGATAGATGCCTGTCTACACCTATCAGGATGTTTCTACAGATGTCAGTTAGCTCGACTTGCGCTTGACTGCTTCTGATGAGTTAAAGTCGGCGAGTACATGTAGTCAAGTTGTCCGTACCTTACTGTCTGGATGAAACTTGTAACACTCATACGTGCAGATCATTAGCTGTGGGCTAGGGCTGGTTGATTGGAGCCTTCCTCTTCGTCGTCTTCGTATGAACAACCATGCACTCCTTGCATTTCATCGATACTTCGGGCAGTGGCTCCAGCCGAATGGATCCAGCATCCTACAATGACCGATGCGTCACGAGAGAGGAAGCCAGTTATGGAACTGCTACAGGCGGTGAAGATGTGAGCTCTTGTGATTCCTCTTGGGTGTGTAGCTCTCGTGTTTGCTGTTACATGCCAGACTAGGACCTGCTCCTCCCTTAAACCCCGAACTACTCGACCACGACCCAATTAAACTCCTCCATAATCTCCTCGAAAGTCTGCCCCCGGATCTCCACGCCAGACTCCTCCCCAGAGTCCTCCCCAGACTCCTCCCCAGACTCGTCTCCAGTCTTCTTCGCAGTCTCCTCCCCAACCTCGTCCTCCGCCTCGTCATCAGCCTCATCCTCGGTCTCGTCATCAGCCTCAACCTCGGTCTCCACTACTTTATGGTCAGGCCGGCGGCAATGTGGTGGGACTGGGGCAGAGGGCGGGTGCCGCCCAATAAAGCACCTATGAAGGAGACCAGGAAGGCAGGCAATAGCGTCTGCGAGTGGGTAGAGGAAACCGGGATCAACCACGTCCATTGGATAGGTAATGAATGGGTGTGGCAACGCCCAATGGTGCAAGCCGAAGTGATAGAAGATCCAGATGAGCAGATGCCTGTCAGTGCAGTCGATGGGCGGCTTCTCCGCCAGGTGGGACGCTTGGATGCGGCACTGAGCATGGTTCGGGCGGTAGTCTCTCCATCTGATGGTGATGGTCCCGTTGAGTGTGGGGAAGACGAGGCCGAGAATGAGGCTGGCACGCGTTGCAAGCGATTCCGGACGCTCACAATAGTCGCGTCCAGGCAGTTGGCGCAAAAACTGCCCTTCGAGCCTGGCGAGGAGTGCATCGAGCGATGAATCGGGACAAGCGCTGAACAGGAATTTCACATCCCTCAGCTCGATGTGAGCGACGCCACTCAGATAGGCCAATAAAACGTCAAGAATCTTCACAGGCTCCATGATGATGAGGATGATGATGATGAGGATGGATGGTCAGATGTCTTGCTGCGGGATTTGAAGAGAAACACACAGGATTCAAAGAGATGGGAGAGAAACACACAGGATTCAAAGAGATGGGAGAGAAACACACAGGATTCAAAGAGATGGGAGAGTAGCCAGGGCCATAAAATAGCAGGAGGGACAGCAATGTCCTGCTGTCGGCGGCTCTGCGTGATGGTTCGCGGCCCCCAAGTATCGACATCCCTGTGTCGAGTACGAGTACATTTGACTGCCTGATGGCGGAAATCGAAGGGTTGGTGGCTTGCTTGTGCATGTCTTTCCTTCACCGCTTGAACTCATGACCTTCCCTCTTCCCTGCAGACTCGTGCATTCAACCTGAGTCCTGTCCCGCGCGCCAAGCTCCGAGTCATTCCAGACCTCCCGCGGTCGAGTCCATGATTCTTTCTTTGCTTTTTGCTTGCTGCATATTGCATATCCATGCCTGCTGATTCGTTGGCGTTGCAGGGTGGGAGGCGTCGTCTGGTCACTTGGGGCTGCAGCTCAAACCGGTCTGTGAGACATCCTTGTCCCTCATTTCGGGAAGTTAATTCCTAGGGCCCTTTGCTTTTGGGATCACCTCCCTGATGACGAGTGGTGTGTGGATTGAAGAACTCCGGCCATGTTGCAGTCTCCAATTTCCCCTACGAACACGACGATCCATCCTGCCCAGGTCACCCTTTGCAAACGCACGGGCCACAACCGTCTCAGTGTCGGTTGTGGCCCGTGCAAACTCCCCAGCCTGCGATATTACTGCGATGGGGTCGGCCTGGAACCGGGAAACGGTGGAGAGTGGGAAATGGGTGGTGGCCAGCACACATGAGGCTGAGCTGTGTAATGTTGCTTCTGCCTGGCTCATCACCTCCTCAACACACGCTAATGCAAATATTACCCCTCTGGAACTTTCCAATGTCCGTGCAAGCCCGGCGGCTCCCGGGGTGTTCTGCACGGTGCTGGCAGAGGTGCGTAACACAGGCAGGTCTAGCAGCGGTCGGTCGATGGCGATCTCGATTGTCTTCGTCCAGTAGGGACTCGGTAGCATTGTCACTGGCCGTGCTTATCAACCAACATTTCTTTTTTTCAGTTTCACCTGGACACACATTGATGCCCAACGAACTGAGCCTGGTGGTGGCGGGCGGGATACTCTATCCGATGGGGGTCGCGTGGTGTGTGTGTGTGTCTCAGCTGTCTATCTAACTTTGTCCTCGACGCCAACAATCAATCCGGGGTCGGATGAGCTACGCACTCTTCCGGGGTCCATCCTTGAACAACTGAGAAGATCCACTGTCCCGCGCTCGAGTCACCCTTGTCGATGTCTGGCTTGTGTTACCCATACATTGTCTCCTCACGCTGACCCGTCCGCCCTCATAGGCGGTGGCGATGGCAACGAACTCACGGCCCAGTTCCGACGCAGAGAGCGACGTCCTCGGGGGTCTTACGTCCTCGGGGGTCTTAGCACTTTTTGGAAGAGACTGTTGGCACCACTGTAATTGGCATATGCTAAGGATAGAGATTGATCAATTTGGGAACTTCGTAAAGATGCATACAAATGGCCGCCAGTAGAGAGACACACCGAATTTTCTGCACCGAGAACATGATAGAAAGAAAAATAGAAGAGAAAAAAGTAGGAAAAGAATAGAAAAAACTAGGAAAAAAAGAGCAGTGAATTAGGGGCTAATCGCGCACTTGTGTACGAGCAACTCTTCCAGGTCTGTCGAGGCCATACCGCAACGTGTGCATGAGGCTCGATCCCCATCCGCTTCCAGATGTTCAAGACGTTCTCTTTCGCCCTCCTCGACAGACTCCCGCAAAACGAGGATGAATGTGGCCATATCCGCTTCATTGAACATCACCAGGTCCTTCCTGTCAGCATCGAAGCACGCTTGTCTATGCCTGTTCCGTAAGAGATGCCCACGAAAATCTTTCAGTGATCTATAACGAGGCTTGGAAAGCTGGGAACAAGGGCAAGCGACCAAAAACTGCGTCTCCTCGTTCCTGACACGCCAGAACTCAAGGGCCTCGGCCTGTTCAGGACGCGGGCGTTTTGGGCTTAGGCGTCTCAGAACGGCCTCGCCTTGCTCAGCATGCGGGCGTTTCCGACTCGCCTCGCCGCGTTCGGGACGCAGGCGAAGCTCAGCAGCCTCGCCGTGCTCAGGACGCGGGAGTATGGGACTGAAGCGGCTCTGGACGGCCTCACCGTGTCCAGGACTCGGGCGTGTCTGAGCAGTATCGCCGTGCTCAGGACCCGGGCGTTCCTGAACAGTTTCGCCGAGTTCAGGGCTCGGGCGTGCCTGAACGGACTCGGCGGTTTCGGGAGTGAGCCATAAAAGATCCTGGAATGTCGTTTCGTGGTCGGGGGGGAACACGGCACGGGGGGCTTCCTGGGATGCCGTTACGTATTCGGGACTGGGGGTTAAAGGCACCTGGAATGTCGTGGCGCGTTCGGCACGGGGGGGTTCCTGGGGTGCCGTTGCGTGTTCGGGACTGGGGGACACGACACGGGGGGGTCCCTGGAATTCCCATGGGTGGTCGGGACAGAGGTACACGGCACCGGAGGGTTCCTGGAATGCCCTTGCGTGTTCGTGACAGAGATACACGGCACCGGAGGGTTCCTGGAATGCCGCTGCGTGTTCGGGACAGAGGCGCACGGCACGGGGGGGTGCCGGGGGTATCCTTGAGTATTCGGGAGGGAGGCGCACGGCACGGGGGCTTTCCTGGGATGCCGTTGCGTGTCCGGGACTGGGTAACACGGCGCGGGGGCGTGGCTGGAATGTCATCCGGCGGTCGGGACAGACGTACATGTCACCGGCGGGTTCCTCGACTTCCCTTGCGTGTTCGGGACAGAGGTACACGGGACCGGGGGGTTCCTGGAATGCCCTTGCGTGTTGGGAACAGACGTACACGGCACGGGGGTTTTCCTGGGATGCCGTTGCGTGTCCGGGATTGGGCCTTTCCTGAACTGCCGTGGCATGTTCAGGACCGTCGTTCTGTTTCGCCATTCAGCACAAGGGCTCTCTGGGCAGCGCAAAGGATCTTCTCACTTACAAGAATAAACGAGAGCCTGGATCTCTCCGCCATGATCAGTCTGAGGACGCTCAGGACTGAATCACATCCGATGATCTCGGCTGAGATCGATGTACGCAGGCCCTCGTAGTGCTCAATCGCATGGGACACCTGTGCTGCCTGAGAACAGAGCGTCTGGCGCTTCGCCTGAGCTTGGTGAATATGCTCGAGAATCACCGCGGTCGAGCAGCTGCTCAGGGATTGAACGGAGTACGGGGCTTGATCCATAACTAGGGCCAACAGCAAGGGAAGAAGATACGATCAGATGCAGTATTTAATAATACGACAGTCCACATGGTGCATCTGGGACGGCTTATCATTGATAAATATACCTGCTCGAGCTATGAGCTTGCAAATCCCAGCCTGCACCGGATGTGGGCAGACCACACACACCACAAGAGCGATGGTCGCTCTTGGCTGGGGGATCTCCTCATCTGGATGCACGGTCATCACACCTCTGGCCACTCGAGAGCCAGGAGGTAGGTCACTGCTGCATTCGCAAAAGAAAAACGAGTCTCACCAGAGTCACAACCTGAGCCGAGTGGCTGCAAACACCCCGTCTGATAGGTGGGGGTTGGCATCTTGTGGGTGTGATATATGCCGTCCTTGAACTCAACCACTTTGGAAGAAGGCTGGATCCGTTCCATGGTACGTGTCTCAGGTATCGGTACCTACGCCGTACCCAGGATGTACATTCGCCTCCGGATAAACTTCCTCCGGTAGGTAGTAAGATGAGTAAGATGAGTAAGATGAGGTAATTTGACCCAGGGTTCGGCAGTACTTAGTTACCCCACACGTCGCGCTTAATCAGGCGCCAGGCGCCAGTGTTGGTCTTGAACCAGAGCTGAACCGTGTAGTTAATCAAAATCCACCCTTGTTACCTAACCCACGCTCCGCACACCCTCCCAATCTGCCAATCTGGACGGACGGTGCGTCCACGACTCGAATGGCGGTGACAGTCGACAACAATGGCTTGTTTACGAATGATGGCGCTGCTGACCTTTTTTTGTTGGGGCGGTTCCCTTCCTGCTTGGCCCGTCAGGCCCCACAGGGCGGCGGCAGCAAAAGCAATGCCGACCACACCACCCGCCATCTCCGTAGGTTGAGAGCGGTTCAGAGACCGCTGGCCGGAGGAGTTGTAAGACACTCCAAGACGGGCCCGTTATTACCCTTGTGGAGGCTATGCGGCCTGTGCGCTCCCCTGATTGGACCTGGATGAGACATTGCGCCTTGCCTGGCCCGCACTGGGCGAGGAACGAGGACGAGGATGAGCGGGCACTAGCACGAGGACGAGGATGGGATGAGCGGGCACTAGCGAGGGCGAGGACGAGCGGGGGCACTAGCTGCGTTGCAAAGTCAGGGTTGAAGATCTGGAATTAGGTCCGAGACGGTCTGCCGTCTCCTACTCGAACTCGATTTTCCTCTCGAGCTCATCTAGCAACTCCGCTGCAGTCTCTCCCATCAATACCCCGATGATATCACATGGTCCACTCTTCTGGTGGATGAAGGTGCTCTGTGTGCTGACCATCACAGACATGTTGATGTCAACCGTACGCCCCTTGCACTCCTCTGGCATGCTACGCATAAATTTCGAGAGAGCAATCCGCCCGTAGTAGGCCAGATCGGCTTCGATATTCGCCATCAGCACTGTTCCTTGAACAATGTTGAACATGATGGCCTGGTCGGATTCGACATTCTGAGGATCGGCAATGGAGATAGAGATGTGACCACGATAACCAAAAAAGCACTTAGTGTCCATTGGAAGTGGCCGCGGTGGAGGAAGCATGGCGCCAGTGTTGGGGGCACCTGTGGGAGAGCATTAGCAAACTGAACGTCCTTTCGGGAGTCTCAGGGATACACACGGGACGGGTCTCCCTTGCCATGGTCGTACGCTGCCGTGATTTGGCTGGAAATTGCTGCCATAGTTTGGTTGGAAAGTGCTGCCATGGTTTGGCTGGAAAGGCTGCAGTCTCTGATCTTTGTGGTGTGGTGTAAGAAAGAAGGCAATTGAGAGGCGGATGGAGGCCGAGGTGCATTGAGGGCGAGGCGACCAGAGCCCAAAGTGCATTGAGAAAGCGGCTTTATGTATTTTACCTTTTGATGATATTTCCTTTGCCTGGGCCGCTTCTCTCCGTCAGTCACACACGAAATGTTTAACCACGACATGAAGGTGCAATGCTTTGATGAGATGCGGACCAACCAGCCCGGCCTCCAGTCGTTCCCAGCCGGCCTAACGTCAGGTGGCCCTCCTTCCTGCTAGTCTCAGTATGAACACGAAGCGAAATGGTTGTTGGCGTTCTTCTACCGTGACATCATGCATGATACCTCCACCCCCTCCCCAAAGCTGCATCCAATATTGGCTAGATCGGGGGTCAGGTTGGTCACCGACTGCCTTGTATGTTTGGAAGAGAGATGTGTGTTTCTGCTCTGTCCATGCCGTCTATCAGGATCGAGACATTCATGATGGGAGGGAGGCCAGGACAACACTTTCGTTCATCCCAGTGGAAGGTATTTTATGACACACTTCCCTCTCCTGACTGATGCCTTTTCTTTTCTCTCTCAAGAAAACACCGTCTACTGCCCCTTCCAACTGTCTGTCACCTTCTTCTACATCAACTTTGGATTTCTGGGAGTACTCTCACCATGACCTGGGACCTGCTTGCCTGGCCATCCTTTCAGAAAATACATGGCCATAACAGAACCAACGTTGTAAGCACTCAGGTGAAGAAAGACAATCCGCCGAGGAAAGCTTCCTACAGTGAGTCTGCTCTCTATTGGTGTTCAAGGCTATCCCTGACATGACTTGTCCAGCCGAGGAGAAGGCTGAGGCTGGGTGGAATGGCCCCAAGGACCAGGGTGTTGACCCGGGCACTGGCACTGGGGAGAAAGCCAGTGTTACTTGAGAAGGGCTTGGGATTTCATGGGTAGCCCAAGCCAGGAACGGATCCCAAGATGGCATGCAAGGAGGTTCATCACCAGGAATTCTAGGAGGGATGGAGGGATGGAGGGATGTTGGGAAGCACCGTGGGGAAGGCACCACAGGCAGAGGAAGCAGCTTTTGCTATCTAGTTCAACTCTCCTTTGAATCTTGATCAATACTATCGTGTTTCCTCTGCTTCGATACCCGCCCGATTGCTCACTTGCACCTCTTCGTTTTTCATGGGGCGCCGTGCTCTCAGTGCCGAGACTGGAGGAGATGGAAGTCCCCGAACACCAGCGGCGAGGATGTGGTCATTAGTACCGGCCACATCGTGTTGATCTTCAAGCTATCGCCATCATCGGAGGCTGTCGCCGGGGCGAGGTGGAGGTCGATCCGTGTGTTGGCATCGACGCTATCGTCGGGACCCGCCGCCGTTCCCCGGTCTGTCACGGCCGCCGCCTAAGAGATAAACTGCGGGTCGCCATTGCAAGGTTGAAGACACAGGTCACCAGCACCGGTAGGTGACAGAGCGTCCACCCTGACAGAGACACACACAATGAGGGCGCGGGAGTATCGCTAGCGTCGGGTAAGGCGTCATCATCATTGTGCATCCAAGGCAGAATGAGGAGCCAACTGCTCCACGATGACCCCGTCAACATCGGATTCGGTCCTCAGTACTGGTGACAGAACCGTCGGGGTCCGGACCTGGATCCTCAGACTTGTCAGTCATTCGTGTGGTGTGAACTTGCTCGCCATGGAGTGTGAAGCGACTTTTGCGATGGATGAGAGCTTGTCTCCCGCTTGTCTCTCCGGGTGGACTGAGTTCAAAATGGAGGCCAATCATTAGATGAGGGTCAAAGAGACTGACGTTCGAAGACAATCCGCTATGGACTACTGTGTAGAAGTGATAACAGAGATCGTGTTAGGGCTGCTGTCTACTCTCCTCCAGTATCCTAATGATGATGCAGGGCCAAGTGTTTCCTTCAGCTGCTACCGTGCTTACACATGACATGGAAAATTAAGCCTCAATGAACAATCTTCCCCAGAGCGCCCTCGCTTAGACTTCGAGTCCGTCCGGCAAATGACGACTTTTGTCGAGGAGGAGCGATCTTGATTCCTGTGGCCTGGTCCTTCCTCTGCGGCTCTGCCCGTGCCTTGGCCGTCACTTTCGACATCAAGTCAGACATGATTTTCCCCATCCACTTGGCTTGCTGTTCGTTTTTCAACACAAGTTCCGCGATATGATCGGCCTGGTCTTCAAAGGCCTCATACATCAAGTCCCGATCCTCAGACACCTCATCGTACTTCTCCTTCTCCTTCTGAAGCAGATCTTCGTACTTCTGTTTCTCCTTCCGAAGCAGATCTTCGTAGTGCAGGAGCTTTTGCGACAGTTCGGTCGTGTTCGCCTTGGTCTCCCTTCTCTGCTCTGTGAGAATGCGATTCTGGTTGTGGACCGCTTTCGAGAGACGATCTTTTCCCTTCTGCGCCTCCTCCTTGCTGTTTCTGAGGGCGATCAATTCGTTGTGAAGGTCTTGCACGTGGATGTTGAGACCTTGCATCTTCCTCTGGAGACTTTCGTTTTCTCCTTGCAGATATTGCCTTTCCTCGCCGAGCGATGCGATGGCGGCATCCCTTTGCAGGGCCCGCTCTTTGCCTCTCGACTTTGCTTGATACTCTCGCTGTTGTAGAGCCTCGACTGCTTTTTCGAGGAACTCGATGCGCTGTACCAGTAATGTGTGGTCCATGGCTGGCGATGGGGGAGCCGGAGAGGCAGATGCGTTGTGGGAGAGAAGACGGAAAGCGGACGGCAGCACCTGTGATGGCGGTGTGTTGGGCTGGACGATCGAGCCCTTCTGGACGTGCTCGTGGCCCATTGGCTTACCGCTCACAGGCGTATCACACATTTACTGGCGGAAAAGGAACGGTCTTAAAAGAGGCCGTGACGCCTTGGGTTCTGACCTAGAGCGCCTTGTTGGTTGGGAGGGGGCCGGTTTCTGCTTTGTTGCATGTCACACGCACGCTAATGTAAGCCCAGTGCACATCTAGGAGGTGTTTATCCGCACACCTTGGGAGGGAGAGCCATCGGATCGAAGGTCAAAGTTTCCTCAGCTGAACTGGCCTAGATCACAGGTTACCAGGGTTCTGACCGGGGATCCTAACCCCTCCAGGAAAGTGCAGGTGGGGTGTAGAAAAGGGCCTGGCCATTGATCACGGAGCTGGGTCTCGGTGACCTCGAGCCTTGTTTTTTGTTGACGCCGAGGCCAGCAGCGGTATCAATACGCCCACCCGCTGTGTACTCCAGGCCAGACTACCTTGGGTACCTACCTAGGTAACCTGTGCGAAGTCGGGCCCTAGTCGTCGTAGGCGTGATGCAGGCCGGGCGGGCGAGGAAAGGCAATCATTAGGCGCGCCCAGAAGACGGCCGGTGGTGCGCGAGCGTGGCGAAATGCCAGCGTTTGCATGTAGCAGGAGGGCGGCAGCATAAGATGCTCATTCCCAGTCACCCTCCTCCCTCCAGCTGCTACGATTCAGCTCCATCAAGCGCTTGCCCACTGCATCTCTGGCCCTTCACACCACTCCAGTCGCTCTTGCCGTTCTAGTCGGTAGGGTAGGTATCTTCTTCAGGCTTCAGCTGCAGGAAGGAGCTTTGCTGCCCTCTTTCCCTCTCTTTCCCTCTCTTTCCTTCTCACCTATTACTCCATTCTCCATCATGGGTGGTGGCACAGGCGAATGCCCGCTCGGTGATTGCGGCCAGCCAAGTGAAGTTTCTCCCGAGTTCGTCAAGGTTGATCCCAGAGACTGCCAGGCATCTTGCTGACGCTTTAGGTAGCTCGGCTGCAATCGATTCTACGGCCCACGGCACTTCGGGCCCTCCCATTCTCACTGCCCATGCATCCGGCTCACCTTCCGTGCCTGGAAGCGCCGTAGTGAGCGACACCGATGCAGGCGATCAGGCCGCCTCTCTCATCGGCCAGGGCGCTGCTCAGAGTGCCGAAGCCGACAAGGGGCATGATAGCCGTCCAATTACTCCGCCGCCGGTGCTCATCAAGCAACTTCCCCAGCGTTCGATCAGTAGCGGCGATTTGGAGAGAGAGACGGACGCCATCTATCGCGGCCTGATGCAGCTTGAAGCCAAATCTATCGTCGTGATGGCGCAGCATTTTGGCCAATATCCGGCTGCGCCTCGACTTCACAGAATTCTGCTGGAGCTTCATTCCAGTTTCTACTTTTCACTGCGGCCGCCTCCCACTGCAGAAGAGTCTGAGCGTTTGTCACACGCTGTTGTTCAACTTTGGCAAGAGCATCACCAATATCTCCGTTCCTTGAAGCGTCCTACCGAGCCAGAAAAGCCAGGAAAGCCGCTGTGCGCCGCCGCCACCAGGCTTGAGCCGAATCAGCTGCAGGCTCTTGTCGAGCTTCACCGCGTACTGCTGAATGAGCATCACGACTTCCTCCTTGCCTCGCAGCACCCTGACGCGTCGGAAGATCTCCGGAATCTTCCAAGGAAGTATTACCTAGTTGATAGGATCTGGGATTGCGCAATACACACCCTCCTTGAGCTTCTGAACTGCCAGCTACCCGAGTCCAAGGAGTGTATGAAACGGTTCATCGGCACGGCATACGCTATATTGTGTCTTTTCGAGGAGTTTGTGCCGCAGTTCGTGAACAGATGGCTCGAATTCAAAGGGGACTTGGCCCTATACGAGTATGTGGAAGCCGATGACCTACACCCAGATGCACTATAACTGAAACTAATACCTGCCGGGCAGATGGATTGTTCTGGAGTTGCAAGATGTGCAAGGCCACTGTGTCAGCTTGTGGTCCACCACCCGGGAGCAGTACCATCGGGTGCTGACCCAGGACCCCACGAACGGCCGCGTCCTCAAGCAGCTGGGGATGCTGGCGCGGCCGAACCCCGAGGGCCTACCCCACGTACACTTCGACAACGTTGTAGTCGAGCTTTTCTACTGGACCAAGGCCCTCGTTGTCAAACGCCCGTTCCATGATGCGCACAGGGTCATGATCACCGCCGCCAACCAGATCGTCGGCCGAAAGGATGAGGAGGAAACGGACCACAACAGCTTCCTCGCCGCCGTTGCCCACCTGGTGCTTGCTTCTGGGGCAGAGGGCGACGCGGAGCGCCAGAGGGACCATCTTCAGGCTGTCAATGGAGTATTGTGGAAAGTTGGTCGAGAGCACTGGCTTGACGACCCTACTTGTAGAATCGCTCCAAGGTAGGTGCTGACCCCGCAGCCTTTTCATCCCAGTCTCTGACTGACACCTTCTAGCGCCCACCTTGGCCTCCTGCTCTGCCAGTTGCTGCTTGGAATCCCTCTAAAGCCGGGAAGATGGAGCCCGATGATGGCGACGTGGGCTCCTGACCTTGTGACGCCTCAGGATCTCGCCAAGCTTGACATCAAGATGGATAAAGCGAGCGCCATTCACGGCGCAGCAGCCAAGATCATCGACCACATGATTCATTACTTCCTAGAGGACGCGGACACACAGGACCTGGGGTTGTGGGCGTTCATCAACGTGATCTTGGTATTCATGCGCTCCTTCAAGACAAGACCTGCCCTGCTGAAGCGGTTCGGCCCGGCGTTTCACGCAGAGCATCTCGTGCCTTTCCTCAACAAGCTCCTGAGCGAGGACGAGGCCCGAGGCGCTCGGGCCTTGGAAAGTGCGCGGCGGTCGCTGCTCCCGGTAACGCGCTCGCCACTCAACCCAAAGGAGAAGCCAGGCGTCTACGGAATGACGGTCAATGATTCCATTGAAAGGTACTTCCAGCGGCAGAAGGACTGTGGAGAGGCCGAGGCTGCTGGGAGCACGGCCACGGCCGGAGAGACCACGGCGCAGGAGGAGGCGAGGCGTGACCCCACAGACGACAAGGATCCGGGCATGGCGCCGGATGCCGAAGGGATGTTTTTCGACATACTACCGGAACATATACTGCTGCAGGGGCACTTCTTTGCCCCAGAGGCTGAGAGCTCCTATGACGCATCCCAGGCTGGTGCAGGAGAGGACGTCACAGAAGTTGTCGACGCACTCGCCTACAATATCGAAGCACAGTCTTCAGAACAAGCTCAGGGGGATGGCGAGAAGGGGCGAGAAGCATGGTGGTGGCTGCGTGACCCGCCCCTCTTCCCCATGGGTTACTTCGAGAAGTCCAAGTACAGCTTCGACGAGACACAAGTCCGCCAGGATTGCGTTCAAGATGCCGAGACGTGGAATGACCGGGCATTGCAGATACTGTGCCTAGTTGGCCAGCTGAAAGGTGTCTTCTTCAACTTTGGGACCGACGATGCAGGACACCTCAAGATCAGTGCGCTCCCGGGGGTATCCGAACCGCCGCTGTGTTTTAGCATGACCATGCCGGAAGTCTTCGAGCGCGACAATGGCAGCAGGATCGTTTTTGTCCGTCCTTACTTCTCGTCGGCCGAGATGGAGAGGGTGAGACGGAAGGAGGAAATGCGAAAGGGGGAAAGGCAAAAGGTCATGGAGGCTGGCCTGACTGCTGATGAGGCTGGTCTGACTGCTGAGGAGGCGGTGTTCGAGAAGGAAGCTGGCGGTGGCTGGACGGGAGCGGACATGATAGCTCTTGAGGCTCTTGAGGATCTTGAGGATCTTGAGGACACACAGACGGTCCAAACGGATCAAGTCGAGTGGGGCTCTGCCACTCGGACGGACTGTTCTACCGTCATATATGATCCCAGAGATCCAGCCCAAGAGTCTTGATCGTCAATGATAACGACTGTAATGAGCTATGATACTTCAATAGTTGCAATTTCCATTTCAAGCCAAGCCCTCAGGGATTCCCATATCGCTCCTGCCCGTGGTGGATTCACTGACAAGGGTATCCAAAACTGTTACTGATAGCTGCAGACAAGGCGTCTCGCATGGTGCGACCCGCTTGGGACATGGCTCGGGCGTCCTCTGTCATCTGCGACCGCCCTCCAGCCACGCAGTAGGTCCACGAGGGCTCGGGGCTCTGTCCACCCGCCGTGGCCCCGCGGTGTCATGCTCGGCGAGTTCCCCGCGGCCGGATCGGACTGGACTAGTGGAGGCGGCTCCGCTTCCCGTACTGCCGCTGGCGACTGGGGTGATCGCCGCGTATGGTCCGGGTCGGCCGCGACGCTCTCGGCGGCGCCTGAACGGATACTTCTTCCGCATGCTCGTCCGGGTCAAGAGCTGGTCGATGTTCTCCGGAAAGATGGTGGTGAGGTGGTGCACGGTATGCCCGACACCGGACTGTTGGTCTCGGCTCGGGCTCCATCAACTGGATGCGGAATGGCTCTTCTGGGCCACCTCGGTTGGCCTCGAGAGCGATGGCCTGACTTCCTGCCCATTGTCAGAAATGATTCGTTCCCATCCTGGATTAGCGAACGCAACACCGAACAGGTTTAGGTCCGCCAAAATACACCGCTTTGGCCAGAACCAACAGCATGTCCAAACCCCGCACTTCTCAGATCATCAAAGATCATCACCGTTGCCCCGTCTTTCAAGTTCGAAACTCAAACTACCCACCCGCCGCGCCGCGCACTTTATCGTGGCTAAATTTTAGTTCGAGAAGCTTATTTGAACTAAGGATCCCGAACTTTTTGTCTAGAATGGCTGAAGAACAGACAAACCGGCCGGCGGCGGTCGCGGAACCTGCCGAACCCGCCGGACCTGAAACATCGCCGCCGGCTTCCTCGCCGCCGGCTCCCTCGGCCGTTCTCCCGCCTCAGCATTGGGCTGAAGTCGCACAGGTTCGTGAACATAGACATTGGCTGTGACAACAGGCAGTCACAGCACAAACGACCACTACCTCTAACCTCGAGTGAAGAATGAGGAACAGGGCGATGTCGATGCTGATTCGACAATCGACGCCGACAATGCCTCCTCTACAGCGTCCATTACCTCCAGCATCTTTGAGTACAGGACGATCCATGGCAGAACATTCAACAGCGACCAGGGAGACGCGCAGTATTGGTAATTAACAAAAAGCCTTGTGTTTTGCCTACACCCATGAATGGAAATCGCTCATGTTCTCTCTCCTAGGGGATCCAACGATGAACCACAGCGCGAATTGATGGATATCACGTAGGTTTGCTACGATTCTCACTGACAAGATATTGCAATCTGATCTCAATCATAGTCACCACATCCTCACGATTGGGCTTGGGGATAAACTCCATCTGGCGCCATTGGACAAGGCTCACGTCCATGTAAGCTAACAGCCCGGGTTCTCCGTTTGAATGGGTCGGTGCTAATGCGCGCGGAGTAGCAAGTCATTGATATCGGCTGTGGAACTGGTACGGTTCCGAAAACCTAATCCGTGTCACCGGATAACAATCACCCGTGGAACGAGGCTAATTAATCTCTCCGGCTGACAGGCATCTGGGCCATGTACGTCGAGCCAAGTTCCACCAGATTCAGACCCTTTCTCTGACAGTAAATCGTTAGTGACTTCGCCGATGAGTACCCTGGCGCAGAGGTCATCGGAACAGACATCTCTCCCATCCAGCCTTCATGGGTGCCGCCCAACTTGAAGTTGTGAGCATTTCCCAGAGACAGATGATAGTCCCGCAGGGTATTGAGCAGTCTAACAACGCATCCCAGTGAGATCGAAGACTGCACTCGAGACTGGACTTTTAAATCCGGCTTTGCCGATTACATCCATCTGAGATGGCTGGTCGGCAGTATCAAAGACTGGGACGCCCTCTGCTCTGAGGCCTTCAGGGTCTGCAAGCCTGGCGGATGGATCGAGAGCCACGAGGCCTCCTCCAACATCGAGAGTGACGACGGCACGGTCGATGGGGACTCGGCCATGGGGCAATGGGGTAAGTTCTTCATCGAAGGCAGCAAGAAGATAGGATCGAGCTTCACGGTGGTCGAGGACGGCACGCAGAGGAAGGCTCTGGAAAAAGCTGGGTTCATCAACATCCAGGAATTCAACTTCAGGGTGAGGCATCTTGATACTATCATCACAAGTTTGAATCGCATCTGACAAGCAAAGTAGAACCCCATCGGCGGCTGGTCGAGCGTTCCCAGCGAGAGAAAGATGGGTCCGTATACCAAATACGGCCTGGAGACGGACAGCGAAGGGTTTGTCCTGTTCATGGCTCACGTCCTGGGCTGGTCGAGAGCCGAGATCCAAGTCTACAACGCCCAATTCCGACGCGAGTTGCGTTCGGGGAAGCATCATGGTTACTTTAGGCAGAAGGTCGTTTGGGGCCAGAAACCCGGTGCGGCCGCTGAATAAGCTGCTTCTCAAGGACCGGTTTTGGGGACAGGGTTCGCATGGGGTTTTGAGCATTTGCCTACCAGACACGCAGTAGTAGACGCACTATCGTTGCCAATTCAACTTGGAAACGTCTCACCTCATCCTCGCTCTCGTGAAACGGAAACTCTGACCGAGGCTGTCCTCTACAGGAAGAACCTCCTGAGCTGCGTCCACATATGCTGACCTTGGAGTGAATCTGTCCAGACTCGCCGATGTATCCCTTTAAACGCCGTAGAAACACTCCAGTGTTTTTGATCCACTGGCCTTTCCAGAGACAAGAATCTTTTGCGGGGATTTCTTACTGAAGAGGGCAACAGTTGCACGTGATGTGTTCCTACGGCGTCTAAAGGGATAACCTCCACAGGCTCGCAGTCCAGCTGGGGTTCTGGGCCATTTGAGAGGTGTGTTCTGGGCGAAGACGCGTTTGTTTGTTTGTTTGTTTGTTTGTTTGTTTGTTTGTTTGGTTGGTTGGCTGGTCTATTCATAGACTGTCCTAGACGCCGTAATGGACCAGAATGCGGTTGTTAGATGACTCGGTGTCCACGGCTGTTGCATGATGAGGTAGGACGTCACGGTCGGGTTGGCTCTGCCGACGCCCACATCGAGATCATGAGCGGTGAAGGGGGATGGCCCGGGGAGCAGATAAGGCTGCCGACGCTGGAGAACCACCGAGAAAGGGCCATGGTGTCTGTTTTAGCATGCAACATTTCGTTGACGATGGGCTTGCTTGTTGGAAGACGGATGGAGGAGCATCTTCTTTTCATGTGCCATAGCCGCCTCCGACAACCGCAACCAACATCCTCTCACCGGCGTTGGCCTCGAAGTCTTGAACAGCAGGCAGAGCGATCAGAGCGGCGCTTAGCAAGCAATGCAGAGAACAACAATGTAAACGGGTATCCAACAAGCCACAAAGGTACGCTCGCTACGCTCTTGTCAACTCATGTCACCTCCACAAACAGCCGGGACGGGTAGTGTTGATGCGCAAGTAGACAGTCAAACAACCCCTCACGAGCTTCTATTCAGGATATGATACGAATGCCCAGTCGCAAAGACACGGAAATACCTTTAAGTATGCAATATGCGTATCCGATAATGCACCAAAAAGCCGTCTGAAAAGAGAAAGAGAAAAACACCCTCAACGCCCAGTACCAAAAAAAAAAGAATATGCAAAGGCCGAGAATCCCCCCCCTGGAACGATGCAAAAGGCAAGAAGACTCAGCAGTGACAACCTTTCCCTCCTTCAAAACTTCTCCATGAAATTCTTCCTCACCGTCCACATGCGCGCCCTCTTGCCGTAGATGTACATGGGCACCGTCGACACGAGCAGGATCAGCTGTATGACGCCGATCCAGACGTACACGGCCTTGGGCCCATCGCTCGTGATCCAGCCCGTGACAAAGAGCGAGAAGACGAGGCCGTGGAAGATGTTCTTGCTGAAGTTGAGCGTGACGAGCGCCTCGCCGGCGTACTGGCGGTAGCTGTCGACGCAAAAGGTGATGGCCGTGGTCGAGCCGAGCGAGCAGCCAAAGGACACGATGCCGAAGAAGACGGTCGGCACGATCCACGCGTCGCGCTCCTCGGCCGACCACCCGAAGCCCATGAGCCCGACGACGGTGGTGACGGCGATGGGCGCGGCCATGACGAGCCGGAACTCGGGCTCGTAGAGGCCGCCGTTGCGCGCGGCCATGCGCTTGACCACGAGGTCCGACACCTTGCCGGCGACGGCGGTGCCGAGGATGCCGCCGATGAAGGGCGAGATGTAGATGAGGCCGCTCTGCAGCGCGTCAAAGTTGTAGCTCTCCTTGTTGCGGTAGATGACCGAGACCGACTCGGAGATGACGATGAGCCAGCCGATGGAGCACGAGTAGACGACCGAGGACCACAGCACGGCCGGGTACGAGAACAGGATGAACGGGCGCACCATCACCTTGAGCCACTTGTCCTTGTTCAGGCGCCCGTGGAAGGGCCGGAGCTGCTGCGCGAAGGACCGGGCCGGGAGCTCGCGCAGGTTGCGCGTGTAGGGCGCTATGCCCGGGGTGACGGACGCGGACGAGACGGACTGGCTCTCGCTATCGGCCACCCTGTGCTGCGCGTACGCCGCCGAGGACTGGTAGTAGTCCCGCGGCGTGTTCGACCCCGAGGAACGGGGGTGGGGCGGGGTGCCTGGGTGCGGCCCGCCGTGAGAGTTCTGCCGGGAGACCGACTCTCGAGCTATGTGGTCGTCGCCGCCGGGCGCAGGGGTCAGAGCCTCCAGCTTTTCCTTAAGCTCCGCTGGTTGGACTGGCCCTGAAGTGCTCGGCACAGCTTGGTCGGGGGTGTCATGATCCAGGGAGCCTTGGAACACGGGCTTCTTGGTGGTAGTAGGGTGGGTAGCTGGGACCTGAGAGGCGTTGCTGTCGGCACGAGGTCGTTCGTGTTGAGGAACGTCGTCACCAGCCGTGTCCGCTTCCGGCGCGAACCCAACGTGGGCATGCTTTTCCTTGGGTTGGTGTTGAGTAGGGCTAGTCGGAGAGGCGAGAGCCGCGTGGTCGATGCTCATCCTGGGAGTGACGGCTGAAGTGGCAGGAACCGAGCTCCGGGAGATGGGATGCCTGGACGAGAGTCTGCGCAGGAAGTTGGGCCGGCTCTGCTTCTTGGCTCGCGGCGTAGGCGCTCTGTCCCAGAACGTCTCGGGCACGAACAAGAAGAGCAGAGCACCGCAGAACCCGACGACGATGGCCACCATCCAGAATGCCCAGCGCCATCCGAGCCGCTGAATGATCGCGGCGCTCACGAGAGGGACCAAATTCTTGCCGCCGAGCAGGAGCAGCGTGTAGATGCCGATGCGGTAGGCCCGCTCGTGGAGAAAGAAGATCTCGGCGATGGTGGCCGACGGCAGGCACTCGACCGGGCTGACAGCCACGCCCTGGAAGATGCGAGCCAGGAGCAGAGACACAAAGTTTGGCGACAAGGCGCACCACACAGAGCAGCAGATGAGGAGCACCGAGCTGAACAGATACACGGGTCGCTTGCCCCACAGGATGGCCGTCGGCGAGAAGACGACGGACCCGAGGCCCATGCCCATCATGTACAGGCCCGTGGTCAGCGAGACGTGCTCGACCTCGACGCTGTAGTCATGAGCGACGTCGCCAAAGCCTGCGGCGAGCAGCGGCGTGAGACCGCCTCCGATCATGCAGTAGAGCCCGAGCGACAGGAGAGCCGAGTCTCTGCGCCAGGTCGGCCAATTCAGAGGGTCGTTGGCGGAATCCTCGGGCTGCGGTTCCAGGATGATCTTGCCGTCCGAGGTCATCTTCTTCTCCTCCTCGGCGGCCGGAGGCGGAGCCTCCTGGGCGTAGCCGACGGGTATGGAAGAGTGCGACGTCCGAGCCGGCGCGTTACGCAGACCCAAGGGCTCGTTGCGGTGCTTGGCCAGCAGCAGGACACTGCCGGGCACTTCGATGGTCTTCTTGTCGTTCAGGATGCCCATGCTCCACGTAGAGACGCGAGGCTTCTCGCTGCTTGGTTCCCCATTGTCGCTTCCCCTGCGGAACGGGGAGAACCATTTGATTCGGGGTGTTGAGGATGAGTCGGACGCCATCTTTGTTGTTTGTGGCCAACAAGGTTGCTGGTCGAAATGTCTGCGCGCCAGACCCAGAGGCTCAAAGTCTGGCAAAGGCAAGGGGGAGAAAGAAAGAAGTTAAGAAGTTGAAACAGAAGACAGAATCTCCAGCCTGCAGCCTGCAGTATCAGCAAAGCCTCGACCGTGCTACACACTTGGCGAAGCTAAGCCTCCGGTGTGATATGATGGCTTGTGGAGAAAAGTTGGGTTGGCTGTGTCCGTCCTGTCTGCTTCATCCCTGGTCGACAGGGGAGCGAGGAAGAAGGAAGGCCTGGAGACGAACTCGGGTCGTCCCTGCTCGCCAGAAGCGAGGTCTCCGGATGGGTTTAAATAGCAAAGAAAGAGTCTTGGAAACAAAGGGCGATACGAGGGCGAGGGCGATCGCAAGGACAACAAGCATATATCTTGGTGGTTTTGGACCGGTCCTCTCTCCTCGCGGCGCGCGCCTCCCCACAACTGCACGCACCCACGCACAGCCTGCCTGGGGCCTGTCTGTCTGTCTGTCTGACTTGATTTACAAGGACGCGGACATGCCTCCTTTACCCACAACAATTGTCTCGTCAGGCATGGAGAATGCTTGACCGCTCCGCGCGGTTGGTGGTGAGGGAAGAGTCAGGTGGGCAGTCGATTGGCCGCCAAGGGGGTGTAGCGTGAGCAGCCACATGAGCAGTTTTTGGAGGAGCCGAGGTGGCCGCCGTTGTTTTGGGGGGAAGAGGCCAGGAGGCAAGTAGGGCGGCTCCAGGGCTGCCGTCCAGCGATCGAGAGACCCCGTGGGCCCTATGACGACAGTGGGGAAGACCCTGGGCCTCTCACCGCGCATCACCGACACTTGGCGCAGGGATGGAATGAATCACGTTTTCGCGCCAGGACGAGCGGGTGCTCCAGAGATCAGCTTCTGGGAGGGTTGTCGCATCTCGAGGTCGACAGGACAGCATCTACAGACACCTTGGCATCCCTTACTTTGTCGCAGAGGTTTATTAGGCGACTGCTATGTGCATCCGTCCGTGTTCAATTCCTCCAAAGGGCCCTCAACAGTGAATTTAGTTAAAGGTGGTGTGTCCTGAATCAGAACAGGCTCCACTGTAGGCCAGGGACCCTCCAGCGCCCAGTCTTCTGTTCTGTAGCGAGTTTGACAGAACGAAACTCCTGGCTCTTCTCTCCAGAACCAGTACCAAAGATCAACATCAATTGCGCGCGCACTCCCCTTCTCTCGATTGAAACCCCTCAACCCTCCTCGACCACCTTTCCGCGATGCACCCTCGCGTCGCCGCCATGCGCGGCTCTCGACTCGCAGGCCCGACGTCGTCTCCCCTCCGGCGGTGGGCCCGCGACAGCTGCAAGCCGGCGTCACCGCGCATCCCGCCGCCCAGCAGCAGCAGCAGCAGCAGGCCCCTTTCGACCTCTCGAAAGCTGCAGGCCAAGAACCAGATCTACGCCTCGTGAGCCTTTCCTTTCTTCCTCTTTCTCCCTCTCTCCCTTCATCCCAGACCTCAAAAACGAAAAAACCTGAAATGTTCCAAAAAAAGATACTAACCCCCCACTGCCAAAAACGAACAGCGTCCGCCGCCCCGAAGACCTCGACACCTACATCATGCTCTCCGCCGCCGCGCGCCAGCCGCTCCTGACGCTCTGGACCGCCTCGTGGTGCCCGCCCTGCCGGACCGTCCACCCGCTCGTCGAGGCGCTGGTCGCGTCGGGCGTCGGCCAGGCCGAGGGCGGCGTCGGCTTCTGCGCCGTCGAGTACGACGCGCCCGACGTCGCGGCCGCCCAGCTCGGCGCGGTCTACATGGTCAACAGCCTGCCGGCGCTGCTGAGCTTGGACGCCGGCGAGGCCGGGCTGGTCCGGAACCGGCTCGTCGACGGCCGCAAGCTCGCCGACCGCCGGGTGCTCGAGGAGTGGATCCGGGCCGAGGCGAGGCGGCAGGGCCACCGCGGCGGCGGCGGCGGTGGCGGGCTGTTTGGTGGGAGGTAGTGAGAGAAATCAATCCGAAAAGGGAGCCGGGTCGTGTGGCTAGTTGTACTTTTTATACTTGTATTTATAGATATCACACGCGAAAGGGACCGGCCGGCGTCTAGGTGCGACTCTCTTCGTCTCTTGGACCCTTCCTCTGTACGATACTGCTCACGGATGTCCGTCTATAACATAAAACATAATACCCTCGCCACAAGTGCAGACCAAGCCAAGCCAAGCCAAACCAAAAAAAGCACAAGATGGCATTCCAAAAATGGGCTCAAGAGCAATAATGACAAGGCAAAAGATCATGACAGGCCGTTTTCCCTGTTCTCGCATGTCGCATGTCGCATGGCCAACCCAAAGCGCCGCCTCTTTTTAAATCATCTCCATGACAAACAGGAATCAAGGAGTGTAAAAGACCTCTTCTATCGGCCTCCACCAGCCCGGCGCCGGGGGCTCGGCCTCGCTGCACGTCGCCCCGGGCACCAGCGACTCCTGGAACCCGTCCGTCATCTTCCACCACTCGCGCACGCGGGGGTTCTCGCGCATGCGCTCCATGTCGCCGGCAAAGTCGTAGCCCACGTACTTGAAGCAGGCAAAGAGCATGCCCGAGGCCTCGTCGTAGAATATGCTGTCTGTTTTTGTCTCCCCCCATTAGTCTTTTCAACTCTCAATCATAAAGAGTCGGGTATTAGGCTTACAGTCTTTGATGTTGCAGTCCTTGATCTGCTTGAGCACCTCGGGCCACACGGCGGCGTGCACCTCCTTGTACCTGGCCGCGTGCTCGGGCTTCAGCCGGACGACCTGGCCGTACCGCCGCCCGTGGTTCTTCTGCCTGATGGTCGCCGGCGTCAGGGCGTCGGCCTCGGGCGTGTGGTCCGCCGGCGCGGCGCTGGGCTTGGACCACATTGTCGCCTTGTGTGTGTGTGTGTGTGTGTGTGTGTGTGAAGGAGAGAAATATTAATCCGGAACAGGGGAAATGGGAACTTCCAAAGTGAAGCTCGAGCTCTTTATTAGCTCTCACAGTGGTGGTTGACGTGCTCTAGCTCCCGAGTTCCGGTCCGGTTGGGGTGGGAATGGATTTGTAAGTGACAGCTGGAGCTTACTCTGTCCGGAAAACACACCAACTACCCCGAAGAGCACGAAAGCCTGCCAATGCGGTAGAAATCGGGCAAATAAACAATAAAAAATAAAATAAAAAAGGAAAGACGGAGAGAAACACGGTGTGTTGAGAGAGAGAGAGAGAGAAAGTGAGAGGTTTCACACACGACCCTCGAGACAATATTCCGCAGCGGTGTTCGGGACAGGAAGCAGCGCCTGGAGGAAGGTGGTGACGAGCGGCGGACGTGGGGCAACTCCGTCTGCCTACAAGTAAAACGCAACGAGGCGAGATCGCCGCGTGGAGCAGCTTTCGCTTTCGGTGGAGTTTTACCGCGAAGAGGAGCTGTGCCTCTCTGCCCACCACCGACCGACGAACTGGTGCGGGGTCCTCGATCGATGGATCTTTCGGGGAACTGTCTGGGACGAAGAACGAGAAAAAGAGGAGCGGGTGCTGGTCAGGGAAGCAAGACTACAGCTGGCCCAATGCAGTTGCGAAGCACACCCAGAGGAAGTGAAGTGGTGGGAGGCCTTTCTCCACGGACAGGACAGGCTGGCGCGCAAGAGGCCAGCAGGGCGTGGGGGAAGGGGAAAAGGAAACCGGTAAGTGTAAGGGGGGAGGGGTGTGAACAACTCATGCGGGATATGCGGGGACTCTTTGCTTATTATCTTGCCCTTTTTAGTTTGATGATTTGTAAAAATGCTTCCTTCCTTGATTACCGTGCATGCATCTCAACAAGAACAAGAATAAGAAAAGCTTCCCGCGCTGGCCGACGAGTGGTAGCGGCCCAACCCAGCGCCCCCCTCCTCCTTCCAGCGCAGGGGAGCTGGTCATGCTGGCGCGAACGCCTGAGGTATTCCTGTGTGACGGGCGGTCATCATCTCATCATGGGACATGGGACCGAGTGAAGTTGAGTGATTTGAAGTCTGAGTGCCCATCATTGCTTTTCTTTTTCCCCCCTCCCGACCCATGAGGAAGGTGATTCGGGGGCCAGCGACGCCCTCGACCTCTTCTGCAGCCTGGCGTCGCACATCTCCAAGACACAAAAGGGCTGGTCTGGTCGAGACCCCGCCCACCCATGCAGCAGCGGCAGGAGCAGCAGCAGCAGCAGCAGCAGCAGCAATCACACCAACAGGGCGATACCTCAGCTTGGAGGCAACTGCGCTGCTGCGGTTCCGAATCGATTGGGACACAATGAAGCTCTCGAGGCCTGGAGACCCACCGGAGTGGGGACCTCCCATTCTCCTCCGGACTCCGGAGCCAACAGCCCCTTCCCATGTTGCAAGGTACTTGTACATGTCGATGCTTACGGACATCAAATGTCCATCATTGCTTCTGACGCACTAGTTCGACCAGGCTGGCTCTTGGGTGCTGGGAAAAGGTGCCGTACCTACCGTAGGTACCGTAGGTGTCGCGTCAAGGTAACAAGGAACACGGGAAAACATCCCAGCCATTTTAGCCAGAGAGCACTTTTAGCCATCTGCATCACACACACCAAAAGGGTTCGTACGGATCTCTCCCGTCTGCCGCACAACCCACACCCCCCAGCTGGGCTGAGGACAAATGTCTCCGAGTAATTCTGGATCAAATGGCATAAGCCTCTTGAACACACTGTGCTCTCCAGCCAGCCTCACGCATGGCAGTCCTCTCGATCCATTCGCTCGTCACGACCCAATCGGAACTTCGTTGCACTTGTGCAAAAGAGGCTTGCCTTAGCCCTTCTCGAACCCCTCGAACCCCTAGACCGCCTCTTCGGTGCGTTGGGCCTCTGAGGTGAGCGAAGGCGGGAGAAAGGGGGGCCAGAGATGTGGACGTGAAGGCGTTGCTCATCGAGCACCCCGTAAGGGCCGTTGAGGGGCAGAGAGTTGGACATCGACGGGCATCCATGACGGTGAGTAGTCGAGCATCGACATCGCCGGTCAACCGCATCGATGCACACCACGCAACGGGCCCCTCGAGCCGCCCCCATGGCCTCAGTGCTACACCCGAGATATGCTCCAGCCCATGTAGCTATCCCTGGTTGCCCAAGTCAGGAGGAGGACTCAAGTTGGCAAAGACCCAAGCTTCATCATTCCCAGCAAAGTTGGGTTTCGCCGGTAATGGGGGTGGTGGTCTGGTCTGGTCTCCCACCCAGTGGACAATGTGTTGGGGGCCCTTGTACTCAGACCAGGACCGACCCCCCAAGGATCTTCGTCAGGCTGTGCTGTTGCTGCGTCCATTGGTCTGGCGCGACCAGAGCGTCTATGTAGGGAAGTCGTTCACGATCTTCGAACCCGGGCAGTCTCCTTGTCCCAACTACAGAGTCTATCTCTCGTTGTGCTTTAAGCTGTACTTCTGGGAATAGTACCATTACCAGCATGAAAGCGGTGAGAGAAATGATTGTAGTGTCCGTAGCAGCATCATAAAGGCTGGCCGCCGACTACATAATGGCCCTTTCGTCTATGATATCGATTAGACCACCGTCCTCAGGCTTGTACGATTCAATGAGCCAGGAAATGTAGGACGACGGGGTCTTCCCGGATTCCATTTACCGCTGAACAGAGCGGTAGGGAGTATCTGCAACTGTATGAATGGAACTCTTCTATTTGCGTGCGGTCTTTTTCAAGCCTGTTCCGGGAAACCACTCGGACTTGGGCACCCGACATTTACCAAGCAAGCACTGGCAAAGATGAGATGAACGTTGTTCAGGGCGTGCGTAAGAGTCAAGATCTAAACCTCCCCCCCTTTTCGTCGGGGGCCAGCTATTCTTTATTCAGTGTAGAACCAACCCTCCCCCCTTTCTACCGTTGCTATCCCACACACATACAACAACACGCACCTTTCTTTAAAATACAAGTAAACGGAATAGTTCTGATAAAAGCTCGTTTGCGTTTCCCCCGTCTTTTTCGCAACTCGTGACAAATATGCGTTTTTGATTTCCCCGCCAAAAAAAGTGACAAAAAGCACCGTGTTGCCCGACGCCTTCGTGGAGATGAGACGGAAAGAGACAGAGAGACAGAGAGTGGGAGACAGAGAGTGAGAGACAGAGAGTGAGAGAGAATGGGTGATTAAGAGAGAGAGAGAGAGAGTAGTTCTGTTCGACACAGAGAGTCGCCTCGCCAACAACAGTGGTGTGATGCTCGTTGCAGGGCTGATATTAAATAGGTGTACATTGGTGGTACTTTGTTGCCGGTCCGGTCTCTGTTTAAACCCCCCCAAACCGTAGGGACGCCGTAGTAGTAAAAAAGGACCTCGAGTGGTAATGCAATGAGAGAAACGCGCAAAGCATGGACCCCGTTTTTCCTTTTTATGAGGTCGAGTAGAACGCCTCGACAAAGTAGATAACTCCGAATAACAGGAACGCGACGGCACCGCCGACGGTGACGACCTTGAGGCTGACGCGGCCGGCAATGGCACGGCCGCCGATGACGGCCACGCTCGTGCAGCAGCCGTGGCCGAGGACGGCGCCGAGCGTCACCCACCAGTAGTCCTGGCCGGCGGCCATGGCGATGGTGGCGATCTGGCTGCGGTCGCCCCACTCGCCGAGGAAGGTCATGACAAAGGTCTGCACCCAGGCCGGGCTCAGGAGCAGCGAGGACAGGTTGTGCAGGCCGGCGAGGAAGCCGCCGATGGCTCCGCCGCGGGGGCTCGGGCTGCGGCCGGGAGACGTCGACGGGCTGCGAGGCGGGGTGGGGAAGCGCGACTTGGAGCGCGGCTTGCGGCCGAGGCCCATCTCGAGGGCGTACGGGGAGATGGAGGAGCGGCGGCGGCCCTGCTGGCGGGCTTGGTTCTCCTTCTCGGCCAGCTCGAGCTCGACCTCCTGCATCTCGGCCGTCACGCCCTCGTCGCGGCTCATGGCCAGACCCTCGCGGAGCATCTTCACGCCAAAGACCAGAAACAGGCCGGCAGCAAGGAAGCTGGTGACGCGCTTCGGCAGGAGCGCAGGGACGGTGTGGCCGAGAATGGCCGAAAGGAGAGTCATGGTGATGAGGGCCGAGAAGGCGGCCGAGAAGACAACCATGCGGTCGTGCTTCATGGCCATCAGAGCGGCCACGAGGAACGTCTTGTCGCCGATTTCGGAAAAGAGAATCATGGTGAGGGAGAGGACGAAGGAGTGCAAGGGGCGAATGACGCCAGCCGACTCCTCGTCGACATCGGCGCCCGTCTTGGCCGAAGAGCTCTTCGAGCCGGGTTTGGTGACATCGAGATGATCCTTGTTGGCCGAGTTGGGAACCGGGGGGCCGCCTTCATGGGTCTTTTGGGGCAAGCCATCGGGTTTCTAGATAGATCATCTGTTAGTATGCAATATAATTCGAGGATGAACGAGCACGACCAACCTCGAGGCCGGTGACGAGACCGGGAGCATCCTTGCTCCCCTTCTCTTTCGCCGTCTCCTTTGTCTGCTCCTTCTCCTTCTCCTTGGACTTTTGCTTCTCCTTCTTGTCCTGGCCGCTGATGATCTTCTCCTGTTCGCTGTGAGGTAGGGGAGGGGCCTCCTTGGGCGTCTCTGGTTTGTTCTGCGCCTTCTCCCCGGTGTTGCTCTCCTGCTGCTTGCGCACCTTGTCCTTCTCGCTGACGCCGCCCGACGTGCCCGTGGTGCCTTCCTTGGGCTCCGGCCTGTTCTTGTCGTCCATCACGCCGTCGTTGGACTCGGGGATGATCTTGCCGTCGATGATGTGGACGTCCTTGGGCTTGTCCTTCAACGGCGGCTTCTCCTTGCCATCCTTGTCCTTGCGCAGGTTCTCGACCTCGACAAAGGGGCCGGAGTGTGGCCTGCCGTCCTTGCCGTCGACGGGGGCATCTTTGGTGCCAACCTCGTACTTGACCTTGGCAGGCGCGGATTCGACCACAGCGGCGGCGGCACCGGCGGCGGCGGCAGGGACCGAGGCAGCAGCAGCGGCCGCCGCGGCTTTTGTGTCAGCCTTGTCGTAGTTTGATGATGAGGCGAGCGCGGCTGTCGCAGCTAGGGATGGGATGAGCAGGAGGAGCAGAGGTGATCGGCGCTGTCGTAGTCTCATGGTCACAGCGGGGAGCGGTCGTCAACCAAGGGTGTTATAGTCTCGACGTCTCCTGATGAAAGGAGGAATATGCTGAGCAAAAAGAAGCCCACCCTTGCAACAGTTGCGATCAAATCAACGCAACAAGTCGCCGAGGAGGAAAAGGAAAAGGCTCGTCTGTCGTCTGTCGTCTGGTCTGAAACGGATCGAAAGGACAGGAAGTCGAGAAGCAGGAGGAATGGGATTCTCTAGGTTTAACGTGTTTCTCATACACGCTAGCAGGAATGACGGGGTTTGCTGTTTGTCGAGAGCCAATCGCCACCAACCCCGATGACCGTGATGACCTCGACCTGGGAAGAATTGGATTAAAAAAGGAGAGTCGTAGAATCGGACGGAGGGACCAAAGAGAAAGGCAAGGGAGGGAGGTTCGTGTTGGAGCCTCAAGAAGCCAATGCACACACACTATGGATTAAGGAGAGATGGAGTGTGCGAATGCTGGTTGGGAATTTTTTAAGATTTGCAGCCACATTTGCCAGCCAAGACCAGTGGAGGTCGAGTTAGGACAAGATGCGATGGGATGGAATTGACTGCTAACATGCCCTCCAGGTTGGCGCACGAATAACAACTGGAGGTTAGGTAACTAGGTACAAGTAACTAGCTGTAGTACTGTAGTGCCATCCATCCTCCCCTTTCTTCCGCAGCCCACTCAGTCTCGCGACCAAAGCACCATCGAGACGCCTGTTGAGTCCACTAGAGCGTCGCTGCATGTGCCAAATGCCCACCGCGCGCACTCTCAGATCCGCACCCGCACCCGCTCGTGCCACTTCCAGCGCGCACCCAGACACAGCCACGCCATGCTGCTGGGGACCGCCCCTGGCCTGTTGCCAATTTTGGGCGGCCCGCCCTGCGCTAGATCAGGCGGTTGACGTATGCTGCAATTTGCATCCCCCAGGTCTGGACTTTCACTCACAGTCACAGACATGTGCAGATCCCTATCTAGATCTATCTACCTATCTCAATGGCATACAAAGCCAATACCGAGAATAGAACAGAAAAGAGGACTCGGAACAGTCTCGCGATTTCACTATTGACATCCATGCACAGATTGCCCGCCTCGGTATGGCTGGACTACCTAGGTAGGTAATGTAACTACAAGTACCTAGCCAGACAAGCCAGACTTGCCAGGACACCATTACGATATGCCTTCCCTCCTGGGACCCACCCCGCAGCATTTCAGTTGCACCCGTACGGAGTACGCTGTGCGCAAGCACGCCCATACGAATCCGCTTGCCTTGACTAATCGCCCATTTGCAATCCACAGGGATGGATGAAAATTGGTCGAGATCTGGTTGGGCGGATCCTCTTTTTACGGGAGAGAGATCTTGGGAGTTGACACGCACGCGCGTGCTCTGCATGCCCTGACTAGCACTGCTAACTAGGGAGGGGCTCTTTGGAAGCGATGGCGCGGAATCCCAAGATCGTTGCCAGACCTGACCAATTCCATCATTCCGCGCCGCAGATGCAGGCAGGTAATACAGTAGGTAGGTGAAGTACAGGCGAAGCAGAGAGTTGTGTCTGCGGCGGTTTGCAGCAAACATGCATGCACGTCCAGCACGTCTAACAGTAGTGAAGTACTTGTCCGTACAGTCAAGCTGGTCCGGTTTGGGATAGATCCTCGGCAAGCCGTTGCACTTCTGCCCCCTCCTGGCTGGTCTTGCTCTTTTGCGTGTAAGGGCCAGCTATGCCCCTTATCTTTATCGGGCTTGGCTCCCTGGAACAAAGCGCCCGCACCCCCCCAGATCTGTGGAGACGTAAGCAATGCTTGGAGAAGGTACATGCGACAGTGTGACACAAACGTGTGCTGACAAGTACACCGACCAGAGCTCGCGCTTTTTGGCTGAGCTGTCCTCTTGTCTGGCGCCTGTTAGCCCAAGAGACCCTTACATTCAAAGGTAGCCAGCACTCCAGCAGCACTCACAAGCGGATTATCGAGCGTCGAACTCGAGATTCTTTCTTGCGAACAGGTACCACCAGACTTGCAGGCATCCTCAATTGACCTCCGACGGGCATGCGGTAGCAGAGACCACATTTGCTGCTGTCCGGCTACACGCAGCGGAAGTGCCTGCACTTGCACGCGCACACGCACCAAAGCGAATCTTCACACCTCGAGAGTTCTCCCGAACAGAAAGAACCCTGACGAGCCCCCCTCGCCCACGATGAACGGCTACGACAGCTATGAGAAGCAGCACATGGACGAGGACGCCTTTGGCGCCAAGGCGGGAAGCATAGTCAGCGCCTTTGACGCATTCCGTGAGTAACTAGCACCACCCTCTCTCGTCCATCCGTCGCCCGCCCGCAAGCCCTTCTATTCTATATTGCCTTTCCCTCCGCAAACTAACCTCCGGGAACTCACACGCCCCCCGACGAAACAGCCAAGGCGAAGCCCCAATACGTCACCCACACCTCGGGCGGCGGCAAGTGGACCGTCGCCATGGCGCTCCTCTCGGCCGTCCTGCTCTGGTCCGAGCTGGGCCGGTGGTGGCGCGGCGCCGAGGCGCACACCTTCGCCGTCGAGAAGGGCGTCAGCCGCTCCATGCAGATCAACCTCGACGTCGTCGTGCGCATGCGCTGCGCCGACCTGCACGTCAACGTCCAGGACGCCGCCGGGGACCGCATCCTCGCCGCCACCATGCTGCAGCGCGACCCCACGGCCTGGCACCAGTGGGTCGACGGCGCGGGCATCCACCGCCTCGGCCGCGACAAGCAGGGGCGGCTGCTCACCGGCGAGGGGTTCCAGGCCGCCGCCGGGCACGAAGAGGGCTTCGGCGAGGAGCACATCCACGACATCGTCGCCCTCGGCCGCAAGCGGGCCCGCTGGGGCAAGACGCCGCGCGTCCGGGGCGAGCCCGACAGCTGCCGCATCTTTGGCAGCCTGGACCTGAACAAGGTCCAGGGCGATTTCCACATCACCGCCAGGGGCCACGGCTACATGGAGTTTGGCGAACATCTGGACCACAGCGGTATGTTTCTCGTCATTGCTCTCTCTAGGCTGGGGAGCTTAAATACTGACTGCCCGATTCTAGCGTTCAACTTCTCCCACATCATCTCCGAGCTCTCCTTCGGGGCATTCTACCCTTCCCTCGTCAACCCTCTCGACAGCACCGTCAACACCGCCTCCTCCAACTTTTACAAGTTCCAGTACTTCATGTCGGTCGTCCCGACCGTCTACAAGCACGGGTCCAACCCGCTCTTTACCAACCAGTATGCCGTGACCGAGTCCAGCGCTGCCATCTCCGAGCGGACCATCCCGGGCATCTTCTTCAAGTACGACATCGAGCCCATCCTGCTCAACGTCGAGGAGACGCGCGACGGGCTGCTCGTCTTCCTCATCAAGATTATCAACATCATCTCGGGCGCGCTTGTCGCTGGGCACTGGGGCTTCACAATGACCGACTGGCTGAAGGAGGTCCTCGGCCGGAGGAGGAGGCAAGGCACCACCGAGGGCATGCTGGGAAAGAAGCCGGGCTACGAGGAGTAGATAGAACGAGTGTACAACCACGGCCAAAACGAGCATAGGTGGATACGGGGGACGAGTATAACTATCTGAGGTTGATGCGTGCTTGCAATATACCAATCTGGGTTAGAAGAGAAATAAGAGAAATAAATCAAGAGACGACAACATTCCCATCTGGTTAGAAGAGAAATAAATGAAGAGATGACAACATCCCCAGACTGTGTTAGAAGAGAAATAAATGAATCAAGAGATGACAACATTCCCAGACTGTGTTAGAAGAGAAATAAATCAATGAAGAGATGACAACATTCCCAGACTGTGTTGGAAGAGAAATAAATGAATGAAAGAGATGGCAACATTCCCAGACTGTCGCCTAGGCCAATCTCGAGCCAGTGATAGTATGAATTGGCTGATCAGGCCCTGAGCTTCTGCATCCACAAGTCGAGGTTCTCGATCTCGCGACCCTCGCCGGACTCACCCCGATTGATAGTCGCGTAGTAGAAGGGCTCAGCAGAAGCAGCAGCTTCCTCGCGGTTCAACTCCCCTTTCTTCTCGGCCTCCCAGTCGTGGAACTGGGCGATGAGAGCGTCCAGGGCCTTGGAGATGTCCCGGACAGACTCGGGGACGGAATACTCCTGGTAGGGAATAGGGGGTCAGCAACTTTGGTCCACTCATCTCATGGGCTGCCGGGCGGGGCGGGGGCGGGCTATGATGGGATATATATATATACATCTCGTACCTCCTGCTGGTGGTTGTCGACGGCCCGGCGCCGCTGGTCCCTGAAGATGACGGTGCCGTTGGCGCACAGGGCCGCCAGCACGACGAAGTAGTGCTGCCAGGCCCTGCGCAGGTCGCCGCCCGGCTGCGCGCGCAGGGCGGCGAGGCCCGCGACGACGCGCGCCTGCAGGTCGCAGCCGGTCTGCAGCGTGAGCACGGCGTCGAGCTGGTACAGCACCATGCGCGGCATCGAGGCCTTCCCCCGCAGGGGGTAGCCCTGGTCGTCGACGACGCCGCTGCGGGCCAGGACCTCCTCGTCCGTGGTGGACGGGTCGAGCGAGGCCGAGCCGGTCTTGTGTGCTGGATGGAAAAGTAAGCAAGCAGCAGAGGTTAATATGGGTATTCATAGATAAACAACTGGGGATTTAGCAAAAGATGCAGCAACAACATACCAGCACAGAACATGAGTGCGGCACAGTCCGGGAAGAGGCTGGCGTAGGCCAAGGTTTTCTGGATGGCATTGTCAGTTTGAGAGAAGAAAGAGGGAAGGGAAGTGTTATGAGGGAGGAAGGAAGTGTCCCCCTTAGACGCCGCAGCAACACTCCAATGTTTTTTTATCCACTGATGTTGTAGATACAGGGATTTATTACAGGGAATACCTGCCTAAGAGGGCAACAACTGCACGTGATGTGTTGCTGCGGCGTCTAAAGGGATAAAGGAGGAAGGAAGTATAGGAGAGGAGAAGTATAAGGGAGGAAGGAAGTGTAAGAGGTAAGAGAGGGAGAAAGAGAGAGAGAGGGGGGGGGAGGAAGGAGGGGAAGAGAGAAAGAGAGAAAGAGAGAAAGAGAGGAAGAGAGAAGGGGGGGGGGGGGGGGGGGGGGGGAGAGGGGGGGGGAGGATAGAGGGAGAAGCCGGTAAGTGAACGCACGTACATCATTCGCCTGGGCAAGGGCAGCCACAGCGCTGATTGCCCCTCCCTGCCTGCTCGCCCACGCGAGAGCATTGTCTCTGATGTGCTTGTCAAAGCGCTTGCCAGCATCGACAACATCCTGAGCGGCATAGGGAGGCAGCTCGATGGTCTTGCTCTCGCCCGCAGGCGAAGTCCACGAGCGCGAGAGGACATCGCCCTCGGCAGGCTCGAAAGCCGCCACGGGGAGCTGGAGCGACGGGACGCCTTCAAGGACGCTGATGCCAATGTTGGCGACCGATCCGCCGGTCGCAACATGGTAGCCCGGGATGAGGGCAAGCCGGGCGCTCTGGTCCAGGTCAAGGACCTCCTTGGACACGGGCTTGAAGCGCTGGGTGCCGAGGAGCCCACCGGCTCTGAAGAGCGGCCCAGGGGCGGTTGAGAGGGCCTGTTACATGGCAAAAGGTCAGTCGACATCCGAGAGGTGTGTCTGTTGGGGTGGATTGAATCACCTGGACACCGGCCGTGTTGACGTCTGAGGATTGCTTCATGATGACTTGAGGGAACTAAGCTGAGGGAACTAAGCTGACTTGGATGTTTTGCAAAGGTCTTTGAGAGATGTTTCGAAGAATGTGAATGATGATGGAAACAGATCAGAGTCGAACATCGGGGGGAATCGAGGGCCTTTTTATACACGAGAGGGAGGGGGGAAGACCTTCAGACCCTCGGGCAACTCGTCGGGCAACTCGTCAAGCAACTCCTCAACTACCTCACTCACATCTGTCGCTTCGTGTTGGAGCGAAGACACCGGAGCCACTCCACCAAGAACAGAAAGAGTCAACCCTCCGACGAGGGTGCCATCATGCAGACCTCCCAATCCTCTCCACGGGCATGGGCGATCACGGGCTAAGAAGTTGGCACTCGCAAAGACAACGCATCTTGACCAATGGCACCGGCATGCGAAGGGGAGAAGGGGATCACCTTGATGACGCTGAGCCCAACTCGGACATGGCCAAGACGCAGAGTCCAATGGGGGCCCCTCCCTCCAGGCCTGTGTGCGTGGAGCAGATGGTGTGCATCCAGTGCATCCAGTGCATCCAGTGCATCCAGCAGTCAACATGTCATTTTCGAGGCCGGCCGAAGTCGTCCTCGATGCAAGTTGGGGGGGGGCAGGGGGGACAGCTCCCGCGTGAACGGTGCCGTCTCCACCCGGGGTGATGTGCAGCGGGAGGAAGACAGCGGGAAGACACCGGTCTCAGGCAAGTGGGCGGCACCAACCGGAACCAATGGGGTGTGTTGCCCGGCCCCGCAGCTGCGCCATCGAACGCGGAGCACGTTGGACAGGCGGGCGACTAATAAGCTTTGGCCCCTAGCTCGACTTGACGTCTTGCCACATGCACGAGGACCAGGAGGACCAGCAGGACCAGGGTGTACTTATGGAGCAACACCCCCCCCAACCGCCCAACCCGTATGCAACCACTACACTCGTGAGAAGCCTCAATTTTTCACCGGTTTCAATTCAGACTGTGGTTCGACATGCCATTGTTCGCACGCCAAGATTCCTCTGGTCCTGCATCCCTGTGAATCGAAGCCGGTGAATGCAGTCCAGCCATCACGCACCACCTCGCACCACCGCACTAGCCCCAATCAGGCACCCTCCTCCCTCCTCCCTCCTCGCATCCGAGAAAAAACGACAGAACGGCCACGATGTGCGCGAGATCGATGCGAGGGCCGCCCACAACACGTCCCCGAGGCATTTCTGCACGGCGATGGGATCCTACAACGTTCCCAGTTCGACTTCTTTTCATTTTGCAGACGACGACAAACTTCCCCCGTGAGAAACGACCGCATATTGGTCCTGTTTGCGTAACCGGGAATCTCAATTTTCGACAACCTGTACGCCCGGCAATCGAGGCATCACCAGGCCCAGTCTCCAGTCTCCAGTTCCCCCCTCCCCGCTGCGCTTGACCAGGCATCCTTGACTGCAATGCACCCGGGATGCGCACTATCACAGATTACTGCCACACGAGAAATTGAAAATTGTTGCGTAAGGATAACGCGGCACAGGACCAAAATGCGTGGTGGCCATGGCCGCAGGTCAGGTCTCGACTGAGATCAAGAACAAGGAAATCCGCAGCTTGCAGCTTGCTCCCCCCCTCCTCTTCTCCGACTATCACGCAGATCCGTGAGCCGACCTTCGCTTCTTTTCTCTTCTTCTGATGGAACATACATGTATGTCACCTCACTGGGGCCGGGAACGAGCACCCAATAGGTTCTTGTACTGTAGCGCCTGTCGATGACAGGTCATGCAGACGCTTGCTTGCCATTCTGACTGACTCGGCAATATATGACAACATGTGCAGGTAAGTCGTTGGGTTAGATGCCATCCGGGGCAACACGCAAGATGGCTGTTACTTGGTCCAATCGGCCTCGGCCGTTGTCTCGCCGTCACCCCCAACCGTCTTTCCCCTATCCCACTCTCGCTTCTTTCTTGACTCCGCAATCTATGTCCAACATGTGCAGGTAAGTCGTTAGGTAGATGCCATCCGGAGCAACACGCAAGATGGCTGTTACTTGGTCCAATCGGCCTCGGCCGTTGTCTCGCCGTCACCCCCAACCGTCTTTCCCCTATCCCACTCGCGCTTCTCTCCCTTCTTTGTCCACTGGAAGTCGCTCCAGTCCGCATCCGCAGCACTGCTCCCGAGGCCTCCTCCCTTTTCCCACTTCTTGATCTGGTCATCCGAGAAGCCTGCCTCGCGCAGCCGGTCCCCTCCCTGCTGCTTCCACTTCTGGCGATCCCTAAACGCCTCCACAGCGTCGTCCCAGTCGTCAGCTGCTGCCGGGTCTGCGTATGGCTGCACGTCCATCTTGGGGTCGTAGGAGGCCGAGAACCGGCGGTCGATACCCGACGAGCTCGACGCTGCCCCTCGGCCGCGCGGTATAGACGCTGCAGCAGCAGCAGGAGGGGGGGCGGGCCCAATGATGTCCTCCAACGGGTCTGAATCGTCGTCCTGCTTGCCTTGCTTTCCGAGCCTGCTGTGTGATTGTGATGCGTGTTTACCCTTGTTGTTGTTGTTGTTGTTGTTGTTGATGTCTGACGTGCGTCTTGCATCTCTCCTCTCGCGTCGGGCATCGGCGTCGAGGCCGGCAGCAGGAGGTTGCTGCAACGGCGACCTCTCACGACGACGATCTCTCCTCTGCCTCGCACTGGGCGAACGTGACCGCTCTCTGCGCCTCCGGCGGCTCCGCCTGTGTGTGTGTTCTTCCTCTTCTTCTTCTTCTTCTTCTTCTCCCTCATCTGACGTGTCGTGCCGCCTCTTGCGACGCTCGCGCGACCTGTCCTTGTGATCCTCCTCTCTGCGCCTCTCCCTGCGGTCGCCCCGGGACGACCTGCAGGGGGGCGACCGGCTCCTGTCTCGGTCTCTCCGATGTGACCTGGACGAGGACGAGGGGCCGTCCTCTCTGGACGACTTGTCGCCCTTCTCTCTTGACCTGGACGAGGACGAGGGGCCGTCCTCTCTGGACGACTTGTCGCCGCCCTTCTCTCTTCGTTCTGCATCCTTGACATCCCCAGCGGCCTGGTCCCTCTCGCGGCGCGGTTTACGGCCCGAGAGGATGGCGGCGATGTCGCCGAGTTGCCGCTGGCGGACGTCCTTGGGTTCTGGTCTGTGTTTCCTCCTCTTCTTGTCTTCGGCTTCGGCCAGCTCCTGTAGCCTTGCCTGCGACTCGGCGGCCTCTTTGGCCAGCAGCGCCTCGTTGTGGTTCTTGGTCTCTTTGATGATGTGTCGGAGGAACCGCGTGTTGGGCTTGCTCTTGTTGGCAGGTCTTTTGGTGGTTGGGGAAAAAAATCAACTGTTAGCAAAGTATAGGGTAGGTAGTATAGTGTCTGCAAGTTTCCGGCATACCTCGACGGGGATTTGTAGCCCTCGAGGCCCAGCGCAGAGTACTTCAAGGAGCAGTCCCTGGCTTCGCTGGCCAGGACCTCGGCCACATAGTCGTCTGTAAGGATGTCGTCGTCGTTCTTCTTGGAAGCCATTGCTCGCCACCAAAAGTATACACCTGGCTGGACAAATAGCACTGCTGTAGCTGCTTCCCAAAAACAAAACAAAAGAACAAAAAAGAACAAGCAAGCAAGTTAAAAGAGATCGCGGTCAGAGCCGACACTGCAGGGGGAAGAAATGCATGGGCGAGTTACTGGTTCTGGCTATGTGCCCTTTGCCGGAGGGCAAGCCATCCAACTTTTTGGGGGGCATCGACAGCGGGCGAGCTTATCGATAACAGGGTACACAGGGGGATGCCAGCACTGAGTGACGCAGTGATCAGTGACTCGATCAGCATGGATGTCCGTGCTGTGTTCTGGTGGGACACCAGTGATAAGACAGTGGACGCTAGCCTGGTTTCGGCTCAAGTAAACATCCATGGATGGGCGCCTGTTGACCCATCTCCATCTCGTGAACATCACAAGACAGATTCGATCCAAAGGTGTGTAGTGTTGCCCATTCACATTGCTGTTTGTCCGAGCTGAAACTAAGCTACCTGCAAGACTATAGACCAACCCCGGCAGCCCCCGTGCGGCTGATCATCACCACCAAACGCGCGGCACAGGGCTTCGAGACAAGCTTCAAAGGGGTGTCGTGGTGCCCATTCACATTGCTACAAGATTCTTTGTTCGCCCCTGAAACTAAGCTATCTGCAAGACTATAGACCAACCCCGGCAGCCCCCGTGCGGCTTATCATCACCACCAACACGGGGCACGCCTCGAGACTGTCAACAACAGTGCACAACATGGATCGCCGTCGGGTCGAGGAGGTTCTCCGCAAGCTGGACGACTTGCAGGAGGGGGGAGGGCAAGAGATATCCATCCTCAAGATCAGCGAGCCGATATCCAGCGCGATGGGCCAGGACGCCGCCAACAACACGGCGGCGGCCCCCCGCACGTCGGACGCCTCCAGCTCGTCCATGGACGCGGGCCCGACGCCGGCGAGCCTCGAGGCGGACCTGGCGCACTACAGGGAGCTGTTCGCCAAGCTGCGCTTCTCCTACGTCGAGCAGGTCACCAAGGAGAAGTTCATCCGGGCCATCGTGGGCGACCCGCCGCTCATCGTCACGCCGCAGGACACCGTCGCCCTCGAGACGCAGAACCGCACGGCCAAGTCGCAGCTCAAGGCGCTCAAGGCGGAGGTCGCCGACGCGGTGGCGGAGCTGGAGCGCAAGGGCCGCGAGCTCAGCCGGCGGTACGAGGGCGTCCGCGCCGAGGCGGCGGCCCTGCGCGCGCTGCCGGACAAGATCGCGGGGCTGGAGGAGCGCATCGCGGCCCTGCGGCGGGCGGGGGACCCGGGGGCAGGAGACAACCCGCTGCTGGCCCTACCGCTGTCGCGCACGCTGCAGCTCGTCGACGAGCGCAGGGCCGAGCGGCACGAGCTCGACCGGCAGCTGCAGCAGCTGCGGTCGCAGGCGCCCCGCAGGCACAAGGAGGCGGAGCGCCTGCAGGCCGAGCTGGGGGCGCTCGAGGCGCGGCGGCAGAACACGGCGGCGGCGGCGGGCGAGGCGCGGCGGCGCAAGGAGGCGGCGCTCGGCGGGGTGCAGGACGACCTCGAGGAGCGGGGGCGGTGGTACCGGGGCGGGGAGGCGGCTCTGAAGCAGATGCTCGATCTCGAGGGTTGATGGTCAGTCAGGGTCAGGGTCAGGGAGTTTGGTTCACTTGGGGCGGACGGGGTAGTAGGCGTTGGTGGGCAGGGCAGGGCAGGGCAGTTCAAGGATATCCGGCGGGCGACTTGGTGGAATGGGGGGCTTTATGGGACTCGGGAGGCGTTGATTGGTTTTTTTGAGGGCTACCTACCTATTATACCACAACATTTGTACATTGAATTGCAATGATTTCTCTTCTCCATGCGCGATGAATACAATACCAGAGTGTTGCTGCGAAGGATGGCTGGCGAGCAGGACAGAACAAGTGCTCCAACCAAACCATCGACCTTGCTTGGTACCACCAACACTAGCGTGCGTGCAGGTGCTGTAAGCCGCCGCACCTGGCAGTCATATCACCATGGTAAGACGGCAAGGAGACAACATCTGAACTTTGCTCTCCTTCCCTCTCTTTTTGTACAAAAACACGGAAAGGCACATCGAGGGCATCATTATCGCATGCCAAAGAATGATGTATTTTGTGTCACCAACACGAGTAAGTGCGACAGAGACTGACTTGATCGCGACGTCCGGTATGGCGGGCCCGTTTAACCTTCAAACACAGAGTGTGTGGAAGACCCAAGGAAGCTGAGCCGTGCTGCAGCTTCTCAATTGTCCAAGTGAAACCCGCCGGGCACGCTGTCTAGGTACGTATGTGATATAGCCGAAATCAGAAATCAGTACAGACATGCCTCATGACGAGCCCATGGGACGCAAAAAGTCGGTAACGCGAGCAGCAGCAGGGCATCATCCATGATCAATTGATCTCATCCCTGGCGGGGCCCTACCTACTGTAGTTCAATCCTGGTCAGGCGATGGATGGCGACAAGTAGCAGGCCGCTAGCCAAGTGCTGTGATAATGCGCGGGGGAAGCCCCGTTCCGGTGGAACCAGCTGCGTCGGTGGAGGCAGCCACCGTCGTTTAGGTCACTTTACCACTCTCGAGTCAACCATGCTTTCTCGCTTTCTTGCATTCTCAGCGTGTGTCTCGTCCCGTGGAGGACATACCTAGCGTACGGCATAGCGCCCTTTCCAGTCAGCCAGACTCCAGTCCACAACCTTGGAAGCCCCGTCCCATCCTTACCTGTCGTTCGTAGTAGCCACAGCGAAGCGGCCGCGCGTGAGCCCAGGTATTAGCGTCCCAGACACCACTACGGCGCACCACCACTTTCCGTCCTGCTCCAACCACCAAACACAAACAGCCCCTCGTCCTTTCTCGGTATTGCTGCTGCTCTGGGGTTGTTTGATTTATATCTTCTCAGACTGTCCGACCGTCCTCGACCTGGCCCTCTTCTTTCTCCCCATAGTTCTGATCTTCTCTCTTCTTGGTCCCCGCGCTGCGATTCTTCTTTGGACGAAACATCTTCTTTGCCCTTCTTCCCGTCGTTCCGACTCGCTTTGTTCCCCAAAGACTCGGGAGACCTGGGCTGGATGCTGGCCTAGATGGTCGCCGTCGTTGTGGTGCGATAGCCTGTTGAACCAAGGCCTGGCCGTGACGAGACGTCGGTCGTCGGTCGTCTGGCGCCGCTGTGCCCTTCCCATTGATCCTCTTCTGATCCAGACTATTGGGCGCAGTCCCACTGACACAGCATATCCGACACTATGCGGCCTCCGCGGATGGCCATCCTTGCCCTCTTCTTCGCCGCTTCCCTCTTCCTCCTCTGCCGCGCAGTCACCTCGTACCGCCGGCCCGACCCCGTCGTCGCTCCTGTGGCCTCGTCCAAGTCCCGACTACAGTCCTTCTTCTCCTTCACAGCGCCCTTCACACTCTTCCCGCCCAACGCGGCCATCTCGCTCACAGATGATAACAGCACCTTCTTCCCTGCGAGGCCCGCCGCCTTTGGCCCCCCGCTGCCGTCTCACGGGCTGAGTGGGCAGCTGTGGATCGGCAGCGGGTTCGGCGATGACAACCTGCAAGACGGCGAGGCGTCGGGCGAGCTGGGCTGTAACGACATCCCCGGCTGGGAGGCTGGCACCAGCACCAACTTGGCGCTCAAGACGACGACCCACGCCATCAATACCCACAGCAAGGCCGTGGCAGACCTGGCCAAGGCCCAGAATAGCAAACGTGACGTGGACGGCATGACCAGAGTTCTTGTTGACAAGGGCGATCACTACGAGTTAGAGCCTCGATCCAAAGCCAAGCCTGTCGACGACGGCACGGACGATTACCTGCACCAAGGCCTACGAAAGCCCGAGATCTCGCTCCGGGAGACGACTTCGGGGCCGACCAGCCATGCCGACATCCAGTCCATCCAAGAAACCGCCGAGATCACCGGAAAGGTCGTCCTGCTGAGGCGAGGCGGCTGCGGCTTCCTGGAGAAGGTCAAGTGGGCACAGCGACGCGGCGCCGTCGGCGTCATCGTGGGAGACAGACACAAGGGCGGGCCCCTCATCCAGATGTTTGCTAGGGGCGACACGTCCAATGTCACGATCCCGGCGGTGTTCACTGCCTACACGACAGCTCATCTGCTCTCGTCCCTCATGCAGCCCGGAAGCTTCATCGAGGACATCATCGACGATAATGGCAACGCCGCACTCAAGGTGCAACAGTTGGACAAGCCCAGAAAGAACAAGATGGTCAAGCAAGCAGGCGCGCCGACAACCACGCGACCTGGAGCCAAAGTCATCACAGCAACGCCCAAGCCCAGATCTCGGCACACCAAGAAGGAGGCTGCCGTGGGCAGCAGAGCCGCCTCGTCCGGCCGCCACCCTGGCCTGATGTCGCGGCTATTCCATCGGGACGTTCGGTCCGATGCAGGGGCTGAGGAGAGTCGTCCGCCAAGCAGTGGACGTCTCGATTGGGTTCTGGTCGACGACTGGAGCGAGGAGAAAGACAAGGCCATTAGAACTGGGCTCGAGAAGGCCTCGGATAAAGGCTCCAAGTCCAAGGCTGGCAAGGCACCCTCTGGCACCGAGGATAGTTTCCAGATCGGTGTCCAGGACTGGCGTGATCCCGATCTGGTCAGTGCAGATAGGAGCACGCCAGGCGATGACGGAGGATCACCGGGTTCAATAATCACGAAAGGCACTACTGGCAAAGCCGACAATGCCCCCAAGCAGAGTGGGAAGCAAATTAAGGATAACATCGGCCCCAAGGGCGGGAGCATCACTCCAGGCAGCGGCGAGTACACAGAGGGCAGGCAGACACCCGAGTCCCCGGCGGCGGGCGATTCGAGAGCGGCCGCTCCGGGTGGCCTTATGTCCAAGATCTTTGGCGATGATGACGGCGCCGACTTTTCTCCTACCGAGCCTCAGATGAACCCTACCACCACTCCGATTGTGCCGGAGCCTGATCTCGGAGATGTTCCCCATGAAGGGCTCTGGGTCACCATCACTCCGACGAGCAGCGCCAGCCCCTTCTTCGACACCCTCCTGGTGCTGGTCATCAGCCCCCTCATCACTCTCAGTGTGGTGTATGCGCTGCTCATCGTGAGGGCGAGAATCCGCAGGCGGCGTTGGCGTGCGCCCAAGTCTGTCGTCGAACGCCTGCCTGTCCGCACCTACCACACCATCGCTCCCTCGCCGAGTCTTTCGCCCCGAGCTCCCTCTCCCAACACGTCCTCCCCGACCACTCCGCTCCTCCAAGGCAGCAGCACGCCTCGCCCCCGGCCTCGCTCTAGGACAACTACCGGTATCCCCGAGGCCGACCTGCTGACGGTAGACGCGGCCCTGCAAAGGCCTAGGTCGCCAGCCCGGGCCGACGGCGAGCCTGGCTCGTCTCACATCTCGAGCGAGTGGAAGAAGTACATGGCGAGACAGTCGGAATGCGTCGTCTGTCTGGAAGAGTATGTCGATGGAGTCAGCCAGGTCATGAGTCTACCGTGTGGCCATGAATTCCACGCGGATTGCATGTGAGTCTTTTCTATCATCTCCTCTCCTCTCCTCTCCTCTCCTCTTTTCCATCACGGATTTTGGTTACTGACCTACCATACCACAGCACGCCTTGGTTGACTACTAGGAGAAGGACCTGCCCGATCTGCAAGGGCGATGTCGTGAGGTCGCTCGCTCGAGGGGGCGCCTCGAGTCCGAGATATGAGCCGTACCAGGACGACAGCGACGACGAAATCTCGCGCATGCCGTCCCGCGCGGCGCATCTCGCCGACGTCAGTGCGGACATCGACATCGAGCAAGGCATCTTGTCTCCCTCGCCGCAGAGGATTAGGCGTCCTCCGCGGCCGGAAGGCTTGTTCAACATCTTGCCCGGCGGGATAGGCCCGAGCCCCGGCCGGTCGAGCTGGAGCACTCCTCATGACCGGATCCGTTGATTCGACTTTGCTCGGCTTCGGCGGTGTTCGCCATGCACGACGTGTGTTGCGGTGGGGGGGAGTAATGGGGAGGGGCGACACACCACATTGTCGTCGTGGACAATGCTTTATATCACGGGTTTACTTTGTTTGTTTTATTGGTGCCAGGAGCATTTTATGGACCGGATCATGGCGCGCGCCTGCAACACACTGCTCACACAGTTCTCATTGATACCTTTTTCTTCTTCTTCTCATTTCCTGCCTTTGCTCTGACCGACCTTGATCATGTCGGGGCAACCGGGTATCTCCGGTAATTCTATTTATTTTATTGTTTTTTCGTCTAGCTAGTAGGCGTAGATATTGTGTCAGGGGACAACGCAGAGAAGGGGGGGGGGGGGGGGGGGGGGGGGGGGGGGGGGGTGGGGGGGGTGATATATACCCGGCCTCTTGCTCCTCGGTGGGGGAGGAGGAGGTTGTTTGGAATAGAAGTTGGGCCCGTCTGGGCTTTATTTTCTTAGAGACTGTGCTGATGATGCTGGATGCTGGATGCATTTGCGTGAAATGATGACTGCTCGATCTTGTGCATGTTTTGATCTGCCAGGATCCTGCAGCCCAGAGGTCACTCCTCGACATCAATGATACGAGGGGGAGTTGCGCTCTTTCTTCCTTTGCAGATGGATGTTGAACCTGCTTTGCATGCCTCCCCCATTCGGATCATCAACACAACCAGGCAGGCAGGTGGGTAGGTAGGCAGGCAGGAACGCCTGCTGTTTCTGCTTCCATTTGGACTGCTGCCGTTAAATAACTCCTGCTAATCCCAACATCTTTCTCTTCTTTCTCAACCCGAGGCATCTAAGCCCTCGCGCAGTCTTCCTTTTGAGGTTCAATCTGTTCTGTCTCCATCCTCGCTTTTGTTGCTCTCATTCCAGCTTCACCAAAACAGAACCAAGTGCTGTTTGAGTTCTTGGACGCGCCAACGTACCCTCATTTAGTGCTGTTCAGCGTACCCTCATTTACTGCTGTTCAGCGTACCCTCATTTACTGCTGTTCAGCGTACCCTCATTTACTGCTGTCGGACTTTCCTGTGTGCGCCAGCGCACCCTCATTCACTGCTGTTCTCCCCGTCACAGGCGACGACTTCAGTGAACTTCGGCGCCCATTAGGGGGCATTCCATTGGTGTGGGGCTCACTACGGCAGGTGTGTCCAATTAAGCTCATTCCGCGCTTGTCATCACGATACGCGACGGGCATCGCGCTCACCTTGGCATACACTGATGCGAACGGCAGGAAGGGGCTAATTCTCATCATCTGTCTCACTATAGGGCTCTTCGATTGCTGGATTACCACCAGTCGCTGGGACTGGGCATCGAGCGCTGACCTCTCCAGCTCACGACAACGGCTCACCCTCGCGAGACCGAAGTTGCGAAGAGCTCGTGCATCATGCGCAAACCTCTTGCGCATCACGACTAATCGTCTTTTTCTTTCACCTATCTTGTCTCCTGCCATAGAATCTTCAAAATGAGCACCCCGAGGTTCTTGACGCCCGCCAGGGTGGTGATGCTGGCACTGCTGGAGCTTTATGTTGCCGAGGCCGTGCCGAGTTACGCGTTCCTCAACGTGTGCTCCTTTCTGGCGGCCGAACTCATCGAGAGCGGTCCGTCCGATCCCGGCATGTCCGGGAGGAGCTGGTCCAAGGCACAGCGGACCGTCCGGACTATCGTGTCCATACAGGATTTCGAGGCGCTTCTCCTCCCGCACATGTCGGCCATCGGCCTGCCGGGGCGGCGCCTCTGGGATGTCTTCCTGAAGCGCCTCTGGGATCTCAATTCGCTCCACAAGATGCAAGAGTTTTTCGAGTACATCCCCGTCATGTTGGCTCTGACCAGAGAAGAGAAGCGCCGCATGGCCGAAGCCGGCCAGGACATACCGCCCGAGGAGACGATCCGCTTCACGGCCAACTCGCCGTGCGGCAAGTTCATTCGGCGGTGTTACCTCGAATTCTTCCGGCTGCGCTTCCACGACGTGGGCCATCTCTGGAAGGAATTCGTCAGGTACAGACAGCCGACGGTGGCGTATGTCTCCAAGAGATACCACGATTTGCCGGCTCTGAGTTTTGATTCAGTACTACAAGAGGGCCAGCACGAGTGGCTCGATCGAACTGGCGATGTAGCTAGTGTCGTGTATGGTGACGTACTTGTTGACCCGCAAGCTGCGCAGCTACCCGTCTCCGCGGAAGATGCTGAAAAGCTGCTCGAGTTTCAAGTCGACCAGATGCAGAGTGGGTTCACCTACCTTGTCGTCTATCTGCAACGAGGTCGCAGGGGCATCAGTGCTGACTTTCCGGCTTGCAGAGTACAACACGCGTGTTCCTCCCCAGTTGAGGCGTCAATTCCACTTCCTTCTGAAGGATGTTTCTATGCTTCCGAGTCTGTCACACTATCTGAGGTACCTACTCTCGTTCTCCCTTTGCGCCCGTGAGTGGATCGTGCTTGCTGATGCTTTATAGCTACCTCGAGGCATGGAGATCGGGCGATTACACGACCGCCTTCGACTGCCTCCATCGCTATTTTGACTACACCATGACAAATAGGGACCGCCTATTCTACCAATACGCCCTCTTGAACCTGGCGGTGCTCCAAGCCGACTTCGGCTGCTACAAAGATGCAGTCTCGGCCATGTTGGAGACGGTGTCGACGGCGAGAGAGAACCGAGACAACACATGCCTCAACTTTGCCCTGAACTGGCTCTTCCACTTTGGACAGGCGCATCCAGAGTTTGTCAGCGAGCTCGAGTCCAACAGCATGCTTGGCTCCAGGAAAGAAAGCCTGGCCTATATGAGGGTCAAGGCCAAGGAGACTGGCGCATGGGCTCTCTGGAGTAGCTCTCTGCTCAGTGAAGCCAAGATGGGCATGTCACATGGGGACAGTGTCGCAACTTGTGCCGAGTACATGGTCCGGAGCTCCCAAGTCATTGTGCGGCGGAACCTCAAGACCATCATGGGCCCGCAGCTCAACGTCTCCATTTCTTTATGGGATAGGCTTGGCTTGGCCTCCCTGTCACGCATGACGTGCGAAGTCTTCCTTCGATGTCACGCGCGCAACTCGACCTTTGAGGATGAGCTCAAAGTCATGAGTCGCCTTTCCTCGTTGCTGGCTGGGAGGGGGAAGTACGACGAGGCCATGGAAAAGCTGGAGAGCATCGACAAGAACTCACTGCGGACATGGAAGTCGAGTCAGTTCTGGCGCAAATACCGTGGGTTCTTGAAGCTGCGGAGAGATCTGCACCGCAACGACCTAGACGGCGCCGAACACTTGCTGTCCCAGCTCCTGCAATGCCAAAAAGACGAACCTCACTCCGACATGTCGTTCATTATCGACGCCCTGCACGTCGAGTTCCTCGAGCGTCGGGGAGATTTCCAAGCTGCGTTTGCTAAGGTCGAGCGGCTACTGGAAAGCATCAGCGACACGGATCATGATATCATGCTACGTATGAGGTTATTTCTCGTCAAGGCTCACCTCTACAGCAAAGCCGGACGCCCGCAACGAGGCTTCGCGCTCTCCATGCGCGCCGCCCGTCTGGCCTGGCGCGCCAGGTCCATGCCCCTGCTGTGGCAGGCGATCGGGGCCGTGGCCAACGTGCTGATATCCCTCGGCGAGTTTGAGGCCGCGGCCCAGATGCTGCTGCCCGTCATCCCGCGCGCCATAGAGTGCGACGGCTCGTACACGGTCGGCGAGCTGTACTCGCTCCTGGCGGACGCTTACGTGGGCTGCGCCGGCGAGGAGGATGCCGCTGCCGCTGCCGCTGCCGGCTCGACGACGACGACGAGGCGGGCGGAGCTGAACAAGAAGGCGCACGCGACGCTCGAGAGGGCCTCGCTCTGCTTCACGGCTGTCGAGGACGTGGAGAAGCAGTGCGAGATGCTGGCGAAGCAGGCGGCGGTCATGGCGGCGCTCAGGGACAAGGCGTCGGCCAAGGTCTACCTCGACCAGTACCGTGTCTTGAGGAAGGTACCGGGAGGGGTCTGACGAGAGCCGAAGGGCCCCTTACGTGGCCGGCTGTTATGGTTGGTTCTGGAGCTGGGAGCAGTATGACGGGTCATGTCATGCCTTGGGTGTGTGGCGGGTGGTGGGGATGTTGTAGGGTCTCGGAACTCTCTTTTGTAGCTGGCTTGGGGGTTTGCCTTTGAACATACATGACTTAATGGGAAAGGCCATGCATGGCACAAGAGGCGACGGGCTTGGCAGGGTGTTTCTCCTCGCAGAAGAATCTCGAGCGGCGAGAGGGTCAGGACGAAGCGTTCCCCTCGTTGCTAAACCCAGATAATGTACGTACGAGGCAACGTTTCTGTAAATCAATGGTACTACTAGTGGCCTTTCGGCTCCTTGAAGACACATTTGCCCTTCTCCAGAGGGAACACGTAACTTGTTTTTGAAATGGTTTGATTGATTGATGGTGAGACTCAAGGAAACATGTACCATGTTGACCAGGCCTTCTTCACCTGCTTGTCCAACCGCCTCTACAACCCCCCTGCCCCAGTTTGTTCCACGGCAACCACAGCTTCGTAGATCAACTAACTAATAGCTCAAAAGAAAGAACCAACTTATGACCGGTCCATTAGTGTTCTGCCGGCTTAGGTGGTCTTGTCCTTGTTGTGGTAGTTGACCTTGTCGTTCCAGCTGTTGTTTTTTTGTCTCGTTGTTAGTCACAGAAAGACAGGGAAGCAAAAAACCAAGTCTCTTGTCTGTAGAGTTCTTGGGGAGTAATAGCCAAAACACGTACAACAGGGTCTTGTCGCCGTCGCCCCACTGGTAGTTCTTGGTGCGGATGTTCTGGTAGGGGTACTCGACGCGCTCCTCCAGGGGGGGCATGTGGCTCCAGTGCTCCCAGTGCTCGTTCCACAGGTAGTAGGCGTTGATGGAGGCGGCGATGAGGGCGGGGATGGTGCCGCTGTGACGACTTTGTTAGCTTCCCTGGTCTTCCGAGTGCAAAAAAGTGTCGGGTCCTGCTGCTTCGGTCCTCCTGTGCCTGAGACTGCCAACAACATCTCGTCATGATGCTGTACATTCCACCTCTCCCGCAGAGTATTTCCTCTTCTCTCCCGGGTGCGGCCTTTCGGATGCTCGTTCGTGAATGCTCGGGAGGGGGGGGGGAGAGGAAATCGGGCTGGGGGGGCGCCGGCATGCATCGAAGGGTATACATACTAGATCGAGATCTTCTTCCACAAAGCTGTTCACCACGCATCATGTTAGCAACCGTTCGTGAGTGCTCGATGTGAACCCCAATGACTGGGACCCCAATGCTGGAAAAACACGCCACATTCAGGGGAGCTCCAAGCTAAGCTTCGCAGCAGCCATCCCAAATGGTCTTTCCTTTCCCGACTCGAAACGGACAGGCCCAAAAAACGTACCAGTGGTGCCGGCGGCGTGGTCCTTGACGGCCTTGCGCTCGCGGATGAAGGCGTTCTCGGTGCCGGAGCTGGCGGTGGCCGGGGAGCTCATGAGGCGGCGCTGGGCGGGGGCGCGAGCCGCCTGGCGGGCGAAGCGCGGCGCCGAGCGGAGGATCTGGCGAGCGTTGAACATCTTTTGAGAGCGGAGAGGAAACCTATAGAAGGAGCGAATTGACGGTGAGCGGAGATGGTTCTCGGAGAGAGTTCGGGTGGGTTGGAGTTGGGGGGAGGAGCACGAACAGAAAGCAAGATGGTTTGGGGATTGATTGTATGGGAGGATGGATGAGGTCAATTGAGCAATGCTCCCGAAGATCAGGTCATGTCATTTTTCCGAGGGACTTTGCTTATCCCGTGATTGGCCAATGCTCTGGGCGTGAGCTGAGGGTGCCCGAGTCAGGTGAGAGGTCATGTGACCGCGCGTCCTCGAGGCGCCCCCCGGAGATTTGAGGCACGTCATTGGCGATATTTGGCAGCGAGCGGCCGGTTTTGGAGTAAGGCTCATCTCATTGGTGATGATGAAAAGGCGTGGTGATTGTTTGACCGTGAAATCTTGATCGAGTCTTTGATTTTCCAAGTGAGGGCATGCTTTGTTGGCATCTCGAGAGGCAGGAACAAGCGACGCCCAGGCACCCCCGCCAATGTCCTCGACATCGCGTGAAGTGAAGTCACGTTGGTTGGGGTGCGGATGAGCGTTCGTACCGGTTATTCACCCGTTGAAGCCTTCTTAGACGTACCTTGCCAGTCTTCCCGGGCTGGGCGAGAGAAAGGCGCAAAGATGGGCTTGCGCATCACGACCTGGAACGGTGAGCTTTTTGTCCTTGGTCCTTCGCCTCTTCTCACAGTCTGCTAACCAGCTCGGCAGTAAATGGCATCAGGTCTGTGGAGAACGATCAGCGCCGTTGGGTGCCAAGCTGACGGATGCTGCAGGAACCCGTTCGGGTACCAGCCATGGAGCCTCGACCGGACATTCCAGGTGAGTCCTCACGTTCCACAGCCCAGAGTCCTTCACTGACCACGCTCTCTCCAGGCCATGTTTGACATCCTAGAGGCGGACATTGTCATCATGCAAGAGACCAAGATCCAGCGCAAGGATTTGCGCGACGATATGGTGCTCGTTCCGGGATGGGATGTGTACTTCAGTCTTCCCAAGCACAAGAAAGGTAAGCTCCGCCAGACATTCCCGTTCCATGCATGGCCGGCGACGGTGCTGACAGTCTCGCTCAGGATACTCTGGCGTCGCTATCTACACAAGGAACTCAAAATGCGCACCGATCCGCGCCGAGGAAGGCGTCACGGGCATCCTGTGTCCCCCCAATTCAACCACCAAGTTTCGCGAGCTCCCCGAGGACCAGCAAATCGGCGGGTACCCACATCCCGGCCAGCTCTCAAGTAGCATCGACGAAGCCACCCTCGACTCGGAGGGTCGCTGTGTCATCCTCGAGTTCCCGGCCTTTGTCCTCTTCGGCGTGTACAGCCCAGCCACCAGAGACGAGACCAGGACCGAGTTCCGGCTCGGCTTCATCGAGGCGCTCGACGCCCGAATACGCAACCTCGTCGCCATGGGCAAGCAGGTCATCCTGACGGGAGACCTCAACATCATCCGCGACCAAAGAGACACGGCTGGCCTCGCCGAGCAGCTCCGCAAGGAAGGCGTGACGCTCGACGATTTTCTCTCGACGCCGGCGCGGCGATTTTTTAACCATCTGGTGTTTGGCGGCAAAGTCATGGGAGAGCGCGACGAGGGCCGCGAGAAGCCCGTCATGTGGGATCTCTGCCGAGAGTTCCACCCGTCGAGGGAGGGCATGTACACGTGCTGGGACACGAAGAAGAACTGCCGCCCTGGGAACTTTGGGAGCCGCATCGACTACGTCGTCTGCACCGACGGAATCAAGGACTGGTTCGTCGACTCGAACATCCAGGAGGGCTTGCTGGGGTCGGACCACTGCCCGGTCTACGCCACGCTGGGAGATGTCGTGAAGCATGACGGGAAGGACATCCACATCGAGGACCTGATGAACCCAGCAGGCATGTTTGAGAACGGACAGCGCCTGCGAGACTGGACCGTCAAGGATCTGCTCCCCTTGTCTGCCAAGCTCATTCCCGAGTTCGATCGCCGCCGAAGCATCAAAGACATGTTTTTCAAAAAGCCCAGCTCATCGACGAACTCATCCACAGCCAAAGCGCCCACAATAAAGCCCGTCAACAATAACGGCAGTTCCTCGACGTCGAGTTCGAAATCCCAAGAACTCCCCGAAGACACCGTCAAGACTGAGACTCCTCCCCCGACGCCCTCGCTTTCGCAGACCTCGACACAAACAAGCCCCCAGAAACGCCAGCTGGCTCGCAGCGAGTCGGCCAGTCGGCCCCAGAAAAAGAGCAAAGCAGCCTCGGGAAGGGAAACATCAAACAAGACCACTCCTGGCCCCGGCCAAAGCAGCCTGACTGGCTTCTTCAAGCCCAAGTCCTCGACGGTCGAGGCCAGCGCTGCTTCCAGCAACCCTGGCAAGAACTCGCCCGCTCTTGCTCTTCCCTCCGAAGCAACCACCGTCCCGCCGAGCCTCCGCAGCGAATCTCTCGATCCGGAGCAACCCCCAGAAATCGCACAAGAAGAATCGCCGCTACGCACACCAGCGAGTGCCTCGGCAGACAAGGAGGTCTTTGACCCCATACAGAATAAGGAGTCTTGGTCGAGGCTGCTCGGCAAGCGGGTGCCTCCAAAGTGTGAGCACGGCGAGCCCTGCATGAGCCTCGTCACCAAGAAGCCTGGCGTCAACTGCGGTAAGTGCTGCTTCTTTTCCCCTTCTTTCCTCGTGAGATGCCACCTTGTCCAGGGTGTCCCTTGGTGTCGTCACACTCTTGACCAGGATTCGCTGACCCAATCTCCAGGCAGATCGTTCTACATTTGTCGACGGCCGCTCGGCCCATCGGGCCAGAAGGAAACGGGCACGCAGTGGCGATGCGGCACATTCATATGGAGCAGTGACTGGACTGGAGGGCAGCAGTGAGGGGAGCGACGGGAGCGAGGGCTCATGACGGACGTCGAGGAAGAGGAAATGAAGTGAAGCTATTCCCATATCGCTTTCCAGCTAGATACCCTTTCAATGTGATGATTCTTTCTACTGAATCTCGTCGCTTGCGGCTACCTTGCTCCTACGTGCGTGAAGACTATGCCATCATCGTCGCGGGGCAGTGTTGAAGCTATCACCACCATCCGCAAGTCCGGGCGCTCACGACACATCACAGGATCACAAGAGGGCAAAGGGGACGCAATAGTTTGGTGAACTCAAGAGTTCTTTTCTGTGGTGTTTTAGTCTAGTCTACCTAGGTTATTGTACAGGTGTTTCCTCCGATTGGGAAGGACTCGATGCTGATGATGATGATGCAGATGCAGATGCAGGTGTTGTACAGAGTGGTTGCTTGCAATGTTCGCTCTCCATCTCTTGCGGTGCCGACAGCCTCGAAACCTTTTGCTGTTTTTTTTTCCTGTTTGAAGAGCCGAGGAGGGGAAAAAAACAGAGGAAAGCAAGCATTCCTGTTGTTGGTCGAAGAGGCCGTTGGACTGACAGAGAGATTGGAGGAAGAAAAAACCCGGCCATGGCGATGTGGCGATGTGGTTCGAACAAAAGAAACAGCCGATGCAGATGAATGAAGATGCAAGGAAAAAAAAGAAAGATGATGACAGACACGACAAGGAGAAACAAGCAGTCGAGGAAGTAGACGATTTCCTGTCTGCTGCTGGGGCTTTTCCATCAAGACTGGCGAGATTGACGGCTACTTGGCAGCAGAAGACCGAGGTCTTTGCGAAGAGAGAACCAAGTTGAGAGCCAGTGATGATGGATGTTCTGTTCCAGCTCAAGCGGCGCCGAAAAGAACAGCCAGGTCAGTGGCAGAGGGAACCAAGACCTCATTGGCAACATCCGTGTGAAGCTCATGAGCAGACAAAAGCTGCTTAGGAGCCCGAGCACGGCCACGAGCAGCGCGAGTCGCATTGTACCGATAGTTAGGGTACAGCTCCTTGTGCTTGGCGTCCTCATCAGCAGCCAAGTTCGCGAAGTACTGTCTAACGGCGGTCTTCTCGTTCTTCCACATCTTGGAGACGATGCGAGCTGATCAGTTAGCAAGATCCTGGAGAAGGAAAACTCAGTGAGAACTTACAAATCTCAGCAGCGGTGAGGGTATTGTCAACCTTTCGAAGCTGCTTGGACTTGTTCTGGCGGTAGATGATCCAGGCATTCTTGGGGCGAGGAATACGCTCATGGGGCTGATCAATAGCCGAAGCAGCAGCAGCAGTGTTGGTAGTGGCACCTTGAGTATTGACAGGAGTGCCAGGCATTTCAGTGGTCATCTCAGCCGAAAGGTCGTAACCGATAATCTCAGCGACGACAGGGTCCATGTCTATGTGAAAGTCAGCATGCTATCAAAGCAACGGAATGGGGGGGACAAACGCTTGACTTCAGTGAGCAGGAAAAGGTCAGAGTTGAGACCCGAGTCCTTGCGCGAGATGCGGTACTGGCGCTTGGCCACAGAGTAGTGAACGTTGACATCGGCACCCTTCTGGGAACTGCATGTGTGGAATGTGAGCAGTCGAAATGTGCAATCGTAAAATAGAAGAAACTTACGCGAGTGCAAAAGCCGCCTGAAGGAGGTAGTTCATGCCGACAGTCTCCGAGACCTGGAGCTCCTCGCCATCGAGGCTGATGAGGAAGTTGCTGGAGGTTGGCTGAGCCATGATTCCGATGAAGCACCGAAGTGAGGTTGAGTGATGGTATGTAGTTGGGGAAGATGATTTGATGATGCAGAAGGTCTTTGTGAAAACCAAAAGGAATCAGAATCGAAGGACGATCACAATTCCTATTGTGTTTGGAGAAAAGACTTCTGAAAAAAGTGGTGAAAGGGGACAGGAATTGGGAGTTGGTGGGGTGGGGGCAGAGAGGATTTATAGAATCAGAAAAGCTGGCGGTTCAACTTCGGGGGCGGGTTTTTTTTGAGAGAGAAAGTGAATTTTGTGCGGTGAGTTCAGTTACGACGAGGGATACTTTGGACTGAGCAGTGAAGAACTTAGGCAGATGTGTTGCTGTGACGATGAGGTCAAAGTGAGACGAAAGTGAATGGGGAGTTGCAAGAGGTTTTTTTGGGAGAGCTACCTCCGTGGCCCAGACTACCTAGGTATATTATGCCGCCATTTCTCCCCCTTCCCCCTTCCCTATTCTTTCTTACAACCATCAAGCGAACTGCCAAAAGCAATCTCAAACCCGAGGCAATTTCCAAGATGGAGTTGTCCCAGGGTCATGACCCCGTCCTTCTGGGCCACAATGATTATCAACGGATCATACAAATGGCCAAGCTCAGCTCACCCGAACTTGCTTCAAAGCTCGACAAAAACCATCTCGTTGAACGCTCCGTGGAAGTTCAGAAGCAGGCGCTGATTTCGTCGCTCGTACTGAAAACCCAATCCTCCACCCCTTTTCAAACCGCCCTGAGCGTAATGAAGAGATATCAGCCTCCTGGAGGGCCATCGGTCTTCTCGCATGCAGCCGCATCTTTGAAGACACTCTTGGGTAATCTCATCTCCTACAGCATTGAGAAGGGGGTCCTTGAGGCGCTCTGGAGAGACTCATATCGCGTCTCTCTCGAGCCCCGAAACGACGCTGCACCAGTCATGACGAACATCTATCCCGACTTCACGGTCGGCTCCACACGACGGAAGCTCCTCGAAACAAACCTCCATGTCCTCCAATATCGAACAATTGGAATCATCCGCCTTGTCATCCAGATGGGCCTCAAGCAGCAAACTCCCATTCCTTTCGTTGCATCGCTGGTCGAGGAGCTTCTATGCTATCTTGAATTCAGAAAGAACGAACTACAGAAGTTGATGCACTGTGAGGAACAGGCTACTGTCAAGCCTGGAGGCGACTTCGATCTGAGTATCCCTAAGGATCTGAGGATTTCCTCCGAGACAGTGGAGTATTTTACCACTCGCAAGTTTTGCTTCGAGGAGGCATATTTCGATTCACCACTCATCAAGATTCCCGGTACACTTTGGACGAAGTGGTTCTGTGATCTGGACCAGGATTTCTTTCGCACCAAGGAAGCTCAAGTTGTTTCCCTCACCTTGCCGGAGTCAGGGTACTTCCTAGCTTCACCTGGAATGTACATTTCTCGCCGTAATGGCCTACGAGCGGTAAGAACCAAGCTCCCCTCGTTGCATGGCTATTGGACTAATCATTCTCTCAGAGAGGACTTAATATCCCATACGAAGATCATCAGGTTAGCACCCTCAATTGAATTCGCGAAACATCTTTCTGACAGCACACAGGCACAGTACCGAAGACTCTCACAGGCTTCAGGCGAGCAGTTCCCACCAGTAACTCGAACAGAGGTGAGTAAAATTACTCACTCAATAGTCGAAAATTTTGGAAATAACAATATCTTGCAGAGAATCGTCGTGATGACGAATGTTCAAGACACCATAGGCGATCCATTCCGAGTAAGTTTAACATCTACCTCTATATTCAAGATACATACTGATCAGAATTAGAACCGTCCGACTCAGGGTCGATACAAACTCTCTTACTGGAATGAAGTTTGCTGCGCGGTCGAGAATGAGCCGCGTCAGAACCTGGCTCAGTCACAGGAATCTACGGTCTCAAGATTCAGGACATATGGCTGGTAATGGCCGGGGGTGGGTAGTGGCTATGGGAACAACTGAGGCCACACATTCTTTCACACAGGGTTACGCAATTCAGTTCATTGTAATTGTAGCCAGATGTCTGCAGCCAGATATCTCTAGATGTCTATTATCCAGTTGAACTGTTTCTTGAGATGATTATCGCCACGACACTTTGTCCTACATGTTACCATCCCATAACATCACACCCGGATCCACGGTTGTGTGGGAATACTGACCGGCACTTATGGGTGGAACTTCGGGCTCTGATGCTCTAGATATAGACCAATGCATGGAACTCGGGCAAGAGTTGTTTGAATTGCTAGGGACAGAGCCGGGTTCCGAGATTATCTGACTCAACTCTTCCTGGTTTGATGTTTCAGTAGTAACACGCGGAATGAACATGGTGCTGCGATATTTGACGGCCATTTTGTCCAGAAGACTTGCCATGTTGTCTACCATATATCCGTTGGAAATGCAGGTACACAGAAGGTCATACTCTGTCGTGGAAATCGGACCGCTCATGATGATCTTTTGCTCGGTTCTCCTCAAGACCAGATGTCCGGTGGTGTCTATGACTGGAACCCAATGAAAGTGTTCAAGGTATTGATCTGGCGGAATAAGTCCCATCACCGGACATGCGTAGTCGAGAAATGATCGTACGGGTACATTCGCTTTGCCAATTTCATCTCTTAAGAAAGAGTACACCCGGGAAATCAGATTCCATTCGTTATGGAAGTTGTCGTTGGCCCATAGCACGGTCAAGAGCCGTGATCTCTCCTTTTGCTGAGTTTTCACGAAGATGCTGGCATAGTAGGCTATGGTTGTGCCACCATATGATGAGTAACCGATCTTCTTGTGAATTGGGCTGTGGAGGTAGCCTTGTGTATGGATTGCTTACTTCGAAAAGCGAGGAATCCGTTCAAAGCGCGCCTCTGAGAAGGCATGGCCGAACGACCCCGTGGTCTAGCCATGGCCGTCCGCCGGCCCGAGTGCGCACCGCCCCGGAGGACCGGCGGATGTGTGTTTTCGTCAAAAGGACAAAAGGTGCCGGTGCGTCGTCGACGGATTACCCCGGCGGGAAACAAAAACAGGAGAGGAAGAAGAAATAACTCTCAGGGCCCAAGAACCATCGTTTTCTCAAGCTGTCCCGTACTTTGTCCCCCTCCTGCGGGATCAAAAGCACGTTTTTTTCGAAAGAAAAGATATCCGGATCGTGGGGGGTCGTTTTCGTTGTCGTTGTCGTGTTTTTGTCGCGGCAGCAAGCAAGCAAGAGAAAGAAACGGACGAGAAGGTAATATAGGGACCGGACCCGTCTCGGCTCGCGGGAGGAGAAGACAGGGAAATGAAGCTCAGGGAAATCAGCGGATTCGCCCACGAGCCCCCTCCTTTTTGCCGTTTTCGTTTTCAGGAGAACCAGCACGGCTGGGAGGAGGGGCAGGGAGAGGGAACAAAGGGAGGGAGATCACGCAGCGTTGTAGACGTGTGCCGGGCGGTTGTCAAAGAAATGTCTGAAAGCATCAAAGGGGGAAGAGAAGGGGCAGACATTGGCACGGAAGTTAGTAGACATGGTGTTATAGTATATTTACAGTAAACACCCCTAGCTAGCTAGATCCCGGACCCGGAGAGTCATGGACGGCGATCACAGGAGTTGATACGACTCAGCCAAAGGCATCATGACAGCTGAAAGCGCCCATCCAAGTAAGCTTATACACATCGCAAAGGAGGGGGGATGGTCGGCGGTGGGCAGCCATGCCGGACGTCGGCCACTCACTCCACTCCCTCGCCAAAGTCAAGTATAAACGCCAAGCATGAGTTAGTTAGGGGCGGCGGCGGCGGGGGGGAGAAAGCAAACCCGCTAAGCAGAGACAGTACGGGGGCCATGACAGGACATGTCACGGTGCCCAAGCCTGGTAAACTATAAACTATTCCATTACACTATTCCCAATATCCCCCGCCCCGAAACGGGGGGAGGGGGTGCGCTATGCCATGTCAAATAGGGGGGGAAGGGGGCGGAGGAGGGAGGGAAGGAAAAACACACGTCTGAGCAAGAAGTTTCCTGCCCGTCGGTAAACTATACAGACCGCCAGCCCCCCTCAACTGCCCGAACCGACCTTTTTCACATCTCTTGCTATCCCATTCCTTGCTCGGGGGTTCCAGAAGTACCTCTGGTCCCAGCCCCAAGTACCTCCTGTCCGCAGAGCCCTTCCCTCGCGTAACCTTAAGCGAATTGAAAAGCCCTAACCTAGAACTGCCGGAGATCTCCCGATGGAGAGAGAAACAGAAAGAGAGAGAGAGAAGCCCGGAGTTCTCCCGACCAGAGAAAGCCGGAGTTCTCCCGACGAAAGGGGCAGTGAGTCACTCAACCTTATTGCGTCGTTTCTGCTGCAACGGGACTAGTGCGATAATATCTATATATCTATTGTGTTGTCGGGCGTGACTCACTCACTCTCGCCGACTTTATTGTCGCCTGATTATACAAGGCAGCGAGATGATGCGGTTGGGAGTGAAGTTAGCGCGAAAGCCGGGCGGCGAGGAAGGGCAGTTGAAGCCGTAGATGCTAATGCTATGCGAGCCAAGGTAGAGAGGACAACGAGCAGATATGCTGCCCGGCTGGAGAGGAGGGAAGGGGGGGCAGATACCAGGGAGGCGGGAAAACGGACCAGGCAAGAGATCGCTGAAAGGAGAGCGCCAGCTCAGCCAGCGCCATTACTCGTCTACAAGAGGGCAGCAAGCAATATCACAACGGGCAAGGTAAAAGGCTGGCGTGGACGATTCGATTCCCCTTCAGCTGGGAGAGAGTAATGCGCTCTGAAGCAAACACGGCAAACCGTCCGTCCGTCCGTCCACCAAGCCAAGCCCAAGCCAAGCCACACGCCGTTCGCGGCCATCGCTTACTTACTTCGTTGATAAAGTCGAGAAACCAAGAAAAAGACGTTGTGTTTGTCGGCGGGCGCGAATATAGTGCCCCCCCCCCCCCTTTCTTCCTGACTCGCCCCCTTTTCTTTGTCCGACTTTCTAGTATGCATACCTTACCTTACTTACTCTTGTCTCCAAAACCGTGATTTACTTACCCATGCAAACTCTCCGTTCCCCATCGCCCTGCCTGCCTGCCTGCCTTCCCTTCCTCTTATAAAACCGTGTGAATAATATCTTTCTTTTTCTGGTTTATTATATTTTAATCGTCCCGAAGATACGGATCCCGAAGGAGAGGAGGGATCAAACCAGTCGAGGTGGGACTAGCCCGCAGGCCGGGGGGCATGCGGCTAATGGGCAAGAAAACGAAACCTCCGTGGAGCTGGAGGAGCTGGGGGCAGCAGAAACCAAAGAGTACCTCGCTTCCGGCGAGGCCGGCCTGCACCTACGAAGGTACACCCTGTTAGTGAGACCCGCACCCATCCCTTCCCAGAGATGATTGCCAATTAGCGCCACGGCTCCCGTCCCAGCGTCGCTCCACCGGTGCATGGGAAAGCTGGAGCTTATCTGGACGTCGCCGTCGCAGCTGAACTAAGAGAGAACAAAGAAGCTCTGACGGAGCTTCCCATCTCCCAGGTTGCCCGCCCGTAGGTTTCAAGACTTGGGTAATTACATCACAGCGAGCCAGTCGCGCAAGAATGGAATGCCAAAAAGTGACAGGTCACAGCCATAAAAAAAAAAAGGTCGTCAATTGCAATTGCTCTAGATAGTACCTAGGTATCCATCATTTCGCTTGCGTCGTCCCCAGCCTGCACCGGATGCTCCAGGTCCGAGCACGGCATGGGGCTTCTCTCCGACAAAAATCGCAGAGAGAAGGGAGCTTGACAGACCAAAGCCCCGTAGATAGCTAAACAGTAACACACCGGAGCTCAGAAACAGTAACACACCAACGCACCAAAACTGTAACAGACCTGAGCTCCTACTTTGTAAAAACACACCAGAGCTCAGGAACTGTAACAGACCAAGGATCCAAGAGAGCAACAGACCAAGGATCCCGGACAGTAAAAGAAGCCCGAGAGCAACACACATAGCTCCCAGGTAGAGAAAAGACCAAAGCTCCAAAAAGAGCAACACACAGTACCGTAGCTCCCAGAGGAGCCACAGACAGCACCAAGGCCAGGAACTGGCCAAGGCACCAAAAGAGAGCAAAAAAACACACAAGAGCACCTAAACATGCTCAAAACACACGCACACTAAAAGGGTCCTTGAAAAGGAAGGAAATGTGCCCAGTTGCCGATCCCCGCGCAGCCCATCAGAGTCCAGCCAGCCGCCAGACCCGGTTTCCAGGCCCAGCCTCCCGTGACGCACGCCAGAGGCTTGGGTCTTCTGTGACCAGCTGCGGATTTTCCCGCGCGAAGGGGATCCACAGAGTAGAAGCTGAAAACAGGCCTCCCCCCCTGTCCACATCCACTCGCGGCGGGGATCGACCAAAATCACACGAATTTCTGTTGAAAAAAAAGAAAAGAAACCTTCCTCTGACGAATGACGAATAACCACAGCTCCCGGGTACCCGGCTAGGTTGGTAGGTAGGTAGGTAGGTAGGTAGGTAGGTAGGCAGTGACGAATGACCTCACCGTACCGTTCACCTTCACCTTGGGGGAAAAGGGAAGAGGGACCGCTTTGCGCTGGCTTGGGAACACCCAGACGGACGGGGTGTCAGACACTCCGTACCCCCCCTCTCTTGTGAATTTTTTTGGGCAACGTCTTCACAAGGTAGTCCGGCGCCGCTGCCTGGGCGGGCGAAACACCCTCGGCTGGCGGCGGCCGCCCCTCTCCCTCACCAGCCTCTCGTGCATGAGGCGGCGCACCTCGAGGAGCGTGCGGGCGTCGTCGAGCCGCTGCTCCCACGTGACCTTGTCGTACTCGGCCAGCAGGTCCATGATCTCGTGCTTGCACGACGATCCGGGGCCGGCGCCGGCAGCCGTCTTCGTCTCCCGCGACGGGGGCGGCAGCGTCGGGCGCGCCTTGCTGGGGCCGTCGCCCTTGGGGGCGGTGGGGACGGGGGCGGTGACGGTGGTGGCCTCCAGCCTCAGCGGCATGGCAGTTGGCGGCATGATGATGGGCAGAATAGCTGGCGGCATGGCGTAGGTGCGCAGTAGTGGAGTCGAGATGGATGGGGAGTCAAAGAATGGGTAGGTAGAATCAATACCGGTAATAGAATCTGGGTGGTGGTATGAGGAGGCGAAAACGTGGTTCTCGTGTGTGTGGAACGGAGTTGGGGAACAAGGGACGGACTCTTTGTCTTCTTAGCTGCTTGCGCTTGATGGATTTCAACGCGAGACAAGGCAGGAAGACAAGACACATGCTCTTGTGGGTGATGGAAGTGAGGCAAGAGGCAAGCATCTGTCTTTGTCTTGGGAGGAGGAAACACCCGTTGTTATACGCGGCGAGAGGAGAGAGGCGAGAGGCTTCTCTTCCGCTTCCGGAGCAGAGACAAGAAACCAAGTCATTCTCTCTCGCCGGTTCGCCTCCCAGTTCCAGTGCCTACTTTCGTAGCTGTGCCCACCACGGTGTGGGAGATGTTGACGTTGGTGGCAGTCCCGTGGCGTCACTGCAGAATCCCGTCCTCTCAGCGTCGTCGGGCGTAGTTTCGGCCTCGGCCTCGTGCAGGAAAAAAGGGGATCAACATGGCTCTCGCAGGCTGCCTTGGTCGCCTTTCCTCCCTCCCGATGTCTGTCGGCCCTGCAGAGAACCGTGTGATAAAAGAATGGTGGACCAATGTAGGGAGCGTCTAGCCGCTGAACCTCCCCCCGGTCTGAGATAATCTCGGAGGGGAGGGGGGGGGGCAGTTGGTTCCTGCTCCGCCAAGGCCGGCGTGTGCGATCGGCAGTGGCATGTCGTAGGTGGTTGTTGGTGTTTGCTAGAAACCAGGATCCCGGTACTCTTGTGTCACGGAGAATCGGCGGAGCAGCGTCTCCAGAATGGGCGTGATACGAAACGAACGCGAGTTGCATGAGTTGAGGAAAGGGAGGGGGGGACCTTATTGGACGGGCACGGGTTCCATGGCCCCAAAGTGACAGCTCACAAAGGGTGCAGGCAGGCAATCAAATCCCCTCAGTGTGTGCAACACGGCTTTCCCTTCCAAGTCTGTTGGTCAGAGCAAGCACATGCTGTGCGATATGAGCAAAAACGGATGGGAGAGCCAATGGGATGCTGCCCGCCAGGGATCAACAGAACGTCAGAACCAACATGACGACTTGGCATCCGAAGGGCCTCTTTCGGGGGCGGGCGAAGAGTGAGACGGGAGTCTGCAGCGAATTTGCGATGCTTGCCTTGCTTTGTCGAATGCCTGTCTGCCAGCGTGCATTCTCGTCGGCTGGCCCTCGCGGATCAGAAGCAATCCGGGCCGGCGAAAAGTGAGACGGGAGTCTGCAGTCTGCAGCGAAATTTGGGGAATGTTTGCCTTGCTTTGCCGAATGAATGCCTGTCTTGCCAACGTGTGTATTGCATTCTCGTCAGCTGCCTGCCCCCCCTCGCGGATCAGAAGCACTTCCGTCCGGCCAACGAACCAGTCGGGTGTCAGCATCAGCGCCATGGCAAACCAACAACCCTAGTTCGTTGGCGGCCACCGCGGCCAGCGTCGGATGGCGTGGTGGTGGTGGTGGTGACCTGGGTCTGGCCGGGCATGGAGTGACGGCTTCCAGCATCGCAAGTTGGAACTTGGGGGGGGCCGGGCGGATGCGAAACCGCCAGAAAAAAAAGGGATTAGCGAGTGTGTGGACGCCACTTTGGTCACTCCGTCCGACGACCCCAGCAGACCGGTATCTCGAAGGGGATGTTTCTGGCGACATGCAAGAGGTGTGGAGGGGGGGGAGGGGTTGGAACGAGGAAAAGCAACAGGTTCTCGTTGCCAACAGAGTTGGTTCCCTTGCGCGCGCAGTAGTGACAGGTTCCCGGGACCGCGGTCAACGCTAAGATCAGCCCAGGACATGGGAGGAGGGAGTTTGTCAGTGACCGGTGAGACGCAGATCCTGGATCCGATGCGTCTTGCCCAGAAGAGGCGTGGCGCATCGGGCTGAGTGTGGATCTGCGTAGGTATGCCTGTCTGCCCAGAAGAACGCTCAGACGTGTGTGTGTGTGTGTGTGTTGTGTGCACATCGGCGGCCACCAAGGTAAAAGTTTGTGTGTGGATACCTATGCATGCGTGCGTCCGTCTGTTTCGAGAGAGAGACAATCGCAGAAAGAAAGGCCGAAGGCAGAAAGGCAAGAAGAAAACAGGCTAAAAAAGAAGGCAACCAGATTTTCAGCCCCCCGGCGAGCTGCGGCGAGCTGCGGCTTGGCAGCAACGGCGGCGGCGGCGATTGGCGAAGCAGAGAAGCTGTGTCGGCGGCGGTTTGCAGAACAAACATGCATGCACGTCCGGCACACACACGTCCAACAGGGCACACTGCCGGCCATGCAGGGCTGCTCTGCTGTGGCCGGGCCGTGGGCTGATGATCCCTGCCCCAAACCAACTGCATTGTGATCCCAATGATCCCTGCCGCAAACCAACTGCACCGTCATCCCAAGGTTGGTGTCATCCCAGGGTTGGATCCGACACACGACATGTCTGTTGGTACATGTCTATTGGTACTACATGTCTGTTGGACAACGGCGGTGCGGGGTTTTCTCGGAGGATCCTGCAGCAGAAAGGGCGAGAGAGATCAATGGCACGGCAGGGAAAATTAGATTGAAGCTGCTGCAGATGTTGTGGATGTAGCGCGCCTGTGTCTTTCGCGGTTAATTGCCGGCCGATGCAACGGTGAACGGTGATCGGTGAACGGTGGTAGTGGTGGTGATGATGATGATGATGATGATGATGATGATGATGATGATGATGAAACGACGGCATCCCTTCCGTCCCGTTCTGTGCACTGCATCTCGTAACCGGGCAGCAACACTGAAAGACATGTATGCATCGAGCCGAAGATGCATGGGTTGTGATTTGGAATTCTTTTCCCTCAAAAATGAGGCGAGCATCACGGAGAGCTGCATGATCAGCATATTACGGAGGCTAGCATGGGAGCAAGGTCGGAGAGGAGCTCGGAGAGGAGCTCGGAAAGGAGCTCGGAAAGGAGCACGGGAGCAAGATAGCAAGGTCGGAAGGGAGCAAAAGGCAACCAAGATGGGATGGGTCGGAAAGGAACCAATTTTCGCGGATCGCCCGCCCAGTCTGTCTTCCAGCAAACATGCCTGTCGTGTGACAAGAAAGAAGGCAAATAAAAAAAAAAGAAGGCTATCTACTATGGAGCAAAAAAAGTAGGCAAACATTGTACGCAGGGGGACATGAAACCTCGTTCCGGCGCCTACCCGTCGGTCATGCCATGTCATGATGCATGCTGGCCGCAAGGCAACCACCGCTGATCACTACTCACTCCTCCCGGTACGAGATCTTGCGCATCTCTCCGAGCCTAGACCGGGCCGCCGACAGCGCATTCTCGAGCTGAAGGATCTCGACCTGCAGAGGGAGACGAAAGAGGGTTAGCCAAACCATGACGTGTAACTAGTATGGATGAATGCATGTATGCAAGAGGAAAACAAAGAAAAGGAAAGCCGAGAGAAGCCGTGCTCCCAAGCACATATCGTGTAACCAGTATGAATAGAATGTGTGTGTGTGTGTGATGACAGAGAGAGAGAGGAGAGAGAGAGAGAGAGAGTGAACATACCTGCTGCTCCATCTCCCGCACCTTGAACTCGTGCGCCCCGAGCGTCGCATAATCCACCCGCTCCTCTTCGGCCCCGCCCCTGCGCTCCCGGATCAGCCCCTGCACCTGCCGGACGAGGGCCCGGCACGCCGCGCCGACCGCCTTGCTCGCCTGCTCGAGCGCCTCCTGGCTGCGGCTCATGAAGCCCGCCTTGACGCGGCTGGCGGCCACGAGCTGCGCCGTCGAGGCCGCCACGTCGTTGGACGCGACGATGAGCTGCTCGGGGCTGTGCCGGCCCGAGAGCACGCCGTCGGCCGTCTCGATGAGCGTCGCCGTCGACGCCGCCACCGCCTTGGCCGCCGACACGAGCCCCTCGGTCCAGCGGTTGTTCTTCTTGTAAAAGGCCGTGCGCGACGACGTGCCCCGGCCGGCCTGCACGATCTCCTGCTGCGTCGCCGTGGCGGCGCGGATGAGCTGCGCGATGGCGTCGGTGACGGCCGTGGCGGCGTCGAGGATCGAGTCGTGCACGCGCAGCTCGTGCGTCGAGTAGCCGTCGCGCGGCTTGCTGCGCAGCTTGGCCAGGCGCGCGGCCGCGGCGGCGATGGCGTCGGCCGCCTTGCTCAGCTCGCGGTCCACGACGTCGCCCAGGTCGCCGCCCTCGCCGACAAGCAGCTTGCCGAAGCCCGGAGCGAACGCCTCGACCAGCTTGTTGAGCTTCTGCAGGTTGATCTGCACGTCGTTGTTGCCGTTGATGACCACGTCGGTGCGCTGGATGGGGTCCATGCCCTCGAGGCGGAAGCTCTGCAGGCCGCGGAAGAGCTTGAGGGCCGACTGGGCCGACTGGCGGGCGCCGTTGACGAGGGCGTCCGTCTTCTTGTCGTCGGTGGCGAGGCGCGTGAGGCCCTTGGTGTTGCTGCAGACGTCGGCGATGGCGCCCGAGCACACGTTGACGGCCTTGATGACGTCGGCGTGGGCGGCGTTGGGCCCGTCGGCGATGAAGTTGTTGAAGGCGGTGGCGAACTCCATGGCGCTGCTCGAGGCCTTTTCGATCTGCGACAGCACGTAGGCGGGCGAGGCGTTCTGGTTGCCGGCCTGCATGGACGAGTCGAGCTCGTAGAGGGCGTCGTCGACGCGCTGGACGCCCGACTGCAGCACCGAGTCGATGATGTCGTTGATCTTGGCGAGGCTCGCCAGGACGAGGGCGTCGATCTGGCCGTCGAGGGCCGAGTCCGAGGCGCCCTGGTTCTGTTTGAGCTCGCTGAGCTCGAGCAGGGTCTGGTCGGTGGCGGCCTTGTAGACCTCGAGCTCCTCCTCCTTGTCGCGCAGCAGCTGCTCGAGGTCGGCGCTGCCGTCGCGCAGGCGGGCCTGGTGGTCCTCGAGGGCGCGCGACTTGGCGCGCAGGGCCTCCTCGAGGTCGGCCATCTCGCGGTTGTACTTGGCCAGCATGGTGGAGAGCTCGTTGCCCTTGCTGCGCTCGAGGTTGTCGGCGCGGTCGAGGGCGGCGCGCAGCTCGCGGCGCAGCTTGTCGACCTCGTCCTTGTTGCTGCCCGTGAGGCGGTCGCGGTCGTGCAGGGCGCGGTCGCGCTCGCGGATCATGTCGGCGAGCTCGAGGTTCTTGGTCTTGATCTCGCGCTCGAGCTTGTCGCGGCGGTCGACGGCCTCCTGGGCCGACGCGGCCTTGAGCTGGACGCCCTTGAATTTTTGTAGCAGATCGAGGTGCTCGTGGCGCAGCTGCGAGTACAGCTTGGCCAGGTTCTCGTACTTGGAGCGCCAGGTGTTGACCTGCTCCTGGAGGGCGCGGATCTGGTCGTCCTTGCTGGCGACCTGCTGGCCGAAGCCGGCCTGCAGCTGGGCCAGCTCGGCCTCGAGGGCCTTGACGCGCTGGTCGTACTGCTGCAGCATGAGCTGGTCGCGCTCGTACTGGGCGCGGGCGTTGAGGTTCTCGCGCTCGAGCTCGGCCAGGCGGCCCTGGGTCTGCCACTGGGCCTGCTGGGCGGCGAGGGCGTCCTGCTCGCGGCGCTGCTGCTCGGCGAGGCGGCGCTGCTGGTCCTCAAAGTCGCGCTGGGCCTGCAGGGCGGCCTCCTGCTGGGCGCGGGCCTGGGCCTGCTGGCGCTCCTCGAGCACGCGCTGCTGCTCCTCGTACTCGCGGTTCTGGCGGTCGAGTTCGCCCTTCCAGAACTCGGAGATCTCGTCGGGCTCCTCGTTCTTGGGGGCGCGGGCGGGCGAAGGGGCGCGCTCGATCTCCTGCTTGGGGCGTGCGGGCAGGGCGGGCGCGGACTCGTCCTCGGCGAGCAGGTTGGGGGGGTCTTGGGGGAGTTTTGGGATGGTGATGAGGCTGGTCAGGTAGCGGAGGTTGGAGCATTCGTAGTAGAACTTGACGAGGCGGTAGTGCTGGGCGTCGTACCTGCCTCGGAGGGGCTCGAGGGCTTCGTCATCGCCGGTCGCTGTGGCAGGTGTCAGCAGGCAGCCAGTAGAAAGTCGGGGGAAGAAGGGGGGAGGCGGGGAAAAGACGTGGCGAGGCCGAGGAAAGACGGAGCGAGGGGAAAGAAGGGGCGTAGGGCAAGAAGGAGTGCGGGGGAAGAAGGGGCGAGGGCAAGAAGGGGCAAGGGCAAGAAGGGCCGGGGGAGGATGGGCGAGGGGGGGGATGGGAGAATGGGAGAATGGGAGCAGGGGAGAGGCGGAGAGGAGAGGGGGAACAGGAGAAGAGGATGAGAGGGGGGGGGATGAGAGAATGGGAGCAGGGGAGAGGAGGAGAAGGTTGCAGGATGAAGCGAAAGAAGGGCAAGGTCGAAGGTCAAAGGGGGAGACCACTAACTCGAGTGCATGGCGCGCAGCATGCTCGTAATAAACTTGTAGATGCCGTAGCTCTCCTGCACGAGCGGCACGAGCGACGAGATGCGGCACTCGTTGTTGCCCGAGTGCCGAAAGTGCGAGAAGACGAGCTTCTGGAACTGGTCGATCTTGTCCTGCAGCGTCATGAGGTCGGTGATGGCCTCGTAGCCCTCGTTGGGGTCGTTGATGACCTTGAGGGAGACGTACTCCTCGTACTCGAAGGTGCCGTTGAACTCGGGGTGCTGCTGGTGGAAGGACAGCTTGGCGAGCAGGAAATAGACGTACTCGCGGATCAGGGGCCCGTACCCGCGCACGCCCTCGCCGGCCATGCCGCGGTTCAGGCTGTCGATCCACCCCCGGTTGGCCATGGCCTCCTTGATGGAGATGGGGTGGCCCTCCTGCAGGACCTTGTGGATGGTGATGAGGGCCTTGTAGGTCTGCACCTCGTCGGCGAGGATCGGCTGTCTGGAGAAGGGTTAGCAGGGTAGAGTAAAAGCAGAGCAGGGCTCGGCTCGGCGTGCAACGGCGGTCAATCGGACGCACACTTTGATGCCGGCCCAAAAGGCCAGCGACGACTTGTTGTCCCACGTGTAGACGATGCAGCTGCGCACATGCTTGCGCTTGGGCGCCGTCTCCTCGGCGTTGGTCGCCTTCTGGATGTTGATCGACAGCTCCTTGTCGGACCTGCGCGGTAAAAAAGCTTCGGGGTCAGCATATATTCTGTGCGGGCGGCGCGGGGGGCGACGATCGGGGGGCTTTTGCTACTGACTTTGCGTGGCCTGCGGTCGCCATCTTTGCGTGTGTGTCCCCCGTCTGCGCGCGCGGGGGGCGGGCTTTTGTTTCGACGTTTGTTTGGGCCGGGGGAGAGAGAGGGGGCGTGATGGTCGGGGCACGCAGGACAGTGGAAGTCGGGGCACGCAGGATAGATGGGCGTGGATAGTCGGGGCGTGGATCGTCGGCGCGTGGATAGTCGGGGCGCGCAAGATGGGCGGGCGTCGGGAGTCGGGACAAGACGCGCGGACGTGGATCGTCGACACGCGAGATGGGCGGGCGTGGATAGGTCGGTGCACGCAGGAGGGGGATCGCGGGGCGTCGATAGCAGGATGCAATAGACTGGAGGGGGGCTGGCCAAGTCGAGCGGATATGCGTCCCTTACGTGCAAACTACCTCACCGCACCGCCGAGAGTGACAGGATATACAACGTGCAGTCTGTTTCCCCAGCGTCGTCAGCCTCGCAAGGTGTCAGTCAGTCTGGGACCACAGCCACAGCCACAGAGACGCGGCAACAAGGCAGCAGAGCTAGTGATTTATCAGTGACTCAGCCACAACAAGTTCGGGAGCGGCGGATTGGGTGGCAGGGGGGTTAGGGTTGTGGGGAATATACATAGGAATGCGCCACAGCTGGAGCCAAAGATTGTCAAATCACAGCGAGAAAAGAGAAATACGCATGCACGGTAGTAATAATCATATGGGCCGAGACAAAAGCAGCGCGAGAATTGCAAGACAAACAAGGATTCCGCCTTTCCATGAGGCGCCAAAAAAGATGCAGGATATTGTTTTATTAGGGGGTGTTGTCGCCATGTTGCAGAGATCCTTTCCCGCAAAACCATTCCTTCTCGATGCGCCAGTAAACAGGGTATTGTATTAGACACAGCTGGCCTTTTCTTTTTTTTTGGTGATTTCGATATGTCAGAGCGCAAAAAAAAGCAGATAGGAAATAGACATCAAGGTCGTGAGAATGCCGGCGAGGGCTGTGCTGTGCGTTGCATCGCAAAAGGGCAACAGAGATAGAAATCGGGTATGATAGCGATCGACTCGAAATGAAGGTAAGGAAAGTAGAGGATTGTAATGTATTGTTCGTCGTGACAGGAGGGGGATCGGGATCGGGATCGGGCTCGGGCTCGGTGCCTCGGGGGCAAAGAACCAGAGACAACAACTTCAGGCCCGGGGACAAGACCCTCAGGCCCGGGATCGCGCAGTGCCCGCGGGCGTCGACATCGCAGAGGGGCCGCCGTGCGAGTGCGAGGTCGAGGTCGAGTGGGCATGGCGCCCGTGTCTGCCGCCGTGGCCGAGCGTGCCGACGTCGTGTTTGCCTGCACAAAAGAGCCGTGTGTTAGTGACATGTCCAATCATCGCAGACAAAAAACGAGACAAAACTCACCGTCGCAGCACGCCCGCACATTCTCCAGCCGGTCCGACTCCCGGTCCTGCTGCTCGTACATCTGCCGCAGGTCCTCGGCGCTGTCAAACGCCTCGCTCGCCTCGTAGATCTGGCCCTGACTCTGGTTCTGCGTGCTCCCCCGTCGCCCCCGCAGGCTGGCAAACGTCCCCGACATCTTGTTGCCCCCCGACCGCCACACCCCGCTGAGCCGCCCCAGCGTCCCCATCGGCGGCCGCTCCGAGGAGCCCCCCGCCGCCTTCTTGTGCGTCGGCGTCAGCGTCGGCACCCGCATCGACCCCATGTCGAACGCCGGCGACTCGTTGCGCGTCGTACGCGAGTTGTACGACGACAGCGACGCCGGCGGTGCTGGCCGGGTGCCCGGGGCTCGCGTGCCCAGGCCGGGGCGGCGTCCGTACGGCGGGTTGAACTCGTCCACGTCCTCGCGCGTCAGCCCCCCCGCCACCTCCTCCGCGTCCGCCTGGCCCTCGTCGTCGGTGCGCTGCAGCAGGTACGACAGCGCGTTGAACCACGTCTCGTGCCGCTGGCTCGTGTGGCACGTCATCTTGACCGCCCGCCCCCGCGACACCACCACCAGGCTCTTCCTATGCAGGCCCGGCGGGTTGGGGTTGTCGTCCGTCACCACCCGCACCGCCTCGATCGGCACGCTCTTGGCCTTCTCCCCGGGGCTCGTAAACGGGTCCCGCTCGCTCCAGTACAGCGTCCGCGTGTACGGGTGGATCCAAAAGTACCGCTGGTGCCGGTACCCCGACATCTCCCCGCGCCCCGCCTTGCGCGTGTACTTCCACAGCGTCTCCCCGATCATCGTCTGCGTGATGGCCTGGATCATGCGCGGGTCCGTGTTGCTGCCGTAGTAGCTCGCCGGGTCCATGCCACCGGCCCCGTGCAGCCCGAACCGGTTGTCCAGCTCAGACACAAACGACGACACCGACGACCGCCGGCTGCGCGCCGTGTTGCGCGACGGCGACTGCACCTCGCCGCCCGTGGTGCCGTGCCCAGAGGTGCCCCGGTTGGCCCGCGGCGTCGGCGTGCCCCGCCCGGACACGGGCGACATGGGCTTCGATATGCTGGGCGTCCGCGGGCGGTACGGGTTCTTGTTGTAGGCCGACGCGGGGAACAGGGGCGGGCCCATGGCGCCGGGGGCGGGGGGGCCATGCGCCGAGCTGGGGGCGCCATGCGCGGATCCGGTGCGCGCCGCCTCGATCGCTTCCCGGTGGTTGGGCGGCAGCGGGGGCAGCGGGGGCAGCTCGCCGGCCGGCCCCGTCTTGACGCTCGACGCGCTGCCCGGCCTGCGCAACGCCAGCCCCTCGACGCTCAGCTCGCTGCCCGCGTCGTCGGACTTGATCTTGTGCCGGATCACGCTGCTGAAGCTGTCCTGCGACACCCGGCGCCGGTGCGCGCCCGGGGTGCCCATGCTCGAGCCCAGCGACTCCATCCGCTGGTGGCCAGACACCTTGCCCGGCCTGGCCGCCCCAGCCACGAGGAGCTCGTCGAGTTGCTCCGACGTCAGAGAGGTCTGGGCGCCCTGGTCCGCAGTCGCCGCGGGCTGCTTGCGCGCCGGCTTGACAAACGAGTTGGTCGAGATCTCCTTGAAGGGGCGCTGCGACTCGGGCGTCTCCGACAGCGGCGTGTCGCTGGGCGACTGGCGCGTCTCGTCCTCGGCGATGATGGGCGTCGACGGCGTCTTGCCCTTGCCGCGGGCGAGCGGGGAGCCAAACACCGCATGGCTGGGCGTCTTGGGCCGCGTCTCCTGCGGCGAGTCGGCGTCGCGGGGGATGATGAAGCCGTTCCTGCGCGGGCTGCGGGGCTCGACGGGCTCGGTGCCAACCCACTGGATCGTCGAGTAATCGAGCGAGTGGTCAGGCGCGGGCTCGGCTTGGGGCTCGACATCCTGCGCATAGATCGTCGACTGCGTCAGGCGCGGCGGCTCGTCCGCCCGGGGCTCCACGTGTTCAGCCCGGATGGTCGACCAGGACAGCGGGGCCGGAGGGGCCATGGGAAGTTCTGGCTCGGCTTGGGGCTCGACATGCTCCCCGCGAATCGAGGCCAATGTCAGTGCCGGGGGCGCCGGGGGCGCAGGCACCTCGGCGGGGGGCTCGGCCACTGGCTCCAGCGACTGCGCGTGGATGGCCGACACCGACAGAGCCGGCTCGACAGCAGCGACAGCAGCAGCAGCAGCAGCAGCAGCGGCAGCAAGCGGGGCGACAGACTTGGGCGTCTCGGGCTCCGCCACGGGCGCGACGTGCTCGCCCCGGATGGTCGACAACGAGAGGGCGGGCGCGGGCGCGGGTGCTTCCGGCTCCGCCCGGGGCTCGACGTGCTCGGCGTGGATGGGCGCAAAGGCAAGCTGGGGAGGCGCGGGCAGCGGGGGCTCGGGCTCTGCCATCGGCTCGACATGCTGCCCCGAGATGGTCGACAGCGACAGAGCAGGCGGTGCCGGGGGCGGCGCTTCGGGCTCCGATACGGGCTCGACGTGCTCCCCGAGAATCCGGGAGAGACCCAGCGCCGGGGGTGGCTGGGCACGAGGCTCGACATGCTCCGAGGCGATGTTGGACATGCCCAGCGTCTGCGGGGGCGGGAGGATCGGTGTGCGCACCAAGCCCAGCCTGCTGCTGGGCGGGGACGGGAACTGCGCGAGCTTCTCCTCCATGTCCGGGTCGTGCTGGGCGCCCGCATCGCTGTACGACAGCATCGACAGGGGCCGCGAGCGCTCGCCGTCCCGCGTGCTCATGACGTCCAGCCACGAGGTCGCGGCGGGGTTGGTGCCCGCGGCCGCGTACGAGACGGCCGACAGGGGCCGCTCCTCGAGAGACCGCAGCTCCACGGGCTCCGTCATCGTGCCGCTGTCCACCATGACGGCGCGGGGCAGGGCGGGGAGCTCGGGCGCCGGCGACGCAGTGCGCCCCCGCGTGAACGAGCGGATGCTGCGGCGGCTGGGCGTCGCCTGCAACGACTCGTCGTCGCTGCCCTCAAAGTCTCCCAGCTCGGCAAACAGGCTCTGGCCGGGGGCCTGCGGCGTGCCGGCGGCGCTGCTGTTGGCGAAGCTGGCCGGGCTGCTCTGCAGGTTGGGCTCTTCGCTCGGCTGCCGCGAGCGCCGCGAGAGCGCCCCGCGGCTGACGCGCAGCCGCATCTTCTGCGGGGGGGCGGCGGCGGTGGGCGTGCGCGCCTCCGAGTTGTTGAAGCTGTACTCGTCTTCGTCGTTGGACGTCGACGCCGTGCTGAGGAACGAGTAGCGGCTGCCCGGCTGGTTGAGCGGGAGGACGGGCGGGCGCTTGATGCGGCCGGCGCCGCGCGACAGGCTCTCCGTCTCGGTGACGGCGTCGTCGTCGTCGTCAGAAAACTCTTCGGCGCCCGTGTGGAAGTCCTCCGTCTCGGTGCCGCGCTCGTGGGCCGTCTCAAAGGCGGCGTCGCTCGTCTCGTTGGCCGTCTCGAAGTGGTCCGTCGTCTCGCCGGCGGCGGCGGCGGCGAGGTCAGAGCCGCGCGAGACCGACGAGCGGAGCGGCGACTGCGACTGCGACGGGCTCGCGTCTCCGTTCTCTTCCCACTCGGGGTCGTCCAGGTACAGCTCGGTGCGGCTGGAGCGGGCGCCGCCGAGCTGGCTGGACCGGAGGGGCTTCTTGAACTCCCTCGAGTCGACCTTGCGGCTGCGCCGGCTGGCAGAGGGGTCGCTCCGCATCTTCTCGAGCTCGTCGCGAGCCTCCTGGAGCATGCGCTTGAGCTCGAGCTTCTCCGTCTTCTCGCGGTGGACGTTGGTGCGGAGGCTCTGGATGGTGCGCTGGGCGTGGTGCAGCGACGTCTTGAGCGTCTCCGACTCGAGCATCGAGTGCCGCGGGGTGCCCTTGACGGGCGACGGCGGCGGCGAGTGCTCGGGCGTGATGTTGTCGGCGGCCGTCTCAAAGTCCTCGTCGCTCAGGCCCGAGGCCGGGTCCCGGTCCAGGACGCGGCCGCGCTGGAGCGAGAAGGCCCGGGCCAGCTCCGTGTTCTGGCTCGTCAGGTCGTCGATCTTGCGCTGCATGGCCGCTCTCTCGCTCTCCGCCATGGCGATGCTGCGCTTGGCCGTGCCCAGCTCGATGTCGTGGCTCTTGACGATGGCGGCGTGCTCGTCGGCGAGCTTGGCGTGGTTCATCTTGATCTCGTCCAGATCGCGCTGGGTCGCGTTCTTGTCCGCCTGGAGGGCAGTGAGGGTCGACGTCAGCTTCTTTTCGCGGTCGGCAGCGTCCTTCTGCGCGGCAAGGAGCTCGTGGACCTGCGTCTCGAGGTTCCAGTTCTCGTCCTTGTAGCGGTGCTCGCTCTCGTCGAGCGTCTTGAGCCGCTGCTCGAATCCCTCGGCCTCGATCTCGAGCTTGGACTTGTCGACCTTGAGGTCTCGCAGCTCTTCTTCGCGCTCCGTCAGCAGCGACTGCAGGTTGCGGACCTGGGCAATCAGCGAGGTGCTGATCTCGGCAGCGAACTCGATGTCGTGCACCCGGTTGGCGGGCTGGTTGCGGATCTTGCGGTTGGGAACGCTGAGCTTGGTTGGGGAGCCCGTCGCCTGGGTTTCGAACTTGGAGGGACTGACGGATCGCTGCTTGCGAGTCAGCACATTGCCTTTCTTTCGGAACGAGTTGGCTCAATCGACAATCACTTACCCGACCGCCTTTGCCTTGCGGTGCAAAGGGAGAGCCAGCGGCCTCGTTGCTGGGCACGCGCTGCTTGGGCAGGAAAGCCCGCGCGCTCTCGCGAGCCACCTCATTGTAGTCCTTCTCGATCTCCACCAGCTTCTGCTTGAGGTCTGGAGTGAGCTCCTCTTCGGACTGGAGCTTCTCCACCTCTTGGAGCCTCTCCTCGAGCTCCTTTCGCTGCTGCACTAGGGCGGTGCCCAGCTTGCCAGCTTCTTCCATGCGGCGGTCCGTCTCGGCCAGGTGGGCCTCGAGCGCACGTTTTGCCTGCTCGGCCGAGCCAGTGCTCAGAGCGAACATCTGGCTGTCAAAAGTGGAATAGCGGAGGTGATTGGGGCCCGCGTTTGGGGAAACAAAAGGATCGCTGGCATCTTCCGAACCTCGACCCCTAGGGGCCAGGTCGGCGCCAGCAGCAAAAGCTGTGGCCATTGTCGCCGAGGTCTCGGGAAGGCAGAGTCCCTCGCACGATCAGGACAGCAGTGCAACCATCCACAATTGCGGACAGGAGGGACTCGAAATTGTCTCTGCGGACAGGAGGACTCGCAATTGTCTCGTCCTGGCGTCACGATGCAATCTCGCCTGCCTTCTGTCAAGGGATGACAGTGAAAGCGGGTGGTACAAGAAAAAAAAGCAGCAGAGCCCGCTGCTCGGGGGTGAAAAGACAGTCAAGACAGTCTAGGTAGACAACAAAAGCAAACAGCCACAACTGGGAAGAGTGACGGCTCGGTCGCTGGCACAAGAAAAAACAAAGTGCCGCGTCTGGGACCGACTTCGGTTTGAATCGCAGTGCAGACAGACTGGAATGTGAGGGAGAGAGGGAGGTCCTGATGTGGCTCAGCGGGTGTTTGTCGCTAGTGGCCGCTTGCTTGCCCGCTCGCGTGGATGGGATGCGAATTAAAACGTACCTTTACGCGTAACGAGCCACTCTGATCAGTGATCGGGGCTTGGTAGGCTGGTCACTGCAGCGTGACGGTTCGACTAGGCGAGCGACTCGACTGGTTAGCAACCGCAACTCGGGACTAGGGGACTCGCTTCTTGGTTTTTCTTGTTGACGCACCTCTGCAGCTTGCTCCAATGATAAGCTCAATTGACGCGTAGATTTCCTCGAATCACCTTTGGACACTTCTTTTTTCGGGGTTGTGTGTGTGCAGAAAGACCAGAGAGACAAAAAAAAAGGAATGAAGAGAAGACTGGTAGTTTCAAAGAGGGCCAAATGAGCGACTAGAAAGATGCAAAGAAGACAAAGAAAGTAGAAGCTGTCGGAAGATGCCAGAGATAGGTAGAGACTGAGACAAGATGTGCCACTCCGGTCGATTTCGAATGAACGAAACGGCGAGATGGTGGTGATGGTGAGGAGGAACAGCAGCGAGGAAAGCTGTGGACTGCTGAGGGCTTCTGCCTAATTTCGCACCGCACAACTTTCTTTTTCCCCTTTCTCATCCGACAGAAGACAAAGAAGGTGCGAGCAGAGGAGAGGTTAGGCAGACAGTCTGGCCATGAAGCAGGAAAGAGAGACAGGAGGAAGTGGCAGTGGCAGACCGTGATCGTGACCAGAGGGCAGCCAGGTAGCCAGGGACTCGAGGAGATTACCGCGTTACCAGGGCCCCAGTCACAGTTGATGGGTCGGGAGATGTACCTACGTAATGCGGATGGGTACCATAAACATGGACGCGACCACTGGCTTGTTTACATGGGGAGTCACGACTACGACCTTGTACCCTGCCAACTCTGCCTGCCCCTCCAAGGGCCGCAGGCTCTGAGGGACTGAGCTGGGAGGTACCCAGGTAGCTTGGGCTCTCTGGAAAGGTACCGAGCTGAACTGTACTGAGCTCTCGCACTGGGTTGAGATGAGGGACAGACTCGGAGCGAACAAGCAGCTGTGACATAGTTACTGGAGAAGCCTACTGGATAGGAAGATGATGGCTGAAAGAGCTGCAGCTTGCAATGAGCTCTACCAGTCAGGGAATGTTCACTAGCAGCACAATGTAGATAGGTACCTGGGGGGGGCCAAGAAGTGGCCCAGTTCTCCATAAGGAGAGGGCCCTGGTGTCCAGCCCAGAGGATTGATGATAACTACCTAGTAGGAAGAGGAAGAAATGACTTCTCAAGGACTGACTTTCACAGACTGATGTCGAAGTAGAAGAGATGCTGGGCATGTAATGGAGCAGATTGCATTGTCCATCCAGCGCTCACAGGCCTGGAGTGATGCCACCCATGGCCGCATTAACTGTTAGCGCCCGAGGTATTTTACCGATGAGCGGTTCCTCCCCAGGCGGTGTCCTCCCTGGAAAGGTGGCCTGGCACAACCGACAGGACTGGGCTTGCTTGGTGTTTCCCACTTGTCAGTGACTTTGTATACCTATACATTCAAGGCCCCCTATGTTGTCACTGGTCGATATCTCTTGAATCCAAGAGGCCAGCAGCGTGTCAAGACCTGCACAGCGGCCTACAGAGCGGCGTCTATCTCAAACCGTGTGGTGTTGATTGACCGTCATGCGCTGAGCCCTGCCCAACCAGCTGCCAGGGATGGCGATGTACAGGCCAGAGCTGGAGCGCAGTCATAGTCGAGAAGTTTCATGCGCTCCCTATTCCCATCAAAACCATTGTCCCTTTATACTTTATGTGATTGGTTCCAAGGCAAATTTCACGAGTCCTTGGGGGTCAAGGGGAAACCCTTGGTGGTGTTGAAGGCTTTCGGCTGTAATGCGTGCTTGTGTACTACTGCACCGTGACAAAGCTCGATGTAGATACCTACCTACAACAACGCGCACTCTTCATTCATTCAGAGCTGCCCAATGCCCAAGTCCAACTGCCCTACAGCAGCCAGCCAACATATCACAGGATATGTACTCATAGCATCATTTCTCATTGCTAGCGGGAGAGGGCCGAGAGGGCGCTGGGAGCCACTCTCAGCCTCTCTCAGCCACTCTGTCAGATGGAGTGGAGGATCAAAGCACACTTCACTTCTCACTCCTCACCTCATTTATTTGGGGCTAGTCCCATCCATGAGTAACTACTTGTACAACCACCAATTTTGTTTGCCCCTACAAGTACATTTTCTGTCCTGTAGCGAGACTACAAGTACATCTGGCCAAAAACAGAGCCGACTCCAAAGTCGATCTCCACGCTAAATTGGCCAGGCTCAAGAAAGACTCATACAGTTCAAAGTCACGAAACAAGCTGAGAAAAATACATTAAAGCTATGATAATAGATTTATAGAGAGTCTAGTGGATCAAGATTATTTCTAGCTATTTTTCTGTCTAGAACTCGTAGGATTTGGCTGTGAGTTTGGCGTTGAATCGCGGCTTGGCTTGTTTTGGAGTCGGTTCTTTTTTGGCCAGATCCAGAAGTACTTGTAGAGACCACACGGCGGACACACCACTGCCGCCCCCTAGGCAGGCCCACTGGACACGCCGGAGTGATGCTTGATTGTTCCAATGTGCACTTGTAGGTGCACTTGTAGGTGCCTTGGTGGAGAAAGACAATCAAGCTAGGCGGCGGCTGCCCCTGACATGGTGCATCCGCGCGCCTCAGCCGCCCAAGACTAGCACCTCTCCGCATCTCCATCCCGATACCTACTTGTACATTACCTTACTTTACCTCTGTAGTTTCTTTACCTCTGTAGTTTCTTTACTTGGTTTCCAACCCAAGGGACTTGACCTTGCCGACTTTACAACCATTCTGAGCAGTCCGGGAAACCAAAGCCCTCCTCGATGTGATCAAGCGCGAGCAATCAGACTGCCGCCCTATAAGCCGGCCGATACGACCATGGATGAGGTTGCCAATACTTCTACTCCTTGTCAGACAAAGCCGGGCGATACTACCGTGGATGAGGTTGCCAATACTTCTCCTCCCCCTAGCCAGACCGACACCAGCGATACTACCGTGGATGAGGTTGCAAACACTTCTCCTACTCCTCGCCAGACCGACACCAGCGATACTACCGTGGACGAGGTTGCCAATGCTTCTCCTCCTACTAGTCAGACCGACACCAGCGCGGCCGTGGCCGAGCCCGAGCCGACTCTCTCCCTGCTCGGTAAACCCCCAATAACTTACCGAGCTGCTCTTGATACCGACGACAACTACATCAGCGAGGCTGCTTTTGTACGGGCAACCGAGCAGCTGTTCCAGGCGCTCTGGGCGCAGCAGCCCGCGATCAAGGGCCTGGTCAGACACCACCTGGGCCTGCGGGATCGGGACGACGTCGTCTGCGACATCGCTGGGCACCGGCGCTGGCTGGTGGGCGGCTTCAATGTCTGCATCCCCGTCCGGGTGACATCGCCGACCCGAAACCACCGGCTCATCCTGCGCTGCGCCATGCCGCACAAGCTGGCCGAGTCCAGGTTCCCCGGCACGGTGGACGAGAAGACGGCGTGCGAGGTGGGTGCCTATGTGTGGATGCAGGAGAAGTGCCCGGACATTCCCATCCCGCGACTCTATGGCTTCGGCTTCTCAGACCGCCGCTGTGTACGTGCCATACATACCCTTCTTCCTTTCCTCCTCCGCATTTAATTCCGTATTAACACTGCTCTCAACAACACGCAGTTTACCCACCAAGACTACCGTCCCTGGTATGTCCGTGCCAAGCACCGGCTTCGGCGTCTCCTCCGCGGCTTCCTCCGATCACTATGCGATGCCTTTCGCGCATGTCCCACAGACTCGAGGGAAACCCTCGTCACGTCGCGGTACATCTGCCACCCTGATGTCGCCGCCTCCCATCAGCTCCCATCGGCCTACATGCTACTGGAGAATGTCAACTCCAAGGACAGCCAGATGCTGGCCCACACATGGACCGCGCAGCGCAAGGATCCTGTCCGGCAGCAGAACCTGTTCTGCGGCCTGGCACGCATCATGCTCTCGCTGGCGCGCGTGCCGCTGCCGCGCATCGGCGCGCTTCGCTTCCGCGACGATGGCACAGTCGCCCTGGCCAACCGGCCGCTTGATTGCACCATGATGCTCTTCGAGAACGACGGCACGCCCCGAGTCATCCCGCGCGACCGTACCTATGCGACCACCGAGGCCTACGTGGCCGATCTCTTCCGCCTTCACGACCAGCGCTTCCTCAGCCATCCCAACGCCACATACGAGGAGGAGGACTGTCGGCGCCAGATGGCTGCCTGGGTGCTGGCCCGCTCGCTCGCCTATCGTTTTATCCGGCAGGACCAGCGGGACGGGCCCTTCTCCCTGCAACTCACTGACCTTCGGCCTCAAAATATCTTTGTCGATAACACCTGGAATGTTACCAGCCTTGTGGACCTCGAGTGGGTGTGCGCTTTGCCAGTCGAGAGGCTGTGTGTGCCATACTGGCTGACGGGACAGGATATTGGGGAATTGCATGGAGAGCCCCTTGCTGAGTATACGGAAGTGTGGAAGGTTTTCATGGCTGCTTTCGAACAGGAGGAGTCCAGGATGGCACTGGCTAAGCAGCACAACCTATCATTTGGCAAGATACTGGAGGAGTCTTGGACATCTGGTACCTTGTGGTTCTGGCGTGGCCTCGCCTCAGTCAATGCTATGCCGGAGCTTTTTGAACAACATCTCCGTCCTCGGTTCTCCCCAGATGTTCTCTACTCCGAGGAAAAAGCCATTTCCAGTTTCTGGCGCGAGGACGCCGACGAAGTAGTCCAGATCAAGTTGGATGCCTACCAAGGATATGCAAGAGATCTCAAAGAATTGTTTGGTAGAACTTAGCCAACTGTACTGATAATGATACCCATCCATCCTATCACTCCGTCCTCTCGTTCTCCCTCTCCCGCTCCGCCTTCTCCCGCTCCGCCTTCTCCTTCTCCGCCTTCTCCTTCTCCGCCTTCTCCTTCTCCGCCTTCTCCTTCTCCGCCGCCTCCTTCTTCACCCTCTCCCGCACCGCCTTTGCTTTCTCCCTCTTTTTCTTGGTATTATCCCCTGACGAGATAGCGAGAGATGCATCTATAGGGTTGATAGATATGCCGATGCCTATCTCCTCTACGGTGCCGCTATACGCTGACGAGCGAGTAGATTGAGTAGCCGCGATGCGCTCCTGAAACTCCTGCGCTTCGCCGGTCGAGTGGCTCCATCGACTGGGATCGCCTTTGTCGTCGGCCATAGCAAAGCAAAGCAAGCAGGGCTGTTATCGCGCTGAGAATTTGTCCTGTGTGAGCGATGCGAATAATGGGTAAAGGAAACGGGGGGGGGCACGCACGCACAGTAGAGGCTGAGAGAGGGATGATGCTGTTGGCAGACTCCTGTAGGGGCAGTTGGGCTTGGGGGGGATCGGGTCAAGTGGATGAAGATGCACATCCGTCGCTTTGTGGTGGTACACAAGCACGTGCTGCATTGCAGCCTGGATGGTTTCTGCCTAGTTGCCCACACCCTGCACACTTCGGGAGGCAGAACATTGTATGTCCATCGCGACAGTGAGAATATACAAGTTATCTCAGCAGTTCTCAAACCCAGGCACTATGCCAAGCTAGCAGACTCGGAAAACTGCAGAGGACAGTCGCGTCCGGCAGGTTGCCCTGCACAACCCGCACATCCCTTTGAGCATCAGACCCGGCGGCATGGAGGAAAGTCATAGTACTGGCCGCCGAATCCGGGCTCGAAGAAGCGCATGAAGACGTTGGATGCCGCCACGATGGAGATGCCGCCGCGGCCCAGGCTGTCTCATCGCTTCCTGGGCTGGGTGTCTATGTGTGGCTCCAAGTCACAACACCAATCCCACGCCTGATTCCTACCTAGGAAGTAGCCAACACACTCAGAACACAATCCAGCATCCGCTGCCCAGACACAAAGTCATATAATGGACATTCATAGCCAAGCTCTGGCTTGCGCAGGCCGCTTGTCCACAAACACAAGCACACGACGACGACAGCAAGGAGAACCCCAGCAAGCCGCTCCTCAACGAGAGCATGCAAAAGGACGAGACCGAGAAGGACATCAGGATGGCAAACGGCATTGACAACATGAAAGAGAAAGAGACAAAGGGCAGGCGGCAGCTTCTGAAACACCAGCGCTACCAGAAAAACAAGAAGAGAAAGGCCGTTCAGGAGCTGGCGACGCCTGGCTGCAACAAGCCGGTGTTGAACCCGGCGCCAACGACAGAAGCAAAAGCACCACCAGCAGCTGCTGCTGCAACAAGAAGTGCCCCCCGAGTCATTGCTCTCGACCTCATCCGCCAGAATCCACAGAGTCGCCCTCTTCCTACCTCCCCGACTCTGGGCCAGCCAGCATAGCAGCCTCCTCCGCCCACGACGACGACGACGACGACGAACCTCGACCATGACAGCCGGCGCGTCCTGCCACCGCCCAGGAACAGCTCGTATCTGTGCGTGAACTTCAGTTGTATCCTGGCTTGCGCGATAGTGCTGCTGGAATACCTGGGTTTCTTCCTTCGAGCCCCGGGGGTTTAGTCGTCGCTACACAAGGCAAGTCTCCCTCCCCCCTTTCCTCTCCCTCATCACGCCAACCTTGTTGCTAATCCCCATCCCTATCAGGTCCCATCGGCAACTGCCCTTCTCTTTGGGGCATACAACTTGCTGGCTCTCGGTCGAAGACATCTATGGCAGAAGAGATCACCAAGGCGATCCCTTCACGCGCCCACTCCTTCTATTGCCATCGTCAATATGCAGGAGATCGCCGCCGCCGCCTCCAGGCGCTCATACTCCTCTCGAGAAGGGAATGGCGACGCCAGGGGCGGCCACCACTGCTGCCGCCAACCCCCCCCCCCCAACACCCAATGCGAACGCTGCGCCCTTTGCCGTTCTCGTCGCTGTGACACACAGGAGGAACTGTACACCAACTTGTACATCCACATGGCCAAGGGCCTCTGGGATAACCCTCAGGCCACCTCGGTGCTTGTCGAAGCCGCCAACATGGCCCAGAAGCCCGACGTGGCTAAGATCCCCGAAACCGAAGACGTCACATTACCGGTTGCCCGCTTTGTGTATCTAGCGAGCGCCTGTCTCGGCTATCAGCAGGATAAGGACTGCCTCACAGATGCTGAGCCTGTGCGAGTTGAGTCGACTCGCGCTGTTCCCTTGCTGTACGTACTTCTTCTGTATGAGGCTGACTATTATTGCTTTCGCTTTCTGGTCTAGGTCTACCGCCCTAGATGTCTCTCCTGGTCACGGCATTGGTATGCTTCTCTACACCGCCCAAAGTACCCTCCCAATTCGTTGCAAAGTTCAAGCAACCTGCGGTTTTCTCCCCAGCCGGGCCCACTCGAGATCAGACGCACCCGCCTTGATTCCGGGTCCCGTTGGTGTGAGGGGTCCGGCGAGGCCTTCCTCGGCCAGCTCTACCGCATCTTAGGCTCAGGAGATGAAAGACAAGACAGTCTAGTTGATAGCTTGAGTGGGGGTAGTCATCAGTCTACCAAGATGTACATCTATGTTCATACTACCTAGGAAGGATGGAGCTGCAAGTTTGGTCTTTGATCCGCTACCGATGCCGCTGATCAGGCTCGATTTGATGCGCCCTGCCACTGGCAGCCACATATAAACTTCAAGGAGAGCGATTTGGCTACTGTTACGTTCTGTTATGCTGCCGTGTGTGTGACGAGTCGGCTGCTGTTCTCCAAACACGGAGATTTGCTGGTTCTCGACAAAGACACAAAGGCGAAAACTGAGGCACGTCCTCATCTTGCCAGAAAGGGTCTTTGGCGAGTCGCCCAAGCAAGAGGGGGAGCGCGCCGAAGGCATTACCTCTCCTCTTTAGGTGGCAAGCCGGGGCTCGTCTGTCCGGAGTGGGACTGGGGATCCTTTATCTACTAGGTAGTGAAGAAACACGGGAACTTGTGTGCCAAATTTGACAAGATGTGGATGGCATTCAGGATAGTGTTATAAAGCCTTACTTCATTATCTCTGGGAGAGAAAGAGAGCCATGAAAGAATCACTACAAGCAAAAAGAGAAGGGAAGCGTATCCACAAGATGCTCGCGATCTCGTGTGTGCGGGCCTCTTGGTGGTGGAAGGGTTTAGTTCCATGTTAGTGATAGGTAGGTAGTTAGATTGAGCAGCAAATGTTGCAGGAAGCCTTGCTGGAGCGATTAGACTACACCATGCCATAAATACAAGTACCTTCAGGGGTTCTAGGAGGAATAATGGACTACAGGGCCCCTGTCTAGATACCTAGGTATCCCACGCTCTCCTGTCTTGTCAGCTAAACAAGCTACAGGCTGTGCCTGCGAGAACGTTCCCCACTGCATTTGTCAGCTTCGGGGCTGAGAGATCGACCTGCTCAGCTGCTAGCGATAAGATAAACATGTTCACAACTCTTCACCCCAGTCATCATGGCATTGTGAGGTTGAATTACAAACGACAAACTTGTGTGTTGCTTCATTCCTGCAATTTCAAAGAGTCCGAGCAAAGCATTCTCAGTCACACGCACAACACCTCTGAGTTCAAAACATGGCGGACGACGTTGCAGCTGCGCCAGCTGCCCCGGTGGCGCTGTTCAAGAAGCGCGGCGCAAAGGCCAAGGCCAACATCCGCAAGAGAGCCGCCACCCCGCCCCCGGCCGACAGCGACAGCGACGACTACAGCTCCTCGGAGGACGAGTCCGGCCAGAGGATAAAGCGGAGGAAGAAGAACAACACGGGCGCTGTGGTCGCGAGTTCCAAGGGCGGCGCGCCCGTCGGGAGAGACCACTCCGCCACCGTCTTCCAGGCCGACCGCAGCGTCCCCCTCACCGACTCCAACGACGCCACCAAGCGGGTCGACTGGTACGACGAAGACGCCCAGGGTGCCATGTCGGCCAAGAGCCTGCTGGGCACAACGAGGTCGATGGCAGACGGCACGTACAGAGGTCTTGCGAACCAGACCTCCTTCATCCAGAAGAACCCCAATGCGCCCACCCGCACCGTCGGCCCTGTCAAGGCGGCCGCCAACATTCGGACAATCACAGTCACCGACTATAGCCCGGATGTGTGCAAGGACTATAAGACGACAGGATTGTGAGTTGAACCCCCCTTTCAGATTATCAATCAGTGACCCCAATACTAACGCAATGACAAAACCAAAAAACAGCTGCGGCTTCGGGGACAATTGCAAATTCCTTCACGACCGGAGCGACTACAAGCAGGGCTGGCAGCTGGACAAGGAGTGGGAGACGGTCACCAAGGGCAAGAGCGTCAAGGGGACTATAGTGGCGAGCGCGGACAAGAGCAAGGTCGCCAGGGACGACGACGAAGACGACGAGGAGTGGGCCATGCTCGAGAGCATCCCCTTTGCGTGCATCATCTGCCAGGGCCCATACAAGGCGCCCGTGGTCACGAGGTGCGGCCACTACTTTTGCGAGCCCTGCGCCCTCAAGAGGTACAGGAAGGACCCGACGTGCGCCGCGTGTGGCGCGGGCACCAACGGCGTCTTCAACTCGGCCAAGAAGCTGCAGAAGCTGCTGGACAGGAAGAGGGAGAAGGCTGCCAAGATGCGACAGGCAGCTATAGACGCGGGCGAGGAGGTCAGCGAGGAGGAGGAGGAAGGGGAAGGGGATGGTGAATAGGAGGCAGCAACAAGGCTGTGCAAACACCATGTCTACATACAGCCTTTGACTGTGTGCAATATCTCAGATGACTAATCTCCTAGAGAGACACTATGGCAAATGATACCCAGTTCCAAGAAGCGCACACTTATTGCAGGCAGACACGGGGAGTGTTATGTTCCTGCGTAATCACATAATCACATGCACGGTATTTTGCCCATAAATGTCGTCTGTCGGCTCAAGTGGGCGTGTTTTCGGTCGTCAGGCGGACCAAAAACTGAGCTATGCGATCGGGAACGGGGCTTTTTCAGGGACACCCGAAAATCGTCTCTTCTGCATGCCATGCAGAGGTGTTACGAAGGTCGCTTGTTGGTTCCGCGGTGCTAATGAAGCAAACAATGTCCGACCTAGACGCAGATACAATCTAATCATATGATCTTACATCTTGAGCTGTTTTCATAGTTCTGGGTCTGGGTTCACTAGTTCAATTTCTTATCAAACAACCTTTGAGTACGTGTCTGCCTAACCACCTTCTCAGTCGGATTTCTATCAGCAGGCACATCCTTTTGTGCAGACAAAGTAGATTGAAAGAGGAGCAACAGTCCATCCTGAGCAGTATACTTTTTTTTTAATAGATTCACCAATCCCCAAGCTCTCGAATAGGCAAACGCCTAATACCCATGTAAGCATGCGGTCCCTAGACTTCCTGATACATTACTTATTATCAGAAGAAGCCAGACTGTGCTCGCCATGTGCCGACTCATCATTTCGACGACCAAGTACACAAACTGCCCACCTTCGTGCACCACGACGAACAAAACTGTGGTCACTGACGGCTGCAGCCAATTCGCAGCGACTGGCCAGCAGTGCACCAAGAAGACCGAGGAAACCTTGGGCCAGACAAGGAGTAGAACACAGTGTCCCACTCATAGGGATGAGGGATATGGCGACAGAAACAATCGCTAAGTCGCAGCTGTGAGGCGATTCCCATGCAGAGGGGTGGACCGGCCCCAAGGGGGTAGGGGAGCCGGTTCCAGTGCGCAGAAGGGAGACAAACATAAATCTAGCCGAAAGCAAATCTGTTGGCGTGCGTAAGATCCTAGGTATGATTGATCTCCCTGCTGTGAACTAAAGCTCGTACAACTCCCGCAGTGGTGAAACGCCCTTCCCAACAACTCTGAATGACTGCACCACAGTCAAGGTGATCAGACACCGGAAAGTTCCTGTTTCGAAACCGACTTTCTATCTCATCCTCATCAAGGTTGCTGTAAGGTTCTTCGTTACACATGATAAAATATAATACAGATCCTAGGCCAAAGATATCATCTGCTTGGGTAGGAATGTAGTCCCTAGTCCATAGTTGTGATTGGTATCTTGGTCCTGGGGCACCAGTTAAGGAAAGATGTCCTGGGAAAGAGCTGCCAGCAAAGTCGCATATCCGAAGATCCAAGTTCTTGTCTAACAGAAAGTTTCGAGGTGTGACATCCTGATGGATTACTCCACGAGTATGGAGACTCTCGAGTGCCTGAGCTGCCTGCAAAGCCCATTTTCGACGAGTATTGATATCGACATGATCATGGTGTCGTAGATAGGTCTCCAAGTCTCCGTTGCTGTGGTTTTCGAGAACTAATGTCTTGGACTGACTATCCCAGTGAATCAGTTTGGGGATAAACGGATTTGCGCCAATGAACCGATAAACTTCATATTCGTGTTCCATTTTCTCAATATTTGTCAGTTCTTCCTTGGGGTCATAAGGGTTAGGGAGGGGGGTTTTGACAATATCGCCAGAAGGTAGCCGTTCTACAAGCGCCGTTGCACCTTGGCGAACGTAAAACCCCTTTGTGATGTAGTAAATATGCCCCTCAGGAATAACAGTGGGAAGTTCAAAGGCCGACTCTGCCCAATGTGGGTGAAGCTTCCGTGCCCATTTACCTGGGATAGGGACATATTGTACAACTCGTGTGGCTTGTGGAGGGTTTTGAACAGAGTCGGGTACGCTCGTGTTATTGGGTCGGCGAGATGATGCTAAGGGAGATTGTGATGTATCGGTCTATAATACGTGATCTCTTGGTCAGTACTTGAAACCCATCTAGATTGATAGCTAAGTCTGATGCTAACCTTCGGGACCTTGGGATCGTCTTGCTGCTCGACATCGCAAGGCGTACGCCTATGATTGAGTAGGAGCGAGATGAATGACCAAGGGCCAGTTACCCAGGGCCATAGCATGGTAATCAGAGACCTGAATACACACTGGACGGCTGTAAACATGTCTGATCATGGCGTGGTCAGTCGTGGCAACGTGGAAAATATCAATAACCGCCTGAAGCACCAGCCAGGTTACTGAAATACGCAAGGGGCCCAAGTAAAACGAGAACGAAGGAACGGGAGCTATTCGCCGATAAGATAGGGAGAAAAATCGGACCGGGGAAGGGTGCGTTAGTCATAAACCACACTCGTGCCGGGGGTGTGATATTGCGCCATGATACATCACTAACCTCACTCCATACCTCCATACATGGGCCCTTACATCGGCGATAAGATAAGAGCAGGCAGCTCTCCAGTTCCCCTCCCATCCAGTGTAGCAGCTGGACCCCGCCATGTGATGCGCCTCTACCACTGTGGCTTCGTCATTCGTCCTAATCATCTACGTACCGCAACCCTGCTGCTGCTGGAGCATAGCATCCATTCCCTTCCCTTTTGTTTATCGAGCAAGCTGAAGCAAGATTGAGCATTTCCAGATTCGCCTTCAAATACATTCATTCCTGCCCATACACATCGAACCCTTCCCACCGGACCAACCAACCAACTAACCAACCAACACACACCCTCTCAAAGTTACAAACATCGATCCTCCGCACACGCGCGAGACAAACAGACCAAAAAACCACCATGAATCTCCTCTACTCGACGGTGAACACCCTCCGGGACAAGTACACGCCCGTCTCCCACAAGTCCACCTTCCGCAAGACGGGCCAGATCACACCCGAGGAGTTCCTCGCCGCCGGCGAGTACCTCGTCTTCAAGTTCCCGACCTGGTCCTGGGCCGACGCCGACACACCCGCCCAGCGCGTCGACTACCTGCCCGCCGGCAAGCAGTTCCTCGTCACGCGCAACGTCCCCTGCCACCGCCGGCTCGACGACAACTTTGCCGGCGACGCGGGCCACGAGGAGGCGCTCGTGCACGACGGCGAGGACTTTAAGAGCAAGGGCAGCGGCAGTGGCGGCAGCGGCGGCAAGGACGGCGACGATGAGGAAGGCTGGCTGCGCACGGGCGGGCTGGCGAGCTCGCAGGCGCTCAAGGCACGGGAGATAAGGACTGTCGACGATGCCGGCAACGTCGGCGAGCGGGAGGCGCTGGACGATGACGACGAGATCCCCGACATGGAGGACGAGGACGACGACGAGGCGATCATCCGGGACACGGAGGGCGACGGCAAGTCAGGGTGAGTTTTTACTGCTTTATCCGCAACCTCATTTCGTTTTCTATCCATAAACACCACCAGAAAACTAACCACATATTTCTCTTGCTTCCCCCAAAACAGCGGCCGCCGCACCTACACCCTCTACATCATGTACTCGCCCTACTACCGCACCCCGCGCCTCTACATGTCCGGGTACGCGCCGTCGGGCGAGCCCCTGCCGCCGCACCTCATGATGGAGGACATCGTCGGCGACTACAAGGACAAGACGGTCACGCTCGAGGACTTCCCCTTCTTCGCCCACGCGGTCAAGATGGCCAGCGTGCACCCCTGCAAGCACGCGCCCGTCATGAAGACGCTGCTCGACCGCGCCGACGCCGCCCTCAAGCTGCGCCGCGAGCGGATCCGCCGGGCCGGCGGCAGCGCCGCCGCCGTCAGCAGCCAGGGCATGGAGGGGCTCGTCGACGAGATCGGCAAGCTCGACGTGTCGAGCGCTGCCGCTGCTGCTTCCGCTACCGAGTCAGCCGATGCGGTGGCGGACAACAAGGCAGGTAGCGGCAGCAGCGGTGGGGCCGACAACGACTGGGAGGAGGTGCAGCCCGAGGAGGAGGAGGAGGAGAATGAGGTTGCCATCCGGGTAGATCAGTACCTGGTTGTGTTCCTCAAGGTATGTTTGTTGTTGTCTTGAACGACCGCCTCCTATCTCTTGTGAATGAACCTACAGAGTGGCTGATCAAAACATGCACAGTTCATCGCGAGTGTCACGCCCGGCATCGAGCACGACTTCACCATGAGCGTCTAAGCGTGCAAGTGCCTCCTTGAAACGATACATTTGGAGTACGGTTGCTTGGTTTACTGTTACGAGGAAATGGGAAAGGGGACACGGATTTGGGGGGGGGGGTTTCATCAGGCTTCAGCCTGTCTGTCTGGTCTGGCGTTTCTGTAGATTTCCATCAAAGCCCTGCCGCTTTTCTTACCCATCAAGAAGAAGATTCATGTATTGTCAGGTCTCCCCCTTATCAAAGACAACCATCATTATGTTATTGGACTGCATTCCAATCCCAGCTACTACCTACTGGTTTCCCCCTATCCTGCCGACCGTAGTTCGCATAGAGGTGTCTCCTCCCAGCGCCGCACTGAATCAAGACTTTGACCCCTTTCCTGTCTACCAGTAGCCGACCAGGTGGCAGCAGCCCCCTACCCTTCACCACACCCGGAACACGCACAAACTACAAGTCCGATCCCGACTTTGCTCGCCTCCTTGTACCTGCCCTCAGAGCAACCTTCCTTCCCATAGGATTAAACCCGAATGAGGGGGGAAAGTGACAGCCAGGAAAGAACCAGCCAACTCATCTGAGAATTTCTGGAGATCTATTTCCCCCCTCCGGTTCCGTCCAGGCAGTAGGTAGAGCAGGGCAAGGCACAGGGCATCTAGAACTCATGCATGGATCGTAAGAGTTGGGCAATTGGCACTTGTTCAGCACGGGAGGAAGAGTGGGAAAAGGTTACTATTATTCCGAGAATTGAGATCGGGACTGAGAGTCAGAAAAAAAAAAAGGAATCAAGACGTAAGACTAGAAAGGCATCCATATCGTGACAGGGTGAGCCTGTTCCGGCTCGAGAGACCTTGACCAGGATGCTCGATTCATGTGCAGTAGAGAAGACAAGCTGGCCGAGACACCTTGCCCCTTGTTCATGCCCAGCAGCATACATACACACACACACACACACATATCCCACCAACCCCCCTGACTCACTCACTCCACTCACCACTCCAGCTCCCTCCTCCTCCTCCCGCTCCGGACGAGCTGCTCGATCGCAGGCTCCGTGATGGCCCTCTCCGCCGCCAGCCGCGCCGCCTGCTTCACGCGCGTGTAGAACACGGGGCAGTCCTTGCTGTCGCACGCCACCTCGCCGTCGAGCGGCGCCAGGCCCGCGCAGCTCCGGCACACCCCGACCACGTCCGCGTACCGCCGCTGCTCGCGCGCCCGCCTCGCCTCGAGCGCCGCCAGGCTCGCGGGCGCGCCGCGCCGGCACCGCCAGCAGATGGGCGACGACCCGGACCCGTTGCTGTTGCGGCTTCTTCTGTTGTTGCCGGGCTTGATCCCGACGCCGCAGACGACGCAGCTCGCGACCCGCAGGAACGACTCGATCGTCACGGGCGCCCTGCGGCGCGCCTGGCCGCCCGGTCCGCCCGTCGTCGTAGGGGCGCCGCCGCCGGCGGGAGGAGCCACGCGCCGCGCGTGCCGGATCTTGGGCATCTCGTCGTACCACTGCCGCACGTTGGCGCCGACGAGGTTGAAGATGCGCTCGAGCGGCGGGATCAGGTTCTTGGAGATGTAGTACTCGGCGTCGAGCGCCAGGTGCGCGCTGCCGAGCAGGTCCTCGGGCGCCACGCAGCGGTCGGCGAGCCGGGCGCCCGGCGCGCCCGTCACCACGACGTAGGGCACGCGCTCGCCGTACTGCGGCTCCGCGCGCGCGTCCTCGAGCATGCGCCTCGTCGCGACCATGGCGCCGGGAGGCGGCCGGCCCCGCTCGCTGTAGCTGCCGAGCTTGACCTCCTTGGCGAAGCTAAAGTCCTGGACCGACACGTCGCCCCGCATGATCTTGCGGCACTGCCGCTGGAAGTAGTCCTTGACCTGGCTGAGGTCGGCCGTCTCGAAGAGCATCCGGAGGGCCTTCTCCTCGATCTTCTGCTCGGCCGGCGTGCCGTCGCGCCGGACCGTCTCGATGCCCTTGGCGTCGAACTCGGGCGTCACCTGGTCCCTGCTCTCGTACTTGTAGCCCACGTAGCGTTTCTTGGCGAGCAAGACGCAGGGATGGTAGACTTTCTCAAACTTCAGCTTCACCGGGCGCGGGTTCATGTCGGTGATCGCCTTGGCGATCTCTTGGCCGATGTCGAACGCCTGGTCGCGCGTTCGGCCTTTCAGGTAGACAAACAAGCTGTCGGTGTCTCCGTAAACTACTTCTGCTCCCCACCGTTCGACCGAGTGAATATACGCAATAGCTCTCTCCAGGGTCTCGCGGCCAGTCTGTACGATGCTGTCCGCAATCTCAGAGCACGGCATCCGCCCAGAAAAGGATGCCGATGTGTAGCCGTAAGTGACGTTGGCGAGGAGCTTGAGCGCGAGCTGTCTGTTATTCAGCAATTGCTGCAATGTCTTGTCGTCCTTGTCCTGTTTCATGCCGCTCTTGACCATGACTCTGGTCTCCAAGATCTCGGTAAGCATCTTGGCCAGAAGAGACTTGCGGACCTCTGCCTTGACATACATCATCCCGTTCGGGGCGATGTTGATATAGTCTTTCAGCAATTCAAGGAGTCCCTGCCGGCGCTTGTACTCTGTGAATCCCATCTTGTTCATGCCGCGCCAATTGGTGATGCGGCCGAGGAATGTCGAATAGCACAAGTTGTACGCAATCATGACGCTGGGATACAGGCTCTGGAAGTCCAGGACCAGGAGAGGGCTGTTGTAGAAAGCGCTCTGGGGCTCCATGACGAGCGGCAGGCACTCGAGTGCATTCTGGCCGCCTACTTGCTTCCTGCTCGGAGACACCAGCAAGAAGTTCTCGGGCTTGGCGATCCTGAACATGATCGATTCGACTTTGAATTGCGAGCCCCGGGAGAAGACAGAGAAGAAATCGACGCCGAGCAATCGAGCTTGCTCGCTTGTCCGCGCAATCAACTCATTCCCCTCCAGGATTTCGATATCCAGACGGCTCCTGGTCTGGTAGTACCGCAGAACCTTGCTGAGGTCTCGAGGTCTGCCATTCGTGTACCAACTGGTCAGGGATTGCCAGGGGTAGTGAGGAATTCTGCGGTGCAGCAGATGCCACACGACATTCTCCATCGTGTACTGCAACAAGTTGAGCTCGCCTCTCATTGCTCGCCAGATGTTGATCATGTGCCGCCCTGTAACCCGGATCGTAGAGGTGGTGTTGAATCCCCACCGATCTGCCTCCTTGCCGAAACGGCCATGCGACTGGACTTTCATTCGCGAGAACTCATCGCAAAGATTGTAGTCGTATTTGAATCTTGCCCTCTCAATGAGATATCCCCACGAGCTTCCGTGGACTTCATACCCAGTGAGGATGTCTGGGTCATGTGTCCGCACGATCTCGACCATTCGAACCATGACGTCGAGCTCGGAGGCCTCTTCCAGCACCTCCACAGAAGTCTCACGCCGCATTCGTTGCGCCATAAGCCCATTCTCGGACAGGACGATCAAGCCTGAAAGGCATTGATCCGGCGATTGTGAGCTATCCCGCGAATGCTCGTCAGATTTGACACACCAGAATATGCACTGCACTTCGTCCTCTTCCGGATTCGGCACAAGCTTGCCTCGAGTGTTGACGTGAAGCTCGAGGCTCATCGTGCTCATGTACTGCGTCTCGTGTTGGACGCTAGTAGACTTCCGTATAGGCGAATACTTGAATCCATGCTTGTTCTTGGGAGTCGGGCCTTCGATCTGAGACAGCCAAGGTCGTGGGCCTTGTGTAGCAACTGGGACCTGGGACCCAGGGGTCTTCCTGGCCTCTGTCCTCGCCTCTTCGTCTCGCCACCACTGGTCAACTTCCTCAAAAGAGGGTGGAGGATCGGCTATCTCCCAGCTCCGAAGTGTGCATTGTTGACGCCGCGCCTTGTATTCCTGCTCCATTCTTGCTCTGTTTGGGGGTGCCTCAGATTTAACACCAGCAGCCGCCAAAGACTGGCCACTGGCATCGAACTCGGGCAAGAATGGCAGGGTGTTGCCCCCAAGCCGGAATTGCCGACCAGCATACTCCCTCATCCGGGGTGGCACGTCCTTCTCCAGGCTGTAAAACGCGTCTTGGTAGATTGAGTCGGGCACGCCTTCTGCCTGTAAAGTGTTGCAAACTTCATCCCACGAGGGCGGGGGGCCGATCAAGAGGTGCACATGCTTGATCGTATCCGTGTCCGCGACTGTCGAAAGGGATGACTCGAGATGCGGCCTCTGAGAAGCTGATGATGCAGACGGCGCCAGAGGAGTCTTCTCTCCTGTTCCTGAGGATGATGATTCCTCCTGTGTCGGCATGGAGGGCGGATCAAACGAGACATGCTTCTTAAGCGCCTCATCCTCACTCCTTTGAGAGCTGCTCAACTGACTCAAGCGCAGCGTCGTGCTAGGATCCTGCGGGTCTTTGACAATGGGAAACCTCAAAGCTGACGAGGCTGGTTTTCGCATGGAGCTTCTCGGCATGCCGGTCTCCGATGGCTCCAACGGCTGGGAGGGTGCATTTTCGGTGCTGCGTGTGCCGTTCAAAGGAAGCGATCGGCCTCCACGAACTTCTTCCCCTGGGGCCGAAGCACTAGGTTCGCTTTCCTGGGCAAGCTGCCTGACCCTCTGCCGCTTCGTGCCCGTCTCATCAAGATGCGAAGCTGAACGTTTCAAGTTCGTCGGTTCTAGACGTGGTAAAGGTGCCTCAGAGGGAATTCTGCTCGCGAGACCCTCGGTCTTCGCGGCCATGATCAACTCCTTGGTAATTGGAACCTGGGGCAATCTTCCTGTGACCATTCCACTCTGGCATACACCCACGCATCCCGCAGCAATATGCGGCGAAGGATATGTCTTTTCTGGAGGGGGTTTGTCCTTCGACTTCCTGACGGATGTTCTTGGCGCCGAAGACGCGCCTTCGACAAGAGGTGCTTCCAAGAACCTAGACAGCCCGTTGACAGTGCGACGCTGCTCGGTATGTTGGGCTGCCATGGTTTGCGTCTCGGCTTTGATGTCCTGGGTTTGGTCGATCAGCTCAACTTGTTTCTCAAGCTGCTCTCCCAACTCCTGCATGACCTCTGTTTCCGAGTCATCGGGGAAAAAGCCGTCATCGTCGTCATCGATGCTCGCCAGGATGGCCTTGTCGTCAACTATGATACTGCTTGCGGGATTGAGGCCGGCAGCATCGGGAGGGGCTTCGATTTCTCCTAATGCTGCGGCAAGATTCTGGGGAAACAGGTCCTCAACTGCCTCCAGGGCAGTATTGACGTGAAATTCGGATGGCACCGGCGCCACATACTTCTCAAAGGTCAGTCCCTCACCGCCGTCTTTGCGTCGTTCTTGCTCTATGAGATTTGCAATCTCTGCTCGGTACTCATCCTCGTGGATCCAGCCAGGCGGTTGAGAGTCACGAGGGTCGGCAGACATGGACACGAGGACCTCGGGTGGGAAGGGGCTGCTTCCAGGGTCCGCATTGCGCATCTGCCTCTTGCGACGCCTCGTCTCGTCCCTCCAGAGACCAGCCATGCTGTGGACGAGCTTGACATCAGACGGAAGCGGCGAGATCCGCTCGATGAAGTCATGATGTAAACGCCGTTCCTTGATAGATTTCCTGTTGGTGATGTCTTGCACGCATATGTCCACCTCTATCGAGCAGTGGCTGGCCCGCGGCAGGCTGAGATCGTCGGTGATTTGGCCTCGCTTGATGCTCTGGCTATGCCACAGGTGAGGAAAGTCTTCATCGTCCTCGTGTCGTGGCACAGGCGCTCGGAACGAGACCTTGCTCGTGTTGATGTAATCGCAGCCGTACAAGTTGTAGTCGGTCATGAACTGGAGCAGATATTGCAGATGGGCCTCATACGGCTGAAACTTGCGGCTCATGATCATACCCTGCTGGAGGAGGTCGGCCAGCCGAGTCATGACGATGGGGTTGAGCATGTAGATCTTGAGGAAGAACCGATAGCCAACGTGGAACCCGTAGAACGGGACGCCCTTGACCAGCGTGATTCTGGCCACATACTTGGGCGCATCCCGGCCATTGGTATCCCGCCGATAGCTAACAGCAAGAGCATGATCAATCGACAGATGAAGACGGTAGCTATACGCGCCCACTTCATACAGTGTTAGAGATGAGATACCGGTATTTCAGCGCTTGTGAAGAAACCAAAACATACCGGCTTCTGGGTCTAGGCTTCCGCTGTATTCGACAAAGAGATACGGGAATGCGCCGTGGATATGGGCGCACACCTTCTGGCCGGTCTCGGTGGATCCGAAGACACGGATGACCGGAACTCGAGGTTCTCTGGAGAGCTGGGACGGGTGGACACCCTTGCGCAGTCTGGGATCGAACCTGGTCGGGACCGCCTGGTAGTGGTCGATGCAGTTGAGGCGGACGCGGAAAGCATCCATGACGTCGCGCCAGCTAAGGCGGAAGCAGGTTGCGCAAAGGTGATTTCATGTTAAGAATGGGCACCAACAGCAAGATCCAGGTCAGAATGAAAGCAAGGAGATAGAAATCACAGCTCTGAAGATTGGGCCCATTCACTGCCACTCCTACATGTCTGGATCAATGTGCGCGCAGGCATCAACGCGTAGTGATGCGCCGGCTTAAACAAGCATCGGACCCGGGAATGTCGCCAAACCACGTGCGATTAGCGATTAGCGATAAGAAACTTGTCCCCCCCAGCGCCACTCAGTGCTGCAAATCGCACCTAATATCAGCCCTACTAAGGTACCTAAGCCAGCAGCTTTTGCCTCGATACAACTTCCCAGGAAACAGCTTTTTCATCTTTGTAGGCCATCCATCGCATAGCTTTCCTGGCCTGATATTCTACTCGCAGCAGATCCGCCTCCCTCGTTTCTTCTCCCAAAGGCCCTCCTTCCACAATCTCCCCATCTATCGTATCGCATCGCATCGCATCACGACATCTCCTCCAACCCTCGCCATGCCTCCGCCGCCGCCGCCACCCCCCAAGAGGCCGATGGGCGGCCGCGCCGCAGCCGGAGGCGCCGCCGCAGCCGGCGCCGCCTCCAAGGAGGAGAACGTCTACATCCCGTCCTTCATCAGCAAGCGGCCCTTCTACGCCGGCGAGGAGGGCGCCTCGTCGTCGACCGACTACCTCGAGCACCAGCGGCTGCAGAAGCAAAAGACGGACTCGCTCGCGCAGACGGGCTGGTACGAGCGCGGCAGGAAGGCCGGCCCCGCGGCGACAAAGTACCGCAAGGGCGCGTGCGAGAACTGCGGCGCCATGACGCACAAGGCCAAGGACTGCCTCAGCCGGCCGCGCGCGAAAGGCGCGCGCTGGACGGGCAGGGACATCCAGGCCGACGAGGTGGTGCAGGACCTGCAGCTCGGGTGGGACGCCAAGCGCGACCGCTGGAACGGCTTCGACGCCGGCGAGTACCGCGCCGTCGTCGAGGACTACAACCAGATGGAGGAGCTGCGGCGGCGGGCCCTCGCGCAGAGGGCCGCCGAGGAGGGCCGCGAGCTCGAGGACGGCGACCACTACGCCGAGGAGTCGGACATGAGCAAGCACCAGCCCACCTCGACGCGGCAGCTGCGGATACGCGAGGACACGGCCAAGTACCTGCTGAACCTGGACCTCGAGTCGGCCGCGTACGACCCCAAGACGCGGTCCATGATCAACGCCGGCGCGACGGCCGACAAGGCGGCCGAGCTGTTCGCAGAAGAAGGCTTCCTCCGGGCGTCGGGCGAGGCAGCAGAGTTCGAAAAGGCACAAAAGTACGCATGGGAGTCGCAGGAGCAGACCGGCGACACGAGTCAGCATCTGCAGGCCAACCCGACGGCGGGAGAGTTCTCCCGCAAGAAGGAGAGGGAAGAGGCCGGGAAGAAGCGCGCAGAGCAGGAGAGGATGCTGCTCGAGAAGTACGGTGGTAGCACAAAGGAGATGCCTGCTGCGCTCAAGGAGATGGCTGTGACGGAATCGGAACGATACGTCGAGTACGACGAAGCAGGCCTGATCAAGGGCGCCCCCACGACCATCGCCAGGTCGAAATACCCGGAAGATGTCTATCCCAACAACCACACCTCTGTCTTTGGCAGCTGGTGGTCGAATTTCAAGTGGGGGTACGCATGCTGCCACTCGTTCATCAAGAACAGCTACTGTACTGGCGAGGAAGGCAAGCAAGCATGGGAGGCTGCCGAAAGGCAAAGGACCGGCGTGGGTCTGGCTGGAGAAGAGGAGGAGGAGGCAGCGGATGTGGCCGAGGCCGAGCCTGAGAAAACGCCGGGAGAAGAAAAGTCATCAGAGACAACTGCCAAGAAGCGGACAGTAGAAGAGATGATGGGTGGTGTTTCAGAGAAGGAGATGGATGAGTATCGCAGGAAACGGGCAGCGGCGGACGATCCCATGGCGAAGTTTATGGGGCAAGATGAGCTTGTACATTAGATCTACAGTTAACTGAGGTCAGATTTCCAAAGCACGACGATACCACACACAGTTGCTCAGGATGGCTAAATATATGCCTGCCTCTCGCTAGGTTACGCAGGAGACGTAGATTGATATTCCTGTGTTGCAACGCTACAACCTCTGCCGAGCACATGGAGAACAGTGAACGTGTTGAGTGAGACAGTGTGCAGATGCAGATCACCAACAAGGCCATGATTGATTACTTTTGGTCAACTTGTAAATTTTCATTGCGAGCCTATCGCTCAAACCGTTGATGCAGTCCATCCCCCAAGGCCAAACGCCGTCATAAGCGATGTAGACTCCAATTTTTCTTGACCACAGCAAGCCTCAGCCACGGCATAGTCTTAGCTGCAATCCTAGCCTCCAATGTGATGATGATGCTGATGATGCTGATGCAACATTTACTCCTCATCCTCCTCCTCCTCGCCGTCCTCCTTGGACTCGGCGGCCTTGGCCTTCTTCCTGCGGACACGGCCGGGGCGACCGCCACCGAAGGGCGAGGTCAGGGCGAAGTCAATGTGCTTCTGGGAGTCGAGACGGACGATGAACGAAGGGACGTTGACGATCTGCTTGCCGACGCGGATGTGGCGCTGGCGGATCAGGACACGGGCGTGGTGGATGGACTTGGCGAGACCGAGCTTGTAGACGCAGGTCTGCAGGCGGCGCTCCAAGAAATCCTCGACCTTGAGGGCCAGGACGTAATCGAGCTTCATGCGGGACTCGTCAAGGACACCGACGCGGACGAGACGGCGAATGAGGGCATTGCCTTCGAAGAGACGCTTGGGGTCCTTCTCGTCGAGGGTAAGAAGCTGACTGCAGAGCCGTTAGCATTCAAGCGTCTGGATTAGTCCACCCCCCCATTGACCGGTTGGTGCAAAGGTTTGTTAGGGAAAAAAACATACCGGGCAGCACGACGAATCTTGGACAGGGTGAGCTGGACACGCCAGACCTCACGCTTGTTCCTCAGACCGTATTCACCAACGAGCTTCAGCTCGGAGTCCCTGAGATATCCCAAATGTCAGTCCAAAGGTCTCATCGACGTAAGCAGAGTCAAGCTACTGCTCAGTGGCCGGTGAGGGTGTATACGAACAGGCGAGCGGCCTCGAAGGGTCTGCGCGGCACCTTGGCCGTCTTCGAGTAGGAAAGAGGAGCCTGAACAGAGCCTGATTAGTTTGGTTGCCATTGATGCTGCGATAGACCATCGTGCAGAGCAGTACTCACCATCGTGTCTTGACCTGGTTGATGACGAGTTGGGTGTGTGTGTTCGTGACAAGAAGTCTCAAGTCGCGAAAATTCGTGGGCGGGTGATGAATTTCGAGTTGGCCGGCCCAGGGTTTTGCCGAGCTAATGAATTTTTGGGTTGTGGGTTTTTACCCTACTTTTTCATTTTGGCGAATGCGGTGTGGCGCTAGTCCCGTTACGGAAACGCTCTCTCTCGTCGCCCAAACAGTGGACCACACAAAAAATTCGCTTAGAATTTCGACCTTTACGAACTTCACGATTGAACCGACCAGCAATCATCACCAACCCGTCCACGATACCCAAGCAACACCGTCACAATGGGTCACCCGGCCGGTCTTCGCGCAGGCACTCGCTATGCCTTCTCTCGGAACTTCCGTGAGAAGGGTATGATCAAGCTGTCTACCTACCTCCGACAGTACAAGTAGGTTTTGCCCGGCACGACTCGACGGCGACATGGCCGATGGAAAAGGGAGCAGAGGAAGGCTAACAGTATGGCAGGGTTGGCGACATCGTCGACATCAAGGCGAACGGTGCTGTTCAGAAGGGGTAAGCATCACCAACTCCATCCTGGCGACTCGATCCGATTCGGTGGAAGGCGCAAACACACGCACGAGACTCTGTGGAAACATTGGAGAAGAGAGGAACAGGGGACGAGAAGCAGCAATCTGGAACGGGGTGCTAACTGTGCATCTGCAGTATGCCTCACAAGGTCTACCACGGCAAGACCGGCGTCATCTACAACGTCACCAAGTCCGCCGTCGGCGTCATCATCTACAAGAAGGTCAAGCACCGGTACATCGAGAAGCGCGTCAACCTCCGGATAGAGCACGTCTCGCCCTCCCGATCCCGCGAGGCCTTCCTGCGAAGGGTCAAGGAGAACGCCGAGCTGAAGAAGAAGGCGCAGGCCGAGGGCAAGCACCTGCAGCTGAAGAGGCTGCCCGCCGCTCCCCGGGAGGCCAGGACCGTCTCGATCAAGGACAACAAGCCCCTGACCGTCGCCCCCGTCGCTTACGAGACCACCATCTAGAGGGTTATTCTGGGCTTGGTGGGGTTTTTGGTGGATGCGGATGCGGTTGCTTGGTTTCTCTTTGCATGGTGTTCTACAGCACGGATCGGAAAGATTTCTCGCATGGTACGGCATGGATGGGGCAAAATGCCCATAGGGAAATAAAAAGACCAAATGGCAATGTCCAATTACAAAGTTATTTTTTTCTACGCTCGCGTGCCGTGTGTGCTCTGCTGTCCGTTTTGGCGGAGGCGCTGGATTCCGTCTGGGCGAGGGATGGCGGACTGCTCTTGCTGTGCATCCTGGCCCGTGTTCTCTGCTGCTCCCTGCTCCTCGTCCCTCTCGTCCCAGCCTGGTCCTCCCTCCCTCCCACCAACAGACAAGTCTCTGGCCGTCCACCCTGGACAACAGCGCAGCGGCCATGCCTGCAATGTCTGGGATGCCTGCAATGCTGCCGTGTAACTTGTTGAGAACTGACGAGATGCAGCTCCCGGATATTTGCTCAACAATTCCAGCTCCAAGCGCTCTAGACTGAGACCGCATATCGCGGGAAGCACCCGTCCGACCAGGCTGGACCTCAGCCATCGCCATTTTTTTTCCATTTTTTCCACGACACAGCGCAGCTCAGTGACCTGCCTGTCTCGGGCGCCGACGCATGTGCGCAGATTGTCGGTGTCTGCCTGCGGGCTGGGCATCGTGCTCACTCTATTGGAATCATGCATCTATCTCCACCGTGTGGGCTTGCTGGTCGGGACAATCCGACAGGCTGCTAGTGTCTGCTTACGGAGAGGTCGATCAATGAGAGCTGCAGCGCTCAACGCAGAATTGCTTCTTTTTTTTTATTGCTTGTCTGGCACTGGCTAGCTACGACCCGTTGGTGCACTGCGGTCTGCCGAGCCAGCCTGATGCGCGGTCGAAACCAATATTTGCCTGTTTTCCTACCCTTGTAGACGGCGATCTCCAGCAGCGGGCTCTCTCGACAGCTCTCATGCGGGGACGAGATGAGGTGACCCGCTGGTACCCAGATTTGCCAGAGCTTGTAGAGGTACTTGACCGTTCATCGTCGATCGAGCCTACCGATTGAAGGGAGTGGGATCACCCCGTGTGCCCGTATCCTGGAATCCCTTTGAGGAAGAGGAACTCCCGTCGAACTATTCAGACTTGGGACCCCTGCTCGGCTCCACAGGTCCAACAGCTTGACCTGCCTCCCTGCTATTACGCAATGAAGTAATCGTATCACCTCAAAAATGTGCGTACATGCAAGGCTCTATCACAGGCGGCCGTTTTGTCTCTCATGCACCTACCTGTATGTTTGCTGCGTGGCTTCGTGCATGTCTTCGGAAATGGGCTTAGCCGTCCACACCGCCCAATATTGATAACTGACCAGGACGTCACTCTGGCGATTGTGCAAAAAAAAAAAAGCATGTTGTGCTTGCCTGGCGATAAGCAAATTGCATATTCCCCCCTCCAGGAGATCTGCACGAGGGGGATGATTGCGGCCATTCGATGGCACAGAGAGAGTCATCGAGCGCTGGCACAGTGCAGGGGGGGGAGAGGAGGGGGGATGCATTGCGTTCCGCTGTGTGTGTGGTCGAGTGGAAAGCTGACCGAGCATGCAGCAAGCCCATTTGGGGCCAACCTCATCGCGGTGGCAGGGGGGTTGGACCATCTCGACGCTTCACATTGTTTGCTACGCCATCCAGCAAGGGGCCCAACGCCGCCCGCGGTGATTGGCGGCCCTGCGCCCCCTCGCGGACAATTTCCTCCTTCATCCAGGTGTGTGACCTCCCATGCTGCAGGCCGGATCAGGGAGCCGTGTCCTTCGAAAGAGACGGGATGCGGTCTGGGAGGGCGCAGAGGGTGTATCAACAAGAGACCAACAACCACCACCACCACCACCACCAGCAGCATACCTGGCACACCAACCAGACGGATATCGGCGGCGCCTGATTCGTCGTGGGGGAAACGGCGCTATGTGCCGTGTCGACGCTGTCCTCCCACGCGGATGAATCCGACTCCCGTTGGATGGGCCACGCCCCGGATGAGGGGGTCTGACAAGCAAGCCGGGCCACTGCTGCGACTCCGTGCAGCCAGCGAGCATGCGGGTCGACAAGACAAGGGTGCGACGGGCTCGAACTGCAGACCACGCGGGACTGATATGATGACTGCCGACTGGCCGATCGAGAGACCAACCACATGCCCGTGGTGGTGGCGGTGGGAGCTGAGCAGTCCAAGAGCCTGTCCTGTCCTCGCCTGCTCCAGCCAACATGTCTGGGGGCGTATTTATATGGCCCCTGGGACGGTGGCCTGACCGAGTCAACCTGGCCACAACTTATTCCACACCTCTCTGCCACTGCCCTGTCTTCCACTTTCTCGTATTACACCTTGACTATCATCATCTTCATCACTTGCAGCCTGTTGCCGGCGTGTCCCGAACGGAGCACCGAACCTTGTCGTGTCGATTGAACCTACGCAAGAGCCAACCCGTCCACCATCTATTCGCCATGAGTAGCGGTCCCGGCCCCGGTTTCTTCAAGTACCGGTGCATCTATATGTACCTGTACGAGTGCCCCAACTGGTCCTGGGTAAACAGGCAGCCGTGCAGCACATGCATGGTACGTATCACCCGCGGAGCGTAGCCCATCTGAGAGAGATCAAACTCTGCCTCGGACGACTCACCAAGTGCAAGTGTGTGTACAATATACTGATCAGGTGAGACAGGGCCTCGGACGCTTCGGCGAGGAGTTTGGCCTCGAGCCGCCGGGCTATAAAAAGCATGAGAAAAAGCCGCAGGAAAAGACGCAGGCTATACAGCCGCCGCCGCTGACTCGTCGGCGCCGCCGCCAGCCTTACCCCAAGCGTCCCGCCGGCTCCCAAGCGCTGAAGCCCGCCCCGCCGCCGGCCTCCGCGCCGCCGTCCTCCGCGCCGCCGTCCTCCGCGCCGCCGTCCTCCGCACCGCCCCTGGCTCTGCGTCCCTTCCCACGAGCGCGCCTTCGGGTGGGCGCCGAGTGAGGTCGCTCCTGCTCAAGGAGCCTCGTCGCAAAGCTCCTATCGCCCAAGACTCTCCTTTTTATCTAACTTGAGGGCAGGTGGGAGGAAGCAAATATGCAGTCCGGTGACGGAACAAGTATCCTATTCTTACTTTCTTTTGCCCGCTGACGGACAAGTATCCTATTCTTACGTTCTTTTGGCCGCTGAGGGCGCCCGATCGTCTCCGGATTGTTTTGGGGATTTTATGCTCTTGTTATTGGTGGATGAAACATGGCAGTAGCAGCTGTTCTTGCTGGCTAATAATCTGAAATACGATTCACTCTCCTTACGAACTGTCCCTAGTCCCGTGCCGTAGTCCTATTCCGTATTCCTATGCCATGTCCCTATGCCGTATCCCTATGCCGACTTTGATTGCCGAGACGGTGTGTTGCAAGGGTTGGCTGGAAGATAATTCCCTTACATTGTACATCACGATAATAAAAGTCCCCCCCCATGGGCCTGAGTATGATAGTGTGTGACCTAGACCCGTTGCTCTAATGCTGAGTTCTCGGCACAGTTTATAAATCTCAAAAGACTCCTCATCCCTCTCTGTGTTGGTAATTATCATAGGGAGAGTCTCTGACGTGGGATTGAGTGATTTCCCATTCCGCTGATAGCTTGGCAGAACGCGATACGCAAGGCAGCAACACGTGCGAGTTTGACAAAGCTCATGATATCACTGCTTCGCCAGCCTACTGAGGACCGATGATACGAAGAAAAAGAATCCTAAATAGTGTCCTCAAGCGGTACTGCTAGAGTCATCGCGGCCTTACGAGGTATCTGGTGCGGTGTCACGGCTTCGCATAGATCAACTCCATTCCTCATGCTGGTTGGTCCTGTCACGTCGAGCACGGCGAGTCTTCAGACGTAAGGCCTTGGATTGTTAGATGCTCTCTGCTGGATGTAGACGGGCCAGGAGAGTGGATGGTTTGTTGGGACATGTACTTCTATAGCTGGAGGGCACCTCCTAATTAAAGGGCGTCGAGCACACTGTGCCTAGGGAAGAACAGTGCGGCTATGAGAGTGTGCTCTCCTTGGCTAAAACCTAGAAGGCCCCAGGTAGGGAGCCACTAGTATGTTATCGCCCATGCGTCCCTGCCTGTGGCCATTCCAAGTTGGAGAGCCACAAGATCCGGAGTACCTGTAATGCTGCTCTGTCAATGGACCTCTCCGTCCTAGTCAACAACTCTCTACCTTTAGGGCCGAGGAGAAAGTTTTTGAGGACAAAATCGTCCTGCCGTTCAGCAATGCACACTCCTAGGAGAATGAGCAGATTGTAATACTCAGACGGTAATGTAGGAATCTTCTTCAAGAGGAGAGTCCTGACCCTTCTCAGTCCAGCACCTCACACAAAGGATAGGGATGTACTCACCGCACTTTATTCGCCTGAATTACAGTGCTCACGTAAAGAGCATTGATTGTAGAAAGGTTCGTGCGCCATGCACCATACATTGCTTCTGAGAAGCCCACCTGCAGATGAAGATGGATAAAGCCCCGGACAGGGAAAACCCCTGGGCCATGAGCGGTGAGGAGGCGCTTGGCAGAAGTGTTATCGAAACAGCCAGGTGAAGTAGCTTCTGGCAGGTCCAGATCAATGAAGCCGCCCAACAGTGCAAGATTCTCGTTTGATGATTTGGATTCGCAATACGTCCGCAGGCACCCCGGCCCCGGCCGCTCCGGCGCCGACAAACGTCTTTGCCAACGCCGGCTTCGAGTCCGGTGAGCTGGCGCCCTTTGTCCTGGGGAGCCAGAGCAGCGACTCGACGCCTCTGTAGGTGTCGGTCGCGACCGACAACCCGCACACGGGCACCCACAGCCTGAAAGTGTACTTCGACGACCGCAACGGCGAAGGGGTCGGCAAGACGCAGTACGTGAGCCTGCAGCCCAACGCCAGGGCCTACTGCGCCATCGTCATACAGACCCTGCCGGGCGGACTGACCAATAATCTACTCGCTGCTCGACCAGCCGGCCAACGAGTGGTTCTACATCAGCCAGACGTTCAAGACGCTCGCGACGGAGGCCTTCGTCTGGGTGGGTAGCAAGATTGCACTCGATTCAGGGTCTACTTCCTGTTGAAAAGGAGCTCGATGAAGTTGAGAGACGAGAAGTGCACATGGTGACAGCGCTACCGCATCCGCCCCTGATTCCTTGCAATGGCGTTCGACGAACTTATCACTGACCAGTAAAGTGGCGAAGAAAATCTCAGCCATGTGTAGCCCGATCTGAACACTGGTAGCGAAATTGTATGTTCATTGGCGAGACAGTGACTACATAATTAATTAAAGCATCGGTAGCGAGACCTCACTCTGACAGAATTCCGCTCTATCCCTCCTCAATACGAGATCATTCACTCTGGTGCGATCTTGAGTGCCTTTCCTCCTCTGACATCATCTTGGTACAGCTAAGACTTTCTGCTTGATGAAGGCGCTAGGGTCGACTTCGAAAGGCAGCCACTCTTTCGCATACCATCCTGTATCGTTTTCAATCTCGATGATATTGATCTGTAGTACTTCAGGATCTAGGTCTCCGCTAGGGATATGGTGATCAAACGTCACACCATAGTAGTCAATACCGCTAGACTTAGTCAGTACAAATCATCTCATACTAGCTACAGTTACACACCATAATGGTTGTTGCTGAATCCATCCTAGGTATTCATCCCGTATCACCAGGTCATCGACCTCTGGTTGTTTCCCATAGATGACGTGAAAGGCCAAGTTGGCAAGTTGAAGGCCTGCTGGCTGTGGGAAAACATTGACTTGAGTGCTTGTAGGCCAGGATGTATCCGGTAATATCCTTTCGATCGCTACTGTAGGTCCCTCAATTTGAATTCTTAAAGGCTTTTTGAGAGGGGGGAAATGTAGATGATGAGCTGGCTTAGATATACAATTCGGAATGTAGAGTTGCAGAGCCATAATGACACGATCCCGTAAGGCGATGAAGTTATAGAAGGGGGATAACAAGTCAAAGTTGATGTGCATCAGGCATCAATGGATGTGCTTATTTACTACCTGCCTATCGGTGACACGTGACTACCAAACATTCCAATCCCTCCCCAACACTCAGCACTACCATTCATTGATTGACGTCCTCAAGACATGACATGATCCAAGTCAGGTTGTGTTTAGCAGCAATTGCCCCGTGTGAAATTTGGTGGTAAGACAAGACCAAGGAGGCTCTGAGATGGAAACATGAATCCAGTGTATCTTGAAACTTGAAAACCGACATCTTCGTAAATAGAATTGAATGTATCGGACGAAGCGCCCTGGTCAGAGTTGTTGGCGTTTGGCGTAGGTTGAACTTTAGTGGACACAGCCTGGTCAGCATCATTGACATTTGGCGTGGGGCGTTTTTATGTTGCTGTTCCAGTTGCCATGTCACCGCCTTTAGAGGAAGCTCGAGCGCGTGAGATTGATATTCTAATAAGTCAGAGCAAGAAGCAGAGCACTGCAAGTTGAGAACTTGCCTTCCCCCTTGCGCTTGGTCTGGCGTTGCGCGCACTGAGATGTTTTAGAGACATGGTTGATCAACTCAGTGACAGTTTCATGTGGGCTAACACTAGCTGCCACGATGGAGACATCTTCAGGAGTGATTTGGTCGACGCGAGCTCCTTATGTCTTGCTATTGACAACTCCTAGTAGGAACCCTTACAAGCCAATAACCCGCTTTCTTGGATGCATCTCAGCGATGAAATGTGTGGTAGCTGCAAGAGAATCCAGCCAGACTAAAGGGTCATTTTGAAATGCCAAGCTTAGAGTGGGATTCTCAGTACACTTGACGAGCTTAGACGGCGTTATCATGTTTGGCATGTTGTTTGACAGAGCCATTTGGAGCCATGCTTTGAACATGCTTTTATTAATGGTCTCGGACTCTCGATCCGGCTTGGATGCTATTTAGAGAGCTTTATTGGCTCTGTTGGTGTCGATTTTGTCGTGCTTCAGGTTGAATGTAAGAAGAGCCTGTACTGTCAGTTTATTCTAAGGTCAATCTATTCTGGGACACAGACTTAGAACCTGATCTTTGTATGGAAGGAGAAAGTTCTGCTAAAAGTCAGGAGGTCGCTGGGGAGGGGGCTGTAGGATGTCTGAAGTAGAGCTTAGGTCTTGGCTGTAGAGCCGTCTAACTCTATAGGGGCTGAAGGCATTATGGGATTTCGCTATGGTGGCTATCGACCTGGATAGTGATCTGACTGATGAGATGGACCTATGGGGTACTGTGTGCGATCACTTAGATCTCAAGGAGTGTCGTGGATTGTCTGAGAGTTTCAGCATCCCGGTAAGATCTCTACAAAATGAATTGCAGAGGCCCGACCGAAGTAGAAGACCAGAGTCGGAACAGACACTCATCAGCTAATGCGTTCGGTCCTGAGCACGACCTGCACTCTATACACCCTGCACACCCTACACATCCACCTGCCCACGAGTCGCGGGATTTGATTTCCTGCTAACCAATCACCCTTTCTCGGTCTCTTCGAAGGCTAACGAAGTAAAGGGGGGCATGAAGCACAGCACACATATTTAACGATCTACCTTTCCTTTTATCGTCCTACATTTCTGCATCCTTCACCATTTTGTTCCATGTCACGAGATCACCAAGAGAGCAATCCTGGCTTAGACGAGAGATAATCCCATACAAAGCTCTGGACGAATTTTCACAGACAGAGGCTCCATCAGCTACCGCTGGATTTAAATGGGAAGAAGCTACTATCCCAACCCCCCAAGTGAGTCGCAATCAGTGCTATTTACCCATGGCCCCATGCTGATCTCTCTTAGTGCATTTCTGCGTTGTCCTATGTCGATTGGCAGACATACTCCCTAGAGGTTGGCTTCAGAGACAGGCACGATGGTCGGTCGTTTCGAAGCTCATTATGGCGACGAAGTCAGAGGGCCCGGAAGGCCTGAAGGCTCCGACTACCGAGCTTGGTACACAAACCTGCTTGCCACTTGGCAGAGCCCTAGGGGACAGTGAAGCCTCCACTAAACATCTTGCTACGTTCTTGACTCTGCTCTGCAAGTTAATGCGTCTTGAGGAGGAGCATATGATTATTCTTCAAGGCATTGTCAACCATCTCGGCCACAATTATGCCAAGGTATACGAGTCTGCAGCCTCCCTGTCTACAACTCATAACCAGAAAGTCAACCTTTTAAAGTTCATGCTGGTAGCAGATAGACCACTTTCCGGCTTTTTCAACTCTTATATAGAAGACAATGTCCAGGAAAGGGTGGCCAAGGAGCTCAAGAATGCAGGCTACGAACTAGTTCAGTCTGAAAAATAGAATGGAACGCGGTCTCTATCACCATAGGGTGTCTATCTAGAGCTTTGCGAATTAGTGATTGTTCTGAACGGGGAGGCCCATCCAGATCGAGCCAGCTTCTGGGTGGAGCCAGCGTGTTCTTCTCTGGCTCCTCTGCCAGCCCTGAGATGAACATGTCAGTCCATGGCTTATGAAATGGTGTGAATGGTGTGGGCGACGTTGTCAGGTGTTTCGAGTGTGGACGGTGTGAAAGCCGTGTGTGATAGCCATTGGCCCGGAGAAGTTTCGGAGGCCAGTGTCCTCTCGGCGGTTCCGATGCTCGATACAATCGTACGATCTCTAACAGGCGGGATGCATCCTCACAAGACTGTTGGTAGCCAAACTCGGAGAGATGCCGCCATTTATGAATCGCGGCAGAGGCTCCTTGTTGGGCTAGAGTTTGGCTTGTCATCATCCTCCAGGGATAGGTGCAGAGCAATAAGGAGCTGCAGTAACTTGGCTTGAAAGACTATTTTCTCCACTAGATATGCAAAGGTCATCCAGGCTAAGGCATCTAGGACTTTGACAGCTGGCCTTCAAAACCCGGCCCAGACAGAATCCCTTGATTCAGATATTGTGATTGGCTTCTCGTCTGGGTGTGTCTAGCTGCTGTTGACTTTAATACTGACTTTCGGAAGCAAGGGTATCACACCTAATCAATAAGCTAGGCTCCCGAGATTGACCACTCACGGCGATAAAGACTATCCCGCAAGAACAAGACAGCAGTCTTAGGCTTACAGACAAGAAGTCAGGTAGGAATTTTCAGGTTGAGCGCCAGGGGAGTGTGCATAGGTAACCACTCGAGGGTTGCACCCACATCCCCTTAGTTATTGGCTTGCAGGGTATCTAACCTCTATGTTCATGAATGTCTTGTCCCGTCCATACGGCTAGGATAGGCCTGGAGTAAATCGCCGATCACTTGCCTCCGCCCTCATCCATCTCTGATTGGTATTCAGTTCCTCCCCCTTCAACCATGTCATAGATGTTATCTGTCCGAGGACATCTTATACACAGTACGTAGTATACACATTGCATGCCGTCTGCACTGCAGTATACACCTAAAAGGTTTATTTATATCACTCATCGCAGAGTAGAACAACGTTGTCCAATACTTTGCTTGGAAGTATCTTGCATGGTGTCTCGGCGCTAAATCATACGCATTCTGCGCCCTTCGCATTTGGACTGACCAATCGGTTCCGACATTGTGCAGAGCCCAATGTTGTATATGCAAGCAGAAGGTTCGTGATCACGACGGGGAGCAGAATGAGACCTTTTGGTGCCAGGCAGAGTTAAGCGTGATGCCCTTGGGGATGGACAGGGATCGCCTCGGAATGGCTTAATCATGCGTGCCAAACCATGCCAAGGTTCAAGCTTACTGCTCCTCTTGATCTTGGGACGTACGCAAGAGAATTACTCGCTGCTCAAGACACCCGTCGCTTCGTCTTGGGCTTTACCATCTGCGGATCACTCATGAGGATATGGGGAGTTTGACCGGCTGGGCGGGATCGCATCCGAACAATTCGACATAAATCAAGATGGGCTGCGATTTGTGTCTACAGTCCTTGGATCTCTCTGGATAAGTGAGGAGGAGCTTGGCTTCGATCCGACAATCATAATGATAAATACCGAACAATTTATCAAGATCGAGCAGGATGGTTCAACAGAGCGACTCATCATTAATAAGGTCATATAACACACATGTTGTATAGCTGGCAGGGCCACAACTTACTGGAAAGCCCATCATAAAGGATACCCACAGACACCGCTCGTCATCAAAGACTCATAGCAGTACCTCAAAAGCAATAAGGAGGTCGAATTGTTACGCGACGCAACTGGGCAAGGCGTTGTCAACATGGCCCGATACTATCACCACGAGACTGTTCAGATACACAGTGAGGAGGACGACATTCGAAGCAACGTTCGCGGAGGACCGGTCTCTCGCCTTTTTCTATCTAGGCGATTCGCCCGGCAAGAATTCCGTCATATGAATGCGCAATATTGTCCCCCACAAGCCAAGTAACTAATTTCAATGCAGACTTGCAAGCCTCCAGATCGCCATCGAACTGTACATGAGCAGCGCCCTTGCAATCGAACATTCTCAGAGTGCCTGCTCCGTGCCCGACCTTTCGCAAGGTAACGGCCCAGGCACTCTTATATCCATCCACCTGATCTTCATCCCAACCTGGCAGACCAAATGCTACCACGAGCCGATAGAGCAATGTCGATGATGCGATTAGGCGGTATAGATAAACCTTTTCTTCGTATTCGCAACAGCGAGACCACGTGCAGCCCGAAGTGTTGTTGCTCCTAGAGGTTTGATATGTGCAGAGCCGAAGCTCGCCTGATTGAGACTCGCGATAAAGGACATCGAAGTTGCAGGAAAACTGTCCGCTGTTTCTGAGAGAGGAGGACTGGGTGTCTTGATTCCTATATTCCCATTGGTGTAGAAAATAATCATTCACCTCGTAGCCGTTGACTTGGTGAACGTCGATCTCTTCACGCTCATCGCTGTGCTGGCCAGCTTCACCACTGGGGGAGATTGGCCCTCCAAGCCCAAAATAAATCTCTTGATCGGCAGCAGGCATGCGTGAAATCTGCGTCCTCAACCGATTCAACTCATGTCGTTCGTCTGCGTGAACCCTGCGTTCATCAACGAGATACTCCAGAAGTATGGTCTTGGGATGCTCGTCAAGGCTGCGGAGGTCGTGGGCACTATTGAGGAGCTGTTCGGCGGATAGCTGAGTTAGGCTCCGGAGGCCTGACGTATCTTCGTCTCGTTTCCTCTCCGACATTGCTAGGTGTGTAAGAACTACACTATGAATCAGAACGAGCGTCTAGACACATGGCTTTCCATAGTGAGGATGGTCGGTCGGACCTACGGGCGTCAGATGCGGCTGGTATGGGTCGAGGGAAAGCGGCTCATGCTGCTGTTCGTGCGAGATCTCTTCTCTGTGCTGACTTGCTCTCTGCTGAATGCGCAAGCGCTATACCTGCAGAATGTGTCGCAGATGTCGGCGTGCTTTGTGAGTCGCGAACGTTTCGCTCTGGTCGAGGACTTTTGAACCGGCGCTAGGTATGTACCGCCGGGCAATCCGTTCACCAAAAGCTGACAGCCTTCCCTTAGAGTGGGAGAAGTTAATTAGAGCGGGAGAAGGTGCGCCAAATCGGTCTGGAGAACGATTGGACGAGGGTTCGTCGTTTGATGTGACTGATCTGGCAGGCAGCAGCAGTGAAAACAGCAAAGTGACGGGAGTGTGACCAATTCACCAATGCGCCATTCACCCATCATCCAGCGCGAGGAGGTAGTGGCCCAACAGACAGGCCAAAGCAATCATTTGGCCGCAGGTGCAGACATCTCTTTCATCAGAGAAGACATGATTGGCTGTATAACATCCTCATCCAAACATTAGACTTGGCTGATGCCTCACACCGTCTCGGAGACAAATCTCATCTTGGTCGCTGCTTAGGGCCGCTGGTTCTTGGACCACGACGCAGCGCTGCACTATCACGCTTTTTCAGCTTACGGCGCTTTCATCGCACGATTCGGAAATCCGCCAGCACCAATCTTTACGTACCATCATCGGCGCGATGGCTTCGCTGGCCATGTGCCCGCCTGAAATCATCTTGCGCATTGCCCACTACCTAGACGACAATGAGCATGACCTTGCAGCACTAGCACTGGTCTGCCGCGCAACGTACGTTGTCGTGAACTTCGAGATATACCGGGGCGCATGGAAGAAATATCCCTACCTTCTTTGCTGGGCAAGTGAGTTCGGAAAGCTGGGTACGGTCAGGACTCTTCTAGCTGCTGGAGCAAATGCAAAGACCCCTTGGGGAAGAGGAGGATGGCCCTGGTGTGTGATAGATGGTGGCCATCCGCTTTGCTCGGGACTGAAGGCCGGCCACGCCAAGTATTCGCCCGACTACATGCTGTATGAGTTCTACGGCCACCAGGGCCGCAAAAAGGCCGTGGAGATCATACCAGACCGACACCCATCTGGATTGGACGTCGGCGTCGACGACCGCGATACCCAGCCGCCCTCTTCCCCTCAGGAGGAGGATGAAGATGTAAGCACGGTTGAGATGGGAGACCAGCACTTGGAGATGTTTGAAGATGTCAATGGCGGTGTCCTAGATAGCCAAGACGCCGGTGCTATGGACGGCGAGCGACCCCTGCCATTCACATCTCGGGGGTGGATGGAAGACGATCCCGGCTTCCCATCCCTCAACCTCGACAGTCTACTCGCAGGAACTCAACAGGATCAGGCATGGATCGAATCAGGCCAGCAAATGGCTTGGTGTCCGCTGCATCTAGCGGCGATGGGCGGGCATGTCGCAGTCGCCGAGCTTCTCCTCGATCATGGCGCCGACCCAAACGCCATGGGCAGGAGAGTCTGCGGGTGCAGGCACGCAGCATTGAACTGTGCGGACCGTCACAGTACTGCGGACGGTTTATCTCGGGAAGAAGAGGCAAACAAGGAGCTTAGAGATCGGGACGTCATCGTCACGCCACTGCACGTCGCTCTCTGCCACCAACAGCAGGAGATGGCACTGATGCTTCTCCGGCGAGGTGCAGCGCGGACCTTTGACGCAGAGGCCTGGAAATCACACGCGATCCACACGGCAGCTGTCCATGGCTGTCTCGATGTCATCAAGTTCCTAGTCGAAGAAGACGACGACACCATCAACCTCAAGGACTTGACAGGCCTGACGCCGCTCTATTACGCCTACTCGACCCGTCAACGAGAGACCTTCCTCTGGCTGCTAGAGCACAGACAACTCCGCGTGGACGCCCGGCTGGGCGCTGGTCTCACGCTCTTGCACCTCGCTTGCATCGACGGAGCCTTTGCCATTGCCTGCCGTCTCGTCGATGCCGGCGCGGACGTGAACTGCGCCTGGTCTCGAAAGATCATCCCCTACTTGGGAAAGCTACGTCCCCTCGAGGTGTGCTGCGCCCTGCACCACAGCAAGTCTCGCCGTCTGTACGCTGCGGGCGACGCCCTGCTCCATGAACGCAGGTTTGAGCTGCGCAGGCTCGAGCTAATGAAGAAGCTCCTCAATGCGGGCGCCCGCACGGGTCCGATCGAGCGCCGCGCCAGATTAGTAGGTCATGGCCCGAACGTGGCCGTGTCGGCCGTAACCCTTGCGGCATCACACCACTCTGTTCCCATGCTGCAGCTGCTGGCCATGTCCGGCGCTACCAACATGGCGCAGGAAGCCTCGGCGGTCCACGAGGCCATCTACCCGGCCTCCATGCGGTGGCGTAAGGCGCACCCAAGCCGCAACCCGCTGACCACGCTCCGATGGCTCGTGGCCCACGGCGTACCTGTCGAAACCGACACCGACACGGCGGCCGATACGATGGCGGTCGTCTGCAGCTTGCCTCCCACGAACTTCCCATGGAAGGCTGATGTCCTAGAATGGCTTCTGGATCACCATGTCCACCCTGACCATCCTATCCTCGTCTCACTCAACCGGTCCTCGACGCGTCGCAAGCATCCTATGCTAGTTCCTCCCGACAAGATTTACCCCCGCGTCACGACGGGTTTCCAAGAAGCGCTCATGGTGCAGGACTTCCCTGCCTGCAAGGCCCTTACCCGCCGCGGCAGTTCCTACCTCAATCTTAAGGATGCGTTCCGGCGCGTGCTCGATCGCATCATGGCGGACGGGCCCCATTCCGTCGACGGCTGGCCGTGTACCATTTATTCGGACCCGGAGGAGCGCCGCCTGGAAAGCATTAAGTGGCTGGCTTTTTTGCTGGAGGTGGATGAGAAAGAAACCATCAAGAATTCCCCCGACACGTTTTGGCCTCTCTTCGCTGCAAGGGAAGTGCCTCCGTCCGACCTTCTGCTCGCCACTCCCCTCCCCTCTGAAGACGCCATCATGAAAAAATGTACCGCGTACCGCCGCGAAAAAAAGCTGTGGGAGGAATTCTGCGAGATGCGGCGCCAATATGAGGATTCTTCAACCAATGCATCTCGGCAGACCTACTCGGACTTGACATTTCGCCTGTTCGTCGCCATCCTCCTGAACAACTGGAACGCCGCGCACTTTCTGGCGCTCCGGCGTGGCGAACGCGACGCCCACGACGACGACGGCCTGTTCTGGGCGAATTCCGGCGAGGCTCGGGAATACTTCCGTGCAGTGCTGGAATCTCTCCGGCAGGCCCCTCTCCCCAGCAGCATCGGTCACGGCGCCTACCAGGCTCTCCTAGCCCGCTGGAACAAGGCATGGCAGCGGGAAGACCGGGCCATCGCCGATGTGCGCACAGTGCTCTTCCACGAAGCATGCGAAGGACCGCTCGACGCCGTTACGCTCTTCCTGAAACTGCCTGACCGCAACGGTGGCGGCGACGAGGATGATGGTGGTGGTAGCGACGACCAGGGTCACGGAGACATCAAGCACCATGGCAGCCAGAACAGCGGGAACAGCAGTAGCATAGACGTCAACGCCGTCGACGGCAGGGGCGACTCGGCGCTGCACCGGCTGCTCAGCTACATCATTTACGAAATGCGATTCAATCATTCAGACGACGGCAGCGCCGCGAGGCAACTGATGGCGCTTCTGAGGGCCGGCGTAGACCCGAGAATCGTCAACGATGCCCAAGAGTGCGTCTTCAGTCACTTGCGGTTTGTGAAGGACCAGCTATTCGGGCCCGGTCTGCCCAAGGGTCTTGAGGTGGTGTCGGTAGTAGATAATGCGCGTTTGTGGCATCTAGGAACGGCGGAGATTACCCTGCGGTTTGAGGGGTTGGAGGAAACATTTGCCTACCCCCCCTCCTTAAATGTCGGTGATCTCAGGCCAAAGACTGCCACTGCCGCCTAGCCTTGACCTTGTGTGCACACACAGCATGCTGCTAAATTGCTGTAAGTCGTGCTGCAAAAATGTTAGTTAGCTTTGTGGGTGTTTCCATATCATACGTCAATACCAACCGATCCACGCGAGTGCTCAACTTTCTTTGGACCAAAGTGTGGAGTGGATGTGGTTCTCTTCCCCTTGCCATCCCCATAGAAAATGGCCTTCTCGTCCTCCTGGCTCGCTCGGGTGGAGCTAGGCCTGAGCTGTTGTCGACGATGCCAGTCACACAGAGATGCAAGATAACGTCCCCCGTCTTTTGCTAAAGCCTGACATCGGTAGACTTTACCGCGAAGACATGTTTGAGGAAACACGACGCTCAGCTCCATAGCGACCGGGGTGTAATCACGTCGGGACGAGCGTGAAGGTGGACTGGCGCGGTTCCCTTGCGCTCTGCGCCGATTTTGTGGCTCTATTCAATTCACGAGTTTCAATTGCGTGGTTCCTCTTCGTTTTACGATTATTCGACGTGTATGGAGGCCCATAGGGCAGACTGTGACAAAACCCATTTTTCGATGTTAGGTCCACCCTATCACATATAGATCGTGCATTTTTAGTTAGATAAGTACATATGCTAAAAACCCTATACCTATATCTATAAATTCTAAATTATATAATAATATATAATATTACTTATATCTATATAGTAGTTCTTATCTTAGTTAGTATATCTAGAGAGATCTATCTAGTCTCTCTTTAATTATATTTAAGATTAAAGAGTATTAATTTAATATAGAATAGCTATTCTTATTATAGTTATTTATTTAATTAAATATCTTAAGTTATTAATCTTACTTTATTATTATTTAAATTACTATCTATTTAATAAAAGTATAGAGAATAATATATATCTAACTTAATTAATCTTAATATATATTCTTCTATAGTAAAAAGATTATTAAACTCTTTTATATAAGTAGCAAGCATGCCTTTCGGGTATTTCGCCCATGGCGAAGAAAAGTTGCGGTGTGAAAGAGGATGTCAGAGATTTCTATGGCGTTCAGGCTGGCCGACAAAATGGCCGTTTGCTGTAGCCTTTGTCGCAAGAGGTTGGTTCGGGCGAGGTGATTGTTGAGGCAGCAAGGTTGGCGGCCAATAAAGTGGGGGCATCGCACGGGTCGTGGAAAAGCACCGAGCATCGCCCTTCTTCCCTCAGCTACACCTTATTCTTTCTAAAGCTGCGTCCCTATCACCATGCAGAAGATTCCCTCGCTCAAAACCTGTTTCGACGAGATAGAGGAGACGAACGGCGACGATGAGTGCAGGGCCTGGTTAGATAGGGTTCTCGATGCCAAAGTTGAGCTAGCAACATTTGTTGCTGCCCGCCGGGGAGGAGGTAGAGCCACAGAGTACGTTGGTTTCCTCAAGGGTTCCTTCAATTTCAGCCTCCGTTTCAAGTTCAGCGATGGAGGGCCAGATGCCATTATCCGTTTCCCAAAGCCAGGACACACAGCTACGGCTCTAAGGGACGAGAAGGTCGCGAACGAGGTCCAGGTTATGGAATATCTCAACCAAAACACCACGATCCCTATCCCACGTGTTCATAGTTGGGGTTTGACTTCTGAGAGCCCGCAGCAGTTTGGTCCGTTTATCATTATGGATTACGTCGAGGGGACGCTCTTGTCGACGGTCCTAAAGCAACCTATGAAAAGCGACCAAGAGGACATGATATTGGACCCAAGCATCGACAACGCAATATTGAACAAGGTCTACCATCAACTCGCCGATTACCTGCTTCAGCTATCTCAACTTTCCTTTACCCGCATCGGAGCCATCTCGAAAGACGGTGACACATGGTCCATTACCAAAAGACCACTGACTTATAATATGAATGAGTTGGCGACTGTCGCAGGCTATTCAGATGACCTCTTTCCAACCTCCACCTTCGATCGTGCTAGCGACTACCTCAACTCGGTCGCGCATGAGCATCTAGCCCACCTTTGGACTCAGCGCAACCTCGCAGACGACCCGGAAATTGCGCAGGCGCGGTTTATTGCCCGGCATCGGTTCGTCCAGCTTATCCCAAAGTATTGCATTGACGACGCTGGGCCATTTATACCATTCTGCGACGATCTACGCCCTTCCAACATGCTTGTTCATCCACAGACGCTTCAAATCACAGCGGTGCTCGATTTTGAGTTTACAAACGCCATGCCTGCACAGTTCACGTACGACCCACCTTGGTGGCTCTTGTTATCTGGCCCAGAAGTATGGCTCGATCGTGGTTCCATAGAAGAATTCCGGAATTGTTATGAGCCCAGAATGGAGCAGTTCCTCCGGGCGTTGGAACTAGTGGAGGGCATGTCGGTCCCCGGCGGGGAGCAACTCACTAAACCACGTCTTTCTACTCGAATGCGTGACTCGTGGAGGTCTGGTCGCTTCTGGTTCGATTATGCAGCCAGAAAGAGTTTCGAGCTAGATGCCATCTATTGGGCTGCACTGCATGACGGGGGCACCGGTATTGAGTTGCTTGACGACGAGGCGCGTGCAGAGCTGGAGCCATTCATAGAGAAGAAGAAGGAGCAGCTGATGGCGTACAAGGAGGAGTGTACTGCTCGTTTCTCCCAAGCAAGCCGATGAATAAAGCTTTCTGTTTGTACTTGTCCAACGACTTCTTCGACATCTATGAGCTTTGGGCATTTTCATCATCATACGTGCAGCTGTGGCGCAAGCCCGGTTTCAGTGATCCTTGAGCTTATCTAGTGCGCCTCGAAGTTCTTGGGCACTCTCCCTTGATTTCCTTTCGAATATCTCTATACCATCGAGATTAGATGGCCGTGTGTTGAAAGCTGTGCTGAAAGACCTACCATCAGGGCTGCCATCGAGTGTTATGGCGTGCCAGTTCCCCGACAGCCAGAGCGTGGCTGGGCTTATGTCGCCGTGCTTGTTGGACTGCCTGGGCAGATCCCGATCGATATCGAACCGTGGTAATGGTAGCTTTTCTGTATCGGAAAGTCGTTGGCTTTGATAATACGGCGCACGGTAAGACGGCGGCGCGGGTTCCCCTACCATGAGCAAAGTGATGTGACCCATGATGAAACCTCAAGGGTAGAGTTTCCACCACGCCTCGCGTCGTGCGCAGGCCCCCTAACAGCTGCGCAATCGCAGACTTGGTTGCGTTCCCGACCGCTGGCTCAATATACACGTACGCTTCGTGTGCGTCGCCAACCCTGATCTCCGTCACGTAAGAGACGGGCTTCCCTTTCGAGTCAATGGTAGTGAATTGCGCGTTTGCCTGGTGAAAGGCGCGGTGCCATGGCACCATGGCACCTATGAGAACACGATTCTTTCGGCCGAAACTGCACGCATGCATTGTTACGTACCGCGTGACGTGCATTCTAAGAAGACGAGTTGTATAATTATGTTGAAACAAATCTGCTGGCGCCTCGTTAAGTTTTCCCGCGGCGTCTCAAAATCATGGATCCATGCTTCCTACCAACCGCGGCACTAGCCTAGACACCAGCCTGGGCACCAGCCACGCACCAGCTGAAACCTTCGTTCCGACCGCAGGAAACACAAGCATTGTAATACTCCATACGGGGTAGGAAATAGCAGCGGCTCATGGTATGTAGAGATTATAGTCTAGTCTCGCCCGCGACTCACCCTCCATTTCGTTTCCTAGCTGTATTCGGCGGCATAAATGGCACGCTTCTCCTCGACTTCTTAGGCTATACAGTTGGGATTCGGTGGATTCGACCTGCGTGTAGATCAGGAATTTTGCGGAGGTCAGTGTTCAGTCTACAAACTGAGCTTCTTGAATCATCCCAGTCTCCCACATCGTGAATATCTGATCCTTCGAACGCCAATTCACATGGCTGATAGAGATGCCATCGTTTGCGCGTTGGAGAGAGAAATCCAGATACTCGACTCACTGCAAATACGAGGCTTTGCGTGGTCTCCGCGGCACCTTGGTTCTTGTTTGACGTTTGACAATCCGATCAAGCATCCTTTCCTGATCCTATCTTGGATTCAAGGCTCGACGCCAGATTGGAATGCGAATTTTCCCTCGAGACCGGTGCGGGACAGGTTTCTCAAGCAACTTGCTTCCATCCAAATATCGATGATTCAGTGTACCTGGCACGAGGGTGCGTACAAACAGAACTAAAGAGATGGGTATCTCCCCAGAAGCTAATGCCACGTACGCTAGGCTGCAAAACATGGCAAGAGTTCTTTGAAAGGCTCCTGGAAAACAGGTGAGCCAGTGTGCTACAGGGCCAGATCCCCGACCTCCTCGAGAGGGATTGTGATGTGCAGAAGGCTCTGCTTCCCCGACTTCTGATGACAAACGGTCGAAACTTGGGCAACGAAAGAGAATTTGCCTTAGACCATGGCGATCTCAAGCTGGATAACATCATTGTAGACGAAGACTACAATATTATAAGGTACTACCAGAATCAATCTAACTACTAGTTGCTCTGTATGAATATGGGCGGAAACGACCAGCCTGCCAACTTCTAAAGCGAGCAGGGTCTATGCACCTTTTCTCGGCCAGGGCCACCACCCCCTCAGGACCTTTTCATCATAGACAGCATTACAATTGCGGTTGGAATCCCGCACGTCAAAGTTGTAAATCATGTCCCCTGCCCTGTTGAATGCCTTACACTTTGCAACATTGTCTGCTGAGAGGTCCTCCACTTTCAGGTTCGACAGTGGCTTCATTGTACTCGCACCTATATCGAGCTTTGCAGTCCATCTGGGTGTTTCCTGTGCTGTGCTCCGAAGCATCCAGATTCTTGTGTGCCCAGGACTGCCTTCCTGTCCACTTGGTGCGGATGACAGTTTGAAATATCCTCGTTCTTTCTGAACATTCGCATCTGCCACATACAAGCCATCTTCCATCAAGGCAGGTATGTCTGTGCATTTCAAGGATAAGGAGCCGAACCACTCCTGCCCATTCCAGTCTTCGTGTGGCCGTGGCGATAGCAACATCATCAAGCTGATGGGCAAGCTGCTGTTCGAGAAACAATCGTCTTCATCGTTCTTGTCGGGTTCTGGTTTGTTTTCGTAGGGTGGTGGCGGCGTATTGACGGGGGCTTGGTCGTCCATGCCGATGCCGTCATTGGGCGGCGTTGGGGTAATTGCCATCGGGACGAAGGGGCAGTAGGGATTGACTGTGTGTTTGGGAGTGACAGATGGGAGAGATATCTCGAGGAGAAAAAAAGAAGAAGAGCACAGATTTCACTGGATATTGCTTGCACCGGTGTTTTATATGTCAGGACACCGTGTCGAATTTGAGCAACCATGAGATGACCTACCGTGGTTCCTCAACTCCCTCGTCGAGTTGTTTATTTGGCCGAGGTGCGCAATTTCGTCATTTGCACAGCTCTCCCCCGAACTACCTAGGTACCTACCTCGGTACTCCAGGTTGGCGACAATTCCGCTCGGCCAGGCACGTGTTTCATTTTTGAAGTTCTCTGCAGCCACAGTTGCCTTACTCGTGGATATCATTGTACCGCCTTAGGCTTTATCAGCTTTTGCAGTTAGATACCTATAAGGCGCATCTTCGGCCATTATCAGTCATTAGTTGTGTTCTTTTGCCGGGCCAGCCGTGCGCTCCAACATCGTCTACCAGCAGTACATTTTCGTGGGGAGTAGCCTGGGGATATCTTCGATGACAGTGAAGTGTGCTCCGAGAGATCAATGAGGTGACTAGGTGACCAAGTAAACTTGGATCATTCTGTGAAGAGCCAGAAAAAGTGTATTGTAGATTTCTAGAAAGCCGTCCATGTATCCGCCTGCTCCCAGTCCATGTGTTCCAGCCCTTGGCCTGTCCCTGGGCTGTGATATGTTTTTTTCTGGTCGTCAAGTGGGCGTCTGAATAGTTGACAGAAGTTCATCAGGAGATACCTTGATCTTGACAATCATTATCCTTGTCGCATCCTTGCCCTGGAACTCGGAAGGGCTATCCCACTACCTAAATCCGATGGGCTTGATGATAGACAAGTACTTCTGTTAGCAGTGCGTCAACTATTCAGACGCCCACTTGGCTCATTAGCCAAAGTCGTGCGTCGCGCTGGCCTTCTGGTAATTCGTAGAATTCATCGTGAGTTCGGCATTACGGTCCGCAACATCGGATTGAACATTTTCGGTGGCTTCCGCAGCCAATTCCAAGAGGCGCGCCTCCGCGAACATGTTCTCCTGGCTGGACTCCTCGGTGATTGTTGGGAGCACTTCCTGTTCCTGGTCCTGCGGCTGTCCTGGGTCCCTCTCCACCTTCTTTACCTCTGCCGCTTCGTTAATCTTTGCCTTCAGGTCCTCGAAATTCTTGGCCTCCGCAGCAAGTTTCTGGACTTTATTCATGGCTTTATCGTGGCCAATCTTCTCAGCCTTGTCGTGTACTTTAGCAAAGTGATCCCGGTTCTCGGCATCCTGCCTCTTCTGTGCCGCCTTGTCGACGAAATGGCCCGAGGCCGCACCGATGACTGTATTGACGCCGGGAATTGCTTGGAATGGCATTTTCGCGATCGCGGCACCGCCCTTAATCAAGATCTCTTTCTTGTGGGACCCCAGGTAGTCTGTAGCCTTCTGCAGCGCGGGCCGCGAGTCCTGTTGGTCCTGGTGGCGTTTCTGGTACAGCAAAGCGTGGCCCTTGGAATTGAGGTCCTCCTCGATATTGAGCGAACTCTTGTGGTCGGAGACGATGCCCGGCTGGAGGCTGAGGGCGGGGTGATGGCCGCCATCGACCTTCGGCTGCGCCGTTGCGGCTTGTTTGGTGAACTGAGGAGCTGGCTTGTTGCTCTTACTTTTGCAACAGAACATTGTGCCGCTGGGATCAAACAGGTTGACAGGCTCGTTGAGCACGTAGGCGTATACGTTGGGCCCGTCCACCATGCCCAGCGGGTCGGGCGACGTCCAGCGGCCGAGCCAGGGCGCATAGTACCTCGCGCCACAGGCGTACAGGCCAGTCTCGTGGTCGCGGTGGTAGAGCGCAAACCGATAGCGGCGAGGCGCCTCGGTCTTTGCTTTGCACATGAGCAGCACCGAGACCCCGAACGGGGTGTACTCCTCGTACGAGACTATCTGGCCCTTGTCATCTGTCTCCAGATTTGGGCTGACTACGTATCGGTATAGCAATGGTTCGTTTGAATTTGACCGAGGTGCCTGCTCGTCGCGTCTGTCGTCAGAGTCACTGCCACCATCACTCTCGGTCTCGGAGGAGTCGGCAGCAACCTGGAAGTCCTCGATAGTCACGACTGACGGAGCCTCGGGATCCGCACTGGCGCCCACCAGCGAGGTAGTCGTCGTGGTCTTGACCCTCACCCCATCCCCGTGGTAGACACGGTATATCTCTACAGAGTCAAGGAAGATCGTCTCCTTCCGTTTCCGGGCCTTGGTGCCAGACTCTACCGCCGCTGCCTCCGAGGAGCGCGCTGTGACTTTGCGCACCCGCTTCCCGCTGTCGTCGTAGACATACCACGTCGTCTCGGGCAACCCAGAGTTCACCTTTTGGCGCGCCGTACATTGCAACTTGTTGCGGTGGTCCCACTGCAGCCTAGAGAAGCCCGTCATGGATGTCATGCAACCAACTTGGCCGGCGGCACCACCGCCGTAGCCGTACCGCTCGGTGAGACGGCCGATGCAGGTCTGACTCAGGCGGTTGCTGTACCTGGATGGCTCGAGGAGAGAAGGCTCCTTGTAGGTATAGAACCGAGTCCAGCCCGGAACAGACTTGTCCGAGACCTCGTGCCGCAGAAGCCGCAGGTTATCCGCATCGTCGTAGACATAGTACTCGACGTACTCGCTGAAGTCGCTGGACTGCCCTGATCCTAGAGCCTGTCTAACCAGGGGACTTGAGGCCGAGACCTGGCGTAGGCTGCGTACAGTGTCGGCTCCTGTATCGACCGTCTCTCGCCCCGTTGCCCGACTGAGTCTTCCAAACGCATCATAGTGGTATTCTCTCACAGGCTCAACCATTCCGTTCCTGAAGAAGAGCGTCTGCTGGGCCCGGTCTTGGCTGCTGGACACGCGGCCCATGCAATCATATACCATGGTCAAGTCTTCAAGGACTCTGCCGTCATCCCTCCACGTCCGTCGCCGCACCACTTGCCCCGTCAACTCATCATACGTGTAACTAGAGTGCGACGTGTTTCCGTAGTCGACTCGTAAGGGCTGCCCATCCGCGGCGTACGTAGCATTGCGTATATGGTAGGAAGCAGCACCCTTCAGCGGCGACGGAATGCCAGTCGATTTTGCTCCATCTTCCATGGCTGCCACGAAAGAACAGAGACTTTGTAGGTTCCCGACGAGATCGAAAGTGCGTATCGTGACACGCCCCGCGGCATTGCACATCGCGATGTTCCTGTTAAGGGCATCGAAGCTGTTCTTTGTCGTGTAAGGCTGTGCTTCTACGGGCACGTCATTCCTCCAGTCCAGGATAGTCTGATACTCGTTGGCCAGACGGTGGTCAAACGACAGACAGTTGCCCTTGAAGTCGAAAACGGTGTTTCTGCGGATACCGGACTGGTCGTGGATCTCGAAGACTTGGCCACGAAGATTGTTGCGCTCAGGGTCCGCCACGGTTTCGCCGTAAACGTATCGACTCCAGAGCACCTCCTGGGCAGCCTCGCGATCAGGCAAAACCCACGTGTGCGTCTTCCTGCCCGAGGAGTCATGCACATAACGCGTCTGTCTGCCTGCACTATCGCAGGAGAGCAAGGGCTGACCAGTGCTGGTCACGACGGTGATCTGCGCGCCAGATTCCATGTTGCGCCGAATAAGAGGCCGGCTCCCCTGGTGCAAATCATACGCCTCGACCAGCCGGTCCATGGCATCGTATTGCGCTGTCTTGCACCCGAACACATCGTACTCGACGCGCATGGCACGCTCGTAGCCATCGCCTGTCTCTACTGTCAGGATGGTGTTGCCCCGGCTGTCAAGGTGGGCAAAATGAGGTTTGGCTGCGTAGAGGCCGGATTTGTGCGCACTTTGCCGCAAGTGGTTGTCGCCTGATTGGATGCGAAGCTCATACCAAGACGGCATGAACAGGCCAGTATACATTCTCTCGAAATGAAACCCAATGTCAGGATCTGTTCGGGGATCTGTCACGAGACAGGTGTCCCCGGTGTCGTAGGAGCTTCTCGACCACGGGGTGAAGCACTGCTTCGTCCAGGTATGGTCTGGATATAGGGTGCCAACATTACGCTGCATGGCATCCCGATAGGTGAACGTCAATGGCTCATCAAGCTCCGGCAGAGGTTTCCACTGATTTCCCGACGAGAAGAAAGGCTTCGAAGCCACGACTGAGTTGCCAGCGGAGTTGTTGACAGTGTTCTTGCTCACGCGCCACTCGTGCTCTGTGCCGCCGTTCCCGGCCCACTGCGTCAGGTTGAATTGTTGGCTTGCCATGCCTCTACCATCGTAGTAAATGATTTCCGCTGTAACGTCGCCAGCGTTTGCCTCAGCGCGGCGGCTCTGCCCAGTCATGGCATGGGTGGTGCGGGCTAGGTTTAGACGAAACAGGGGCAGCTCTACTGGCGAGGAACCGGACAGTCTCAGTCTTCTGCTCGACGAAAGTCTCCGACTGCCCGCCCGCCCAACAAGTCGCAATGCCACAGCTCTGGACGGCTTCTCCATGAACGACAGCAGCTCATCTTCAGAGAGCACACAGGGTATGCCCTCGATCGAATCACCAACAGACTCGCCGCTTTTGCCCATCTGTGCAACAGCAGCAGGCTCGCCCAGACAGTCATAGACCACCGAGACTCGGTTTCCATTCGGGTCCGTCAACACCGCTGGCTTCATGACCCTGTAGTCGTACGTAGCCCTCGTGCGATTCCCTGCAGGGTCGATAGTCTCGACTGGTAGCCGGTGGAATTCATCCATGACCACCTCCGAGACGTGGCCGAATGCATCACGAGACCATCGGGGAACAAAAAACGCCGCACGAGCCGCTCGCAGAGTCTCGGCTGCGTTGTTCTTGGTGTTCTTGCCTGGTCCACTCGCCACTTCCCACAGGGCTTCGGCCGTGGGAGCCCATGCGCACGTGTCACGCTCCAGCTCGACGTAGCCGCCACTCTTGTACAGCAGGTCGCGCGGCGACACCTGGCGGAAGCGGACATCTTTCTGCCCAGAAATGCTTTCAATCATTTCATTGTCCATGGCAAAGACGTATTCACGGTCCACGCGTGAGAAAGCCTCCAGTGAGTGATGGTCCAGACAGTGTGTAAGGTCTGCGCTTCGGTAGTACGTTCTTGTCATGTCGCCGACGTACTTGGTGCCTCCAAGGATGGCAACGCCTCGGCGTCGGATTGCCTCAATGTCCAGGAGCGGCGTTGGGAAGGGTAAATCGTCGAAGTGGAACACTGTCGTGGAGGACGGCGCGGGCTTGTAGTAGTTGTCGATGCTGATCTTGTCATCAATGGCCTTGTAGTCAATGGCGTTGGTGAATGTCTTCTCAGTGTATGTGATGTGGGTTCTCTGCTGAGCATTGCGAGATTCAGGCGACGCCAGCGAGCTCTGCTTCCTGCCGTAGCGTACGAGGAGGGACTTGGCCACGTCTCCGTACGTGTTTGTCTCCAAGATGAGCTGATGCTCGAGCCGCGAATCGTCTCGAAGTCTTTCCAGTTGTTCAGTAAGCGACTCCCGCGGCCGCACCTGACAAACGACTCGGGCTCCAGTCTGCCCGGTGGCTTCTCTCCCCACGGACACAAGGCTGACATCAAACGAGGTCTCGCTGACCGTGTAGGGCACGGCTGCTGCGGCAGATCGATCAAGTCCGTAGACTTCGGAACGCAGCAGCATGCCCTTGAGGGCCCGATATGCCTCGGGCCACTGATCACTCTTGAGACCCGGCATCACGACAGAGGCCAGTCTAGCCTTGCTCCACAAGTCCGAGCCGGTGGGAGCGAGACCCATGTGAACCGCGCCGGTGTGGTACCACATCTTGGTATAGGTCGTTGGTGTTTCAAGGATCTTCTTCCCCCTCGTGACCGTAAAGTTTTCCGTCTCCCACTTCTCGACTGCGCCAAAGCCTCGGAACTCGCGCTCCAACCCGTCGTAGTAGCCATCGTGGTAGCGGAACCTTGTAGTTCGTGTCGAGGATACGATTTCGTCTCTTTCAACAAGACGACTGACCGTATGCACAGGGAAGGGCAGTTTGGTTTTCCAAGGCCTCCCCCGTTTCTCGTCCTGCAGGTACGAGCGCATTGACGGAGCGTACCTGACCGACGTGGTCAGGCCAGTCCCAGTAGACCATGACTTCAACAGGTGTGGCTTGGATCCGCCCGCCAAGTCGAGGTAGTTTATGACAAGCTCGTCGGTCGCCGCGCTATCGGGACCTACCCAGCATAGACACGAGGTTCCGTTGCCCAGGAGGTCAATGCTGAACACCGAGGACAGATTGTCAGCCTTGACAAAAGCCTCGAGGAACAGTTTGTCGCTCCATCCATTGCCGCACTGGTTGAAATACATGGCCACTCCACCATCGGCCGTGAGATACACCAAGTCTGTGGTTCCACTGCCATCTAGATCAAGGAGATGGAGCCTCTGGAAAGAGAATTGGTCGTCAGAATCGAAGAGAGGGGGATTTCCCATGCACAACTCTGATCCAAAACGCCCGTGGCCCAGGTTGGGACAGTACGAGACTCGCCCATTCGCAATTTTGACAATATCGGTCAAGCCATCGCCAGTCATATCCGTGAAGAAGACGGCGCTTCTCTTGTGACTGGTAACAAACATGTCGAGGCCCTCCATTCCCTCGCAGTGGCGCTCTAGGTCGTATCCGTCTTTGCCCAGGGATGGGAACCATATGAGTCCATCCTTTGCGTGGCAGAGTACGTCTCTACGGCCATTTCCGGTAAGATCCAAGCGGTGCATGGAGTCATCATTGACGTTGAAGCTGAGGCACGTAGGGAACTCCTTGAGGTTCTGCCAGTCGTCCATCGAGTTGCACTCAAAGTAGCCAGTCGCACGTCCCTTTTGGTCGCACAGGACGAGATCTTGCAACCCGTTCCCGTCGAGGTCCTCCAGAAAAGAGGCCGTGTAGTCTCCCGAGGCTGGGAAAGAGCTCACAATCTGGACAGGCCCGAAGTCCCTCTCTGGCTTTGGCCAGTCAACCTCCTCCCCGCCATCGCCGTCCTCCCTGCTCATCGTGTCGCCACTGCCATCGTCGCTGCTCACAGTGTCGCCACTGCCGTCGCTTTGGCAGCCAATGTCGAGCGCGTTCTCATTCCGCTGATAATACCAAGCCCCATCACGCTGGACGAGCAGGCCCGGCGCACCCTCGCCGTTCAAATCGACCCACCGGGTATGGAACCTCGCGTTGCTGACCTCCAAGCCCTGCAGGCAGTCTGGTTTCATGGTCTGCAAGCGCAGAGAGTCCACAGGCGCTGTCTTGGAGAATGAGAAGGTGTACGGCGCGAGGCTCTGTTGATCGTAGGTTGCCTTCTCCTGGTTCCACACATGGCCAGTAGCTATGAAGGATCTCAGCAGTGACCCCGTAGGACTTTCATCATACTGCAGGCTGTACGAGGACACCAGGTAATCCTTCCGCGGTAGCTTGTCTTCAAAATGGTGGAAGAGCAGGATTCGCTGGCAGAGGCGGTAGGATCGAATCTCAAAGCCGCTGGAGTAGCGGGAGAAAGCATCCGGCCGCACTAACCAGGGTCTAGTTGGCTCAGCTTCCGGGATATCGACGTCGTGATCGCCATAGTCGAATATCACCTCGAACATCCACTTGTCGTTGGCAGAGAGCGGAGTAATCTGCCAAGAGTCCAAGTCTCTGGCGACATCGACGTTGCCATACTTGATGGACTTGGGGTACCGTGCGCGTCTACGGGCGGCGGAATCCCTACAGACCTCGTGGATAGGAAGAGAGTCATCTGCGCCGCGGATGCCTTCGTCGTTCTCTTCCTTGTACTCGAACAGCATCGCATTGCCGTTCGGATCGTACACCTCAGAGAGCAGCCAGGAAAAGATCCGTTGAGGGCCACTGTGGCCTGCTGCATCCATGATTCGGGACTGAGATTCGCGGCCGTAGAAGCTGGTGACATTGGTTGGAGATATGGTCCTCCAAAACACGTCGTGCTTGTCGACTTGGTGCGTGAACTTCTCGATGCGCATCACTGCTCCGCCGGTTTCAACCCTCGAGCGATACCGCTGCACGAGGTACTGCCCAAGAGACCCCGAGTAGGCGAAGGCCACGCCGTCTTCAACCAGATCATCCAGATTGGAGAGCAAGAATACATCCGAGTCGTCGTAGTGCGGGATCTCCTGCGTCGTCTTGCGTGTGATGCTTCCCAGCGAGAGATTCCAGCCAATGCCAAACGGGCCGTTGCCACCGCCAGAATTGTAGGAAAGGTTTAGCAACGGATGACAATCATCTCGGCCAGCCGTTACGGGCAGTGGGAGGGTCAAGGCCAGGGTTCCGTTGCAAGGATTCACCTCGAACTTCTGGTCGATTGATCTCAACGCTCCGCCTCCCATGCCGGTCGAAAAGGCAGCGGCATCAATCTTGTCGATGGTGGGAATTCGAGATGCAGGCTTTGCTGAACCATTGTTAGCGGATTTGTCGCGTGGGCTGGCATTTGAGCCTTGATTGAGTCCCGGATGCTTTGTAGACACGGTAGGTTGCACTTGAAGTTTGACACGATTGTCCATGATGCGCGTCTATTTTGTTGCTGGATTCATACACATCGAAGGTCTAAAAGTTTATGACGGGACAGCTTCACCGTAAGTGTTTCTGTGGCACCAGAGCAGCACACAGTGTATGGCCTCCCGCGGTATTGTACTGTCTGGGAAAGAACTAACCACCTAGGCGCGAGTGAGGTACTGACCGTATCCCCTTGCTGCGATCACGACAAACAGTCACGAGGTTCTGTGCCCGATTTGCCGAGAAGCTCTATGGTTTTCAGGCCGCCACGAGACGCGAGAGCCCGCAGCCTAGACCTCGATAGATCCATGGATGTTCAAAGGGGCTTTTAGACAGTGCTGATGAGTGTTCCCGGAGACGAAGTCGGAGAAGGTGCGAAGAGCTGGAGTTGACAAGGGGAGGGGTGTGGGTATAGGGACTTGGAAAAGGGGAACAGGGGACTTGGCAGCGGCCACATTATAGTTTGTGATTTATTAGAGGCTAATGCAGCTCATTCTTCGGCAGCATTGGCTAGGTTGCGGGTTGCCCCCAAATCGAGCAGTGACACGCGCGAGTTGAAAGCTGAAAACGGAAGCTCTGGAACCCAAAACGGGCAGACCGCTATGCCACCATCCATCAGCCTGCCGCGCCTCGTGGTCTGACAAGCTCTTGATACCTGCTCTTCATACCTAGTGTAGTTGATAGTGTGGTTGGTAGCGTAGAATTCCTGAAACTAGTTTTCGTCCACAACTCTCAGAGTCTCCAATAGAGGGAGATGCCGCCCGCCACCGCCGCTCGCTACGTGCGTGACAGAGACAGAGACAGAGACACTATTGGGACATGCAAGTTGACGCGGCAAGTGGCACTATATGAGAGTCGTGCTCCTTTTATTGGTGAGTTACTGTATTTGCTGACTTAGACGTGGTGGCTGATCTATCTGTGTCACATCCATGCAAGCCCTCTGTACGGTGCCTCGTTACCCATTGCTTAGGAAGACCCTTGCACCGTGCCTCGTTACCCGTTGGTTAGGAAGACGACGCTCCGCGGGTCTTGTCCGCGTCAGCTTGGGAAGTGATGAACGCAATACCTTCGGTACCATCGATCAGGCTACACTTGAGGAAGGAGGTTGCCGCCCTCTTGCCCTTCATGTTCATGCTGTAGTCGGTGTGGTTCCACAGCTCGTCCAATAGCAAGACGTAATCGCCAGGGCCCGAGACCGGCCCCTCCAGCGTGAGGCTAAACCAGCCATCAGGCGGCACGGTGAAGCGGGGCGTCTTGCTTGTCTTCTTGATGGGGGGCACTGGCTCGATGCGGAAGATGGTCGACTTCCTCTCCTGCTCGAGCGTCACGCGCAGCTCCTCCTTGATGAGTGACTGGCTGAACTCCCAGACCGAGCCAGAAACATTGCTGCTGCTAGTGCTGGGGCCACTGGCGCTCGCGCTGACACTGTCGCTACCTTCCCTTGCGGCCTGCTCGTCCTTTTCGGCCGTCTCCGTCTGGCGCTTGATGCGCTGCTTCTCATCAAGTTCGCTGCGCGCCTGCCACGCGAAGGTACTGCCGCTGAAAAGGCACTTCTCGCCTGCCGTTGGGAGCAACTGAATGGCGACATCTTCAAAGGCCATGGCATTTGGTAGCACGTTGCGCCCCTGGAGCACGAGCTTGGCCGTCCCCTTGCTGGAGTTCCACAGGATCTTGGGGCTCCAGGTGATGTGTGTAGGGTTGCCGGTCACGGTGGAGTCGTGGATGACTGGGTCTGCCGCCTTGCTCGGGGACGTCTCGATGTCCTTGGGCACCCCTACGTTGACCTGGACAAGACCGTCTTCTTCGAGATCGATGTAGTCGACGGTGGCGAGGATGTCGCCAAAGTCATTGAGCTTCGGGTTTCCGAAAACGAGTGTGCGCGTGCCTGGGTAGATGAAGTGGCCCGCATCCGCCACCACGTTCTTCAGGTTGGCACAGGCCGTCTGGAAGCCCTGTTTCAACGACGCCTCGACGGCCGTGCGCATGTTTGTGTCTGTCTTGTCTCGCACAAACTCACCTCCGCCACCCCATACGCGTAGGTCTCTTGGAAGACTGGTGTCCGGGTCCAGGCCGATGACTACGGGGTTGATTACGCCGTTCGGCACTTCGGGGACTTCAGGCGGCGGTGGCGTATTGTTCTTGCGGGATTCCTCGAGCTTCACCAGGTAGCGAGCCCGCTCTCTCATAGCCTCCTTCTGCATTTCGAACGACTTCTCCTTGTCGCAAAGGTCGATTTCAAAACTCCAGGTGACCTTGATCCAGAATCTACCATGGTATGTTAGCCCAAAGTGTACGAGGAACTCGGGAGCGAAGCGGAGCAGGGACACTTACGATCCCCAGAAACAGTCTCCTCCCTCGGACTTCCACCCAAAGTTCATGTTTCCACGGGCATTGTATGCCTCCCAATGATTGTAAAACACAGAGCCCTTGACATTGATGGTATCGTTGCCTGGCACCCAATCAACTTCGACGCTATTCTCAGCTTCGATGGTCCATTTTCGGTAGACGGGCGCCGAGTTGCAGTCTGTGTACGTCTTGACCTCTTGCCCAGATCCAGGAGCCGCCCACGTCCTGCGCCACGCATAGTGTCCGTTGCTCTCCCATTTGAAGTCAAACGTAGGGTTGGAAGCAACCTGGTCAGGGAGGCCCGGGTAGAGCGAAGCCGGGTTCGGGTTTGCGCCCACAACATACCGACTCTGGAATTGCTGCTCGCCGCTGCCACGATCCGTAAACATGTTGGGATACACGGGAATGACCGACGTCTTGACACAGAGCTCCCGGAGGCTCGTGAGAATCTTCTTCTCAAAGTACAGGCGATGGTCCAGGACGAAGGTTCCGGGAATCGCTGGCTTCGAACTGCCCCCTGCAGGCTCCGCCAGATTACCGCCGTACTCCAGCCGCGTTCCAACAGGCAACTTGCGCTTGACAACTTCGCAGAACACGAGGCAGTTCTGTGGGTGGCCGAGCTGGCTTCCACTGTCCAAAGACGTCACTTTGTCAGCCTTGACATCTTTGAAGTGCGCGAGCTGCGCGTCGTCGGTAATGTACGCGTAGTTTTGCAGGCGGACCGCCGTGGGAGCTATTTACGTACTGTCAGTTTCACTCAGGTCTGTTTGACTGCTGCGTTGGACGTGGGAACTGACCGCATGTAGCCAAGGCCTGCTCCTCCACGAGTCTTGCCACGGGGAGACGGATCTGAAGGCCTAGGTTCCAAAAAGCTGATTCTTGATTGTCTTCAGCCCAGTTGCTCAGAAGCTTGGAAACCGCATTCGCCATGAGCCTAGTCGTACTGTCCCGGTTCGACTCCCTCCAGTCTTTCAAGCTGACCCTCTTGGTGCTGTCCTCTGGATCAGGCAGATAAGAGTGGGACTCAACGGGGGTGGACCATGCTCCCTCTACTTCGTGTCAGTGTGTGTCGCGGTTTAGACGCGGGGGACGGCGAAGGGTGATACATACGAGCAACTACACAAAACAGACGGTGAATGGAATAATCCCCAGGCTTGATAGGGGTTGGCTTCTTCGCGCCGCCCGGGGCAGAAGCCTCCTTCTCGGCCGCTGCCACAGCCTCGTCCTGGGCCTTTTTGATGGCGGCCTCAAGCGCGTCCACGTCATGGGACTTCTTGATCTCGTCTAACGCTGCAGACGCCGCGGCCGCAGCCTCTTCGTCAAAAGCACGGTCTGGACTAACCTGGGCCTCAAAGAGATGCGAACGAACAGTGATGACCCAATTGTTGATGCTCTGGATTTGATCCGCGGCTAGTCTGATATTCCCGGACTTGATACTGCGGTAGTTCTTAGCTTCTATTTGTTTTCTTTTCTTTTGTTTGGTAATTATCATTCCTTACTGAATCTCAAAGTACAACTCGGGCGTGTCGGAACTGCCAATCTGAAGCTTGACCTGGGGCGGATCCAGTATGGCATCGAGGACGCCATTATTTCCTCGCTTGTCCTTGTACCATAACTCAACAAGATCCTTGCGTTGGTCGAAGAGAGCCTTGAAATTGTCGTTGATGGTCTGCTGGCTCAGTGCACAGATCTGGTCATAGTAGTCTGCACCATTGGTGCCTTGAATATTCAGTGAGATGCGATTGCGGTTGAATTCAGCCATGATGAGGCGAGTCTTGGGACACAGCTCGGATTGTGATGAAGTAGCAGGGGTGACACTTTGACGGATGGGAAAGAGTCTAGCTCCAGCAAGACAAACATTCGGAAGTTCCTTTAAGGATGAGGTTTCTTGCACAGTGAAAGGCTCATTTGCGCAAAGCAGAGAGCACGACAAAGAAATCCCATGTTCCTATGTTCCAAGTAGTCTACTAGCTCAGCTGCCCACTCAGCTCAAACCCTCGACCCGACCTCAACTCCACTTGCCATCGGCAACATCCGGTGCGTGCCGTAGCGGCATGGGGTTCTCGGGTCTAGGCCCATTGATACTATTGAAAGTAGGGTGGAGCTGGCCCGATTGGGAAGGCCGGCGCTTGAAGGGATAGGGGTGTGCGTGTAGTGACATCCATGCCTCGACTCAAATCGAACAGACACAGGACTCAGCTAGCCACTCCCTCTCACTAATGTCGACACTTGCTCAAAGTAGGTAGCAATTCTTCGCTATTGGCATCAATAGTAGAGACATGGTTACCCCTCCCAATTTTCAGCCCCGGCTGCTGGCCTAGGCCGTGGCGTGGACCCGTCTGCGCAAGCCATGACGCTGCCGAACTGGAGTCGACGACGTCTTGTGATGGTGGAGAAATGGTCTAAGTGCCTGGGAAGATTAGCTCTTTTTATGAGGAAGGCATTTGGAGAGCAAAAGTGTCTCAACAGCTATTAGTTCTGGATGTTAGCAGTACAGCTATCGTCATGAACGATATCAAAATCGAAAATTTACCAAACGTCCGCACTTTGAAAGCCCACATTGGCCATGGCAGCTTTACGAATATTCTTGGAAAACCAGCTGGGGGAAGAATTGCGTACCCTCGGCCGACGTCTTGAGCGTGCAGCGGCGGACGAGTGCGAGGATCGTCGCTCTGCCCTGGACCTTGTGCTCAAAGATGGGAATATTTCCATCAACGGCATCTCGACGCTACAATTCCTACAGTCTGTTCTCGATTATACAAACAACGACCTACACATATGCGGTTGGCTCTTGAATACACTAGAACTCGCCACTGTCCAAGACCTTGCCATCACGTTGTTCCCTCGCTCAGATCTTGTGAAGCTCGCTGCATCAAGTAACGAGGCCGAGCGCTTGGAGCCGCAGACACTCCAGGACATTTGCTCCAGATTCTTTAACGATCACCCAACCTTGGTCATCCAAGTGCTGTTGCGCCGTGGACTGTTTACGCTGTCAACGACTCTGCAAAAGACGGCGTGGTTCATGCTATCATGCCTTGAGCGAGACAACATCGACATCAATGATGAGCAGCTCATTCAGAAGACCCTATCCGCCCTGAGCCAAGGAGCTGCAGAGCTCCAACCGTCTAGGGACGACATTCTCCTGGCCTTGGCTTTCGTCAAGTCTATGCTTCTCCTGAGCCGAGTGGTCGAAGACCCAGAAGATCTGCCTCGGCTACACAAAGCGGGCATTGAATCAGTCCGTCAGATCACGCAACAGCTCAAGGGCAAGTTCGCCGAGCAGATGGTGGCCGAGGGAATGACAAAAGACAATGCCCTGAAGGTGCACGACTGTGCCGAACGTGTGGATTGTTGGAACGAGCAGCTCTGGCTCTCCATTATGCAGTCTAGTCGAGATGATTACATGCCCATCTCTACAGCGAAACCGAGCGCGCTCTCTGGTGGACAGCCTGAAGACCGCTCACTTCACAACCTGACGGACATCTTCAAGCTAGAAGGGACGGACTGCGAAGAGTGCTGCTCGGTAACGGGCCTGTCGGCTTACTTGAGCGATCTCCTGCTCCTACTCCGTAACACAACGTTCATAGACAGGACACCCGAAGATATCTCCAGCGGGAACTCTGCCAAGAACTTACTGGAGATGCTTTTCGAACGCAGGCCAGACATCCGGAAGCTGCAGCTCACTTGTGCCAACTCCCAAACTCTGCTACCCTACATCAGCCTGGTCAATGAGGTGCTAGAGTCCTACATCCGGTCCACTGCCACTTCGCCCATAGCGCCATCCGACAGGTTCGAGGACTCGGTTCGCGCATACCAGACCCCGACAGGCTTCGAAGAGGGCCAAGGACCTGTTGGGGCAGCTTCTAGGATTCAGTATCGTCCAGCGAACATCGATTATGATGTTTACCAGAAGCTAGTGTCTAAAGCTACTTACCCTTTCACGTGTTTCCCCTTCGACTTGGCGCATCATATCGAGGCCGCCGTCTTCGACACGTACGAGCTAGACTTTGTTCGTTTTCTGCGCATATTCCAGTCTCCTCACCGCCTGCGTGATCTTGTCCCTGTCGATCGTCGAGGAGCTGTGGATCGAGAAGTCGGCCAAGCTCTTCTCAGCGGTGCCAAAGAGACGCTCAAGCGCCAGCTCGCTGCGGAGATGCTTGGACTCCAGCAGGCAGAGTTCAGCACCATCACGTCGGAAACGTACTTTCCGGCCAAGTTTGCGGATCTCGTCAACGGACTATCCCCGGTACCCCTGAGGATCGAAAAGACATGCCCTGTTGATGCCGCTTCACTCTGGGGTTTCGACGACGAGGAGACCTTGCTCGACCCTCTGAAAGGCCTGTCTCTCATCAAGAACCAGCTTATGCTCAAATCAGGGCTGGAATTCGACGAGGTACTGCAGCTGGTCAAGACTCGGTGTTTCAGCCAGCACCTAATCATCGCCAATGCCTCAGGATCCTCGCGATTCGACGCACTGGTCGAGGGTCTACTGCTCCTGTCCAACGCGGCTGCTCCTCCCTACCAGCCACTCACCGAAAAACTTGCATTTGCTCTCCAGGCATTCCTCCGGCTCCGGAGCAAATTGTCCTGGTCAATTGCCGACACAGATGCTGCCATCGTCGGGTTCCGTAATCTTGAGCTGTCGATGGTTGCAAACACGCGCAGGACAGAGAGGTCCGATCTTCCCCCACCCATTGATCAGGCCGTGGTTGAGGAACCCGCTAGCAAGGATCCAAGCATCGAGGAAGAGCCGCTCTTGTTCGATCCGACCGAGCCTACAGTTGCCAATTCCGCAGAAGTCGTCAGCATCACGCCCTATGTGGTGAGTGGCATTGCGGCGCTTTCACAGCTGCACAAGCTCTCTGCCATTGATGCTAGCGAGCTGCTCCCAATCTGGACGTCAATCAATACTTTCGGCGATAAGTCCCTGTTCCATAGAAAGTTCATGACGAAGCAGCTCCAACAGATTGACGGCGTTTTTGACCCATATATTAACGAACAAGCGACACCCCCGGCGGCCAAGTACCTGACTGTCAAGGGTACCGAGGAAGCCGTCGAGCTGCATGCACTCGGTATTTGTGCAGCTCTGAAATGGCCGCTGGACTACTTCGACCAGCTCGTAGCTGCTGCCAGTTGCCGAGGCAAGACGCTCGACATCGACGTCTTCTCCGCATTGTACCGACATGCCATCATCAGCCGCATCCTCGCCGTGCCGCCCAAGAGCTCGGAAGTATTCTTTGAGGTATTCTATGCTTGTAGCGGAGCGTCGGTTCTGAAGGATCCGCTTCACACTGTTGCTGTCATTGAAGATTGGAAGCTCCTTCTCAACTCTGGCTGGACCATCGACTCGTTGCTGAACACGCTCAGCAAGAAGAAGCGGGAGACGAACACCGAGACTCTGGCAACAAAAGAGGCTTCGCTCGAGGGCCTTCGGCTGGCGCTAGAAATCGCCACGGGGGCCCAGAATATCGCACAGTCCATTCCATTCACTCTCCCTGGGGCCGTGCCGTCCGCTTCCGATGTCGTCGATTGTGCATCCCGTGTTTTTGACGAGTCTACAGCGAAGGCAGTGGTGGACATGATAGAGAGTAAGAAAGCCGCAAATGCATCCCCTTTCAAGTCTGCTGGACCTTAGCAAAACCTGCCAGAGACTAATCTCACCCGTCTTTTCAGATTCTGTGGCAATACCGGACACCCTCCGCCAGAAACTTCCAGTGGTAAAGCGGATTTCTGATGCCATTGCGCTGCCGGCCAAAAGCACGGCTTCTACGGGACTGGCCGCAACCACACCGCCGGCCAAGGTCTCCAGCGATAGCAGCGCTCGCGGACCAACAGCAGATGACGATGAGAAAGCTGCGGCTAAAGCGGCTGACGAAGCCAGGCTGGCAGAGCAAGCCAGCCTTGAGGCGGCTATGCAACGTCATCGCCGAAGAACAGAATTCATCAACATAGCCTCGCCCATCATCACCGAGTCCCTGCTCAAGACTTTTATCGTCAACACAGTCAAGGCGATATTGCCGGATGCAGATCCAGTTGTTATCCTTACTCTCTTGTCGGACATCGTTACAGTGCCAGCAGCGGACGGCCAGTCCCAGCAGACGGCCATGTCCGCCTTGCAGGATCTCAAGCAGCCCTCCAATGATGGAGCTACGTCTGCGGAGCTGGATGCCTACTTCCAAGCGCCCACGAGTGACAATTATACATTGATTTATACTGGCTCGGCCGCAGAGGGCCAAGCGCTACCAGCCTTGTCGGTTGAGGGCATCGACGTGCCATACAACAACAGCACCAAGTCATTCAGACCATTCCGCCTGACTGGCGGTAAGTATTTCCGCTTCAAGGCGAACTTCAGCGCAAAAGATGTGACCTGGTCCACTTCCAAGTCCAAGTCAACGCCCTTCACCAACGACATCCTCAAGTCGGTGACCATTGCAAACCGGGCGGCCACAATTATCGCAGCGATCAAGCGCGTCGCGGTCATCTGCACGACAGCACAGCTGACGCCCGAAGAACTTCAGTACATGACTCTCAATCGCACCAAGGCGGGTCAGACACTGGTGGTTAATTTCGATGATCTCAAACTGGCTGAGTTGGTGCAGCTGGTAAAGTTCCGCCGCCTTCGCCAGGCCGCCACCGGCAATATCGGAAGTCTCGCTAGACTGGTCGACTGGCTTGGCTCAACGACTTCGTCCACGCTCGAGGTCATTGCAGCCGAGCTCTCAGATGCGACCGGGTGGAAAAAGGCCCGCACTCTGGAAGCCCTGGAGGTCAATTTCTCTGGTTGGTTGCCTCTAGACGTCATGTCAAACCTGAGGAGCTTCGAGGGGTTTTTGAAGTTTGCCGACATCATGTCGTTCTATGACGAGCTCCAAAACGCGAGCGCGGGAGGGTCTCTGCCAAACATGTCTGTGTTGTTCAGTCTGGCCCAGCCTAGGACAACGTTGTCCTCTAGCAAAGACGACTATGCTCGAGCGACGGCAATACAAGAAGGCCTCACACCATCCCAAAAGACGGATATAGATGTTGTCTTGACCCAGAAGCGGCGGAGAGTCCTGGTTGAGTACCTCTTGCAGCAAGAGAAGGTGCGGGACGAGCTCGGCATAGTGAATGCCGATGGCCTATTTGAGCATTTCCTCATTGATGTCCAGATGGGGCCGCAGCTGCGTACATCGCGGGTGAAGCAGGCCATCTCCGTGGTGCAGCTCTTTGTGCAGCGGTGCTTCCTGGGCATGGAAGCCGGCATCGCCAAGGATATGCTCCCTCGCGAGAAATGGACGTGGATGCAGCACTACACGCTGTGGGAAGCGCACCGCAAGATGTTCTTGTACCCCGAGAACTGGCTCGAGCCATCGCTTCGCGACGACAAGAGCCAGCTGTTTCAGAAGTTGGAGACGACGCTCATGCAAAAGGACCTTAGTGTTGGTACCTTCCTGCGAGCTGTCCAGGACTACGCTTACGACCTGAACGGCATATCCAGCCTGGACATTGTCTCGTATCTCCACGAACCGCATCCAAAGGCCGAGGATGTCTTTCATCTGTTTGGTAGAACCCGCTCGGCACCACACACGTTCTACTACAGGACACTGACAATCTACCACTCCGACGGCGCCGTTTTCTGGAAACCGTGGACAAAGATGGAGATCGACTTGCCCTCGGTCGAGAACGACTGGAACTCGGCCCGTCTGCAGGAAAGCGGAGCGTATCTGGTGCCTATCTCCCAAGACGGCAGGCTGTACATCTTCTTCCCCCAAGTAGTCGTCAAGACGGTCAACACTACCCAAGAGTCGAACCTGGCCGCCGGCAAAAGCACCCCGACATGGACACAGATGGGCGATGCCGTACCAGCTGCCCAAGAGCCTCGAACACAGTGGGAGATCACAATGGCTTGGAGCGAGCTTGTCAGAGGCACGTGGACCCCGAAACGAATCTCGCCCGGCAGCCTGTCGGTCGACATACCCAGGCCGCCCGCCCCAGCAGGGAAGCTTTTGGAGCTGCCTCCACGAGGCTCTCTACCCTCTGCCTGGCAGTTTCGCCTGGATCCGATTTTCGAGACCAATCGTGTCAGGCTTGTGCTGAGTCACGCACCTGAGTCGCAGCAGAAGGGACAGGTGGTTGGTTGCTTTGACTTTTCTACGGATCAGGTCACCGCCTGCCAGGATGCGAGAATCGCCGTGCCCTCGAATGGGTTTTGCACCTATTTCGACAAGGTCGCCGGAGACAAATCCACTCTGTTTGTGCCTGGCGTGGAGGACAAGAAAACGGCTCCCTTAGTCTGGCTGCCGAAGAATATCCAACAGCCCAAGTCAGATATCAAGTGGACGCTGTCCAAGACGCCAAAAAGAGTCACCGGCCTGGTTCTCAACGTGAAGCAAGAAGACGGCTCCAGCGTCAGCTACTTCAACGTGCCACAGAAGGAGTTGCTGTCCACGGCTTGGACACAGGAATTGATCGACAACAGGATGGCGCTTACGTCCATGGATCATCCCTTCTCGCAAAGCCTCATGCAGGCCGCCGTGGACCGAGCCGACCCTCTCGTGAGCATTTACAACACCATGGCGGCCACCACGCCGGGGCAGCTGGCCGACAGTTTCGGCCTGGTTGGTGGTGATGCCTTCTACCACGAGCTCGCGAGCCCGTGTGCGCTTTACAACTGGGAGCTTGGCGTCCACGCGGTGATGCTCGCGACCGATCGCTTCCTTGCCACTCAGCAATTCGACGACGCCCTGCAGATTGCCCGACTCCTCTTCGACCCGACTGTCGACACGAAGATGCGACGAGCTGATGCCGCCAAGCCGGGCAAAGAGAAGGTGGCTGAATCACCCTGGCGGTTCCCCCCTTTCCAAGACATCAGCGAGAAGATTGGTAAATCTGGTGAACGGGGCCCTGATTTGACGAAGCTAGCGGCAGAGATTGAACTCGCCATCAAGGAACGCCGCTCGTTCGGCCAGCTGGTCCACGCCGCAGCCCGCGGCCGGCCACAGGTCTACATGAAATGGATTGTCATGAAGTACGCCGAGATCCTCCTGGCAGCCGGAGATCAGTACTTCCGCCAGGGAACACTCGAGAGTCTACCGCTGGCCATCCAGCGCTACACTGAGGCCGCTCACGTCCTTGGCCCTGAGCCGATCAAGGGCCTCAAGCTGGGACGCAAGGCCCCCAAGTGCTTCGAGGATGTCATCAAGGACGAGGTCAAAGTCCATTTGTCCCTCCCGTTCTCCGCACAGTTGAAGAGGATCAAAGGCTCCGCGTCGACGCAGGAGCTCGACGCACGGAAAGAAGCTCTGCGGTCCTTCATCATGACTCCCTACTTCTGCGTGCCCCTGAACCCCAAGTTCAAGAAGCTGCGAAGCCAGGTGCACGAGCGCCTCTACAACATACGCAACTCGCTAGACATCAACGGAAAGCCCGTCGAGTACGCCCTGCGAGAGCCCCCCATCGACCCAGCCGCCCTTGTAGCTTCCGGCGCGGGGGTCGGCGGCTCGGCTGGCGTCATCGCCGCTGCGGCCATCGGTGCCCAGAACGGGCCGCTCCCACGATACCGCTTCGAGATGCGACTGCAAAAGGCGCTCGAACTTTGCAGCGAGCTGCGCTCCATGGCTGAGCGGATCATGACGGCGGTGGAGAAGAAGGAAGCCGACGAGTTCAGCGCCATGCGTGCACGCAACGCCACCGTCATCCAAACACTGATGCTTGACATGAAGCGAACGTCGCTCAAGGAAGCGCAGCAGACGATCGACTCGCTGCAGCTCTCGAGAGATGCGCAGGCCGCCCAGCTGTCGTTCTACCTGGCCTCCATGGGGGAGAAGACATCTGAGGGCCCCAGAGCCTACCAGGACTGGGTCGACCTAGAGCAGGACATCGGACCCATCACCCAGGACGACCTGCGCATGTCGGCGTACGAGAAGGTCGAGATGGACTTGGCCGACGCCGCGGCGGCCCTCAACGTGATCGCGGCAGGCATTGACATGACAGCCTCGATGTTCGCATGGCTGCCCAACATCTCTGGCAATGTGGCGCCTTTTGGTATCGGCTGCAGCGTCGCAGCGGGCGGCTCTCTGATCGCGGGTGCGATCCAGATCGAAGCCCAGGCTATGAAGATGGGCGCGATGCTGGTGGGCGAGGTGAGCAGCGCGGCCGGGCGAAAAGGCCGCATGGTCAAGCAGCTCCAGGAGAGGCGGCTGCAGGCCAACATGCGCGGCCGCGAGATCCGGGTCTCGGACCAGCAGATCCGGATCCAGCGGACGCGCATCGAGGCGGCTGAGAAGGACATGGCTACGCAGTTGGCCTCGATGCAGGACGCGGCGCAGGCCGAGGCCTACTACCGCACAAAGTACACCAGCCAGCAGCTGTACGCGTGGATGGAGAAGGAGCTGCGAGGCCTGTATTTCCAGGCGTACACGCTGGCGGCCGCGGCTGCGCAGCAGGCCGTTGCGGCCCTGAGCTTCGAGCAAGGCCGGCCGATCTCGATGCTGAGGCCGGTGGGCTACTGGGACGCTTCGAGAGATGGTCTGCTCGCCGCCGATAATCTGTACATGGACCTCAAACGCCTCGAAGCGATACATCTCGAGGGCACCAAGCCCGACTTCGAGATCACCAAGACTATCTCGCTGCGGCAGCTCGACCCCTTGGCACTGCTCCGGCTGCGCATCACGGGAATCGCCGAGTTCTCCGTCCCCGAGGTCCAGTACGACATGGACTTCCCCGGCCACTACATGCGGCGCATCCGCTCCGTGGCTGTCTCGATTCCGGCCGTCATCACCCCGACGACCGGGTTCAACGCAACGCTCACGCTCACCAAGCACCAGTACCGCGTCAGCCCTTCTGCAGGCGCCGGAACAGCCAAGGACTACCTTGCTCCCGCGGCCGATGCCTTCCGGAGCGACGGCGTGCCGGTGTCTTCGGTAGCCATAAGCTCTGGCGCCAACGACGCCGGCGTCTTCGAGCTCAACTACGCCAGCAACGGCAGATACATGCCCTTCGAGGGTGCGGGCGCCGTCTCGTCGTGGCGGCTGCGGCTGCCCTCCGAGGTGCGCAGGTTCGACTACGAGTCCATCAGCGACGTGCTGCTCCACGTGCAGTACACGTCGCTCGACGGCGGCGAGCTGCTGCGGTCGGCGGCCGAGGGCGCCGTGCGCGCTGTGGCGGCCGGGGTCGAGGAGCAGGGACGGGCGCGCGGCTTCTTTGCCATGTTTGATCTCCGCAACGACTTTGTGAATGCTTGGCACGCCTTCCAGACGAGTATGCTTGCATCGAACAAGGCGGAGACCAAGGCCAAGGGCACGTTGCAACTTGGTGGTGGTGGCAGTGGTGGCGCCGACAAAGGGGGCTTGAAAGGCCGCCTTCCCTTCTGGTCGAGAAGCCAGCCTAAGCTCGTGGTCAAGACGATCATCTTGGCTTGCCGAGACGCCAAGCTCGTACGCGGTCTCTCCATGCCCGAGGTGATGGGCGAAAAGCCTCTCGTCGACGAAAGCCGGATTGGGACTGGCAAGGCTTCTGTCATTATCAGGACTTTTGGAGATCTGTCGGTGGATAATCTGGATGGCTGGACCCTCGAGGCGAGTGGCGTGCCGCTTGGGGACAAGGTGGACCGTCTCGACAACATCTATATGTTGATTGAGTATGTATTCGGATGAGCCGCTCTTGTTACCCTGGTTAGAGACAACGTATATACGCGCGGCCTAGCCAAGAAACTTCACATGAGACCCGACTTACAGTTTGTCTACCACTGACTCGGTAGGATATTCCAGTGCTTCTGCCATCTATGCCTCTCGAATCCGGGTAGTGCCATATGACACTCCGCTTTTCCATCGTGAACATCATTCATACAGAACACCAGCATCCGACCTACTGCCTGAACAGAGCAGATGTTCTGGACACAGATTCCATCTCGCTCTCTGACTAGGAATCGGATTTCCAAGTCGTCGCGAGTAGTAGAGTGCTTCCCAGTATCTCTTCTAAACCCATGCTGAATGGTCGTAGATAAGTACCGGTATATTGGAAAGGCCACTTTTGTAGCTCAAGCAGCCGGGCTGATAAGATGCATGACCAACAGAGAACAAGCAAGCCCAGCCCTCTTGGTGTGTCTGCTGAATGAAGCTGCTCTGGCTGGCTGCTTATGTGGCATGGCATGGTCTTGATCGCGAAAAGACGCAGTCTTTTCTCGAGGCCATGAACATCTCGTCCCCGCTTCATGTCTTTGTCGTGGCCAGTTCTAATCTGCCAGACTGGTACTCCCCGGAGTTCGGTGGTGGGTGCGTACGATGGGAAGGCAGGGACATCTTCCAGCATAATCGAGGGATCGCAGCAGTGACGAGGTAAACAGCATTTGGGAATGCTGGCCGATTGAGCCGTGAAATACGACCATGTCTGCTCGGAAGTAAGCCAAGTCTGCCGGGTCTGCTCTTGCGTTGGAATGAAGATGTCATCAGGATGGCCGACAAGTTCGCCAAGTGACGATTGCGAGCAGTGCAGATCATCTGTGTCGGTACTTACTGCCTTCAAGCTCGGAGCCATTGATGCTCACTCTCCCTTCACCGTGTCCACACTCCCGACATCTCGGAGACTCATCAGCCCAGGAGGGTGATCCTGTGCGTACCCAGTTGACTATTCGCTCTGTGTTAGAGCATGAGCAGTTCCTTATTGGCGTTGCCATGCTGGATCGTGTACGGTAGGAGGGTGACTGTTCGCTGCCCGCTTTGAGTCGTTGGACTAGCGTCCCCGCTTTGATCTGCCCAATTATACACGCACATTAGCTGGATTCTGAAAACGGAGTGATACATCACTCCACACACCTCATTCAAGAGAAATCGCCTTGTTTACGGTGGCACTGGCCATTCTTAACAAGCCTCTGAGTATTGGAAATGTAGGGGCAAAATTGGTGGTTGTATTGATGCTTGCGTTGTTGTATGGGTCTAGCCCGAAAATTAGGTGAGAAGTGTACTTTGATCCTCCAAGTGATACAGTGGCTCCTGCCCCATTTACAGTATCCATTTCGTCATTCGGGTCCACTGCACAGGATTCAAGGCCATGGTGCCGCTCTCTTGGTCGAAGTGCCGCGCCCAGATAATAGCGGCGTGTTCGAGCGCCTGCTGCGTGTAAGTGGCCCAGCGACCTTTAGGCGGGTCTCGGTCGCGCTTGGCTTCGAAGAAGACGCATAGCCTGGACCCAAGCTTCGGCACGTCGAGCAGGTGCCTGCACAGCTGACCATCAATCCGCACTCCGCATTCGTACTCCTGGGACCCGGTTCCGAAGTCGCCAAAACGGAAGGTCTGCTCAAAGGGGACGCCAATGTAACGAGGGATACCAAATGTGGGCTGTAGCTGGACGGCGATGGCGCCGCAGAGGCCCGCGAGGAACTCGACGACAATCGTCTCTGGGGCGGGCCTCTTCTCCACCTCACCGGCCTCGGTCTCAGCATGGGGCTCATCGCTTCCTCGAAAGGCTCGGTTATCATGACCGCTATCGTTGCGGTCAAGGCCATCCTCTCCAAATGCCCTCCGGGCGCTGGGCTTCTCCGGGGCCTGAGGACGGACCACCCTGGGCCGCTCCTGAGGCTCGCCATACTTCTGCCTCTTTATGAAGTCATGGTAACCGATGAGGGTCGCAAAGGGGCCAGTTGTTTGACCGAGGGTGGGCTCGTCGCAGGTAAGAATGATATTCTGGGGTGGGGTCCGGGGCTCTTTCGGACTCAGTTGCTTGACAAAGAAGGCAAAGGCACGATCCTTTGCCAAGATGGATCTTGCTTCCTTGAGATTCAGGCTCTTGAAGAAACAGCCGGCCTCTATGAGGGCTCCTGCGGCTTCACGGCCGGGTTGGATCCTAGGATGTACGACCCGAAGAGCTAGAACGACCTCTGCAGGGGCTGTGGAGGCTGAGAATCGCTCTGAGAGAGAAGGTCTTAGTATACACTCATGTTGTTGTCATTACTTGACCGGGAGTTTGCAAAGGGGAACAGAGTTATCAGCGAAAGCAAGCGGCAGATTATCACTTACTGCCTCCATTTTGTCGATGTGGTAGGTATCGTTCTTGACATTGAAGCTGGGCATCCTGGATCAAATTGCAGAGCTCCATTACTGTTCGAGGAAGTTCCTCATCGTGCCCGATGCTGCGGGGTGCCTGGTTTGGTGGCATATCCACCATAGGGAGACTGGCGTCAAAGGGCACCCAGGATGAGAGGAGTTGTTTAGAATGGTTGGTTGAGCCGTTGTAGCTCCCCGGGCGCATCCATATTCATATCTTGTCACGAAGCAACAGACCAAGCAAAGCGCTTGCCAGCTTGTCTCCTTTCCCATTACCCTAACAGCAAGCAATAGTGCCGTAGGGAGAGCGCACCCGGAGACTGGCATGACTGCACGGGCTGGATGAGATGCCCGGCTTGTTGATTCCTAGCGATGCAAACCTTTTCTCTCTTGCAGCTTGTTGGGGCAAAGGGGTGCAAACATTGGCTGGTACGACGATGGTTGTCTCTCATCGTCGCTTGACGGCGGCAAGCTTTGCTTATCTGGGCCGGAAGAGCGATTCCAGGAGATACCGACAAAGGCTGAGGAGCTCAAAACAACCAAGCAAACCATTGATGGATCAAGCAAGGCGGCAAGCGGGACCCGGCCAGCATACCAAGAACGACTGACTGTCACAACATCCTAGGTACCTCTACATGCATATGGTGCTGGCAACGGTACATATGGTGTAGGGGAGGGACAATACATCTCGACGTGGTCGCTGTTTGCGCTGGGTAACAGTCTCCGCATAAGTGCAGACCCCCACAGGCAGGCAAGCAAGGTGGTGCGAGTTTGCAAACGCAGGCTTCACCTCATTGCCAGTCATCGAATCTTCTGGAAGCGAAGGACTATCCATCACGGGGAGGAGGCGTGGCGCGAAAAGAAGGTCGAGGCCCGCATGGCGCGTGCCGACTTCCCGCCCGCGGACCAGCACGTCTGCGGCGTCGTCACGGCAAAGTGCTGGGCAATGGCCTACGAGTCGGCCGAGGAGAAGGAGTTTGTAGAGATGGAAGAAAAACCATCAGCGGGATCAGACTGCTAGTCGTCGGTCTCTGGTGTTGGCTTTAGGGCTCGGTGTAGTTGCTTTGTGCTTCTCTGGTATTGGGGTCGGAGGTTGCTCGTAGAGTTGACAACCTGGCGGCCACCTACCGATGGCCAAATACAAGAGATGATCATGTTACTTGGGCTTCAAAGTGCGCGATGAACCTACATTCACCGACATTCTACCCCGGTAAACCAAGGGAAAAGGAGGAGTCTTGGTATCTAGTGTCTTGAAACGGCTAAACTACAGGAATAAAGGTGTAGATGTACAAGGTATGAGGCCTCTTGCCGTGCCATCAGCTGAGCTGTACTGTCTCCCTTTGTCTCCACCCTCTCTCTGTGCGTACATCTCTCTCCATCGTATGTTTATCGCTTCTCAGCGCATGTAGCCTCGAGAACCTCAGAAGAGAAAGCTTCACCTCGAGTTTGGCTAGCTTTGAGAGGCAGAATCCCCGTGCTGGGTGGCCTTTTATTGCTCTTGGGCGATATATGCAGGCCTACTACTCATTTTTGGACTGCTCCCCCTCTCTGGCGCATTGACGGACAGGTAGGTCTAGCTCGAGACTGGAGTCGGGCGATGGTTGTAGCGACATCGCCGGCGTCAGTGGTGTCAGCGGCGGCTCTTCGGTCGAGAAAGAGAACAGAGTTGACGAGTCAGATGTCTGACTGGGGATGCGCACAGCGGCGGTAGAGGAAGGATCATTTGAGGAGGTGGAGGATAAGTCGTTGTTGCAACCCTTTCCCTTGGCAGCCGGAGGCAGGGGTGGATTCTCTGCCCGGAGTGCCCAGCGCAAAAGATCGAGCTTCTCCATCATGCAACCCTTTCCCTTGGCAGCCGGAGGCAGGGGTGGATTCACTGGCCAGAGTGCCCAGCGCAAAAGATCGAGCTTCTGCTCCATGTAAGTCGGAGGGGGGCCGTCTGCACTTGGCAACTTCGACTTGGTGACGCCGGCATCATTGGAGATGCCAGCGCCGGTGGCCGTAGGTGGGAGGGAGGGTAGCGCAGCTACAGGGCGGACGCAGATGGAGAACTTGTCGTCCGCCTCGTCAATGTCGGTTCGGCAGGCAAACTGCACAACTCGCACGGCATTCCAGATCTCGGTGATAACAGTGACATGCACAGTCTCGGGCAACTGGTCGCGGCAGACGAGCTGGCCTCGTTCGCAGTTGTAGTCGAAGATCTCGCGTTCTCTCCAGAAGCGCTTGTTTGAGCTCGACAGGTCGTCCCATTCACATGAGTCCCAGCGGGCCAACTGGCACAATAGCAGAGTAAAGCCAATAAGCAGCTCGCTGCGCAGAAGGGTGACGTGCTCGCCGTTGCTGCCGGTGGTGCGATAGGTCAAAGGGCCTGTCCTGTGGTGCTCTCTAGTAAAATCACTTGCGATGGCGGTATAGTGGCCGGTCCTGGAGATGATGGCCTCGAGCTCCCCACAAAAACATCGGTAGACAGGCGGGATCTTGATAAGGTCCCTGTTACATCCCAACTGTCAGCAATAAAGAAGCAAGCGAGTTGGGGCTGGCCTGGGCTGGCCTGGCCTAGGGCCACATGACCTGACTTGCCTCGTTGTGTGGTACGCCTTCTCCACCTTGATCACGTCGCCGATGGCCGTGCGGTCGATTACGTCCTCGGCAGTCTCGACAAGCCATCTAGCCCAGTGATACGGTTCGTGCCGCTCCGGAATCGTACCCCACTTGGTCTTCTCCCCACCAAATTTGGTCTGGGGTCCCCTTGCGATAACATCATCAAGATCTAGCAATACTTGCTCCAAGAATGGCGGCATGTCGGGTGCGGCCTTGGCAGGGTCACTCTCGTAGTCGTGGACGAAGCGGCCCTCATGTGTCAACAGTTCGAGTCCTGCATTGACCCGCTCGGCGAATCCATTCTCGAGGTATTCCCCCATCTGATTGGCAAAGTCGCACATCCAAGGGCGGTCATAATTGTCCTCGTCTTGGCTGTGGGGTTTGACGTTGGGCAGCAGTGTCTCAAGCACTAGTGAGTTGGTATTCAGAGATCGTGCTTGCTGGGCGAGCGAGGTCTCCTGTTCGGGAGTAGCCATGACGGCTAGTTGGATGTGTACGTGCGCGCGCGCGCCTGTGCGCTTTTGCGTGTGTGCTCTGTACACAGGGGCCGAGTGTGGCGCGAGGTAGACTGTTGAAACGCGCGCAGGTGGTGATGGTTCTGCTAGATGATGTTTTTGGTGATGATGGCGCGCCTGTGGTTTTTTCCCCTTACACGTATGGACCGTGCGCAGGCACGTGCCCCTGCCCGGACACACGCGCGTCCAGACTTCTCCCGGGCAGTTTGCGCATATTCACTTGCACAGCTTGTCCTGATGTGCTTTACTGCTGTGCATATCTGGTAGGCGGCATACTACAAAAAGGTCAGTCCTGTGGTACGCCTCTGTGACACTCTTGTGGTCTTCCATGTCATCTTTGCACCAGGCCTTTGTCAGCCTTGATGTATCTGTATCCCATTCTCATCTTGACAGCAATCACCGTTGTCGGTGCACTCCAATCGTCTGCCAAGAAGGCTGGACATCCACAGGATGCACGCCTCTGAGAGACTTTGAACAAGACAAGACAGAAACTCTGATTAATATGCCCTAGCTGTCAAGCAGGTGCTTGAAGGACGTCTCGAACACGTCCCGGCGGAAGGGGGCACGAGAAGCGGCACGGCTCGCTGCTCCAGCCGTCGATGACGACCTCGCCCGTCTCCGCGCCGACAGGTGCTGGCCCTGGAAGTCGGCGAGCTTGACGTGGAGCCCCCTCGTCGAGCAGCAGGTTCGTCGGGTGCAGGTCGTTGTGGAGGACGCGGCGGCCGTGGACCCAGGCGGGCCCCTCGGCGGCCTCGCGGCACCAGGCCAGCCGCTGCTTTGTGGAGGGCGGCGGCCTCCCCGGCGGCGCCTCGAGCAGGTACTGTGTTACGGTCCCGTTGGTCGCCCGCTCCAGGAGGATTCCTATGCCCGGGAGGAAGCCCTTGTACCCGATGATGCGCGGGTGCGGCCCGACGATTTCGAGGAGCCTGCGCTCGGCTTCGAGGCGCTCCATGGCCCCACCCAGGGGCGAGGGTGTACTTCAGGATGGTGGAGTCGTCCACCTCGCCGATGAAGGCACTGCCTCCCGTAGCAATCACATCCTTCACCCCAGAAGGGCAGTAATGGCGGTATATGGTCACGGTTGGTTCATTTTTGGACATGGTAGATTGAGCAGTTTGGAAATTCAAAACTCGCCGTACTGATTGTTGATGCCAGGAAACGGTAGGTGTTGTTATGAAGGGGTGGGGGGAGCCCTGGGGACCACCAACCGTCCAGTACCTAGGGACTGTGCGTCCCAGCCCGGGAATAAACCCTCCCACTTCTGGCCAGACACCCTCCACATGAGCACAGTCGACATCATTCTTTTCTTTCCTTGCGCTGCGTCTTGTATCTAGAACCTCCTCGTAACTCTCACGATGGATCTCTCATCCCGATCCACGCCGTAGATCATGATCCAGACGTGCATCCTTACGGGCATTGGGGTTTTGCCAGCAAAAAGCTGGTAGGGGCTTGGGCCAACAAAAGCTTCTGGGAGGTCAACGTCACGGCAGCCAAAACCACCGTTAAACTAATGGCAACTGGTCCTACTTCGTACTAGTGGGAGCGGGGATTCCAGTGCGGCTCTGGATGCCTGCCAGTGCCCTGCGGCTCAAAGCGATTGTTTCATGACTGTCGTCATTCTAGGCTGTTCCATGGTCCCCCCGTCCCGTCTAGAGAGTCAAACCACGCTAAAAGCTTTAGGCGGTTGGTTATCTGAGGTCGGTTAGGGCGATGCCAAAAAAAAAAAAACCATAACATCACGAGACGCAGGAATGGCCAATCACACGTAGCCGCCCTCGCATCTTCCTTCACTTTCGCGGCGCCAACAAAGACCGAAGCAAATCTTTGCGACTCCTTGCGACGAAACCAACGACTCTTGAAACGCGGCCAACTTGTTCGCCAGAAACTAGCCCCCTCTGCCACCAGCGCATTGTTCATCATGAACGGGGGAATTTCCAAGACGCGGACGCGTCGCTCTGGCGTGAGACTCTCCAAGGCCTTACAAGAAACGCTGCTAGCCGCCGTCGCGAGGGCAGGTGCAGGTATGAATGTCGACAATACTCTTGTATGTGGACGGTGAGGAGCTGTGCTAACTCATCGGATACAGAGCCTCCTCAGAGCCCCGAGGAGCAATCGCCAGTGGGCAGATATCTCCCCTGGGACGCGCTTTTGCAGTCTACGAAAAGGTCGCTTGATGCGACTTTCGACATCGATCCGCTGCCCGCGAAGAGAGCCCGGCAACAGCCCCCGATTGGGAACGGGAGACCAGAGCAAGCGGCCGAGGTACGACAACGTTCTCCTACGCCGGCCAACGACTAACAGGAAATCATGCAGACGACTCTACAGCAGCCAAAGCCTAAGCGTCCTACGCGACCGTACGCCTCGTTTCTCAAAGACTTCATCGATCCCGTCCGTCCGAACCGCCCCGACTCTCTCGACGCCTTTGTTTCCGAGTGGCTCGAGTCTATCGGGTCGGACAGAGAAAAACGCTGCCGGTCAGATAGCCATCTTTATCATACAGACGACGACCCGGTTTCGAGGCAGCTCGCGAGATCGGCGCCGGAGATGGGTTACACAACGGGCGCCGACGGGTTCACGGTGCCGCCGACGCGGCCTTCGCTTGTATCCCGTTCATACCAGGCAACAGAGGATTCTGCTTCCAGCACTGCCCGTGTTCGCCATCCGTCTTATCGTCAAAACAACCTAGGGTCAAACGGAGTTTATGTTCGAGATTCCCGTAACCAGCTTCCTGACCATGTCTCCTGTCATGTCGAGACATTACGAACAAAGAAACGGGACTCACCCGGTCCGTCGTCAGAGCAAATTGACGGATATCTTGACGGACTGGACTCTCTTGCACGAGGATGTACTGAGGCAGATGTGGAGGGATTTCTCGAAGACACGGTATTTCCAAAAGTCTGGGATCGCACCTATGGAAGCTCGGCAGGCTTGGGAATTGCCAAGTCATCCCTGATGTCTTCCCATCTCATTCCCAACAACCCTGAAAGCCCGTTTAGGGTTTCCGGGCCGAAACCCGATCTCCTCTACGGATATTCTGGGTATGAGGCCTTCACCCAACCACAATTCTTGGCCCAAGCTAGTCTGCATCGAAATGCACGATTTGCGGAAGCGACAACACAAGGCCTCAGGTTTCCGTTCTTGGCCGTCGAATTCAAAGCTGCTGGAGGTACTCAAGGTGACCTCTGGGTTGCTGCAAATCAGTGTGCCGGTGCTTCATCAGCGTGCCTCAGCGCTATGAGCCAGCTAAACAAGTCGCTTCAAGAGTACCAGAGAGTAGAGCGTGTCGACAACTTCTCCTACAGCATTGCTGTAGACAATAACACCGCCCAAATATACATATCATGGAAGGAAGATGACTTGAACTATTGCCTCCAACGAGTTGATGCTTTCCTGCTATCAAGGCCAGAGGAGTTCAAGGACTTCCGTAGTCGAGTGCGAAACATTCTCGATTGGGGAAAAGACACACGCCTTACCCAGATCAGGGATGCATTGGATGTCATCCTTGAGGAACACAGGAAGAGAGCTTCCGAGGTGGCGAAGTCTCGCCTACCGCCGTCTGTTGATTCTGCCACCACCTCACACAATGCCTCGTCGTCGCGCAGAACTAGATCTGACGGTGCACGATAGCAAGGCGAGGGAGCGAACAAACCGTACTGGGACTTGGATGAGGGCAATGATCACAAACCCAGACGTCTATACTCTGGGCAGAGCAGGATGGACAGCCGTCAGTGGAGTGATGGGGTGCAGAATTTGTCTGCAAAGGAAACACCAGAGCACGCAATTAAATGAGTTCACTCTCTTCAGAAAGTTTTTTTTAATTGATCAATCTCGCCTATCATAAGTGTGTTCCTGTTGGATTGAGCTACGGAGCTCAATACATTCCCATCGCGGCGCAAGCAGCTTCCCTTCAATCCCTATTTTTGGGCTGGGGTCCGGGGCGTTCGTGACGTTTCGCAAACTCAGTGACGAAAGTGCAGGAAGATGCAAGGGCGGTGAGTGAGCGGATCGCGATGGCGAGCAGAGCACAGAGGTACGCCAGTTGAAGAGAGAGAATGGAGTAATGCTTCATTGTTGTGTAGGGAGAAGACACTCAAGCTAGGTAATATTTTGGCCCTTTGTTCCATCGGCCTGCAGGTGGCACCTGCCCCTGACACAGTACAGCACAAGCACAGGACATGGAGTCCTGGGTGCACCTTGTGTTCAGAGATGGTAGGTTGGGTTTGGCGCTATCTGACAGCTCCGATTCCTCGACCATCAGCAGTTGGGTCAAGGACACCCGTCACACCCCGTACCAACGGAAAATGGAAGGGCAAAATTGGTGGTTGTATTGATGCTTGTGTTGTTGCATGGGTGTCGACCGAAAATTCGGCGACAAGGAGGAACAAAGAGGAATGTGTTCAGCTGACACTAACTCGACGACCTGACACTGTGTGTGGGGTTTGACCCATAAATAGTTGGCATGTGGGGCATTCCGTGCACTCACACGGACTAAAGTTGCATTGACCCACAGGTAGTAGTGCCAGGTCCACCGGGGTCGTCGAGTAGTGATCCCCTTAGGCCCTGAAAGTCGGCTTTTTCGTAACTAAAGTGGCACCTACAAGTACAGGGATCCCATCAAATAGGAGCTTCTGAAATACTCAGATCGACAAAATAATCACTTCAAGATACTTGTACAAGAGTTTGTCAGCCCTGTCAATGATCTAGGTATTGTCACCAATGAGGCCTATGGTCACAGGGATTGATCAGGGTTTGTCCGGGGTTTGGTCAGGGTTTAGCCAGGGATTTCAGATAATCGATGTTGATCTTGTTGTAGATATCTGTACTGTAAAAGGAACCAAAAAGCCGACTTTCAGGGCCTAAGGGGATACAGTGGCTCCAGCTCGGGGAAAATGGGGCGCCGGCCTGCATCCAGCCCCAACATTACCTCACGACTACGAGTCTCAGCTTCAACCGCAAAGAGCAACGCGGCGACCCTCCAGGCGACCCTCGCGGCGACCCGAAAACCCGTCTCCCACATTTTCCTCTATCCTCTCAACGATGGATCACATCCATGGCGACGCCGCAGAGACGAAGGCGACAACGCGCCCAAAACTCTCCGCCCGCCAGCATCACCGAACGTCCGGCTAAGAAGAGCAAGACGAGAAGCGAGATCGAATTGGACGCCTGGGCATCTTGGAAATACCCTCCCGAGTTTTATGACAGACTGTCCAGCCTCTCGCTGACCCGTGGAGCGGTAGAAGAGCACAACCGCAGGACTAGCCTTCTGCGCCCTTCTCATGTTTCTACCACCACTAGTAATGCTAGAGATCTTGCTCGATTTGCGAGACACGGCGGCCCAGACCTATCTGACCTTCGCGGGGTAAGAAATTCTCTGCGCCATTTGCAAGTGGCTACCTAACGAGTCTGTTCAGTATCCTCGCCCCCCATCAAACAGTCCACCTATCGCCATCAGCACAAGCCAATCTTCACGAAGCCAGAGGACGAAGTCCGCGGCCCCAACCTCTACACTACCCACCTCGGCGACGACCAAAACGACCAAGACCAAGAGGTCGACGCCATACAACCGCGACTTCGACTTGCACCTGACCGATCATCGCGTCCACCCTGGATATTCTTTACAAGAACCAGATTTGGATGAAGTTAGGGCGACAATGGTCATACCTAGGCCGTCGCTCTCCCCGTCCAACTTCTTTGATGGCGCCTTCAAAGCATTTCGGCAGAACCATGCCCGAGGAAAAGACAAAGACGACGTACTAGCAAATAGCAAATGTCATTCCGACCATCCTCGGACCCCCCCCCCCCCACACAAACTGCTCACCCGTCGGCTCGGAACACGATGTTCGGAAACCTCGAGCCGCTCACAGACGGGACGATTGCTCCAGCCAAGCCAGATATCTACTACGGAGCGTGTCCCGAGGAGCTGTCTCTTCCTGTCCGCGACGAACTTGGCCATCACCTCATCCCATCAACCATGCAGGACAAGCCTCTCGCACCCAACTTCTCCTTGAGGCTAAAGGACCGGATGGTAGTGGGGCTGTGGCTGAGCGACAAGCTCGTTACAACGGTGCCGTCGGATCCAGGGCTATTCACGCTCTTCAAATTATGGAAAGGATGTTTCGGAGTTTGATGGTGTACCCTATACCTATATCTCGAGCTACCAGGGTGGGACACTCAAACTGTATGCCCATCACGTCACAGCGCCATTGAGCTAAAAGGGGCCGTCTGAGTACCACATGACCGAGGTGAATGGGTACTATATGACCGGCAATCGGGAGGGTTTTGCTCAAGGGGCCACTGCTGTTCGAAATGTTCGAGACCTCGCCAAGCAACATCGAGAACGTTTCATACAAGCAGCGAACGCGAAAGCATCACAGCGTGAGAGAACAACTACTCCAGCGGGCGCGGCAGAATTCATCGAAGACGAGGTCTCGACTCCTTTTGGATCTACAAATCATTCACATTCTGTCGCTTTGCAGGGCGCTGACTACGAACTCCAGCATTCGATCGCTGGAAGCCACTACGATTCCGAGGACGATGGCGGGGCATATCCTGTTCCTCACTATCCAGAAGATGAAATTCAAGAGGCGAGCCCAACCGACGTGGCTCCCAGCGACGACCCCTCAATGAGCTTTACCGCCAGCTCTACATCAGGCTTCACCACGGACCGGAGCCAATCCAAGCGGTCCAGACCATCCGTCAGCCCGCCTTCAAAGGCTAGTGGGAGCCATGAGTCGAAACGACGGACACGATCAAGTGCATCTCATTCGGTCAAGAAATCAGACAAAGAGTAACCATTATCTTTCTTCTGTGCAACCTCTTTGGCTAATTACAGAACAGGAACAGGAAGGCTGCAAGATAGTCCCCAGCAGCCGACAATGATGGAGAATAGCGTCGGTAGCAAAGGCTCACTCGAGGGGAATGTTAGTGACGAAGGTGTGAGAGAGCGGTCGAGGTCTTACGGCCAAGGTGGTCGTGTTCCGTTCCTGATCACCTCACCGGGCAGCACTGAAACCATCGCTTTGGAAGGCCAGAATAGCGGAGTGGGCTGGTGGATCACGACCAGCGATGAAGAGCGTGAGGTCTGCCTGCATCTTTTTACCGAAAGGCCTGAAGCAGCTCAGTAACGTATCTTGTAGCAAGAGATTATTACCAACCTTGAACCACCTTCGTGACGCCTGAATTCAGCCCTCGATGCATGGTTTAGTTCCCAGAGTGTTCATTGAAGGGTGAAGAACGGAGATTCTTAGATTTTATCAGGACTCTGCTTGTCTGGGTTCCCGAGAAGCAGCTCACACCCAAGCAGAACCTTGTCACACCCATGGCTTAGCAGAAGCACTTGGGTCTGTCCGACCAGGCCAGGAATTCCCTTTGCCCGATATGTATTGGAAGGGAGGCACGTATGAACCTGGCCTCGCCTGGTTCCAGGCCATCCCATCGAATCATTACCAATGCAGCTAGCGATTCGGCACAGAGGTCGCGGCCGAGGTTCAAACGATTGGGACGACATTCAACACGGTTCCCACGTTGCCCTTTTGTACGTCTCAGAAATAGATGTAGTTCACCGCAAGGCAATTAAAGCACTAGGTGCCTTTCGTCAGCTATCGCAATGTCGTGCACGTAGAAAAGACGGGTTCCCATCACTTGCTTGACCTGAACGCCAGATACAAACCTCCCAGTATCACGCGCCTCGAAACCTGGCATGCATCGTTCGCCACCAAAACAAGAAGCGTCTAACAAAGCCCCGATCGTCCTTTTTGAGGGCGTATATTGTGTGGCAAGACGCTCCCGGGGGGGTTGCTGAGAAGGTTGGCGCGAAAGCGCTGACCTTCAAGACTAGGCCTTGTTTCCTGTGCCCCCGTCAACTTGGTAAGGTCAAGAATGGCACAGCATTGGATGAAGGCATCAATCTCACGTCATGCATACAGTGACCAGGGTTTTCGAGCTTTGGCAACTCGATCGGGCACGGGGTCGAAGGCGATTTGGGCGCCTCTGGATAGCCTTTGGGAGAGCAAAGTGAGTCCTGGGAGGGGCGAGTGGTTTCGGTAGAGTATGATGGGGATCTACCCAGAGTTGATGACGGGTTTCATCGTTGGGTGAGTACTTAGTCTTGGTTGCTGTGTGTTCACACGGCCGGGCAAGACTACTCTCGATGCATGTTGATTCAGAATCATCCGCTCTGATGCCGGTCGCGATCGTTACGAATCTCTTCGAAAAAGGGATGGCTCAGCAGCTCCTTGGCAGTCTTCCTCTTTTTAGGTAGCCATTGGAGTATGCTAGATGCGAGGTCAAGAAATTTCTTCTTCTCATCACCGGCTAGTTCCGTCACCGCATCTGCCAGGCTCTTGCCGCCGGTGAGAAGATCCCTACGGAACATCTGGTCTGTTACAGAAAAGCGTGTAAGTTCTCCCATCTTTTTTAATGATGCTTGCAGGTGTATGTTTGGCTGCGTGACTTACTATCATTAGCGAAAAAAGGCCCACCCCAGAACTCATTCATAGTTCTGCACTCCTTGCCGCGTAGGTCCAGAATCGGCGCTTTTAGATGGAGTTCGCGAAAGAGTCGCTCCCTTTTGATGAGTTCCTCCGGAGGCTCTCCGAGGAGAGAAGCAATCTGTGCAAGGTGGATGTGTGCGTCGTATTCGCCATCCTCGCCAGCAGGCCGGTCGAACAGGCTGGTGTCTTCCAGGAGGTTCCACAGCTGTCTGTGTTAGTGTAGCTATTTGGGAGCTCGGGAAACGTGCTTACAAAAAGACCAAAGTTCCAGATGTCGGCACTGTACGACCAAGCACAACCGAGCAGCACCTCTGGGCCACGAAAGCGGTGAGATTGGATGGCAAAAACATGCCCTAGGCCACCAGGTAGGCCAGGGACAGTGAGGTTGAAATCGGCCAACTTGGGAAAGAGGCTGGAGCCCTGTAAAGGGCCAAAGTCGTCTTGCGAGAGATAGGTTATGCGGCCATGTTCAGGTCGGGTATGGCAGACCTGGGGGTTCTTCCTTTATAATCTGACAAAGTCGGCCAAGACAGCCTTGTTCTCAATTGTTACTAGGATGTTATCGTCCTTGGTATCTGACACATCATAGTTAGCTGGAGGAACCATCTATATATAGCAAGGCCTTACCTGTATGGATGAGATGGCATTCGGAGTGCAGATAATCTAGAGCTTCCAGGAGAAGAAAGGTGTAAAGCTTGAACAAGGGTGGACCCAATCTTTCTCGCGGCAATCTGCGCTGGAATTGGAAAAGAGTCTCTCATCGGTTCGTATACGAGACAGATGTGCGTGCCTTCTGGTCCTTCCACCTGAAATTCAGCGATAGGTGTCCTGATCAACGAGAGACCTTCATGTGGTGGTTTGGCGCTGGCGATAAGCTCGGACTTCCTCCGCTCCCCGGAGGCGTCTGTGTCAATCGCCGCAATCTTGATGCTGACATAGCGCGGGATGGTTGGTTTCCCCAGTTTCATCCACTTTTTGCTAACACGATTGTCAGGCGAAGGGTGGAGTGTATGGTATGTACAGGTCGCACGCACGACGGGGGACCGCTTACAATTTGAGATTCTCTGCTAGCCATACGGTCGAGCAAGTTCTAAAACCAAGCTTGGATATCGTCTTGAATCTGCCATCCAATACCTCGTCAGGTTGCGTCGGAGGAAAGTATTTCAGCCGACCGTCTGGGAGCAGCTCCTCCTCAATAGGTTCATTAATCCTATGGATAATTGATCCGTGTTGGGAGACTGAGGAGTGAAGGTGACAAAGAGCTGGCAGGGCCTGGACCGACCGGTTTTGCCAGAGAGAGAACGGCTTTGAAACTGTCAATAGTCTCATCACCATTCCAAATAGGTGATCCTCTATCGATGTCTAAGCAAAAGGCCTACACATGGGCCCTTGAAGCCCAATATAGGTCGAAATCCATTCACTTAATTATCTGGTTGGGCCCGAAGGTAGATTCAATGGGCGGTGCGTGCGGCGCGACGTGGCTGTATTCCGTCCGGGAGGACTAACCCCATAGGGCCAAGTCCGTATGATCAGAAGCTTATTAAGACGACTCGCCCCCACATATGTGGCTTAACAAAGTGGGCATTGCATGTGGCTGACGGCGAAATGGTGGACCCGAGCTCCCGCAGCACACCGAGTGCTGCCTAAGCCACTTACCCACGCCAATAAGAACAAATTAAGAAGTACAAGTCGTCAACTTCCTTCAGCAGCTATTGTACCAGAGATTTCATACTTGATGACAGATTCGCCTCCAAGTGATGGAGGACTTTTCGCCTCGAGTCCTTGGGGTGGGCACCACCTGCTATGTGACGACAACAGACAACAAAACCGTCCTTAAAGGATATCAGGTATGGGCTGGCAGGGAGCTGGTTTTCGATTACGGAGAACCCTGCGAGGAGCGTCTGGCCCGAGAAGCCGCGATTTACACACATCTTGGTCAGCATCCTCAGATTGTGCGATGCTTTGGTCTTGAGGAAGTCTATCCGGGAGTCCACTCGCTACGCCTGGAGATGGCTCCCCTGGGGTCGGTCCGCAATTACATTTGGAAAATGACTAGCCCGCCTCCTCTCCAACATCGCTTGCAGATGGCCTTGGATGTAGCCACCGGCTTGAGCTATATGCACTCGCGGGGCGTGATGTCCTGCGATCTATCTTGCTCAAATATTTTTGTGTTTGACGGACCCCGCCTCAAACTTGGCGACTTTGGCGGCTCCCTCCTTGAAGGATGTGATTTCAAATGGGATCAGACGCACGAATCCCGTTACCATTTGCCCTCACGAGGGCGGGAATACGACGACGTGCCTATCATGAACAGGGAGCTGTTTGGTTTGGGATCGGCCATATACGAAATCACCACCTGGGAAAGACCATATCCGGAGCTGGATGACAATGAGGTGGACAAGAAATATGCTATGGGGGAGTTCCCGTCACTCGATGGCAATACTGCTGGACACATAATTCAGGGTTGTTGGAATGAATCTTATTCAACTGCCCTTGACGTTGTGAACCATTTGAGGCATGCGAGATTGTATACAGTATGGTTCCCCCTCGCCCCCCTCAAACAAAAACAAAACCAACAACCAAACCTTCTTCCATTGATCCCATCAATAATTAACCTCTTTATGTATGCAGAGGAGCTAGGAACCTCTGGAACATGCGGTGCCTAGACTTCTATCATCAACATCCTCAAATAGTAGAGCCGAGAGGTTGGATGAGCGACTTACCGTTCTTAACGTTCAGGAGGGCAGAGAGGGCAGTCATTGTTGGAGGTTGTGCTGCCTAGAACCATATTGTGTCCAAGGATCCCGCTCTCCAAGGATCTTCCTCCATCCCTACCCTATCCATATACCACCTCGAGCCAACACCAACCTCGGCCACTGAGTCTTGTCTGGATTCCGGAGAAGCGGCTCACAGCCAGGTTCGAGGAGTTCAAGGAGTTTCAAGGTGCGAAAAGAGTCCAGGATTGAGGTGCGATGCCCGTCCTCATCAGGTTTCAGAGGTTCGACCAGGCCCGAAATGCCCTTTTGCTGGATATATAGTGAGGGTTGGCGCAAATGTGCCATTTAGCATCCCCTCTGGTAACTTACAAGCGACAGAACTAACCATTACACCTTAGTGTATTACAGCTCGCTGAATAGAGGCGGCTTAGAGGCCGATACCGCTCGAACAGACGAGGCTACAAACAGAAGTCGAGAAACGGATGGCAAGATAAGTGCGAGATGCAGCAGCTAAGGAGAGATAGCAATAGGAAGAGTAGGAGGATACCCTATAGTTAGAGGTACCTGCACCTGGGTCGGCTGAGGCAGATGGTGATTTGCTTCCACAACACCCGAAAGTTCCCCTCAGCATTTTCTTTCCTCGTGCATAAGGGTGAGCTGATGCATACAAAAGATCCACCAATCTAATCAACAGCAAGAGACACCTCTCTGATTGAGCACAGAACATGATCAAGGCCATTAAACTCCATACCTCGCTGCAGACTAGAGGGCTAAGTGTAGTACCACCAGGTCACTACGATGCTACGTGGGAAGTATGAATGCGAGGCTATGCGCAGTAGTAGATGTAATCAATCAAAGAGAAAGGAGGCCAGGCGCTGCCTCGCTTCTTCCCCGTCCCAATCGATCAAGCGTCGGTCTTTTGACTCCTCCATCTTTATCTGCACCAGTGGCTCCATCGCTTCTCGCTCTGCTTCGCTCAACAGCGATACCCTCGTCTTCCAAAGTTCTTCCATCGGAATATCCTTGGAACGCTCGCCAAAGAACCTTTCATCAAGATACTTCCAGTAGATCGTATCAAACGCCCAGCTTCTCCTGGCAGCGTAGTCTAGCCAAAAGCGGCCCGTGATCCAGCTCTCTCGCATATACGCCGACAACAGCAGACCAGACTCCAAGTTCATCTCTTTCTCTGCCGCTTCCATAGCTGCGAGCCAGGTTTGGAGCCGTCTCTCGTAGATATTTGTCCAATCGTCGATGCCACTATCCCACATTTCCGGGACATCAAGTAGCAGCCACCAAGGTGAGTCCAAGATAAATTGTGTTGGCGCGGCATAGGAGAATTCCCAGTCAATAACTCCAACGAGCTGGTCATCGCCGTCAATTAGTACATTGACCGGGCGGAAATCGTCGCACCAAAGATGGAAAGACCCTGAGCCGTCCGGTGCCGGCAGTGTTGGACGAGCTCGCTTTGAGCTGGCGGACCAGTCATCCTCGACAAAGCCATAGCTAGACAGGTGGCCTTGTGCGGCTAGTCTGCGAAAGAGCTGGCGAGCGACATACTTGGTCCGACAGTCATTCTCAGATTCTACTATATCGTTGTGCTGGAAGAGAAGTGTTGCCATTTGCATGTTGGCCAGCGCCAGATACCACTCATCAACAGCCTTGAATGTCGTGCCCTCGGATGGGAAGATTGAAGCTGGGATGTTGGAAAGGTGGACCATATTGCTCATGTTGAGAGTGATAGGCCGCCCTCGTACTTGATAGGTCCCAGGGCTTGTCTCAACAAGAGCTCCTATGCGTGAGAAAGTAGGCTGTGCAAGCTGTAGCACACATCGCGCCATGATCGTGTACAGCCTCTTGAGATCGTGGTCCGAAATGTCGAGGTTCAAGACAGGCGTGTCGCTAGGATCATCACGGGGAGCCTCAAGAGCACGAGTCATGTTTCGCCGGGTCTTCAGGTCCTGAATGATCATGAATGGCCCAATTTCGGAATCAACGCTGTGGTGGAGGACTTTCGCGACCGGCAGTTGAGTACTTTGGCTAATGAATACTGCCGTTGCGGCTTCTGCAAGCGTCTTTTCTTCGGGGAACAGGGCCTGGTTGGGACATGGCAAGCGAACGAGGACTTTGTCGGATGAATCTTCGATCTGGATGGGATATAGCACATTGAAGCCGCCTATAATCACCGGGGCGACGAATGTTGCGGGTTTGCCCAGCAGTCCTTGAGCCAAGGATTCAATCTTGCGACACTGAGACGACAGCCGGACCTGCTTCTTTGCCTCTTCCCAGAGCTCATCGCTCCGGTCCCAAGCTAAGTTATCAGAGTCCTGCCGAGCACTCATTCTGGCTCAAAAAGCTTCTGATATGGTGGAGGGGAGAAACACGATGGAAGAAGAGAGCATAGAGAACATGAAGAGCATACAGCTGTCGAGGGCGGCAACGAGAGGAGAAGCAAATGCGATGTCGATGGTGGGTTTCACCCAGTGCGGCGCAATCCTGGGCCATGAAAACATGTTGGTTCCAGGGCTCGTCCCAACAGCAGCACGCGCCAGCTTCTCGCACCACTTATTACCTAGGTACTCTAGACCACTCTAAACTAGAAAAAGTTGCGACCCGCAATAAAACCAGTTGTCGCAGATGGCAATATTAGTCGTTAGCAGTCAGGGAAGGGTTGTAAATCAATCGTTGAGCCTTGGATCACCAACATCTCTTACAGGGCCGGCTGGACAGACCGAAAACAAATAATGGCTAACCTGATTTTGTACCTACCAAATGTGTTGGTGATCGAAATGGACCCTGGCCTTCATTTCACCAATAACGGGGAAAGCTATTACCTCCTGAATTCTAAGTCACCAAATGCACCAGACCATTGGCCTGACCGGCTTTGGTTTTACTTTCTCTGGGCACTCATAATTGCTTGAGATTGGATCAAGGCATAATTATCCCAACTAACATCGTAAGTCAGACGTCAATTGCGTCTTTAACAGAGCTAATGAAAGGTAGCTAGATGATGCGACGCTGGAGAATGGCTCCAATTTCATATATGTCGCTCCCTTATGCAGACTTAGCATATCATGTTTCCTCCGTTTGCAACGAAGCCACACACATTCTGTACCATTGCTTCCATGCTTCTGCAACCTCGGGAAACCCTTTCTTCCCGAGCTGTTGTGAAACCCGCATCCTCCACTCGGTTAATACTGGATCATCACCATCGACACCGTCCCATGCAAAGTCCAAAGCCCACGACACGCTGAACTTGGTCCTGATCCACTCACAGGAAACAAAGCCAGCCATCTCCTAGTCGATGACACCGACCGAGCCTCCTCGGTCAACCATGATGTTGTATGGTCCGAGGTCGCAATGACAGAAAACAAAGGTGTCGCAACCCATGCCCAGCTGGCTACAGTTCTCCTGGAGCGTCTCGGGGCGGAAGTCGTGTGGATTGTGGAACATATCGAGAAACGATTCGGGAAGCTGGGCGCCATCGACACCAGTCATGGCGTCTGAGCCCCAGGCTGACAGCTCCTCGCAAATTTCACCAACGCAGACGACGCAGTGCTCTTTTTCATGCTCGCTCAGGCCCCTCCAGGCGTCAGCGACACTCCTGCCTGGTACGCGTGAGACAAACAGGTGGCTCCTATCGGCCTCTTCCGTATGGTGTAGCGCGTTAGGGATGGCAAAGCTGAGCTTGCGCCCTGCTAGCCAGCGCAGCGTGACGTGTTCCCTCGTAGCGGCCGTCCTGTCCTGGACCAGCTTGACTTTAAGGAATGCATCGCCGAAGCTCCAGACCGCCAAGGCATCCCCAGCATCATGAACTAAACGCACATAGCTATTGCTTTGAAGTGGTATAGTTATAGGCAGCGGGGTGGGAGCTTCCGCAATACTGTAATAGCAGCCGTCGTTGCTATCCCTCCACAACCATTCCTGGGCGGACTGCTTTTTGTGGAGGACGAGTTTCTCGCCGATGAGCCACGAGTCGCCATCGATTTGTTTGACTGAATTACGAACGTGACTAGCCATATTTACGCCGGTGAGGAATTTCTGATGCACCTTCAAGTATAAGTTAGATGGAATTATCCCCAGACGAAGGTCGAGCAGAAACGGAGCCTGGAGCGAGTCGCACCAAGCGATTGCACACCGATAATTAGTTGCTACAGCGCCCAAGCACAGGGATCAGAGGTCGCCTGACCCGCCCGACGCCACTCCGTCCCTTGAAAAGAGAGACTGGTAGTGATGCTTGATTGATGTGTAGTGGAGAAGACACTCAAGCTAAGACTTTGGCCCTTTTTATGTCCATCAGGCCTACAGGTGGCACCTGCCCCTTACACCCTGGAGGAGACTCAGCCGCCCGGAATGCTACATATCCGATGGCTAGGCATGCTTAGCTGCTCGATGTTACGATTTCACCGGATAAGTCTTGCTCAAGACGCCGTGGAGCTTAAACGACGACGTTACTAACAAAGCCTCACAGACTCTTGAGGTCTATTATCCACGTTCTTTTCCAGTATATACCCTGCATGTCTGCCGATAGTGAATCTTCTGCTAAAGCCAAGCCAACGTCATGAATGCACAAAAACGCCTTTAACTTCTCAATGATGCAGAATGCTCACGCTGGATCAACCTACTCGAGCAGAAGCGCAAGGAACTTGTCAATTAGGTATCGGCTCTACATCCTCTAAGACTTGCTTGTGAGATTGACTGAACTCTCTTCTACTGCTCATATAACCTCAGGCAGGAGGTGACCTTTTGTGATGGCATAAAGTGGCTCGTTCGATTACCTCTAGCCGGACATGTCTCTCCCGACTACGCCGACGAAAAGTTGCTGTGGAAGTCGAAACCGTGTCATTCATCCGCGAGAACACTACCATTCCTGTTCCCCGAAATCAAGTATTGGGGGCTTGCTGCCGCCAACCCGCTAGGCTTGGGGCCTTATATTATCTTGGATTTCATAGAAGGCGTACCCCTCGACAGCATTCTGGGTGATCCTCGTGCGACGCATAATTTCAGGCTCATCAGAGACGACATTGGCGAGAGCGTGATAGAGTCATTGTACAGGCAGCTCGCCAAGATCCTCCTCCAACTTTTCCAATTCGATTTTGACCGTATCGGCAGTCTGCTAGTGCCGAAGACCAGATACCGTGCGCCAGTTCGCCCATTGACCTTCAAGGTGCATGATATGTTGCAGACTGGAGGAGTTGATACGTTTGGTGAGAGAAGCCATTCCTTTTGTTCTCACTTTTGCATCTTAATTAGTTGACAATTAGGGAATCGAAACCTCGGGTTCTCAACAACGAGCGAGTACTTCCGATACGTCCTCGAACAATATTGGGAACAATTCTGGAGTCAACCGAATTCGATCGGAGGTGAATTCAACGCTCGGACGAAATACGAGTCGCTTAGCACCCTGCAGACTCTGCTGGATAGCTTCATTCATCCAGATTTCGATCGCGGCCCATTCAAGCCGATTTGTGACGATCTGAGCCTGGCAAGTGTGATCGTAAGGGGCGAGGATGATCTCGCCATCGTTGGACTTGTGGATTTCGAGTGGTCATATGTCGGACCGGCTCAGTTATTTGGTTCCGCGCCATGGTGGCTTCTCGGAATCCGACTGAATAACGTGGACACCTTCTCTGATGACGATCAGCATGAGATCCTGACCAGATTCACAAAACACTTGAGACTCTTCAGGCACGTCTTATCAGAGGAATAGGAGAGAATGTCGGAAAAGCAAGGGAAAGGACTCTCAGGTCTTGTGGAATGGTCTGAAACTTCGGGAGTCATGATGCTCCATATGTTGTTGTCATGCGGCTTCAATCACCCCCAAAGTCTCCCTTTCACGCAACTGCAACACCATATTGGTTGTGAAGCGTGGGAGCAACATATGAGTCGATACTCGGGGATTGAAGTCGACGATTTTGTGAGGACGAAGCTGGCCCAGTTAGATCAGAGCGACCGAGAGGAGGACAGAGCGATGGAACTCAAGGAGCGAATGGACCAGCACAAAGTATCACTGGAGCAGTTCATTGCTGAGCTTACAACCCGTCAAGTACATGATAACGCGACGCAAACCCCACAAGTCGAACATCGACGCCAAAAGGAGACGAGCCACAAATCTACTTGTGGTCAAGAAGACAGAACAAGCATTACTTCCTGCCTTGGTTCACAAGCTGACAGAAAAACTATGAATTGCAAGTAACGATACAAGGATAAGCGATTCCTGCTGTCCCGCCTGCTCTCTATTGTGTCCTAAGCGCGATCAGCGAGGTAGTGGTTCAGATATCATCCATCATCCGGCGTGCCACCGCCGTCGGGAGTGGCGCCTTCAAAGCTCATGACGTGTAGGCCAAGGCGCCGGCTGCGACAGCCTGGCATCGAATTTTGTCCTGCTATCGGCCGAGTAGCATGGACCTGTGTCCAAAGCTTGGTAATAGTGCCAGGTTCTGTGTCTGGGACATCTTCGGAAATGAGGTCGAAAGATAGGGAGTCATTCTCCCGCATCTTGTGAAGTATGACCGATAATATTGTAGATCACCTATGAAGAACTCTTCAGTGATTAACAACCTTGGATTTCAAACAAGAGGCTTGAGGTTGAAGGGGTGGTCTAGACTGCGCAGCACATTTTGCGTATGCAAACATGATGATGGACGAAACAGACAGGACAGAGTAACGAGACGTGAGGTCAGTGTGGCGTGGCGACAGCACTGTGGCAGCTGATGAGCCCGGAGCGGAAAATCGGTCGCCGAGCCGCACCCTCCACGTCTACACCGTCACTTGCCGGAGGTTCTTCACAAAGTACCAATATAACTTCAATCAATCATGATCAACAACACCTAAAAACATGTCCTCGATTTCGGCAGGTAAAGCGTCCTCGACGAGCGGCGAATATTGGCGATCGGAAAAGCTGAAATTGTGTGCATCTAGGCTGCGACCACACCAGCTCGTGCGGCGAAGGAACTTCCGGCTCCGAGGAACAGCCCCTTGCCAAAGAGCTTCAGACAAGTGTCAACATTATAGAAATCAAGGGCGAATTCATTGATGGAGGTGTAACGGGACTTGTCGAACGTCTTGGGTCTGGAGATGTCATCAAATCTCCGTGGACAGGTCGTCCAGAAGCATTAGACTGCAGAAGAGAGATGGCGATCGAGGCACTGGTATACCAAAGGCTCGGTACACACCCCCGACTGGTGCGGATGAAACACTGGGATCCTGTCGACCACACATTGACGCTAGAATACATGGCCCACGGCAATCTCAAAAATTACATTCGGAAACACGGACAGAAGATATCACCAGCCCAGAGGACACAATGGGTCATGGAGGCCGCTGAAAGTCTTGAGCTTCTACACTCCCATGGTGTCATTCAAAGTGATGTTGGGCCGCGCAACTTCTTGCTGGATATTGATCTTAGTCTAAAGATCTGCGATTTCGGCGGGTCTTCCTTGGACGGCTCGGAGGCTACGGTTGCACCTGGGGTGAGATACAGGCTACCGGGCCTGGCTGAGAGACACATCCAACAGGCGACGATCAAAGAGGACCTTTTCGGTTTGGGCTCGACGATCTACTTTATTGTCAACGGCTATGAGCCTTATGATGACCTGGAGGATGAAGATCAGGTCGAGAGACTTTATATGGGTGGAGTGTTTCCGGAACTGGGCGGCGTACCTTTCGCAGATATTATCAAGCTATGCTGGCAACAGGAAGCTGAATCGGCCAAGATGATCATCGAACTCATCAGAGGCCTGTCGGCTGAGGAATGCAGTAGAGACAATCCCAAGTAGCAACATTCAGCATTAAACTTTGTCCAGGATTTGTACGCCGTACAAGAGGCGGCCGAATGTAGATTAGACTCGTTCGAAGTATTGGGCTCCGTGCAGCGGGGGTTGCGATTCTCCTCTTATATTCCGAGAGACATGTGTTGAATATGATTGGGAGTGACTGAAGGGAGTGACAGAGATGCTCTATATTACACATATTTCAGAGTCTGAAGGCTCCAGAGGAGTTAAGGAGAAACATCACGGAAAGGTTCATGGCAAGGGAAAACAGAGACAGGGCTAGTAAGCATAAATCACATAAGTAGGCTACTCGTTTCTAGTGACTCTCAATTGAATTCTCCCTCGAGCAAACCAGAACTCCAATATTCCTTCCATCTGGAAACATTTCCAATCAGATGAGTCATGTTTGTGTGGATTTTCCTCTGTAGCATACGACATGAATATACCAGGCTCATGTGACCGAGAATCGAGAGAGTTCGAGAAGTAGTGCTGACCACAAAGTCCTGGACTTCTGGCCCAAGATAGGGACCAACGGTCACAGTTCCCGCCAATTCCATATGTAGCTAGATACTTAGTGAGTACGATGGCCTGATATTGGCTCTAAGATGGATAAACCTACCAGCAAACACCAAAAACATGATGAACGTATACCGAGAATCTTGATTCCATCCTGTGCCGGTAGAGGGGGATATACCCACATCAGAAACGCTTTTCCTGGTACCTTCTCTGCAGGGGGGAGAAACCGGTTTAAGATCGGTGGTGTAGGGGTGTCCCAGAACACTACGGTGTCAAGTGCTGATGAGAACTTGAGACGTGCCCGGCCCAGCTAGAACGGATGAGTTAAAGGAACGGCTCTGGGTTTCTTTGGGAGGGTGGCGAACCTTGAACTCGACCTCTGCATCAGAAAAGAGGCACTCTGCCTCAAGCACATATCGAAAACGCGTGCCTTTGAGTGCCCCTTTCCTAGGTCGGAACACGAATCTCTCTATTGATTCCAACCCGAGTGAATCAATTGTGAGACGAATGAAGTCGCCGCCGCTCGTCACGGAATCGGTCATTGTGACCGGAGGCTGGTCACGGTGCCACTCTTGTATTCGACTCAGAGAGATGGTACGTCGACTGTTATCAGCTTTTGACAAGTGATTCTGCAGATCCAGGACAGCGCTCAAACGACACAGATCGTTGCAAGCCAAGTTCCACACCATCCACGCGATCTAATTGGGAAGTGACCCTAATGATGGGAGGCAGCATAGACCCGCCGCTATGCCCATGCTTCTCTGCACATCAAGTCCAGGGCCTGGAGGTAATCGAAGAGGCGGTGCATTTGGCCACGGCAACCTCCACACGGCTGCTGTCCAGAGCCAATCGAGTTCCTTCTTGGATGTGACGTTTTGGGCATAGAGATTGTAGCAATCAACATGTAGAGTCGCACTCCCGGAACCCAAGGCACACCGCCTACAGTCAACAAGACGACAGAATAGCCACCGATCATTGCCTTGTTGGCAGTAGCCAGAGTCAGGGAAGTTGTATGCATCAATCAGTAGGATTGAGCTAGAGTCTTGGATAACTGAGCCACATATAGGTGTTGTCAGTGGTGATACATATCAGAGAGTATGGTTATTATTTTTCTTTCGTACTTGCTAGAATGCGTTCGCCGGCCTGAAAAACAAAACCGCAAGCGCCGCATTGTGCATGAACACGAACATGGGACATGAGCAGCAAATTTGACAAAAGTTGAGATTCCAGGTCTGTGATGTTGAGAATTGAAGCCCCAGGACGAAGTAAAAATAGAATAATAACATGCGAGGTCGTGTGCAAGACCGTTTGATGGCGGTGTGGCTGTTGTGGCTGTGTGGACGGGCGGGGGTTGTGATTCTCCTCTTATTCCGAGAGACATGTGTTGAATATGATTGGAAGGAACTGACTAGGGCTGTTAGGGCGAAGATGCACACTAACCTACCAAGAAGCCCTTGAGGTCTACGATGTCATTTTAAAGTGCAAGACCATAGCCTCGACTTGTAGGCGGTCAGCCATCCATTTCACTTCCTCACACTACCTCATCCTGCTTGCAAAGCGACAACACCAACCAAGCGTACATCTTGCGTGTTTTCAAGGTCTTTCCTGTTGGATCCGATGACGACTCAGGAAGTCGCATGTACAGCATGCAGCTGGACTCTGGAACGTCAGAATGCGTGTCGCTATGACAGCCATGTGAAGTTATTTTATGGCGTGAGCGATCGGGGGGTATGGTCACTGGGCTCCAATTTGATTCTGAAAGAACGATCAAACAACCCTCCTAATTTCGAAGCCGAGAACATTCGATATCTGAAGGAAAAGACCTCGATCCCTATTCCGATCATTATCGAGGACTGGAGCGAAAAGACGGGGCGATATTTCATGATAAGCAGACGTATTCAAGGCGAGCCACTGAGTGCTGTCTGGGCGTCAATGTCAACTGCTGAGAGGGAGCGAGTGGCACGCCAAACCGCCGAATTCCTTCATCAACTCCGACCACTTCATGCACCTCAAATGCAGAGCCTACAAGGCCGGCCCATTTATTCGGCATTCTTATTTCCGGATACCTACGGTATTCCTCATGGACCTTTCTCCTCAGACGACGAGCTTTGGGAAGAAATGGCCAAATCGTTGAGTGGACTTCCTGAAAAGGTTCTTCAACGGCTACGCGAGCGTATGCCCTCCGCGATGCCATATACCTTCACTCATGGGGATCTGAACCACGAGAATATCATTGTTGCGGATGGTAATCTCGCCGGAATCATCGATTGGGAGGCAAGTGGCTTCTTTCCAGTGTGGTGGGAGTTCACTTGCGCAGGAATTGGCTTGGGCCAAGCAGATCAGGAATGGAAGACACTGCTACGGAAGTACATGCCAGACTACACAGAGGCTCGCCAATTCTGGCGGGATTTCTTTTCACTTTCCAAGTCTCCAAATTTGGACGAAAGGGGAGTGATGTTGCTCAAGCAACTGGAACAATAGCAAGACGAGCAGCAGCCCAGGATGAAAAGATCATGTTGGTATTGAGAACTGAGTGTTGCAATAACCTGACTGTGCTAGTCAACCCAACCCTGAAGCATTGCTAACGCTATGGTTCTTGCTAGCGGCATGTTAGTGAAAGACACAATGACCCATCATGATGAAGTAAATAGTACAGCCAAGTGCAAAGAGATCTGTCCTGAAGTCTGCGTCGAATGGGTCGGGTCGGGGACGGAAGAACCTGCAAGGCTCCGCGCTTCCGCCTTCCAGAATGACCTGGCCTTCCTCTGATATGACGTTGCCTTGGAAATCGGATAGCTTCAAGTGGAGATTCTCGTCAAGGAGGAGGTTGGTCGGCTGGATATCGCAGTGAATCACCCGCTTCGAGTGGACATGAGCGACTGCCTCGGTAGCTTCTCGGCACCATGCCAACCGCTGTTGAATAGACGGTGGCGATTTGGTTCGGTCAGTCAGATAACTATACAACGTCCCGTTGGCAGTGCGCTCCAGATACAATCCCGCTTCTGACAGCCGCTTCAGACCAATTATGCGTGGGTGCGGGCCAACAATTTCTAGGATTTGGTGCTCGAGTTCAAGACGTGTCCTGTCTCCGCCCGGGTTGAGGGGATATTTAAAAACGGTTGACTCGTCCATTTCGCCGATCCACGGGCTGAAGCCCGACGCAATGACCCGCTGGGCTCCGGGTGGACAGTACTGGTGGTACTCATATACTTGGACGAAATCGTCGGACATGACGAGAGAAATTAGGGTTGTTATACCCCAGATCTGGATCCTTTTCTGGTTGGCGGTGCGCACCCGAGTGCGCAACACGTGACACTCAGCACCTATTGGTCTCCCGTTGACTTATTTCAGCCCTTGAATTGAAATCACACTTTTCTTCTCCTCTCGCCTCGGCGAAGATCAATTCGCATATCGTGAACATGGACATCTGCATTCCTCGCTGGTGTGGCCTCTGTCAATTCGGTTTACAAGTCGGAGATCTTATCATAGCAGGTAAATTCATTATTTTTATTTTGAGTCTATAGGGAGGGACTAATGATGTAGTGAGCTCTGATGACAACATCTTGCATCTACTTCTCATCGAGGGCGACAAGGCGGTTTCTGGCGACAGATATAGTCTCTGCCGCCGCAGAGACTGTGGTCACCCAGAGACGGCGGCCGGTTGCCACATTGGATGCCACCAAGCAGCAAAGGCGGTCAACCTAAAGACAATCCTTCCAGCCACGCACTACTCAATGGACCCTCCCATCTCTCAGGAATCGGCCCGTGGACGATGGCTTCAGGCCGATCTCAGCACTATTATCCAGCGCAATCTTCGTTTTCGTCTGCCCGCAGAAATCTGCGGAATGATAGCTCAGTATAACATACGCGAGCACGCTGCGCGGCAGGCCTACGCCCTTTGTGTGCCTTCAAGGGCACATAGTTTCAGTCTCACCCTGGACAAGGAAGTCTGGGCTCGTGTCGTCTTTTTTGAGGGATGTCAATACATATCTTCACTCACGAATGTCCCAGGAGAGGGTGCCTGCTGCATCTATACGCCAGAGCACCACAGGAATATTCACCGGTTCCTTTTTGCGGAGGATCACTTGGGTGTGACAGCAATATGTTTCGGTGATATTTCAGAACTGCCGGAGCCATTCCGCCGGCCACATACTCAGGCTCACTCATGGTGGACGACCTTACCAATCTTTTCAGGTTCCAGTGTCCTCTTTGGCCGAAATGATGTATGTATATTTTTCCGTGTTCGAATGACACCCTGACTGATCACTGGATAGGGTTTGAAAATTCGCAATATTTCACTAACGGAACCATCCCCACTGTCCACCCGTAGGCTATGGCCTACTCCTCAACACAATCCAGAAGACTATCGTGTTTTTCGTGTCAGAAGAATTTCCGACTTCAAGAGATGCGTCCAGTTGAATTCAATAACATTCAACGCGCCGAACGTACAGGCGTATTCCTTTTACTGGAATTTTTCCATCATCACGATGCATGCTCACTCTCGTGGCGACAATTTCCACTCCGTCCTGTCAGACCTGCGGGTAAAAGGCGGTGTCTGGTTGTATATGCCCCTTGATGATGGTGAGCATATCGTGGAAATATGGAGTCGAAGGCGAAAAATGAGCAGAGAGGTAGCCTTTATTGTAAGTTATGTTCTCATGTCACGTTATATGATACTAATGCCCCTTAAGTTGAGAACAAATAGAAATCGCATTGGGGTGATGGGTGCCTATCCTAAACGTGATTATCTCTGCAGGGCTAAGCTTTTAGACTGTCTAGCAGGAGCTCAAAGACGCGTCTTCTTCGACAGATCACATCTCGGCATCCATGAAGTACACATAGCGAATCACCAACCCTCACAGCCTACTTCAGGTCTTCAGTTGCCAACGCCTCTCTCGGCTTATCCTCGTGCACACTGCTTCGAGGAGTTCTTCTACACCGAGGCTCCTCTAAGCAACACAACAAGAGTGGCAGTATGCCGCATCGATACATATGTCAGCGGTCTGCTGCTTTGCGACAGAGACGGACATCTGACTCATGTTGGGCAGATACGGCGGGACTGCCTGCAACCCTGGATCCATGTGAAGAGTTCGGAAAGCATGTGGATGGGCTTTTTGCAAAGGCCCAATGGCCCTTACGTGTCGAGCATTGAGTGGACACATCCACCTTCAAGCAATTTATTCTATCTGGAGGTCCGCTGGCAGGATCGGCTGGAATGGTGGTTCTCATATCGGCAGTGTCAAGTGTATCACAATGGTCAATTGAGCCCTTCGACGGTCCGAGGCATACCGGTACCGGACTAGGTAGCAGATTCTCGCCTCCAAGGCACTGTTGCTCCCTCGCTGGCGATGAGGATTGCAATTAGCAAAACAGCCATCGCTCCGTGGTTCGAGAGCGAGGCATTCGATACAGCGCGCGCCGGCTTCAGACTCGCAAAAATGTGACCTACTTCAGCTGCATGCTGGACTCTGCGCCTCGGTGAATGTTGCGAGCTTGTTCAGCATATACTGGGACTGGGTGCACACAAAAGTTTTATTGTGACGTCCTCGCGGGTACTGGTTCTGAAAGACCACGAGAAAGTGCCAAGATTAGCCTGATTGTTGTTCGTGCTCGCTCAGGGACAGCAGCGAATTTGCTGTGCGTCGCCTAGCCGGCGGTCTGAGTTGGGCACCGGCCTGCGAAGCGTATTGCATACCGAATCTCTGTCGACGGAGCAGCAGGAGGGCGAGAGGTGGGTTTGAGGCGTGGATCGCAGTCCCCTCTATCGTGTTCGGCATGGCGTCTCAGCCCTATGGATGGATGTCTGCCAGCGACTGTTAGCGGACGGCCGGAGGTCCTAGTGGTCGGGAATAGCCGCTGACATAGCGCCAACAGACGCTGCCCCAAGCCCAAAGGCGGGCGCCATCGATGACCCACCAGGATGTAATTAGTTACCTAGGTAGTTATGGTCATTAGCCACACCGCTCCACAGATATTCCACAAGCGGTGGTGGCCCAGAGGCACAGGAGCCCTCGTTCCGTCCGAATATTCATCCTCAGTCTCCAGATATTGATACCTGCCAGTCAGTCTGTCCGCATGTCGAGTACTCCCTGAACACGAAAGTATCCTGCTACGAACCAATGGGCTACGAGCTACTTGGCCTCGGCGCTACGTGTTACGTCACGACTGTTGATCACAAGACGGTTTTGAAGGGACATCAGGTCTGGAGAGACGGTGAACTCTACGTCAGCCGGGAAGCATGCGAATAAGAGCTAGCGAGAGAAGCCATCATTTATTCCCATCTCGGCGAGCACCCGCGGATTCTATCATGTGAGGGTCTCGTACAGCATTGTGCTGGCGTCCACTCCCTGCGCCTAGAAATCGCTCCCCTGGGCTGCCTTCGCCACTACATTACGAAGACCGACGTTATGGTTCCACCGATGGCATCACGGCTCCGCATGGCCCTCGACGTTGCTGAAGGACTAGCCTATATCCACTCGAAGGGCGTTCAGCACTGCGATCTAAGTTGCCGGAATCTTTTCCTGTTCAACGATCTGCGAGTGAAGCTCGGGGATTTCGGAGCCTCGATGCTCGAGGGCTACAGCTTCCCACCGTCGTTTTGTGAAGAGCCCCAGTACGAACTGCCTAAGCGGGATAGGGAGTTTGACGCCCGCCCTGCTATGAAGAGAGAACTCTTCGCTTTGGGATCGGCCATCTACGAGATAGTGGCATGGAGGCGCCCTTTTCAGGGTCTTTCTGACGAAGAGGTTGAGTCTAGATATGCGCGCGAGGAGTTCCCGGCCTTGGAAGAGAATCCTGCTGTTGGCAGGTTTGTTAGAATGTGTTGGGACGAACGTATGGAGAGTGCTGACCAAGTTGTGAAAGCGTTGGAAAAGTGTGGCTCGGAACTTGGTCGTTGAGCCAAAAAGAATTCGACTCAAGTTTAAGGTGGTTTGTTTGTTGATACTTTAGACTGGCTACGATGCTAACTTGATGATGATCGCACGTCCAGCATAACTGCGGCCCTCTCTGATTCTTGCAAGCACAACAATCCAACAATGTCCTAGATTGCCTGCATCAGTCAAGAAATGAAGCCAAATGATTGTTGTTCTGGACACTTGTGATAGCTCATGCTAGGGCTTCGGGCACCGGTGCAATTCGCCGCCAGCGACGGACACTGAGCCGAACTGGGCAGTGGAGGACCAATCTGTGAGGTTACAGTGGGTATCTCACTGTGGCTAGCCTGTATCCACCCACTATTATGATTGAATGTTAGTTATTTGTACCAGAAGGTACGCAGTGCCTCATACACAAGAATACCACGATCTTAGCAGAGATGACCCTTGTTGGCCCTTGATTGCTCGCGTTGTCTCACACAATCTCTGACAGAACAAGATATTGGGGAAAGACGACTCCGGAGGATTTCATTCAGGGTCGGCTCAGCCACTTACCTACTGTAGGCTGTGGCTTGACCGTGTGGCTTATGTATTTTGTTATCCTCTTATCGCGATAAGCCCACTGACCAATAGCGTGGGTGCGGAGGGAGGCATGCCAGGCGCTGTGGCTGACGTCGTGATTGTCCGCTGGCCCTATCGTAGCTGTGAATCCGTGATACCGCCACGGTGTACCGCCAACCAAACCTTGGCCAGCCCTTAGTCACTTCCGGCCACCTATCTGCTCATGAAACCACCCGACTTCACCTAGATCTGGAATTGGCATGGTCCTGACCCTTTCAGAATTCGCCTTGCGTCCATGTATTCCGGTGATTCCCACCGCCTGAGCCGCTGACACAGCTTCCAGCGAGCTGGAGCTATGGCTAGCTGGTCATACTTCCTCTTCGTCTACCTCCTCGGAGGCCTTACCTTCCTCCCGCTGGCACTCGCTGCCGTCTTTCTCCATGCATACCTCACATTTCCATACCGAGAAGACGTCACGCCGGCGAAACAGACCGAGCCTGACCCGGACGACATTGTCCAGCCGGGTGACGATGTCGACACGATCCAGTCTGCACGCAAGCTGCTGAAGGAAGAAGCGAAGCCCCGAGTAACGCCCCACGAACCCGATGTCGCCGCCGGCTACTTTGCCGTGTGCAGGGAATACACTCCCATGGGCATCAATGCGAAGCCCATTGAACGAGCCACACCTGCCGGGACCACCACAGTCGCCGCCCCAAGCCAGAGTGTTTACCAGACTATGTATCGGACGCTCTTTGACCGAAAGCAAACAGCGGGTCCTCTTGATCACAACAACAGCACAAGCCAACGGCCGAAGAAGGCTGGGAATGTTTTCTACGTCGTGCTGAGGTAGGCTCGTCCCCAATCATTGTGGGTTCTGGCCTTTGATGCATAGACTAATTGCTCACCAGACACGGCCACCTGATGCTCTTTGACGACGACGAGCAGCTCGAAGTCCGACACGTTATTTCACTAGCACACCATGACATCAGCGTCTATTCTGGCGGCGACAAGACACCCGAAGGCGAGCTGTGGATCAAGAGAAACGCCATATGTCTCTCGAGGAAGACGGATGGAGCGGAGCTGGCACCCGACACCCAGATTTCTAAGCCGTTCTATCTCTTCTCAGAGAACTGCTCCGCCAAAGAAGACTTCTACTTTGCATTGCTTCGAAACCAGGAGCAAACCTTCACTAGCGAGAAGGCGGCGCCAACACCAGTGCAGTTTGAGGTGAAGAACATCATATCGCTGGTGCAGAAGCTGCACTCGTCGGAAGAACACCTGCAGACACGATGGCTGAATGCCATGATTGGCAGGATATTCCTCGGCATCTACAAGACTGCCGATGTGGAGGCCTTTATCCGGGCCAAGCTCACAAAGAAGATATCGCGCGTAAAGCGACCAACTTTCTTGTCCAACATCACCATTCGGAACATAGACACGGGCGAGTCAGCACCCTACTTCACCAATCCCCGGCTCAAGGACCTGACAGTGGAGGGAGAGTGCTGTGTCGAGTCGGATGTCAAGTACACGGGCAAGTTTCGTATCGAGGTTGCTGCCACGGCCCGCATTGATCTCGGGTCCCGCTTCAAGGCTCGCGAAGTGAACCTGGTGCTGGCCGTCGTGCTGAGAAAGCTCGAGGGACACGTCTTCTTCAAGATCAAGCCACCTCCAAGCAACCGCATCTGGTTCTCCTTTCAGCATATGCCCAAGATGGAGATGACGGTGGAACCCATCATCAGCTCCAGACAGATCACCTACACCGTCATTCTCAGGCAGATCGAGAACAGGATCAAAGAGGTACTTGCGGAGACTCTTGTCCTGCCTTTCTGGGACGACGTTCCGTTCTTCGACACAGCGCACAAGAACTGGCGAGGCGGCATCTGGGCCGGCGACGATGCCGTGCTGCATCCGACTACTGCCGAAAACTCGGCGGCCCAGAGCGGCGATGTCGAGGACGTCGATCACTACGAAGAAGCAGGAGAGCCGTCGCCCGACCTACCGCCCGTGGAAAAGAGCCACACCGTGCCTGTGATCGAGACCAGTGGGACCACGGGTCTCTTTGGCAGGAGGCTGAACGGCAAGGCCTCGCCCGTGTCGAAAGCCGCCACATCGGCCCTCAGCCTCGAGAATATTAAGCCGATTTCTCTCGGACGACAGGGCCGGGCGGGCTCGTTTGCCAGCCCTTCCGCTCCCACGGCAGCCACCGATGCCGCACACGCTGACGTCTTCAAACCGTCGACCACGCCGCCCAACGAGAGCCCTGCCGTGAGCGCGATGAGCAACCTGTCCGCGAAGGTGCAGTCACAGGCCTCGATTGCGGAAAGCACGTCTGGCCGTCCCGTCGCGGGATCCCACCCCCCGAGCTACTCCTCTGCCTCGTCCAAGGAGGCCACCGAGACAGAGCACAGCGACAACAACCAGACGCCAAAGCCTCAGGCCCCACGCCGCAACACCCAGTCCTCGACGGGAAGTTCCATCCTCGAAGACCAGCCGCCGCATTCGCCGGCGTCCACGAAGAGCACGACCAAGGCGCGCGGCTTCTTCCTCCGGCGCGAGCCGTCTCAAACTTCGATGCGCACTTCCTCGCCCGGCGGCAACCACAACCACCACCAGCATGCCAACGCCAACGCCGACCCTTCGTCGCCGAAGCGCAGCAACACTCTCGCGGCGATGAGCAACGCGGCCGCCACGGCCAAGCGGTGGGGCATGGGCGGCATCAACGCTCTGCAGCGTCGCGGAGGCGCAAGCGACGAGAAGCACGGCGGCGCTGGTGACGGCGACGGCGGCGACCGCGAGGTCGACGAGGACGGCAGGATCGACCTGTCCAAGCCCATGGGCGGCGGGCGGCCCCTGCCCCCGCCCGGCACGCCGCTGCCCATGCCGGACCGCCGCCGGGGCAAGATCACGCCCATCCCCGTGCCGCCGCGGCGCAAGGCCGTGCCCTCGCCCTCGACTTCGGGGTCCTCGCTGCACCACCACCAGGCCGGCGGTGGGAATGGGGGCGATCACCAGCACAAGATTGAGCGGCGACCTGTGCCGCCGCCGCCACTGCCGAAGCGGCGCCATGTTCTGGAGGATCGTGATGGCGGCGGCGGCGGTAGTGGTGGCGGCGCCGGGGACGTTGATGTGCTTGTTGTCGAGGCGCCGCTTGATGATGAGCCTACTACGCCGTCTGGTGAGGATGACGCGGCGCAGGCGCAGCATTGGGCTGCTGGGCTGGAGGATGGTGGCGATGTGGTTAGCAAGGTTCATCATGAGGGAGAGGAGGGAGGTGGTGTGTCGCCTGCGCTAATGCCGCCGGTGGCGGTTGCGGATAGTGGGAGTGGGAGTGGGAGTGGTAGTAGGAGGAGCGGTGGGCAGACGCCGCTGGGCGGAGAGGTCGACGACGGTGTGGCCATCGCGAGGGGTGCTTATGCCGAGGCTCTTGCTGCTGCCGCTGCTGCTATTGCTCCTGCTGAGGACGACGACGATGAGGACGACGACGACGACGACATCTCGGCGTGGATGGAGCAGGACGATGGCGAGCCTGCAGAGGACGATACGCGGGATCCGGCCGGGCAACAAGCGGCGGCGGCGGTCAAGACGTCGTGAGGCGACGACGGGGAAGGGGGAACAGACATACAAGGACATTAGAGGAGGGAGGGATTCATTGGTAATGCAACAACATTATTGGGCGTCACAGGGGAATAAATAGGGTTAAAAAGTACTACTACAACAACAGCAACGGCAAATAAAGCCCGCAATAGTACGAGCATTGGGCGTTTTTGGGGGAGAGGGTTCAAAGAGATTATTCGAATGGGGAGAAGGGATGAGCATTCAACCTACCTAGCCAGCTAAGCCGGATCAGTTTCAATCATATGCCGCTTTTGGCCAAGGAGGAAAACAAAAACACGCAAATCACCACTTTCTATCCTCCTGTCTTATTTTGCCAATCATGAAAACGTCGTCTCGCAGGTAGTTTTAAAAGTTGATTTGTATTTTCTTCAGTGTAATGTCTTGCACGATGAAGATAAGGGGGGTATACAACAGGTAAAAAGAAAAAGAGTCCACAGCAGTCTTTTTCGTTGTGTTGTGTGCAAATATGAATGCCACTCATCCGTCTGCTTCCTGTCTCGCTTCCGTCTGCGTGGTTCGGTGGCCAGAAGGCCAGTGTGTTGCGTGCTCTTCAGAGAGGGAAGAAATAAAAACAAAGTTTGATTCAATGCCGATGTTCCTGTTTCGTCTCCCGGGGATGGACAACTCGCTCTCCCGAGACGGAAATAGTGTTTTGTTTTGGGGGGACAAACAAGAAGAAGAAGAACATGAATAAAAAGAAGAGATGAAATCCGCCAATGCCCAGTCTCTATTCGCTATGTTCCGATCTGTTGTGTCGTTCATCCGCCATAAACAAAAAGCCCATTCCATGCATACGGTGGCTCCTTCGCAGGGCCCAGCCACGGAGTGTACGCGGTATCACTCGTAGTGTAACAAAAAAGAGCAGAAAGAAAAAAAAAGGGAAAAAGCAAAACGTCCATGTCTATTTGTGTTGGGGGTATAAGTGATAGATCTCTGCATTTGTGGAAAACAAGCCAAGGGGGGAAAGAAAACAAAGCAATGGTTGGTCTGTGGTGTCGTGATGGGGTCATATCAGTTTGTTTGGGGTGGAAAGGGGATGAGTGAGGGGAATATGTACAAAAAGGATTCGTGGGAAAGATTGGGGACCCCTTTCGTCATTGCGGCCATCATGCATGCATGAGGCAAGGAGTCTGGTCTGGTGGTAGGTATGTCCTGGGTTCAAAAGACTGTAGGCCGCACCGCTCCAAAGGGAGCGCCAAAGTTATTGCTGATCTTGAGCTTGAGCGGGATGTCCGGCTCATCTCCGCCAGTCTTGGACCCCACGGAGCTCGTCGAGCTCGACCGCTCCTTCGGCTTCTGGGCCTCGATCACCTCGTCGCCGTCTACCTTTGCGAGGACAGGCTCGGCGTTCAGCTCGACCGGCGCTGCCTGCGGAGGCTCCGGGCCCTGCAGGACCGTGGGCGCCTCATCGTTCTGCACGACGTCCTCGAGCTTCTCCGATAACCTCCGGAAGAAGACCTCGTCGTGGGCAGGGATGTTCCGGATCATCAGGGGGCCCTTGAGCTCGGCGTCTCCTTCAGACGGCTCCATAAGCCGCTCGGGGTGGTCCTCGTCTGCTGCAATCTCAGCATGCTGGGGTTCGGCATGCATCTCCGGCCGCTTCTTAGGTGCCGCGCTCTGCGGACGCGGATCCGCGAGAATCAACCCGTCGGCGCCGAGCTGTATCGTAGGCGTGTTCTCGCCACTGCTCGAAGCCGTCGTGGCAGCGGTCCCCTGCGTCGATGGCAAGACGGACAGCGAATGACTCGGCGTGTGGCCGGCGTGCATCGTCAGCCGCCTGTCCTCCGCAGCCGCCAGCACCTGCAGCGTCTGTTCTTTGGACGAGACCTTGGCAAGCACCAGGGTAGGCTCTGGTTCGGGTTCGGACGGTGGGGACGGCTTCTCAGACGAGGACTTCGAGTCCGATGCCGAAGTATCGCCGTCGGTGAATGTGGGCTTCTTGATAGCCTTGGCCTTGATGAGGATGCCCTCGAGCTCGGGATGAATCTCCTGGACATCGACCGAAGGGATCGGCGCGCCACGAGCGTCGAGGAGCACCTCGGCCGGCTCGTCGTCGGCCAGGAAGTCGGGTTGTGCCTGCTGAGGCAGGGAAATGAAGGGAGCAGACTCAGGGGGTAGGCGGGTGAGGGTCTGGCTAGAGGCGAGTTCCGCAGGCTGTATCGGGTATGAGCGTGGAATTGCGGTCTGTGAAGAGAGGTTGTTGAAGGAGTCTCCATTGAGGATTTGGCCTCGGGCCAACGAGGTCTCGGACCCACGCAAGCTCTCTGGTGAGGCGTCGATGCTCCCATTGCGGGGATTGTCGAGCATGAGTACCGAGGGCTCTTCGTCTATCCTGTGTGGTCGAGAGAACCTGAGCGAGTCGATAGAGGACGAGCGTCCCTCCAGGATGCGGATGCGCTCGAGCAGCATGGCACGCTCTAGGTCCCACTCGGTGCGCTCGACCTCCATGATGGCTCTCTCCTCCCGGTAGACCTCTTCGGCACGAGCCCGGTTGGCTTCGAGATACTTGCGCTCGTTTTCCCAAGCTTCCCTGATGACCTTGTTCTGCTGCTTGAGCTGCTGGATGATGGTCTGGTATGTCTGGGGGTTCGAGCCGTCGACGGAGACAGAGCGGCCGGTGAAGCTGGAGACGCTGTAGCCACACGCCGGACCGGCGCTCACCGACGGCGGACTACGCACGCCGTTGAGCGCGCCGTCGAGGGGGAGCATGGCGTACGGCATGTTGGACGGAGAGCCGACGGCGGACCTAGTCCTGCCCATGCCGTGGCTACCGACGGAAGCAGCTCTCCTGGTCGGCGACAGACTCGCGGATCTCTGCTGTCGCCGCCTCTCTTGTTGCATCTGCTGGTGGATCTGGGTGGAGGTCGGAGTCAAGTGAGGAGAGAGGAACATGGGCGGCTCCGGCTGGGGAAGAGCGCGGCTGCTGGACGAGAGAGGAGAGCGGACGCTCCGGGTCGCACGAGAGTCCGGGACGGGGTTTGTCGTGCTGCCTTGGGGAGCTGGCGAAGCTAGCCTGTCGCGCGAACCGCTGGACGAGCTGTTCTGGTAGTCGAAGTATCCGTGTGCGCCGCCGTGGGCGCCGCGAGAAGGAAGGGCGAGCGGGGAGATGACCGAGGTTGAAGACTCGCCGCTGACGCCGGAAAACGACGAAGTGCGCATGCTGTCGCTGTCGACGAGAGCACTGGTAGGTTGGAGCGAATCAGAGAGCAGCCTCGTCATGTCGAGCGCAGCGACAGGGAGGTGCGAGGGCGAGGGCGAGGGCGAGGGCGAGGGCGTGAGGACGTGGATGTTGCGGGGGCCAGCATCGACGGTGACGTTATATGCGGGCCAAGACGGCGGACTGGTTCATTGAAGCCGTGGTGAGGCCGAATGCGGTAGGGGTCGTCGGTTGGGGGTGTTTGTTGTCGACGTCGTCGCGGATTGGGCGCATGGGGAGTCGATTGTGAAGAAATGATAGATATTGTATGCCGTTCGTGCTGTGCAGGTTGTCGTGTAATTTTTCTGTTTGTCGGATGGTTGTAGATGCATGGTCTGGGCTGGGCTGCAGAGAGAGAGAGAGTCCGGGGTTTGCGTTGTCTCTGGCTGCTCTGCCGTGGCACTTGTTGGAAATTGGGGGTCCAGGCATGGATGGAATGGGAAGGGGGAAGCAGGTCCGCCAGCGATGACTGGGTCTGGGTTGGGTGGTACTTGCTGGAGGTACCTGACGTCGAAGCTCACCCACTGACTGGCAGCTGTTCTGCAGGGTGGTGCTGGCCTGCCAGGTGTAGGAACTTGGGTGAGGTGGGTGAGGTACATGCTGACGCAGGTGCTGACACGCGACCACACCTCCACGACGAAAAAGGTACCCGACGTTCTATCGGGCACCCACGCTCGCAGCAAGTCACTGTGAGTCACTGAACTCAGGGCCACCGCCTGCGATCCATCGTTTTAGGTACCTACCTACCGCATCGCCAGGGCTCTCTCTCTCTGTTCGAAATATGCGTGTGGGGGGCCTTATTAGGCTCGATTTAGCTCCTTCTAGGGTACCCGCAAGGCCGGGCGTGCCAGGGCAGGGCCGAGGGTACTGGAGTGGAGGGTTAGCAAGGGTTGAGGTACATACCTGTGCAAGTAGGTAGGCAAGTCCGCTGTTTTACCGACTTTGCCAACGCATGCCATACCCGCCTTTCCGAAGCTTCTCCTGCTCCTCCCCTGGTCTGGCACAGCTCAACTCTTGAGTTCCCCTTGCTAATGTGTGCTAGAGGAAGTACAAGTAGCTTCACCAGGGTACCTCACCAAAGGTCACAAGCTCCCGAGTCCAGCAAAGGTCTAGGCTCAGCTAGCCGGCATGCTACAGGTACTTGTAGCATCGGACAGAAGGGAGCGGGAGCGGGAGCGGAACGCTCATGTGAGCTTGGAAAAGAGATGCTGTTGTGGGCGAGTTTTCTCTGCTTGGTCCCGTCCGAATAATGCCCATTGGCTTTCATTCGGGAGCCAGAAAAAGAGTGACTTTGCCTGGAGTGAGGCGCCTCTTCGGCGAACTTCTGTACAGGCAGACCAGGGGATGCGTGTATGTGCCTACTTCGTAAGGTAGCTACCCGTACCTGACCGAAAACTGGAGCATCCGTCCTCTTGAATGGATCGTCCCGGCTTGGGTGAATTGGGAAATGTCTCACCGACACGCGTACGGGCGCCGCACGGTGGCCCTACCGACTGGCAAACACTGGGTCGCAGTTCGGCCAAACACACACGCGAAATTACTTCTCAAACGGCTTGCCCTAGAGTCAAGGCAGAGAAGGCGAGACATTTGTGGACAGATCGCGAGACGAATTCCCTGCTGTTGCGTCGGACCGAGACTTGACTCGACGACTGGAGCCGGCCGGTTTGACATGTGCTCTGACAAGAACCCAGGAGTCAACTCGGTCCTTTTTTTTGGTGGTAGGCATTGAGACAGGCACCGAGGGAGAAAACACATCGACAGCCAGGTACTTTGTCTCGCCTTCGAAACGTGCTTTGGGTGCCAAGGGAGACAAAAGGGATTCGCAGCAGGGAACGGCCCGCTGAACCAGTAAAATGCCATCCTTTTTGGGATCGATAAGTTGCCGCAAGATTGGCATGATTGGCGCATTCCGCCCAGTGCACGGATGGCGGCGTCGATGGGGCTGTCTGGCGTGTGTCTGGCTGCAAGGGTCCTCCCGTTCTTTTCCATTGGACATCGCGCTGCTGTCTACCCAGCAAGCCACGACTGCCCTTCTTTTCCTCTTTCGGGCGACTGGCTGGTCCACCTGACGGACGCAAGGGGACACAAAAGAGGCTTGCTGAAAACCGACTGCTGCATGCCGTGGAGCAAACAGGTACGATGTAGGTAGAGCCTCACCGGTTCAATGCCTCTTCCCCATCCGATTCGTTGATCACTCCACGAGAAGTGCCTCCCCATCGAGGCGAGAGGTGTGCCACCACTCGCTTCCCCGATGAAACCTTGGTGGTGGTGCGCCTCCCAACTGGGTGGTGGCCTTTTGGATTCACGCACGGCACGGGATTCTCCCTCCGCATCCCCCGGCGCGCTGCCATTCGCCGCCTCCTCAACAATCGTGGAGGTTCATGCATTTGCGAGCCGCTGCAGGCGAGGTCAAAAAGCTCTTTGGCCTGGAGAGAACGCCCCCCATTGTTCTTCTGCGCTCCCGCATCTCTTGTCCCCGTGGGACAGGCCAGGCCCTTGTGCGCAAGACCCTGCATGTACGTGGTCACAAGGGCTCGTCCAATATTCCTTCCCGTAGCGTGCGTCTTGACCTGGCTCCGATGTGAGCAGATGGACTGCCGCATCAACAGAGGGGAGAGCGAACTCGGCGCTTCCACTCTAGGAATTCGGCTGGCCGCCAGAAGCTGACTAGAACCAAACGAGATCAAGCGGTTCCATCCGCCAGAAGGGGGGAGAAGAGGAGTCGCAATAAAACGAAAAGCGGCCATTTTCCTCCGTCGAAATGTCAAAATGGACCCTGGCTGTGGGGTTGGCGGATAGACTTGAGGGATGCTAAAGAAATCCCATGCCATCAAGTGACCACTCTATCGGGAAGACCAGGCCCGGCATAGCGCACCACCAGGTCGTCGACAGACCGTGGCGGCGCTTGCAAAAGTAGACTCGGGATTGTACGTTCGGAGAGCCGCCCGACGCCCACGGTCCCCAGTCAAGATAATTGAAGTGCTCTTTTCCCTTTCCTTGTGCCCTAGTGGGGTGTGTCTTTGATTGAGGCAGGAGTTCAGCAAAGCCCTTCCTTCCTACGATACTCCTCCTGCCCTTTTCAGGGTCCTGGACCCTGAACCAATTGGTTTGCAGGGAATTTGTGCTGTCTACTACCACTCCCCAGACCCCCGTCACTGGCCCGCCCCAGCCAAAACATCCGACCACACCAGACAAGACAATTCCGCCATCTCGCGACAACTCCGCCCGCGCGCGCTCTCCTCCTCAGGGTCAAGGAGAGGTGTTTGTCTGCGGATGGCGAAGACCGGAGAATTGCCTGGGAGGTTGTTTTCTTGGCCTCGGACATTGTAGTAGCCGGACTGCCGCCCGGCGTGGAACAACGACCAGCCGATGCCGTCGTTGGCTTCCCAGTGTCGCTGCGGACTTGCTTTCTTTCTGAGGCACCGGATATGATGCCAAGCTTTGCATTGGGGTGGAGGGAGGGTGGAGGGAGATTGTTTGCTGCCAGGACAACCTTTGGAGGCCGAAGAGCATCCGTGTGAGCCCAGTGTCCTCGGTCTACCGGTTCCCCATTGAGCACTCTTCTGATCCGGATACTGGCTGGCCCCAAACAGCTCGTCAAACTCTCCGCCATTCTTATCACGGTAAGGTTTCGTAGGCTGTCTCAACCTCGCACAGCAGAGATCTCAGTGCGAACTGCTCAGAGTACACTGGTCGTCTCGCGACAGACAGCCACGGGTGACTGTGTAATGCGCACTGGGAGCGACTGTTGGCGTGGAGTCGTCGAGCGGAATACCAAGCGTCGTCGGACTGTTTCGCATTGCTGTCCCGGTCGAGCAACATACCTGTTTCCTGTTCGATGCCATGGGAATGAACCTGTTTAAGTTCCTTCGTGACGTGTAGTGCGTACCGGACTAGGTGCTTGTTGGTCCGGCGCTGTGAGTCTCTGCGGAGATATAGGGGGGTGCTTGACGGAACGGGCACCGTAGATGTTCGAGAACCATCACGTCAAGTGAAATCCAGTCAGATTGGTCGACAGACTGTCAATATAAGCACATAACTATCCATCAAACTCATTCAGTTTAAGCTATTTTGGTGCGTGTTTCGGATATGCATTGTTATCATTGAAGGGTCTCCTGTCAATGAGCTTCCGTCAACTGTTCCGGACCCCCGCTTGCATGCCTTGTTGTTTCAGTCACCCGGAGAGAAGAAGGTTCAGCTAGAGTACGATATCGTGGGATGGCATGTGACATGACGAGCCGTCACGACCTTCCCGTGCCAATCAGAGTGCTTGGTAGCCTTATCTACCTTCCCCAAAGTCCTGTTCTAATCAAGCTCGAGCCGGGACGGTCCGTGGTTTCATAGAACTCTCATGTCCTTTCCTGGTCCCTGACTTTGCAAAGATCGGGAGACGCCCTCCTGGCCCGAGGTTCCCTTGAACCCAAGAGAATCGGTCGAGAGCAGCTTGCACGCACAGTGCCTCCAACTGGTTGAAGTCACCACGAGGTAGCTTCCATCCGGTAACAGGAGCGAACCGGGATGAGCTTCACGCGAGTGCTATGTCAGTACTACCCACCTCATACATATGTCACGGACAGCCCTACACACACCGTATCTGAGTTGTCTAGCACCAGAGGTGAATCATGGTCGCCCCGTCATTGTCTCTCAGAGGATCAAGGGGTTGCTCTGCAGGAGGAGAGTTGATTTGAGCCTGTTTATCATATAAGATTCGACCGGGGGAACTGAATTTCTCCTCTCCCGAGTCTATGCCCTCACTTTGCGTGGTAACGTTACCAATGAAGAAAGTAAAAAAGTTGGAGACTTGAAGGCGCGATTATCACTCGCAAAGATGATAGAAAGGCCGATCCCCACAGACCCGAATGAAAAAGCGCTCCTTCCACCTTAGACAACTTCAATCTTCAGGATCAGTCTGAGAAAACTTCTCAAGGCTTCTGCTCTGGTTGTGTATCTGCTCGTCTTTCATCGCCGTGGCCCCAGCCCCTTCTAGCGACTTCTCAGCATTGTATCTATCTCATCCCACTCTGCACCAGACCGTGGACTCTGGGGAGCGGCTCTTCACTGTTCAGCAAGTTTCAAGACACCATTTGTGGCCTCGAAGCCAAACTCACGATGCCTCTTACATTGGAAGCTACGCCTCCTGACGGGCTAAAGATGTCCCAGTGCATCAATTGCATCCGTCATGCCACTTGCCTGACGGACCCCAACGTCGTCGTCCCGAGGATATTTTGCGACTTCACTACCATGTATGCCACAGCGGCCTGTCAGAGATGTCTCGACGATTACGGCGGTGGAGATGGTGCACATCAATGCTCCCCTGTACGATGAGTCGAGCCCACACCTTGAAGCTGAAATTGATCCACTGGGACTGACAATGATTGCAGGCACCAGCTGCAATGCTCGGCAATCAAAAGGAGCTGTTCTTGCTTCTCGACTGGATCTCTCCGCTCGTGGATCTGCGGCGGGGCAGCACCAGTCTGGACGGCGAAGCCAGTCTCCCAGGCGGAGACCGCAGAGAGGCATTCATAGATATCATCACCAGCTTGTATGACCTGATCTCGAGTTTCCTGGTGGCCGAAAAGGCTCACCGAAACCAGCATGGGCTTCAACCGCAGGGTCCAACCACAGAAGTAAGTCGGCCTGGCTACAGACCCCCAAGCCTTTGTCCGTGTTGGCTGACAAGCTCTTTGCCCGGGTCAGGTGGACGTAAGCTACCGCAGCTTCTGTGAACTTCAGAAGGTCAACTGCGCGTTGCTCGACTCTGTGGACCACGAGCTTCTATACCTCAGGCCCGGAGACTCTGGCTATGTGATTTGGGCACTGGCGAAGGATACATTCATCCTGAGAGTGCGCTACACCATCACTTCTCGACTAAATGCGATGGCGGAGTGTGCTTCCAGAATCCTGGACAACACCCCAGAGTCACTTCACAACGACGTTTAGAGTTGATGGGGATTGGTGACTTGCTTTAGTTGTTGTGTTTTGGGATCTGTTTGGGAATGGATGTGTCTTGGGATCTGTTTGGTAATGGGTAATGGGTTCGGCGCGAGCGTGTTTCGGGACCGGCTTCTTGGATTCATTGGCTTAGGAGATTGTACACCAAATGGATTACGTAGGTAGCTTGTTCTTACTCAAACCAATTCAGCGGTCGATTCAGAGCTTCTGTGCTGGGTATTATGGCTACGGTGAAACAACAACCAACACATTACCGTGAACTCACGACGAACCAAGTGTTCCTTCACTTGGGTCTATCCACAATCGCCAAGGCAGTGATGCGCGAGTTTAGTCTTTCTCCAAATGTCCCTCGCAGGAGGAGCATGCGTCACACTCGCGAGTCGGGACCTTCCCCAAGCTAGAGTTGTCCGCATTGTTCCGTGGGAACCCAAAACATGATAGCAGGTATCCGGGGGGGGGGAAGTCCGCAACTGCGCCATGTCGCTCCTGTACCAAGATTCAGAGCGACTTGGCGGGACTGAAACAATATGCTCAAGACGTGCTCATCATTAGTGAAGGCAGCAACAAACAAAGGCTCTTTGCCGTGCTCCCTCTGGGTATATAAAGAGAGGCCAGCAGCCCCTCGGTCCATTTCCAAAACTCATTCCTTTTCTATCTTCCAACCTCTTCCCTCATTTTATCTTCGATTCTATCTTCAAACCTCGATCGAACCCCCTTTCCGTTCAACTCATTCCTTTTCTATCTTCGATTCTATCTTCAAACCTCGATCGAAGCCGGTTTCCGTTTAACTTATTGCCCTTCCCGTTCAACCTATCAATCTATTGCCCTTCCCGTTCAACTTATTCCTTCAGCCACCCACCCACCCCCTGTCTCCAAACATCGTTCCGCTTCTATCTATCGTTCCTCTTCCTTTTGTCTATCGTTCCTTTTCTGTCTTCCACAAACAGAAACGCCTGCCCACAATGGACCACTTTACTCGCTACTATAGCTCCCAGGTGGCCACTCGCGAAGAGCGGTTGAAGGATTTGGAGGAGAAGATGGCGAAGGCAGCTCCCCCTGCCGGCGAGTTCAGGGGGAGCATAGCGCACGACGGGCCCAGCACTCGAGTCACGCTCCGAGTCAGCCACCACATTTTCGTGACGACCGAGGCCACGCTGACTGCCGAGAGCCGGTACTTCCGCTGCCGCCTCTGGGGCCTCCACTACGAGGGCTGCCAGTGCTCGGACGGCGCTCATCCCGACGGCAGGCCCGACGACGACGGGACCTACTTCGTCAACGCCGACCCATACATGTTCGAGCACATCTACGAGCACATGCGGCTCGGCCGGTTCCCGCTCTTGTACGACGTCGAGACGGCCAACTTCGAGTTCGGCAAGTACGCCGCGCTCCTGCACTGGGCCAAGGTCTTCGACGTATACACCCTCGAGCGCTGGATCGAGGAGGAGCGGTACCGCGGCGTCGTGCGCACCGTCTACGAGCCCGTGTACTTCTACTCGTACGAGGACCTCATGGACCATCTGAAGTGGCACGACGAGAACGGAGACGAGGACCAGCTCGAGCTCAGCTACATGTGGGTAGAGGGCGGCCGGGTCTCGAGCATCTACCGCAGGCCGGGTTGGAGGCTGCAGGAGCGCAGTGCGGAAGAGACCGGAGAAGAGCGATCGGAGGAGAGCGGTGCGGAAGAGACCGGAGAAGGGCGATCGGAGGAGCTCCGGCTGCAGACCCCAGAGCCACGGTGCCCAGACGACCACAGGTGGTGTCCGTTTCACAGGGAACTGTTGGGCGTATTCATCAGAAAGACCGTTGTTTTCCGCCCGTGGCTTTGCTACAAAGGGTCGTTTCGGGGCGCGGAGGAAGAGGTCCAGGAGGGCGAGGAGGAAGTCAACAATGGCGAGGAGGGGGAGGTCAACGAGGGCGACGAGGAGGCGGTCAAGAAGGACGGAGAGGATGAGGAGGATGAGGTCGCCAGCCTAAGCAGGAGCATGGAAAGGTTCCAATAATTTCTCCGCCATGCCGGCGAAGACGCCTACAACCGCTTTCTCATCTACTTCGTCGCACCGACCGTTTTGGTGTCCATGCTCCTATGCCAGACTTCCGGTACACAGGCGACATCAATCCGACAGGGCCAAGAGGCCGTAGCAGCGGCGGCCTCTATGCCCTATGCCAGACTTCCGATACACAGGCGACATCAATCCGACAGGGCCAAGAGGCCGTAGCAGCGGCGGCCTCTATGAGAGACCCCCCACGAGAGTCTCGGTCCGCTTCGACCACGACCTCTACTCGGGTCCCGACTCCGGACTTGACATCAGCCTCTCCCTCGACTCCAAACCCGAGTTGGCCCTCAGCAAGGCCCCCTGGCGCAGCAGGAGGGGGGGCAGGGCTCGTATCCCAGACTTCGCGGATGAGACACAGGCAACCGTGGACGCTCTCACTATGCCTGCCTACGAGACACAGGAGGAGGTCAACGAGGGCGACGAGGAGGCGGTCAAGAAGGACGGAGAGGATAAGGACCTATATCCATTTGTAACTCGTGGGAAACAGGCCCGCCACACTAGCATGTTTAAAAAATTTCGAATTTTTGATTTCCAAGAGTCGAGTTCATTTCAATCTGCTTCTTAGTCTCTTATTGTAGAAATTATTATGGAAAGAGCTCCCATGTTCAATCTCAATTCTTGTCAGATCTTGGTCTGAGGTAAAGATCTCCTCCCATTTCACATATGAGATCGTCTCCCAGTGCACGAGACGCAGAAAAACAATATTACAAACCTTCAAACTGTGCTGTGAAACCTGACGAATATGAACACGGAGAGTTGAGAAAACACAGGGCTCCAGATCAAGCTGGGGAGTCTGAAGAGAAATTTAGATCAGGGAGGTAATACAATCTCAACAGTAGAAGGAAATGTGCATTCGAAACCCTCAGTCAGACCCAGGGGCGCTGAGGAGGCACCATAGGAGGAGCGTATCGTGGCCTGCTGGCAGCACCGTCCGACCATCGCCACGGGAGCAGGTCTTTGTATCGAGCCGGTTTAAATAAAGTTGTCCAGGAACTCCTGACTTTTCCGCCGGCTTTTGTCAGATACGGCACGGCGTACGATCTTTCGAGCATTTCGGTGCTCTCCATGGATCGGCGTCGCGATCTTCTCGCGACGGGCCAAGTCGGCCTCCCAAGAAGTGAGCGCCAGTCCGTTGGCGACTACGGTATAGCCCTCTCCTGCTGTGCTCGTCTGAGCGTAGAAGCATGGCCAAATTGCCGCAGCGACCTCGGACTCCCTGAGGGGTTGGACGGGCGCTGGGCCGCTCCCGCCAGGCGTACCGTTTGCTTCATTACTCCCGTTCTGCTGAGACTCAGGCCGTTGCTTTCTGAACAGGGGCTCCCAGACAGCGACGGATCCTTGTACGTTCCAATCCAGATCCGGGATCACTCTGCAGTTGAGACCCTGGATGCTCTTCCAGGTATCGCACGCGTGACGGCACCATGCCTCGAGAGCTTGGCTAAGCTGCGGTTGGATCTTCTCGGGGACGAGTCTCTTGAAGGAATCGTGCATGCCTTTGCTGGCGGCATCGATGCGTGAGAGGGCGTTTTGTTCGAGGCGGCTCTCGCCTGCTCTGAAAAGACATCGCCGTAGGTACTCCGCGGCCTGCGTCTTCTGCTTCTCCTCGACGACGTCGAGGAGATCGCTCATCTCGTCTCCAGTCCGTGTGACGTAGACGGGCTGGAACAACTCGCGAGTCGACACGGAGGCGAGATACCCCAGGCCTGCCGCCACGCGCATCTTCTTGGCCAGCGCAGTGTTCGACGGGAGCACTGGGACGCTGACGGTCTCGGCATCTCTGGTGAAATCCTGCCACTCACCCTTGTTGAAGAAGGCATCATCCAAGTCTTGGCCGAGAAACCGCTCGACGAGCTGGGACGCAGACTTGAAGAGGGCATTGAGGCTCTCGTCGCTAATTCGTTTTTGTTCACTGTCAGTATTGACACCATTGGGCGCGTAAAGAAAGACTATGCGCATGATGTAAGAGAGAAGAACTCACACTCCGGCAGTATAAGGTACAGGCTTCATTGCCAGATCCCTGAAGAACGTGTCGGTCCTCGCGAGCCTCTCCAGCTGCTTCTGGAGGTCCTTCTTGTCCTCGAGGGCCTTTTCCAGCTCCTCCACTTCCCTGTCGCGCTCGCCGAGCTCGGTGCTCAGCCGCGCCGTTTCGTCCCGGGCCTTCTGTATCTCCGCGCGCAGCTCCTCGAGGACCGTCCGTACTCTGGCAACCGTGGCGTTGAGCTCCTCGTTGGTCTTGTCAGCCTGCGAGAGCGCGGCGGCCATCTTTTCGTGCTTGGACCGCATGTCTCGGTACTCTAGCTGCGTGTTGGCGATGGACTCGAGGTTCCTCGAGTTTGCGAGGCTGAGCACTTCGTTCTCCTTGGAGAGGCGCTTGGACTCTTCAATGGCTGCGGCAATGGCTTGGGCAGTGCGGCCCTCGAGCAGTGTCTGCAGACCCTGGACGAGGTCTTGCACGGCTGCGGGGGCGAGTGGCGTTGCCTGAGCCGTGTTGCCGTTGGTCTTGCCATTGACCTGGCCGTTGGTCTGGGGTTTGGTCGGTGCCATGGTGGCTTTTGAAGGATGTCTGAGGAACCGGTCATGTTCTTGCTCGGTTCGAAGAAAGGGGGAGTGCTCTTAAATATCCGAGAGTGAGAGAGCGAGGAGACAGAGACAGGGAAGAAAACGCCCAATCGTCATTCTGCAGATTCTGCCTGCTTGTTGATACGGTGCAAGTGGCCCACAGTTTGCTGGTTCTCATTTCAGCCGCAATCGCGACGGAATCGAGGCTGCTCTTCACCGGATACACCAGCCACCCAGATCGCGATGCGGACCACCCTCGCAGACCCCGGCGGCCAATTGGGGCGAGTGGGAGCTGCATCCGCCATTGGACAGCTCCACCCCAGCGCGTCCGAACTTGCAGGTCTCGACCGACGCCCGTTCTGACGTGGCTCGCCCGTACTTGTGCTTGGTCTGCACTTACCAAGCATAATGCGTTGAGTATGTGTTTTGCTCTCTCGAAACCACCCTGTTGCCTTCTCGCCTTGAGCACACCGGTGGGGGGCCAATGCGGGAGGCCCCCGACCTTGGGACCTTGGGGTGCATAATTGCGTACCATCACATGACGGACACTTGGTCGATAATGTGGGAGGGAGACTGAAATGCGTTTTGTTTTCGGGAGCTATGCCCGTCGGATGAGGGATCTTGAGAGGGCTGACGGAGGTTGATACGCTCTTGATGTGTCTAGGGAGATATCATGTTCAAAGCTCCGAGGTCTTGGCACTTTGTTGTTGTGTTGGTCCATTGCCGATCATGCAACGACTGTGGACGTGAAAGACATCACGCAGCTAGGGGAAGCGTTGCCATTGGAGCACAACGTGCAGTATAGCAGACCCATGTTGACATCGGAGCAGGTGGTAGGCGAGGAGAGCATTGAGTTCCAAGAAATACGATTTTTTACTTGCAGATGTGCCTAAAGTGCTGTTTAGAGCTATCCTCTCAGAAGCGAAGGCAGTCTCCGTCCACATGTCCGAGTAGACATTGCCAGAATGCTTCCCGCCCAAACCGCGCGCCTGTCCAATTCTCACCAAGCATGTTTCAGGCCAGCTCCCCCAATCCCCCCTCCCACTCTCAGATATACAAAGTATTGGACCTGAAATTGATGGGGACGGCATCTAACATGCTTAGCCAATCGCAGCCTTCAATGCCACAAACGACATCGATAACATCGCTCAAAAAAGTAGACTTGGCAACTTTCCAGGCGGCGAATCCTCTATCTCCCGGGTCCAAGCCTTGGTAGTAGAACGCCTTTTTTTTTTTGTTAGCTAGTCAATTGAAGTATCACATATGAAACCATGCCGTACCTGATACCGCTGGGCATAGTGATTCCGATAATCAAGCAATACCTGCCAGCGTTAGCGAGTTAGTTACCTTCCAATGGCTCTATCCGGAATGGACAGAAGGTGAGCACGCATACCTTGTTGTCTTGATCAACACGATCGAGTTGGTATTCCTCGCGATGGGCAGACTCCACGGCCAAGAATTGGAGGAGCAGGCGTTTGATAGCTGCGAGTATCCTCGAGATATCATCTTTGGACCATTGCGACGTGTCCAACACCACTGAATGGGCTATGGGCTCGAATATGTCCAAGTGCTGATGAACCCACTCCAGTAACTTGAACAGGTCGACCTCGTCCTTGACCATGGCTGCGGATGCCTAGACGGGGTCGTTGGTAAGCGGCGATTCAACAGTTTCTCGTGGCTGATTCGTCATGGGCTCGGTGCATGTTTTGATACTTACTGCAACGCAGGGCTGTCCTTGCTCAAGGGTGTCCTCACAGCTATCGCAGCGGTATGAGGTTGATGTGATGAGGCAGTTGGCGGTGGCATAGCTGAGCCGCTCCGGGTCGGCGTCGATTGCGTCGGCTGCGGCCCGGATGCAACGGAGGCATTTCAAGAAGCGTACGCTGCCTGCGTCTCGTCGGACATTCGACAGCCAACTACCAAGCTGGGCTGCGTGTACCTCGCGTTCCCCTTGCTCGTAAGCCTCATCAGAGGTGTGTGTGGTATCAGTACTCGATAGGGGCAGAGACATGCGGCGCCGCCACCGCATGGCACCGAAAATGGACAAAGGAGGCACCATGATGAGAGATGTCGTTGAGGAATGGAAGTCGAGTTGGCAGGCACATTTGTTGATCAGGAAGTCGATTATTTATAGACTTATCTGCCGGCAAGTGACAGCTGGTCTGGGGATAGATGACAGTGATCAATACATGATAGCTCTCAAATGTGATACGTACATACGTGGGAATCATCACGCTTCATTGCTAGACTAGACAAGAGGACATGATTTGGGTATTGGTGTGAGTCTACAACCTTCCTCTCCTCGTCACTGCCACAAGGCATGCGGGCCCAAGCCGGCAATTCCAGCTCAAACTTGGAGACCGCCAGACAGGTGTCATAGGCTTGCCTGAGTTAATGGAGGAAGTACAACACTGTAAAATTGCTGAAACCAAAAATATCCAAATTGTCTGTCGCTACACCTTAACTCTGTCTAGCCAACCAGTTCAAAGTGCTTCGTAGGTATGAAAACCAGCACCGGCAGATCCGATGAGACTTACCTAATCTACACACCACGGCATAACGCTTGTATTTACCAAACAATGTAGGTGAATCATATCGTGGTGCACCTGACAAGGCTCTGGGCATGAGAGTGATGAAGGGAGGGAGGATGTGAAAAGTGGGCTCTGTAGTTCGGCTATCCAAGGGAATCAACGGCGCGTCGCCGACCACGTCGGAAAGCCTCCGCGCCCCACACACTTGCACCCGCCTACTGCCGGCTTGGAGCACCGAAGCACGGGTAATGGATGCGGGGGTAAGATGGCGGAATGACCTCGACTTTCCGCCAGCTCCAGAGACGCGGCAGTGCTCAAAAGCACACGCGGCAGCAGTCTCGCCGTACTCCATAGCTCAACACCCAACCCAGATAGCAACAAACTCATCCGCAGTTTTCATATCCCGGCCCTCCATACCACTCAAAGAGTGACGTGACTATGCCAGTGACCAAGTTCAAGCTTGAGGAGAAATACAGCTATCTCAATGGCTTCGGCTCATACCACGAGTAAGACACCTACCTAGATGCCAAACCATCCGATCTCACTCAACCCTCTGGCTAACACACCTTTCTTCCCTCGCTCGACAGGTCAGAGGCCGTCGCCGGCGCGCTGCCGATAGGCCACAACTCGCCCCAGAAGTGCAACTACGGCCTCTACGCCGAGAAGCTCTCGGGCACGGCCTTCACGGCCCCGCGCCACGAGAACCAGCAGTCGTGGCTCTACCGCATCCTGCCCTCGGCCGCGCACGAGCGCTTCCGGCCGTACGGCTCGGCCGGGCAGCACGCCCGGGGCACCGAGTACGCCCACGACAAGTGGCACTTTGTGCCCGACCAGCTGCGCTGGGACCCGTTCGACCTCGACGAGGAGAACGACTGGGTCGAGGGCATGAAGCTCGTCGCCGGCGCGGGCAGCCCCGTCGTCAAGTCCGGGATCGGCATCTTCATCTACGCCGTCGGCAGGGACATGGCGAGCAAGACGGCCTTCTACTCGGCCGACGGCGACCTGCTCGTCGTGGCGCAGCACGGCGCGCTCGACATCCAGACCGAGCTGGGCAGGATGCTCGTGCGGCCCAACGAGATCGCCGTCGTGCCGCGCGGCATCCGCCACCGCGTCACGCTGCCCGACGGGCCCGCGCGGGGGTTCATCCTCGAGCTGTACCAGGGCCACTTCCAGCTGCCCGAGCTGGGCCCCATCGGCAGCAACGGCCTGGCCAACCAGCGCGACTTCCAGGTGCCCAAGGCGTCGTACGACGAGGACACGTCGAGCGCGTGGCGCATCGTGTCCAAGTTCGGCGGCAACCTCTTCGCCGCCGAGCAGGGCCACACGCCGTTCGACGTCGTCGCCTGGCACGGCAAGTACTACCCGTACAAGTACGACCTGGGCCGCTTCAACGCCGTGGGCAGCATCTCCTTCGACCACCCGGACCCGTCCGTCTTCACCGTGCTGACGGCGCCGTCGGGCGCGAGCCCGGGCGTGGCGGTCGCCGACTTTGTCATCTTCCCGCCGCGCTGGCTCGTGCAGGACGACACCTTCCGGCCGCCGTGGTACCACCGCAACACCATGTCCGAGTTCATGGGCCTCGTGTCGGGCGACTACGACGCCAAGGAGGGCGGCGGGTTCCGGCCCGGCGGCGCGAGCCTGCACAACACGATGAGCGGGCACGGGCCGGACGCGGCGACGTTTGAGAAGGCGAGCAACGCGGACCTCAAGCCGACCAAGGTCGGCGAGGGCAGCATGGCCTTCATGTTCGAGAGCTGCCTGATGATGGGGGTCACCGAGTGGGGGCTCAAGACGTGCGAGAAGGTGCAGGAGGACTACCAGAAGCACAGCTGGACGCCGCTGCAGCCGCACTTTAAGAAGCCTGCGAGCCTGCCGCAGCAGGAGAAGAGGGAGTATTGAGTTGAATGTCAGGTTGAGGGTGCTGAAAACTGGCTTTGGGACGTGCAATGATGTTATGCATGTTGTATGTAATGGTTTATGTTGGTGAGACGGGCGAACCAAATGGCTTAACGTCCAGATTCAACGTAGCAAAGCCTCGTTATTTGCCTTGTGAGACAAGTAGCTTTTGATAGCTAAATCTTGTTGAAGAGCTAAAAGGACTCAAGAGTCGCTCCGATACGTGCGTCTCAAACTCTCCAATCCGGGAGACTGTTTCATCAAATGTTGCTGCTTGATGGGCCTTGAAGTCGAACAGCGCAGATAAGCTCGAGAAGGACACGATGGCACGTACGGCGGATTAGCGCCGCCCTCAGTGGGGCCGGACGCTTCGATAGTGGTCCAGGCACGCCGTCACGGGTGCGTCCCCAGTGGCCCATCCCCTGGAACCCCGCCTAGGTATGCATTGCTGCAGGTGCAGTCGGGTCACCCGACCCAACTGGCCCGCGCATAACCACCGGACGTCATCCGGACTCGGCCAACGCCTTCTCCATCTTCACGCAAAGACAGAACGGTGAAGCTACGAGCGATTGAGCCGCTGCACTTGCAAATCGACACTTCTTTCTCTAATTCCGTGCCTTTCTTGTCATCTTCTCGCGCGCTCAGATACTTGCACCCCCTCTTCCACACTGCTGTAGCCAGCCGGACAGATCAACGGCTCTCGAGCTCCACCATGACCACACGCTATCGCGTTGAGTGTGAGTGATACCAAGGGCATTGCCGACACGACCACGGTGCTGACCTCTAGCAGATGCTCTCAAAACCCATAGGCGAGACCAGTTCATAGGTAATGCTGTCCCTCGTCTCCGCAAAGAAGAAATGCAGCTCAGGATTGCGGGCTTCCTTCACCAAACTGCCCACACCGCCCCCGCTCGCCGCCCTAGGCTTGAGCTTCTGGTGGCCGTGCGAGACGCTCTCGACAGATGCTATCACTGCGCATATCATATTCCCATTGTATTCCCATTGGTCTAGACACTGACTGACTGACATGACAAAACCACAGAATGGATAAAAGGATTGCTGGCCGTGCCCTTTGTCCTCTACTCCCAGCCGACGGGCGTCTTTGAGAACCGCGGCGTGAGCGTCACCCGCATGGCCGAGGAGGCGCACCGGCGATACGCCGAGATCATGCGGGACGTCGAGTACATGATAGACGACCACAGTAGGCCTCACCACGCGCGCCTTCGTTTTGAAGCCCCCTACTCCATAATCCAGGTCGCCTCGGACTAACCCGCCCGGTTTTTTTTTTTTTTGGCTACAGTCGCCCACCAGAACGAGGAGAACCCGCTGCCGTCCAAGCTCAAGCTCCTGGTCCCCAGCATAGGGCCCTTCTTCACCCGCCTGCCCCTCGAGGCGGCCTTCAAGTACCAGGACTCGAAGCGGTACATCTCGTCGCGGCGCTTCGTCTCGCCCTCCTTCAACGACGTCCGCCTGATCCTCAACTCGGCCCAGATCATGGCCGTCACCACCTACGGCAGCCTGCAGCTCGCCACCTTTGACGGCGACGTGACGCTGTACGACGACGGCAAGAGCCTCGAGGCGGACAGCCCCCTCGTACCCCGGATGCTCGGTCAGTATTACCCCCCCCCTCCGTCCCTTTCCATGTCTCTCCCACTCTCAAAAAAACCACCACCACGACGTGAAAAAGCTAACTCAGCCCACCTGCACCGGCGAACAGACCTCCTCCGCAAAAACGTCAAGATCGGCATCGTCACGGCCGCGGGGTACACGACGGCGGACCGCTACCACGCGCGGCTGCACGGCCTGCTCGACGCCCTCGCCGCGACCCCGGACCTGACCCCGGCCCAGAAGCGCGGGCTCGTCGTCATGGGCGGCGAGGCCAACTACCTCTTCCGCTTCGACCCGGACGCCTCGCCGCACCTGCTCTCCGCCGTGCCGCGCGACCGCTGGCTGACGCCCGAGATGGCCGCCTGGTCCGGGCGCGACATCGCCGCCCTGCTCGACGTGGCCGAGGCGGCGCTGCGCGACGTCGTCAAGACGCTGCACCTGCCCGCGACGGTCACGCGCAAGGACCGCGCCGTGGGCATCGTCCAGTCCGACCCCGACGGCCCGCGCATCCCGCGCGAGTGCCTCGAGGAGACGGTCCTCGTCGTGCAGAAGATCCTCGAGCTCAGCGCCGCGGGCCGGCAGCGCCGCGTGCCCTTTTGCGCGTTCAACGGCGGGCGGGACGTCTTTGTCGACATTGGCGACAAGTCGTGGGGCGTGAGCGTGTGCCAGAAGTGGTTCGCCTCCTCCGGGAGCGGGAGCGGGGTTGGCGGTGGGCAGCAGCAGCAGCAGGTCGTGCCGATCCGGGGCGAGAACACGCTGCACGTGGGCGACCAGTTCCTGAGCGCGGGCGCCAACGACTTCCGCGCGCGCGTCGTGGGCACGACGGCCTGGATCGCGAGCCCGGACGAGACGGTCGAGTTGCTGGACGAGCTGGCCGGGTTGATGGGGAAGAAGCTTTCGTGAGAGAGGGGCAGGGAGGGAGGGAGGGAGGAGACCGAGACGTGTCAAGAGGGAGGTGGTGTTGAAGGTAATCACTGATTTTCTTGGGCCATGGCATTACTTGTTTCTTGGGTGTTTTTTTTTTGGGAACGATGCAGATGGGTAACGAGATTGATGGACTTTTCTGTTTAATGAACTTGACTCATGATACAACAGGCCATATCACTATGTATGCTGATAGAGCAATGTCGTTCACCAACATCGTGGTCGCTTGAACAGTTATCTATCCTTCTCCCTCTCTCTCACAGGCAACATTGACGACAACACATCATCATCCATAACCATAGCTCTGTCACGGGGAAAACACAAGGGCACCCGTCCGTCAAATGATTGAAATGAGCCCATCAGAAGCATGATCAATGTTCGTATATTAGATACTAATCCCTCTTGTCATTCTTTTTTCAAACTCTCCCTCCTTCTTTTCATAGCTAGGCAGAAAGACCCGCAGTTCTCTTTTCATTCAGAGAGACGGTTCGCGATTTTATCTCGCGGCTTCGCAAACTTTCGAACTTGAGGGTATATAGTTTTCCCCTATTTTGCCCTTAGGCATATCCATCGTCGTTGGGGCTGGCTCACACAACCCCGTCCTGTTCCTCCAACTGAAAATGGCCCACTTCTGGCGGGCTGTCATCAAAAAAACGAGAAAGCCCTGACTGATAGCGGGAGAGCTTCGATGCAGGTTTGTGTGAAGGGATAATAAAAAGGAAGAAGACATGGATAGAGAGTAACAAAAAGGGGTGAATCGCAGGCATGCAGCAGTAGCACACGCTTGATCACACACTGTAAGTGTTGGTATGATACGGAAACAAGAGGTATAGTAGTTTCGGTTGGTTTCCCTGCATTTCCTCCTCCAGTCTCCAGCAAAAGTATTGAGACTTTGACGCATTCCGTATGCAATTGGCAGAGAATCCCTGCAGCAAGTCACATCCAAGGTTGGATGGATGGACCCATATACCCTACTTAAGAAAGGGGGTATTTCCTCTCGAGACCCTGAAAAAAGAGACATTCCCTGAGAAAAAAAATAACGCCGATATATGTATGACATGATATATGTGATGACCGATGACAAAGAGAAAAAAGAACCCATTGGTGTCGTGACTGGGTAAAAGGGTAGGTAGGTAGGTAGATGATTATGACTAGTATAAAGTCGACAAGGCAAAAGAAGTATGTGGGTGTTGGTGGTGATGAGCTGATGCCAGGTTTTGTTTGTATTGTGGGTTGCTGCCCCAATCCAATCAGTAGCCCGGCTTGCCAGGCATCGTGCCGAGCGAGTGGCTGCCGTGGCTCTGCACGGGCAGGTGGTTGTGGCAGAAGATCTTGTTGCCCAGCAGCTTGGTGCCGCTCTTCTTGGAAGCGTCGATATACTTGGCCGGGTCCTCGTAGGTGTCCAGCTGGCAGCACTCGATGTTCTTGAACCACCGCTTCTCGACCAGCCGCTCGATCGTCATGCGCTTCTCCGGGTCCGGGTTCAGCATCTGCAGCAGGATGCGGCGCAGGACGGGCGGGTTGACGGCAAAGTCAAAGGCCGCGACCTTGGGGTAGTTGGTGTCCGAGACCTCGTCGCCAGAGTTCTTGTCGTTCCACTTCTTCCAGCCGATGGCCAGGGCGGCGTAGCCAACCGGGTTCTTGACCACGTTGCCGTCCCACTTCGCGGCCTCCCAGAGGGGCGCGCCGAAGATCAGGTTGATCATGACAATGGCGGCGCCCCACACGTCGAGGGCCCTGGGATCATACTGACCCTGCTTGGCGAGCACCTCGGGCGAGATGTAAGGCAGACTGCCGCAGATGCCGGGGGAGCACATGCGGACATCAGCCATGTTCTGGCCGCACTGACCGCCCGCTTCCCTCAGACCCGGGTGGATGCCGCAGAAGACCTCGGAGACACCAAAGTCGGTGATCTTGAGCTTGCTGTCCTTGGTGATGAGCAGGTTCTCCAGCTTGATGTCGCGGTGGGCGATGCCGTTGGCGTGCAGGTAGGCGAGGCCCTGGACGAGCTGCTTGAACAGACACAGGCGGTCGACGGCGCGCGACTGGTCCTTGAGATACTTCTTCTGGACCAGGCTGAAGAGGTCGCCCTCTTGGCAGTACTCCATGACGTGGTTCCACCGGCCGCGGTCGGTACACAGACGGATGGTCTCGACGACGTTGGGGTGGTGCAGACTCTTGGCGATGCTGTACTCCGACTTGACCTTCTTCTCGTACTCTTCCTTGGTCTCGGACGAGGACTTGCCACGGAACTCCTTGACGGCGTACAGCTCCTCGGGATACCCTTTCCTGAACATGAGGGTAACCTTGGACGTGGCGCCCTTGCCAAGATGCTTTCGGTGCCGTCCCATCTTGTGCATGTAGTCGAACTCGGAGTGCAGGTCGACAATATCGACGGTGAAGTCGTCGGGCAGGCTCAGACTCATGCGGCGAGCCTTGACACCCGTTCCAGCCTCGGCAGGAAGACCCCACGGGTCACCACGGTGCTCGGGGTGCAGGCGGTTCGAGTAGTCGAAGCTGCTCGCCCTTCTCCTCAGAGGAACGGGGCGTCCAGGTTTGGTGTTGCCGTTGCTGTTGCTCGAAGTGACAAAGGTGATTGCATTTCTAATACTGAACCCAGTGGAGGCCCGGTTCTTCTTCTTCTGGTTCTTGAAGAAGTCGTCGGCACTGGGGACGGTGGCTGTCGCGGTCGCCGTATTGCCCTTCTTGAGGCCGGCCATCTCGAGGACCGGAGAGCCGGGAGAAGGAGGAGAGTTGGACTGCGTATTGGACTGCGTCGTGCCCATGGACTTCGGGACCCTCCATTCTTGGCTCTGGGACCTGACCTTGCTCTCTAGGTTGGGATCTGAGGAGGCGACATAGCCAGCGTCGCCGAATGCGGCCTTCTCGGTCTGCGAACCGCTGCGCTTGAAGATGCTCGACATTGTGCGCTTGAAGCCAAAGGTAGAGCTGGAGCCGCGAGTGGAGCGCCGCGAGAGAGTGGGCGTCAATTGCTCTTGCGCAGGGGTCGAAGACGGGTTTGGTGATTTGGGAGGTGGCGGCGGAGTTGCCTCGGTGTTGACGACAACGGGAGGCTTGTGGGCCGGGGTGTTGTCTGAGGCGAGAGAAGGGAAAGGGATGCTCGAGGTGTCGGAGGAGGGATTGGAGCTCGAGTAGGTGTGGATGTCGTGGTTCTGCAGGTTGTGGAAGTCTTGGGAATGCCTTCCGCTCACGGGCGTGACGGGCTCGTTGGGAGTGTCGCTCTCGGACTCATCGCCCTCTTCGAGGATGGGATGGCTCACGTCGACAGTGGGCTGGCGGCGGGGCGATGATGACAAACCATAGTCGACCTGAGTCGTCGTTTGCGGTTCTGCGGCGGGCGATGCGTGTAAGTGAACTGAGTTGGCTGACATGGGGCGATCAAGCCGGCAAATGCGACTCGATCAACGGGCAAATACACAGCCCAAGAGGAATTGGGTGTCGGGGGTGAGTGCAGTGGTGGAAAGAGGAAGGGGGGAAATACCTAGAGAGGTCCGAGCGACGGCCGACGGGAATGAAGTAGTCGAAACGGCCATTGTTGCGACAGCAGGATCAGAGAGATCAGGAATTCGGGGCTGCGCGCGCCGGGGCTGAGAGGCGCTGCTTTGTTTTCCGGTTGTCAGGCAGGGTTGTCAGCCCACTGTGGGTGTCGACAATACGTCAGAAGCAAGCACTTCCCTCCCGTGGTGGTGGGCAGCGCTGGTGGTTGGTCCGCAGGTGGGCGAGCCTATCGAGCCTATGGCCTCCACTGTAGCGCTGAAAAAGGCTTGGAAGAAGCGCTCCAGTGTTCCAGCGGCCTGCCAGTAGTAGCACGCAATGGATGCCACCACCCAATCAACAGGTTGTTCGGTCGGATACGCCGTCGATGCTTCCGTCGGCCCTATCAGTCAAAGAAATAGTCCTGTTCTTTTCGGTGCCTTTCGCGCGCGCCGAAAAAATAATAGGGCCCCCCTTTGTATTAGGCAGGTCGTGGTTGGTGCTTTTGGTGGTGAACGTACACACGGGGTCTAGTAAAAGAACCAGTGTGTTGCCGAAAGAGAGACGATGGAGAGAGTGTGCTGTCCAGGTGATGTGAAGACAGACAAAGGTTGCTTGCTGTCTTTTTTTTCTTTCGTTTTTCTTTCGTCTTAGTTGCTTTCTCCTTTGCTGGTTTCGAGGAAATGGTCGTGTCCCTGATATACTTTTCCGGACGACAAGACGTTGGAGGTTGTCGACTTGGCTGCAGGGAGGGTTGGCTCGTCTCTGGGGCTTGGGTGCTGGCTTGGTTCTGGAGCTCCGCTAACTGCTTATATCGTTGTTGGATTTGTTGGATGGGTGGTGAGGATTCCAAGAGAAAGCCAAGGCGCCACACAAATCACGATCGCTGGTGTCGTCCTGGCTGCCAAGACTGCTTTCGGTGACACAGAGATTCACATGTAGGCCCTGCACAACAGTATTGGCGTTCCTGGCCAAGGGATCAGAGAAATGCTGAGCAGTCTGTCGAGCCCAAGTGAACCCTGCAACTCGGTGTCCCGTATGGGTGGCAGGGCGGGTGGGCCGGTGGACGGCGGTGCGAGAGAGAGCGAGGACGGAGAAGGAGGTCTCGTGTAAGGAGAACTCGTCGATGCCCTCGGGGCGTGCAATGGCGGGGAGGGATCTAGTTGTCCATCACGGAACAGAGGTGAAGGGTGAGGACGGAGGAGGAGAATAGAATAGTATACGGGAGGAGAGGAAGGAGGAGCAGGATAGAGGTTAAAGCAGAAAAAAAGGCGAGATGTTTTGGAAACAATAGCCAAGTCAGTCGGGACGGGGCTTTTCTCGCTCAGTGGCATCAGCGCATGGGGGGGGGGGGGCACTTGTTCTGGGGAAAACGAGGGTATCTACTGAGGAAAGGCGGGGCGATTTTGGCATTGGCGCCTCTGTTTCGCTACTCGCCTCTCTTTTTTCTACTTGTACAGTTTGGGGTCCCTGTTCCCATCAATACTGCTACTTGTACTGATCCATCCACTTGGCTTGTTGTGAATGAATGGAGGAGTGGTGATCACTGATGGGCAATGTGGGTGGGATTAGCTTATTACACTAGCAAGACTTGTATTGCGAGGGTTCTGTCGCGGGCACAGTGACCGTCTAACGGTACCTGCCTCAAACCTGCTGTCGTGCTGCTCGAGATGCTGCAGAAAAATGAGGAAGAGCGCGGCCCATTGGCGGCAGGTTTGGGGTAGCGACAGGGAAGAGAGAGAGAGTCGCGCGCAGCAGGTGCAGCAGGTGCAGCATGTGGAGGGGTGGAGTTTGAGAACCTGGGCCCTGGCAAATCGACAATCGGTGGGCACCCACTGATCAAGGCGCACTTCCTTCCCTGACGAGAACCAGCTAAAGTACCTAAAGTAGGTATCGTGTACCTCGCACCCAGAACGCCAACGCCTGCCAAGGGTAGCGAGTACCTTTCCCGTTTGGGGGGTTTACATATGACCTGGAGCGGCTGTGATTGGCCGATGGGCCTGGTGGGATTAGATCAGGCTTATTATTAAAAAGAATGCAGGTGTGTGTGGGAGGTGGGCACTGTGGGTGAAATCGGAGGAGCTAGAGAGGCGAATCATTCACGATGCATCGCTGCGCGTTTGATTATTGACCTCGTCTAGGTTAGTAGTACTTGTACGCACGATACGCACGTCCGCTGGACCGTTGTTTGCTAATCTGTCTTGTCTGTGCAGGCCGGCCGGAGCTGATTGCGAGATATGCCATGCATTAGTCCTCCTACCAGTGTAGCATCATGGAGGAGTAGTGAGAAGATATCGCGGCACTAGCACGGGACCCCAAGTGCTTGTTCATAGGTTCATGCAACTATCGGACAAGCGCCGCAGCATCAAACCGTCCTTGTAAGTAAGTAGACTCGTAGATACAAACTGAGGCAAGGCAAGGTTGGTAGGTAGGCAAAAGGGAAGGTCACGTTCGTTCGTCCGCTCCGTCTTGATCATAACGTTACCCGAGCAGTAAGATGGACGAGAGACCGACCAAGACGTCAGCATTACGGGCAGAGGCACCTCCAATTTCGGACCGTCTTCTCAATGGTCCCAGTCTTACACAGGTCCCAGAAATCCGATGTGGTCGGTCAGGGCTCGGGTTCGCTTGCTTTGGTGGCATCAGGAGAATATCCCATCCATCATTTTACAGTGAGTGATTTTCTGGCAAGCGAGCGAATGCTCGCACCCGGCGCCAGCATCTCATTTGGTCTCTAGCGGCACCCCAACCAGTGAATAAGGACTGCTGCAGCACTGGTGATGCCCACTAAAGGGCCCCGTAGCCACGAGGCCCACATCAAACTTACAAGGACGTGCCTCTTGAGGGGGTCTGCTGGTCCTCATTACTCCATCCGCCTCATCCAATCCCGCCCGGTCGCTCTCCTTCGACCGACCGCCGTGGCCGCCCACCGATAGCCCCTTTGCCAACACTGAGGCGCCGCTGGCTCGCAGCTCGTGGTCTCTCGTCGTAGTGGCCCAAGAATAGCACCTCCTCGGACCCATTTCGGGGCGCCCTGATTGGCTCGGCCGGCAGACTCGGCATCGATTTTGTGCAGCCTTCTAGAAAAAGTCGACAAAGCTTGAGATGCACAAAGCCAGTCGAGGCGGTCCAGTTACATCACTCCGCTCCGGCGGTGGCTGATGCTTAGTTTGGTTGGTTGGTGAGCTGACCGACTCTCTCTCTCGTGGCCACAAAAACGCAATGCATGTTTGGCATGATCACTCGCCCTCCTGCTGCTGGGGGTCGCCATCTGCCGTTGCATCACTTTCCCTTCGGGCAAGAGCATCATCTAGCGTGTCCCTCTTTGACAGGATTGTCTCGAAAATACCTCGACTGCCGAGCCAGGGAAAAAGCGCCCAGACAGTACCAAGACCTGGATAGCTGCAGCATTTACAAATACCAAGACCATATGGCTGGGTGCGCGTTTTAAACATAAAGAAACCGACATAATTTATGAATGCGAGCCACCGGACCGGCAGTGGGATGGATAGGACGGGTGCGACGGGATTCGAGGGCCACCCGACACCCGTTTCTACCGTCTCTTGGTTCATTTACGCACCCCTCAGCCAGCCAGTCACAGTGGCTAGCGGCCCTTTTGGAGATTCGATGGACGGCGGCGGAGACGGCGACAGCAGCAGCGGACGACGGGCGCAAAAGTACGCGAAGTGCCGACGAGCCGCCCTGCCCCAAGCGTGCCAGGAAGCGCTCTCTCTCCATGGAGAAGACAGGGCCATGTACCGGCGACAGGTACTCGATACCTCAGCAGATACCTCGTGCAAGGGTGTGTGTGGCCGCCCGGTCGTCGGAAAAGAAGGGCAACTGCGTCATCTGGCCCCTCCTTTTCTTTGCCCTTCCCAGATGAGGAGATGAGTGGGGGGCGGAGAACCCTTCCCATTCACGCAATCCGGTTCTCGCGAAACCCATAATTCTCGTTCTGGGACACCACCACTCTGTTGGCGCCCCAATTCCGCCTGGAATGCCGCTGCTGACTCTGCAGCACGTTTCGGCGGAGAAATGACTTGTGTGTGTGTGTTTGCTCTCGAGATATGGGAGGGTAAATGGATGGTTCTATCACGCACGAACCGGAGTCCGGGGAGGGCTGCTTTGTGTTTCTTCACTGGCACGCCTGGTTAAATGACCTCTCGCCGTGGGTTTGCAACGCCCTGCAATCCATTCCACTCTCGGGGGCTAGCTAAACTGAGTCGAGACCAGACGTTGGCGACTGATTGTTGGAGATGCGATAAGTGGACGATGACCATGCCAAAAGAAGCCCATTACCTATCAAGTAAGTGTAATCGACAATCCTCTTTTCCTCCTAAGCAAGCAAGCAAGGGCAGCACAGACCAGCAGCAGAGTGGCTCCTTTGTTATTTCCGGCCGACGATTGCCCGCGCCGCCGTTCGGGGCGGGAAATTACAAGGGCCACTGAAAAGGCGTCCCTCGGCATCTTTTTTAGCGCGCTCAACACGCCAAACGACGGACGGATTTAGTTTACTCGCCGCTGCTAGAAACACGATTCATGTGGCTCTGGTGCTGCCAAGATCAAACGTCAGCTCCGTGTCGTGTCGGTCAAGAAAACAAACGACAACGACGTGCCGCTCAACGACCTTGGAAGGCCCAAGGGATCTACAGAAAATACCACAGAAGCCTGTCCAGCTCGTTGATCTGCCGGTGATTTACATTTGCCAGACCTGGTCGGGCATGTCGGGATATTGAATATTGAATACCAAGCCGCAGCAGCCCCAGGGCCAAGCACCAGGGTCTCAGGCTGGCTGACTGAACAATCTGGCGATGGATAGCCCTGGCCCATCCACTGCGGCTCATCTGACCTTGGCAAAAGAGCAATGGGCTGGACGATGACATGGAGGCCCCTTTCT